ACGTAAAGGCTGTTCTCAGCGCTTTTTCCTTCCTCGAGAGTCACAACGCCTTTACGGCCAACTTTTGCCATTGCTTCAGCAATCATGTTGCCTACTTCGTAATTGTTTCCTGCACTAACCGCTGCAACATCCGCAAGTTCACTATCTTCGACCTGCACAATCCAAAAAAAAAAGAACCAATCCTTTTTTAAGCACAATGAACAGAGCTATGACCAAAAGAAACTGATGAAAGTAAAGAAAAAAAGTTACCTCCTTTGACATTTTCTTCAGCTCGGCAACAAGAGCCTTGGTGGTTTTCTCGATTCCTCTGGTAATCAAAACCGGGTTTGCACCAGCGGCCACCACCTGCATAATTTCGATTTCACACACATTTCAACCAAAGCTTGATCTGTTCAATTCACGAAGATTTGTTGGTGCCTGAAAATTACAAACCTTTACACCTTCAGCGATGAGACCTTGCGCAAGAACTACCGAAGTCGTTGTTCCATCACCGGCTAAGTCATTAGTCTTGGAAGCAGCTTGTTTCACTAGCTTAGCACCAATGTTCTCAACTGGATCATCAAGCTCAACCTAACCAAAAATAAAGCAAAATCTTCAAAATCTGCAAAAGCAAAGATAAAAGAGTGGAGGCTACTACAACAAAGAGAACACATTTTACCTCTCTAGCGACTGTTACACCGTCATTAACGATTCTTGGGGAACCGTATTTGCTTTCAAGAACAACATTTCTGCCTTTGGGACCTAAAGTAACTCCAACTAAATCCGCAAGTTTATTCACACCAGCCTACACAATGACATGATGTGTTATTCAATACCGAATTAGAAAGCAAAAAGACGGTGAAAACGAAGGACAATCACTGGACTCACTTGAAGCTTCCTAATGGCAGACCCGTCCTTGTTGAAATGCAATTGCTTAGCCGCATAGATTTTGGGAAACCTTGCTTTCCTCTGAGCAATACACTGACTCTTTCCAAAAGAGTTTGATGAGATCGAAACAAGAGATGATAATCGGTTCGAAGAAGGAGCCAAGGATGAGCCCATTGAAGACGTTGCGCTAAAGGTTGAAGCCATGATGATTCCACTCTCTGTAGAGAAAAAACAATAACAAACACACATCAAACTTTCGACTCTGTGGTCTCAGAGAACCCTATAGACCCGATTCAAATCAAAGAAGAGTATGGAGCTTTGTAATCATCGAAGAGCCAATCAAAAAGGGTAACTGAAAGCAAACAACTTCCTCACCTACACTCGAACAAACAAATATTGAAAAATCAAAAGATGATTAAAACTTAACACTTACTGAGAATTGATCAAGAGACAGAGTGGATTGATCAAGGGTTTTAGCAAATGAGGGTTTTCTCTAGTGAAGAAATCGATTTAGTTATGGGACTGAAAAGTTATGGTTTTTTCCTTTTATTATTCGATTCCAGTGCATAGTCCAAATGGTCAAAGTGTAATTCTTAGATCGCGTCTTCAAGGTTTCTGGTTGAATCTGAGCCGTTGAATTTGGAAGTATCTAGAACTTAAACCCTAAACCCACCAACTCCTCCTAGTAGACGCACGAGTGAGCTTCTTCAAAATAAACCATTTTTTGACACGTGCGGAAGTTTGCTTATTTAGGCTGTTACTGTTCTTCTTATTGGATTTTAGTCCGGGCCTGTTTTAAATGAAAAGCCCAATATTGTACTGTCATACGCGGTTAACGACCCACATTCTTGTAACTCAATTTCTCACAAACTTTTATTTTAAACTAAACATAGAGTAACGGGAATACTCATAACTCGAGTCATAAACTTACACAAATTATACTCATAACTCAAGTCATAAACTTACAAAAATTGAAATATTAAATTTAATCATACCATCCTATATATATGTGCTACAGTCTATATGTAAACAAACTAGCCGGTTATCTGTTATTAACCGAAATACACAAAAAGCTAACTTAGGATTTCCAATCACAAAGAGAGAGGGAGACGGCCATTGCATTGCATTGCTTCTTTAGATCTTTATTAAACGATGCTGTTGGTTTGATTAAAGAGAAAGGTATAAATGAAAAAATGAGTAATTGTAAAGAGAAAATTGAGCAAGTCATAAACAAAAGTAAAACAAATTGTAAGCAGAAATGAAGCAATCTGTAAACGTAAACATTAACTAAAAAATAAATAACAAAATAAATAAACAATAACAAAAATAAAAAAATAAACATTTTATTTGTAACTAACCGAAATAATGAAAAATTTAGATATTATGATATGTGATTTTGTTAAGAAAAATAAGAAAACAACTAAATGTAATTAAGAGTGTTTACAATTTGAAGGTATTCAAAAATATTTTGAAAGATCAAGATAATACATTTTATATATAACATGATTATTAATTATGAAAATTACAAAAGATATAAAAGAAATGTTCAGAAAAAAAAAGAAATTACAAAGAAAATACAACCCAGAAACATATATATGGCTACAGCAACCACAAAGGCGAGCTCAGCCTCGATTTTTGGATACTCCACCTTTGCTGCTTCGCATATAAAGCGCTCGGGAAAGGCTACGTACGAGTTAGTCATTGTACAGATTGTGTTTCCAAACTCACACTTGACCGGATCATCCAATGGTAGTAGTGGACAAAACTATCCAAACTAAACCAAAATTAATAGTAAAACTATATTTGGACAGCGTTTCATTTATATATTACTTATAGTTTTGATATACCATCACATATTTATATGGTATTATTAATTAGATATTAACACGTGGGCTAAGCTATTACTTAAAATTATTATTTTTAATTAATTTTTAGGCCATAAATAATATAAAATTTATATTCATTGGATAATAAATATTATAAAAATATATATAAATTTTTGGACTAGATATACAAAAAATATAAAATTATTTGACAAACTTATGTTTTTAATTTATTATTATCTAAGGGCATCTCTAACCACAACACTAAATTTCACATAAAAATAATATTTCTCTTATTATATTATTAAATTTAAATATTATATTATCATATTAATAAATACTAATTATTTTTGAAATTTATTTAAATCATAGATTTAAAATAATATGATTTAAACTTTGCAGTGTTTTAATTCAATTTTAATATGTATTTTTAATTTTAATCAATTTATATTTTAGTTAAAATATTTATAATCTAAATATTAAGAAATTTTTTTTATATTATTTAAAACGAAAAAACATAATTATTCGTACTATATTTATTTTTTAGTCTTAAATATTATTTAATTACTAATTAATAATAAAATTATATTACCTAACAAAAAATAAAAAATAATATTTTATTATTTAGTGTTGTGAACTGTCACACCAAATATAGTGTAATACTGTTCACAAAATACTAAAATTTGGATTTTGCTGTTGAAGATATTAGGGGTGGGCACTTTGGTTTTTGGTTTGGTTTCGGTTCGGTTTCGGTTCGGTTTCTTCTGTTTTACGGTTTATCAGTTTTACGAAAATTCAAACCATATAAAAGCCATATATATTTCGGTTCGGTATAGTTTGGTTTTTTACGGTTCGGTTTGATATGATTTGGTTTAATTTTTTTTGGAATTATACTATTAAGAAATTTTTTGATTCAAACTAATGGAAATAATAATAATAAATATGAGTGAAATAAAATAATAAATTCAAAAAATAGAATCTAAATCATTAAAAATTCATCAATAAAGACAGATTTCAAAACAGAGAAACAAACAAATTATCAAATCTTTCATAATCAATAATTATAAAAACAATAAACCAATCTAGATTAAAATTAATACCTATAATCTTGAAACTAGAACTAGAAGACTTGAATGTGAAAAAAAAGGAGTCACATTTTTTTATTGAGAAATTAAAGCTTACTTTATTATTTATATGTAGATATTTTTTATAAATATTATATTTTAAATTTATGAGTTAAGTTAGTAAATTATAAAGATAATTAAGCTCAATAATAAAATATGCACCTAAACTAAATTAAAAAATTAGGAAAATATAAATTATTTAAAATTTAGTTTAAAAATCGAAAAAACCTTTAACCAAAACTATAAAAAAATATGACCAAATAGATTTTTAGGTTTAACCATAACCAAACCATATCACTTTTTTCGGTTCGATATGGTTTGATTTTTTCGGTTATGGTTTTTGTGCCCATCCCTAGAAGATATCATCCGTTTAGAGGAGAAAAAACACTAAAAATATTATTTTACTGTTCAGTTGTAAATAGCTTAAATATTAAATATATATATAAAATAATTGTTTTAGACCACCATTTTGACTTACCATTAACAATTCTCATCTAACCCTTGATCAAAATTATAGGAGGAGACTTTTGTAGACCTCTCTACTACGAGGTGGTTTTATGGGTCAAATAAATGACACATGGTTTACGTCCTTGGCTACAAGCCTACAAAATTCTGAAATCGAACTTTACCAGAAACATCCCAAGTTCATCATCACCTATTCACATTTACAATGAAAATTAATTCGAGTTTACACGGAAACTAGGTGCTGTATGTGGATCCATATTAATTAGGGTACGTATTGGGTTATCTTCTAATATCAGCTGTTTTTAGATTTGCTTTTTGTAAAATCTAACTCTTTCATTACTATTAATGATATTTACATTCTTAGCAAAAAAAAAAAAAAATATATCAGCTTCGTCCAATTCTTACTAGCTTCACCAATATGAATACTGCTGATACATATACTTCCTCTGAATATGTGACTATACCCTAGGACCTAGACCAATTTTAAAATAGATTATTAATTTTCAAAAAAACTTTTATAAACTTTTTCTTAAAAAAAAAAAAAAAATCTCGATTTAAATAAACCAAAACAATGTTGGTTCAAAACTAAGCGCTGCATTGACGAATTAACCGATTTTGGGTCAACAAATTTGAGGCCCATCTTTTACTGGGCCTTACAAATTAACAGGCTGATCTTGAAAGTTGAAACCTGCTGATATCAAAACATGCTACTGCAATGTGTGTGGTAAACAGCTTTTACTCATCAGTACAATCTTTGAATGAGAAATGAGAAAACACAAAGGTCAAAAGCATTGTATACCAATAAAAGAAAAAAGTTCACAAACCTTTGTATCTCTCTCTTAATCTGTAATTATGTCAAGATACACACAAACTCAATCTAGTTTTCACTTTTTAAAGTTGTATATTAAGAAAATAAAAGAAACCAAGTGATCAGTTACAATGTGAACTATCATCATCATCTTCAATAACCTTCTTCACCTCTTCAACCTTTTTCAACTCTTCAACCTTCTTCAGATCTCCAACTTTCTTCAACCCATTCTTAGGCATTTCGTCTATAATGGTAATAACTGCTTTCTGAACAGTTGGGACAAGTAAGGCCTCCTCTTCCGTGGCCTGAAGAGGCTCCAGAGAATCCACAATGTCCCGCATCAAAGGCCGAGCCTTCGGGTTCCGGTTAAGGCAATGGTAAGCTAACATCGCAGCCTTTTGAACCGACTTAACCGGGTATTCACAGTTCATTCTCGGGTCTACAATGTTCAAGACTTTCTTCTTCTCCTTCAGCAGTGGAAGAGCCCAATCTATGAGGTTTTGCTCACGCGTAGGCCGTGACTTGTCTAATGATTTTCTCCCTGTGAGAAGCTCTAGTAGCACTACACCGAAGCTGTACACATCACTCCCTGGCGTCAAATGACCTGTCACCAAGAAAGTTATCTCATATATCATCAAAAAAGATCCAGAGACTCAACAATCTCACTGCATATTCGGAAGCAGTGAAAATTTCTTTCAATTCTTAAGCAGCTAAACAAAGTGCTTCCCTTTAAGACTTTATGGCTAAAAGTTTCATACTTTGAGAAGATTGCATAACACAGTGTAGAAACTTGCCTGTCATGATGTATTCGGGAGCTGCATAGCCGTAAGTTCCCATTATACGTGTGGAAACGTGTGATTTATCTCCTACAGGACCGTCTTTAGCGAGTCCAAAGTCAGATAATTTGGCATTGTATTCCTGTTACAACACTAATTATGAAACCTCCACAATTGTAATTGTTCAAACAAGAGAAGAGCTTGATGTAATGCTGCTACTACTACCACTGATAGTACTAACCATATCTAGAAGAATGTTAGAGGTTTTGAAATCTCGATAAATGACTGGTTTCTTAGCTTCGTGAAGAAAGGCGAGTCCTTTCGCTGCTCCAAAAGCAATCTTCATTCTAATTCCCCATGAAAGAGGAAGCAACACTCCTACCAAGTGATTGATTGCACATAACTCAGAAATTCCATTCAAGAGTGATTTCCAGGAGAAAAGAGTGTAAGAACTCTAAAACTCACTTGAGAAAAGATTGTTCTCCACGCTACCACGAGCCATGTACTCATAGATTAGCACACGGTGATTATCCTCACAGCAATAACCGATCAGTTTCACTAAGTTCGGATGCGAAAGCTGCCCCAAAAATATTACCTCTGCCTACAGAACATCGAAGCCAATAGATAACAATCTCAGTCCACAAGGTATTATATCTGACATTTGCGTAGACATATGGTTTGATGGTGAAACTTGTAAGGCAAGCAAAGGCAAGAGAGACTAACCAGCCATTCTCTATGGCCCTGACAGCTATTATCGCCGTCGTGAACTTTGACTGCTACAGGGAGAGGTTGAGGAACTTCTTGATCACCCAAATCTTCTTTTATAAAACCTTTGTAGACACTTCCAAATCCACCACCACCGAGAACTCTGTCTTGTCTGAAATTACTTGTAATGTGCTTAAGCTCATCGTATGTGAAAGCTATCAGAGGATTCGCTCCTGAGTCACGCCTTAGATCTTCTACTTCTTTAGGGTTCGATGGCAGCTTTTGAACTTCTTTAATATACTTCTCTTCTTCTGTTGGACTCTGTTCTTTAGGTGATTCTGTAAAAAAGACAAAAAAAAAGATCCAATGTTTTGATTCTGTGGATAGAATTGAAGATTCTACTCGAGAGATACGTGAAAATGTTGTGGAGTTGATTGTTTTTTTTGGAAATATTCTTGTAGGGGTCTAAATTCAAGAATCATAGAATATATAATTAAAAAATGTGACCTTTTCAGGGACCAATCTAGAAGAAAACAAAAGCACCCACACAGAAAAAGAAGAGAGAGAGAGAGAGAGAGGAAAAAAATGGAAGGAGACTATTTTAACAAAGAAAAAAGAGGAAGGAAGGAGACTATAGAACAAAGAAAACAACAGATTACTACTATAGTTTAGTCAAAATTCTAAACAAATGAGTCCAAACTTATAGAATATAGAGAAACAAATTTAGCTTATCCGAATATAATTCCCAACTTTGTTTTTTCAAAAAATCCTCATCTTTACAACAACAGAAGACCAGAGAAGGGGAATATAAACAGAGCATAATCAGAATAAACGAGGAAAGTAAAAGAACAGTCGTTTGAATAAATTTGGAAGTAACCGACAAAGATTTCATATTTTGCGCAAGTTTTTTCGGATAAAATCCATAAGGTAAATCTCGTTATTTCAGGCGAAAATAATCGATCTGTTTCCACAACAGTAACACAGAATTTCAAGAAGAACAAGTAAACACCAAATTAAGAAAGGAGAAGAGGTAAAAACGAAACCTGATTTAGCGTTTGCAGAAACTTTGTGATTTAAGGGCTCACATCTATACAAACAGTTACCCATTATTCCCAAACAACACACACACAAAACAAGAAAAAAATAAAAGAAATTACTATATTTATTGAGAGATGAATAAAAAACCCCAACTTTACTATCTATTGTAAGTTACAAATTCAAGAAAAACCTAGCCCTCAATTTCTGTTATTAGAATTTCTCCTCTTCTGGGTTTCTTTCTCCCTTTTCTCTTTTTCGAAGAACCAAAAGGTAAAGATGGAGAGATAGACACACTAAGCAAATGTTTCTCTTTTTTAGAGAGAGATAGAAGAGAGAAGAAAGAGGGAGAGAGAGAGAGAGAGATTCTTCGTGGCAATGATGGGTACAGAGCTCTGAGGTGGGAGAGAAAGAGGTCTTTGGCTATGGCGGAGATGGGCCCCACTTCTCTTTCTCTTTTTCCACTGACAAATCAAAACAGAAAGTCAGGAAAAGAAACATATCAGTCCACTTCGGTCTGATTTGTGTTCGGGTCTGGTCATGTCTGGTTTAGTGGTTACAATTATCTCTGGTTTAGTTTCTGATGGTTTTAAACCGAATTCTAATTTCTTCAATTTATTAAAACACTAGGCTCACAACTCAGAATTATTAATCTTTCTTTAACAGTTCTCTCTATTTGGAGAGAGAAATTCAAAAGATCTTATAACTAACTTGATATTGAACAAGGGAAAACTCAAATCCAAATTAAACCAAGAATTTGGTTTTCGTCTTTTATTTTATTTGTGGGATGTTTTTGTTTAGTGCGCATGTATGATGCGCATTTTCCAGTCCACAACTCTTTTTTTTTTCTTCTTCTTCTGTAAATAGTTTTTTTTTTTTTTTTTTTTTTTTGTTTCTCTATCGCTTTCTCTTTGTCTAAGCGTGCGCCTTTGCCTTTTCCCAAATTCCCAATATTTTCTTATTGCTCTTTTGAGTTTCTTTTTTGTTATCGATAAATTTTGCGTTCACATTTCTTTCTTTTTCGGTGTCGTTCACATTTCATTTTAATCGCATACTATGTTAGTGCATAATTTCACAAAGTGACTCATCATTTTATATCGGCTAAATTTCTACAAAAACGGATGTGCTTATCACTCACAAGTAGAGCTGTCGATTGACCTATTTACCTCAAACAAATAATAAGAAAAATTCAAACCTATTATTGAAACAATACTTTTATTCATTAGGCTTTGCCAAAATTAAAACATACATTTTTTGACAATTTGAATCCACAGAGGCAACATCACTAGCATAAACATATAGTTTACATGTATGATAAGAAACCATTTAATTATACACTGTATATTCGTTTCGTCATGCGAACATGCAATAGATTCAAAGTCCGTATTTGATATCTGAGGTTTTTATGTGATGTGTAATTGGAAAATAGGTTAACTGGATGTGAATAATTAATTAGCATTAACTATTATAATTAGATGAAATATGCCATAGACACCTTACCTAACATACTATATACACTTAATTTATATTCAAATATACAAACGCACAAGACTAATGTTCCGATCCACTCAAAAAGCAACCTATATAAGTTTTCCTTCATATATCATCACGCACATTTACCCTTCATATTTCTTAATTATTGTTACATTAATATAACAAATTGTGGAAAAGGCATATCTGAAAAGTAAAATGAATGTTAAAATAATATGTTTTACGTTTCTACATGTATATTACATAAAATCCATAATCCAACAAAAAAAATCGAAGAAAGAAATGGTGAACTCTAAACGTGTGCTATACTAAATCATGTTGTGCTTGTATGTTAATATGATCGCATGCTTTGAACGAGTGAAGCTGAAGTTATGAGATTATTTTAAAGTTTACTTATTGAAATGCAAGAAACCAAATGTGTGTGAATGCAATAGACCATGTGTGTGTTATGAGTATTAATAAGTCATAAGTGGTAGAAAGCTGCCTCAACAAGAGATATAATTCAACATCCACTAATATGTTTCTTTGGATCCCTTTTTATCTCCTCCAGGTGTTAGGCTTCAAAATGATCACATTTGTTTTTTTTCAATTAGGTTTGAAAATTCTTGTTTATTTTTCCCAGCTAAGAGCAAAAATTCTAAATTCTTTAGCTTACAGAAGAAATAAAAGTTATCTGATTCGTGGAAAAAAAAGTTGCTATAGATCATCCCACACCCACTTGTTTCTATTTTTCTCCCCGAGTAAGAAAGTGCCCTTAAGATATTACGAAACAATAACTTGTCTTACTCTCTCTTTTAGTAAAAAGAAAACTATTTGTTTACATTTGAATCACCGGACGCCAGTTAAGACTGAATCACTTATTGAACATATAATTTAAATGTAAAAAAAGACATATCTTTACACTATTAGTTGAATATATTTGCTAGTATGTTACGTTTAAAGTTTATTTTTCAAGATACCACAATAAATCTATACAAGATTGAAAATCGAACGTAAAAACTATTTTGTATACCCAAGTAGTCACTTTAACTTTTAGACCATATAATATATAAATTTCTTAATTGTAGACCAACCAAAGATTGTCTTGTCGGGTAAGAAACAACTTAACTTGCATCTTACGATTTATGTTCTCATATATTAAGGATTAAAAAGATGAAGATTTCTCGTGGGTTGTTCATAATACCCGCAAGAAAATGTACCAAGGAATTAATCATTTCACAAACTCTAATGGCGACCCAAAAAAAAAAAAAAAAAACAGAATATCGTTTGCTCAACCAGTTAGCCGGTGATTTTGATCATATAGAGTTAATATACTTAGCATCATGAATGGTCAATGTTATTACTGAACAAAACTAAGAATTTTCAAACAAACTGACGTCATGTTGACTTGCTGAGTGCACAGAATGTTCGGTTTCGCGGCGGCAAACCAGATATGATCAGATAAATCCAAATATGTACTGCAACAATCAAATTAATGAAGGTTTTGAAAATTGAGAGAAACATCCAATTTGAAGTCAACCCTATAAAAGCAATTTTGTTCTTTCCCTTGTGTGCAAAGTAATTCAAGAAAGGCGGGAGGCTAAATAACGCAATAGATTTATAGAAAAAATAGAATATTATGTTTTCTTTTTCTGTTTTTTCAAAGGATGAAACGTCTTCAGTTTTTCAAGGATGACTTCCGAAATGAGTATAGATTAACCTGTTTGTCTTTAGGTTTAGCATAGATTTATTCTTTTAAAAATACTTAAAAAGCCTTTTTCTGCTCGGGATTTGTTGTTATAGAGTTTGGGCCGTTAAATAGAAGTGGTTGGGCCATATCAACTGAACCCAAATCCCTCTTTCTTCAAGTTCATGTAAGCTTCTTCTGGATTGTGAAACACAAAAAAAGTTATACTAGTCTACTCCTAACTACTTAGATTTCGCCTGAGAGTTACACGTGTTGGAAAGCTCTTTTGTGTTATTGGTCTCACATGTTGTTTCCGAGTAGAGAAGAGTGATGAACTTGCTTACTTGTATTTTAAGATATGGTATCTTGTTTTGAGTTCTGAATGCCCCCATGGCATTATATTTTGAACGGTTCTATTTTCATTTTCTTTGCATATTGGTTAATTATATTTTAAATAATCATACAAACTATGTCACATTAATAATCACATAGTAGCAGATCTCCAAGTGATCATTTCTCGATTTCTTGCATCAGTCCTATGCAGTAACCACATAAGATCATGATGTTATAAGATTGATATGACATGAACATAAGATTTGGATGAAAACAAGCCATGATTTCAAGAAAACATATACTAAACATGGCCCTATCAATATCATCATCGACAGACAGACGCAGAACCTTATCATCAGCAGCAACAACAATAACCAATATGAATAAGAAGTAAGAACAAGCCTAAATTTTGCATCAAAGAAGAATTTCCAAACAAGAACAAATCTTATGTGTTTGAGTTTGACTACAGTTTGTCCTCTTTTGGGCCGTTAGACGTTGCGCCCAAGCCCATATTATCCTCATCTCTCAGTGTCAGTTTCAATGATTCTATCTTTTGCAACTTTTCACTGTTTCGTCTCCCTTTTATCTCGTTGTGGCTTGAGTTCGAATCCACGCAAGAGACCGAATCAATCTCCAAGAAATATCTCTTCTTTTTTCTCTGTGATTCTTAACCATCGCTTGAGTTTTGGATTTCCTTTCTCACTTTTTTTCTTTATTGCGGAGTTTTCAGGATTTCTAGGGCTTTGTTTTGATTCTCCCTGTTTTATTTATAATCTCTGAGCTCTTGTTTATGTTCCCTGATATAATGCCAGATTGAAGAAATTCGAAATCGACCCACTTCGGAATTTCGTAAAAAAATCGGTTTTTTCCTCGAGCTTGTTTCTCCGCTCGTTTAAAAAGATCGAGACTTTTGTCACCGTTCTCTGTTGTTGATTGCATTTCGCGATGTGCATTTCGAGTAGAGAAGACGGCGGCGACGAAGATCCCGATGGTCCATCGAGAAACCGAAGGAATCAATCGCCATTATCGCTTCCGCAGACTCTGAAACATTTCCACAGGGATTTGCTCGCCGGCGCGGTAATGGGAGGCGTCGTTCACACGATCGTGGCTCCAATCGAGAGAGCGAAGCTTCTATTGCAGACCCAGGAGAGCAACATCGCGATCGTCGGAGACGAAGGCCGCGCAGGGAGGAGAAGGTTTAAAGGGATGCTCGATTTCATCTTCCGCACGGTCAGGGAAGAAGGGGTTTTGTCCCTGTGGAGAGGCAACGGAAGCAGCGTCCTTCGTTATTACCCTTCCGTCGCTCTCAACTTCTCTCTCAAGGATCTGTACAGAAGCATCCTTCGTAACAGCAGCTCTCAGGAGAACCATATCTTCTCTGGCGCATTAGCTAACTTCATGGCTGGTTCTGCAGCTGGATGCACGGCTCTGATTGTAGTTTATCCGCTCGATATCGCACACACGCGTTTAGCTGCCGACATCGGGAAGCCTGAAGCTCGTCAGTTCAGAGGAATCCACCATTTCTTGTCGACGATTCACAAGAAAGATGGGGTTAGAGGAATCTACAGAGGCCTGCCTGCGTCTCTACACGGTGTGATCATTCACCGTGGGTTATACTTTGGAGGTTTCGATACTGTGAAGGAGATTTTCTCAGAGGATACGAAACCGGAACTGGCATTGTGGAAGAGATGGGTTTTGGCTCAGGCCGTGACTACTTCTGCTGGGTTGGCTTCGTACCCGTTGGATACGGTTCGTAGGCGGATCATGATGCAGTCTGGGATGGAGCATCCGATGTACCGTAGCACACTGGATTGTTGGAGGAAGATATATAGGAGTGAAGGGTTTGCTTCTTTTTACCGTGGAGCACTCTCGAACATGTTTAGGAGCACTGGTTCGGCTGCGATCTTGGTTTTTTATGACGAAGTGAAGAAGTTCTTGAATTGGGGAGGGATCTAGAGAAGAACAAGCTGAGAGGTAACCCTGTGAATCCCACATTAGAGTCAGGAGAGGAAATGATAAACTTCGTTTTGATACAACAGAGTTAACAAGCAGACATATGTAGAGAGAAAGGTTTAGGTTATGATATTGGTTTTTTTTTTTTTTTTCCATATTATTCGGTTTTGAGGATTTGGCTCGAACACTATGCATATTGATTCTTTTCTTCTTGTTATAGACTTTGTGTGTATGAGGGAAAAAGAAAAGAAGGAATCGATTTCGTAAATAAAAGACATGGATTTGGTCCGAGTCCAAGTATTGCATTTTTTCTGTTAAACTTTAATCATCAATCTGAGTTTTCGTTATTGATAAGATACCAAAGGTTGAAAGAGATAGTCCAAGAGCTTTTGCTCTACTCTGGTTTTCTTAGATACAAGAAAGTAGTCAATTTAAGCTTGTCCAAGATAAAGTGCAAAAGTTTCACCAAACAATACCTTTACTGTGGAATTTATACTCGCATTGCTGCAAGCTTTCCTCTGTTCTTGCCAGTCAGAAAGTATCAAGACAACTCCCACATAAGATTTGTCCTCTGTTATGGACCTGAACCTATATGATGATCTGCTGTTAAGTTATCCGCTGCAACTTTGTTGCAAGAGATGGTGAGATCTCTTAGTGAAACTGCTTGAATATTTTTTTCTGTACTGTAACACTTGGAAGTTGCCTCCTGCTATGCATTTTAAGTTTACTAACCGACGCTTTTTCCTCTTTGGCAGAACGAATAATTTCTATTGCTCTCTCGTTCTCTTTTTGATCTCTGTTTCATTTTGAAGTCTGATGGTTTATGATAAATATGTGTATATGTAAAGAACATGCCTTCAACAAGTGCTGCTCCCAAAAGTTCCAGAAGGATTCATCCGCCAATGATGTCTCGGTGACCAATTTAAGTACTTAGCCAATCTCCCATTTGAATATGTTTCAAAGGTTAGACGTTTTCTCTGCTCTTTCTAATGATTATCTGAAACGAATCACTTCAAAACTTTCTCGCTTCAGTGATTCTCTGCTTTTTGCCTGTATCTGTTTGTCTGGTTTGGTTGAAAGGAAAATCAAGAAATTTCTTCTTTTTGATAATTTTACAGAAATAAAGGGGAAAAAAAAACTAATCATATACTAAGGTGATTTTGGAAATTCAGATACTCTTTCTTATCTTTTCATATTTTTTAACTTTCTTCGTATGACGTTGAGAAAAAGAAAAAACTTTCTTCCTATATAAATTGTAAGTAGGGTTTAAGGTTTCTCTTTGGCTATAAAATCTGGCTTTTCTTTTTGACCCTCAATTTCTTCGTATACTATTTATATGGTTTGATTTGAAACGAATGCGTTCTCATCATTGTTAGGGTTAATTAGGCTAGCAATGGATAGGACAAGTGGGTTGTCAGATGACTTGATCTTGAAGATACTGTCTTTCGTTCCATCGAAAGTTGCAGTGGCTACAAGCCTTTTGTCAAAACGTTGGCGTTCACTTTGGAAACATGTGCCAAAGCTTTGTTATTTTGATCCATCTATTGATAGTGAGTTTTGGAGAGCTTCACGTTTTGTTGAAAAGTTTTTGTTACTACACAACAAGGCCCCTGTCCTAGACACTCTGCAACTCAAAGTGAGTCGATTTTGTCCTCCCACAGATATCGAAACATGGGTAAGTATTGCAGTTTCTCGTGGTGTGCGCAATCTTGTGTTTTATCAACACAGGCCCTGTAACACCGCCCTAAGCTTGCCTAGGAGCCTGTTTACATGTGAAACGCTTGTGACTTTAAAACTACATCAAGCGAACGTTGTGGACGTTCCTTTGACAATTTGTTTCCGGTCACTCAAGAGATTGTACCTGACATCTGTGGGTTTCTCAAGCGATAAAATCTTCGTTAGGCTTCTGACCGGTTGCCCTGTTCTTGAAGGACTGGTAATGGCTCAATGCAGCTATGTCACCATGACAACTTTCACAATCGCGGTTCCTTCATTGAAGAATTTATTAGTCGTGAACTTGAATTCTCTCTCAAAAGTTCCAGGAGATGATTTTGGGCTTGTGATCGAAGCTCCTTCTTTAAAGTCGTTAGTGATTGTTAGCCGGTTATATTGGGTTTGTTCATTGGTGAAAATGCCCAAGCTCGTGTTCGCTAGGATCAAGATTCCACATGGTGATTCTAGGAAGCTTCTTGGATGTCTTACCTCAGCCAAAAACCTTTCATTATGTGTAAAACAAGCAGTGGTAAACATCTATGTGCTGCTTTCCTTGATATTCTGTTTTCAATCTTTGTGATTTACATATCAAATGATTTCATTAAGCTATTTGCAGGATTCATATCCCATAAGCGTCTTCTGTCAACTCGTGTCTCTAAAGCTCTGTACATGCTCTTCAGATTGGTTCCGTCTTATACTCAAACATACCCCAAAACTCCGAGTTCTCAGATTCCAACATCCAGAAATACTGCTCCCAAGCCTAGCTAATATTCGGAGATATTGCAGCAGTTATGGAGATGTCCAGAGTCAGTGGGAGCAACCGAGCTCTGTTCCCCAATGTTTGGTTTCTAGTCTCGAAACTGTTGAGTGGATTGATTACGAAGGAACAAAAGCAGAGAAAAAAGTGGTGATGTATCTGTTAGAGAACTCTAGACAGCTAAAGACGGTGGTTATTAGAGCCTTGAACTCAAACACTTTGGAAAAGAGACACAAGATGCTGCAAGAGCTATCCTCTACGCAGAGGAGCTCCACCAAATGTCGGCTTTCATTCATCTGAAGTTCCGTCGGATCTCTCTTGAGGAGATAGAAAACTCTATCGGAAGAGCCTCATTAGTAGTTTATGTTGTTCTGATCATACAAGGTTTAACAAATATTCAAGGATAGCCAAACTCTGTTTTCTGATACTTTTTAAATATTTTATATTGAACAAAACTAATGTTTAGGGTTCTTTTTTCAATGACTCTTGACATTAGGTGAGTTCTTGGTTCTGAGCTGCTTTAAGTATCTTATATCGTTTGTTTGTTTATTTGCAGCAATCTATAAAATGACAAACTGAAAAGTGTTAGAATTTGGTGGCAATGGATTTGCTTTTATTGTATTTCGCTCCCATAAAAAGATGCTTAAAGCTATTACATTTTGTCAAGAACATTATGCAATTGCACAAAGCTCTAGTCCTAGAAACTCATGTAAATAAGAGGATACACAAACAGAGAGGATAGCAACTTGTCTTTTTTTTTTAACTAAAAAAGCTCAAAGAGTTTCTGAGAGAACTGTTGGAAGCTGCCAAGAAAAGCTATTCAGGATCCTGAAGATTCCATATCAAAGGACTTGATGAGCATTCCCGTAGTATCTGTTAATGAAGGGCGTCTGCAAGAAAAAAAGAAACAAAGATGATTCACATATACAGAGAGCTTTGTAACAAACTATGCTCAAAAAACCCTTTTTTATTAAACTAACTGGAGAGGGAGAGTTTATGTTTTTCTCCTCTTCTTTAATTACCTTGATTATGTTCATAGGGATGTCTGGTGAAGCCTGGGGGTAGAATTTGTAGAACTTGATTCTGTGAAAGGCTTGCTTATCATCTTCGCTCATTTCTTCTATTACTCTCAATCGAGCATCTCTTGCCTGCAAGAATCAATAAAGATCCTATTCATTTACCAAAACAGTTTCACTCAATGTAACTCACATACTTTTGTAATCTCACTCGGGTTATGATTATTTACCTCTCGCCTAGCTTTCCTTGCAGCTCGAACTTGCTCTTTGACAAATTCCTGAGAATATAAAATAAACAAATAAGCAAGAGAAGAAAACTGTAATTAGAAAGTCTAGAGATATACTCAAGCGTCATGAACGTGACATATTGTGTTACAGCTCAAACACTTACTTTGAATTCATCCTTTTGTTCCGCAGATAATTTTCCATGTTCAATCAGGTCATCAGTAAATTCCTGAGATAAATGCACAAAAAGGCCATCTCAATTAGCTTCAGCAATACAATGAATTCACAAGTAATTTCAAGTTTTATGGTTACAGAAAAGCCAAACGCGCACCTCAAGTGTCTCAAACTCCCAGTCAAATTTATCCATAACCTGCACAATCAGAAAAAAATGAAAAGCTTGATTATAAAGAATCTACCCAAAAACAATCGTCTAGGCCTGTCACTTCCAACACAACATTCACTGCATGCCACAAAACTTACCGGCGGTTCAGAGGGGAAAACTATATGGACCAGAGTCCTCTGTTCAAATTCATCTTCCCTAAATGGATTATAGAAATCTGAAAGAAAAAAGAAAAAAAAAGGAGAGAGATGTTAGATTTTGTTGTTGCGTACCACATACACATATATAAATGGTTTTCACTCTAGGAAATTTAACTAGTAATAAAACTCACAAGGAACGCAATAGTCGAACTCCTTAACACGATCTTCCTTCAAATGTTTGAGAGCAGATCTGCGTATAATGGACAAAACTAAACTGAGTCTAAACAGAAACTGGTAGATTATTCAAACAATAACTATATGTATAAGACTAGAGACACATGTTTTTGTTAACTCTATAAAGTCACGTGAAACATGTTTTCTTACCTCCTCTGAGTACAGACCAAGGTAAAAATCTGAAAGTTCATCCTATCAACTTGTCTGTCTCTGCAAGAAAGAACAATACTCTCAGTATGAGATTAGGGCATCTCAACAAGTATGATACATATTCGCGTGGGACTCAAGCTACCTTTTCTCAAAGGAAATGTAAGGAACCCAGTCCATTTTCATCTGCTTCATCGGAACGATTTCCTCTCCTCTCTGAACCGATGTGACTCCTATCTTATCAGAAGGCGGATCGGGTGATTCAATCTGCATGTATTTATAATATTTATAAAGAGAAATTAGATACGTAATACTATATGATCAGTGATAGCATGCAAACCGAACGTTGATAGAGAATTTAAATAATTGACTTACGGCAACAACTGTGGGGACAAAGTCCATCTTGGAACTCCACAGAGCTGTAAATAAATATAAAAAGAGCAAATTAAATAAGCAACTAGAAGATAATGTTAAAGAAACCACAAGTGCCAATTTTAAATAAGAAAAAAAAAGCGAGAGAAATAATATTTACTTTCCGCAATGCCAAAAATATAGACTTTCTTCCCATAGAGCATTCCTCCTTCCTCTAATGCTTCCTGAAACATATAATAGCAAAACATCGTCAACCCCGAAAAACTATCGAGTCAATAATAAAAAATATATAGATGGAGAATGTAATCCAAAAAGCTTACTTCGAGATGTTTGAAATCCCAGTTGAATTCATAAACTCTATCTAAATTTGCAAACTGCCATCAAAAATTTAATAACCATAAGCAAAAGAATATCAATGGAGACAGTAATTAATAACTCTGATGTATGTTGAAGATTAAATCCCTAATATTACCTCAGTTCCCACTGGGAATGCAGCCTTCCACAAATCTTGCTGAAACACACAAAAACAAGAAAAGAAAAGAAAACATATGAATAATCAAAAAAGAAAAAAGAACAAACATTATATGGCTTAAAAAATAACCAAAACAAACACAAGCTAGCCCCAAATTGCATTCAATCAAAGTGATGAATCATAAACATGATATTCTAGACTAATTAAGGTTTAGCAAAAGCTTACCAGATTACGCTTTTCCTCAAAGTACTCAGGCTCTTCCTGAGGTATGGTCGCTCGGGCATCGTTCTGAATCTCCGCAACAGCAACTTTGCGACCTGCTCTGGAAATCTTTGCTCCTTGCCTCATTGCTCAGCGATGGAACGATGACAAAAACCCTACTGACGAAGCGAGACACACGGAAAGAGAGAGGATAGAGAGAAAAAGCTAGGGCTCTAATATATGGCGGTGGTTTGAATGTCACAGAGACACACAATTTGGGGTTTATATATATATTTGTTTACATTGCGTCACTTCAACGCTACTATTAGTTTCAACGCTACTGTTTTTGAATTATTACAGTTACTGCTTCATTTCAACGCAAGAGGATCTAGCTAAAATTGTTAATGTGTATTGGAAAACAATCTTTACACATTGAAAAATCCATATAACATATTTACATAGTTTTTTCCTTTTTTATATACATAAAATATTAAATATGTTAATAATGTTAATTACCAAATTATCAAAAACTTTAGACTAGATAATATGTCAAAATCTGATGGATATAATTGACACGTGTGGCTACAATGATGGATAGACATTTAATTTTATAAAATAAAAATATCTATAAATACACATAAAATAAAAAAATTAGAAGACAATTACCTAACAAAAAAAAGATCAAGACAAAGCCTGATTTTTAATTAGGGTTCCTCGCTTTTTTTGTTTTTGTTTTTGGGTTCTTCGCTAATTAGGGTTCTTCTGATTTCAAAGCTTAAATATTTTCGTGGTTCGCCTGGGGGTTTCCACTGATTCCCTATGTGAATTGTGACTCAGTTCTGTTTGATTCCCGAGGATATCCAGAAGCAATCACCGTCTCCGTTTTCAATATGGGAAATATCATTGAGCTGTCTAACGATCTGCTGGTGAAGATTTTGTTACTGATTCCGACAAAAGATGTTGTGGCCACGTCTCTTCTGTCCAAGCGATGGCGTTCTGTTTGGAAACTCGAGTATGACGATTCATACAGTACCACACCTTCACAGTTTATTGACAAGTTTTTGCAGCTGAACCATGCTCCACTACTAGAATCTTTCCACCTCAGGCTCCAGCGAGACTTTTCACCCCAAGATTACGAAGAATGGGTTAATCTTGCGGTTCCTCGCAGTGTGCGTGATCTAGAGCTTCGTCGTGATCGTTCCTATTTAAGTCCCTTACCGTTGCCTACGAGCTTGTACACACATGAAACCCTTGCGGTTTTACTCCTCAGGCAAGCTCTCATCGAGGACATTCCTTCGACAGCCTGTTTCCGTTGCCTCAAGACTTTGTCTCTCATAGATGTGATCTTCTCAAGCGATGAAACTGTCGCTAGGTTTCTGTCTTGTTGCCCTGTTCTTGAAACACTTGATGTACATCGATGGGTCTGCGTAGAGGTGAAGACTTTCGCGATTTCTGTGCCGTCGTTGAAGCGCTTGAAGATCAGTAGCTTAGTAGGAGGTTATCAAGATGCAAGGGATGGTCATGGTTTTGTGATCAATGCTCCTTCTTTAAAGTACATGGAGATTGTCGAACATTTTAGTGGATTTTGTTCATTTGTTAATTATATGACTGAGCTGGTGGAAGCAAAAATCCACCTTAGGCACTGTGATTCTGAGAAGCTTCTTGGATATCTTACCTCAGCTAAAAGCCTTTCCTTATGTCTAAAACCACAAATGGTAAAAGTCTCTGTGTTTCTCCTATATGATTAAGATTCCTTCGTGATTACATATTGTTTTTTTCTGCCACTTTTGCAGGAATATTCATACAATAAATGCGACTTCGATCAGCTCGTGTCCCTAGAGCTATGTGTTATGTGCTCCTTAGATTGGTTGAATGTTTTCCTCAGACATTCTCCTAAACTCCGAGTTCTCATATTGAAATTATCAGTAAGTTTTGGTCCAATAACCTAGATGATGTTGGGTCTTCAATATATAGCCTGGTGGTGTATTATTTGCAACATTTTTATTTTTTTATTTTTTAACTGTTTCACCTCAGAGAACTTGCAGCTGCAGAAATTCCAGAAATGTCCGGACTAAGTGGGAGCGACCGAGTTGTGTTCCTGAATGTTTGATGCTGAGTCTCGAATCTGTTGAGTGGGTTTTGTACAAAGGAGCACAAGAAGAGAAAAATGTGCTGATGTATATGCTAGAGAATGGAAACTTCCTAGAGACGATGAGTATTAGCTTCTCAGTATCCATCGAGTTGGAAGAGAGAAAACGAATGCAGATGGAGTTAGAGTCCATGCCGAGGAGTTCTAGCAAATGTCAGCTTTCATTCACCTAAGAGCAACCCCAATAAGTTTCTCCTCTCAAGTTTTCAATCTTCTTTCTTCTGTATTTTTTATTTTTCAATTTCAAAGGTTGTACGAAGCTTTACTACAACTTAATTATGGGGTGTTTATTGAGAGTTAATTTTTGATCTTTTTTTTTTTTTAACTCGTTCTAATGCTTTACTTGATATTTTATTTATTTTAAAGAACACATGTTATATTTTGCTTTGGATGGTTTTTGCTAATTTTTTTGTTTGTGTCGTCTACAGGCACACTATTTTATCATATTTAAACCTGGATTATGACATAGTGTAGACATTAGTATAGAAACCTAAACTACAAGTAACGAAACGATCAATCTTTTGGTTTAAGTAAGATTTATTGTTTAAAGTTGGATGTGGTCAGCAAAGATAACAAGTGATGTTTTTTGTAATCAATTGTGCGATGGAGTTTACAGAATAATCTTAAACGAGTTGTACACATAATGCAAAAGGAAAACAAACTATAAAATATAAAGAATGAAGGAACAAAATCACCAACGTAAACGTGACTTGGGAAATTTCAAGAACAAATCCAGAGCCTAGCGACTCAGTTTATGTACACGGTGTCGCAATGTCTTGGGGGTCTATCAGGAATAGTGCCTGGTTTGAATCTGGACGCTTCATGCCTATCCAGCTCAGGAGGCACCGGACTGTTGCTCTGAACAAGCATCTGCTTCAGATCATAGAAGACTTGAGTATCACGAAGAGTCAAGAACGACGTCGCAATGCCGGTTTTTCCAGCACGTCCTGTACGTCCGATACGATGCGTATACATCTCTATACATTCAGGCATGTCATAGTTTATGACATGAGCCACATCCGAAATATCGAGTCCACGCGCTGCAACATTCGTCGCGACAAGAACGTTGTATCTCTTTGCTCTGAACCCTTCTAAGCTGATATCTCTCTGCCCTTTCGATTTCCCACCGTGCAAGCTCGTGACACCGTACCCTGCCTTATCCAGATTCTTGGCGATAGAGTCGGCGTTTTCCCTTGTGTTGACAAACACAATGGCGATCTTCTTATCGCCCAGCTCGTCTAGCAGTTTCTGCAATCCGAAGAACTTATCGGATTCTTTCATCATGATCACGTGTTGCGAAATCGGGTTCCAATGGTGACAACAACCGGGTTCCTCAAGTACTTCCTAGCGAGCCGCTCCACCTCAGGAGGCATCGTGGCACTGAACATATACGTTGTTCTGTAAATCTTCTTTCCGTCAAGCTCTTCCTCTTCGTTCGCGGGTTTCAAATTACTTGAAGGCATCGCATCCAACACACCTGCAACCTGCGGCTCGAACCCCATGTCAATCATCCGATCTGCCTCATCAAGAACCACGTAGTTGCACTGGTTCAACACAACGTACCTTCTCTCAAGACAATCAATCAAACGACCTGGAGTCGCAACCACAATCTCGCACCCTTGTGTCATCTTCAACGCCTGTTTTTCAATCGACTTACCACCCACTATACAAGTCACTCTAAACTTTAGACAACGCGCAAGCTTAGCAGTTTCCTTCTCAATCTGCTCAGCAAGCTCCTGAGTAGGTGCCATAACCACAGCGTAAGGACCCTCTGTTTTATTCTCTTCGCTCATTGGTGGCAATCTAGATATGTAAGCTAACATAGGCAAAACAAAAGCAGCAGTCTTGCCAGAACCAGTCTGCGCAATGCCGATAACGTCACGCTGTTGCAGTCCAAGTGGTATGGCTGCCATTTGAATAGGAGAAGGTTTCTTGTACTTGGCATTCTCCACAGCTTCCAAAAGCTCTGAACTGAGTTGGCTCTCTTCCCAGCTCCTCATTGGACGAGGAATCCTCGAACCCTTGTAAGAGATGTTGAAATCTTCCCTGAAGATACGCCAATCCCTTTCGGTCATCTCCTCCAATCTCTTATCACTCCAGTGCCTATCAACCCTCATGTCGAACGGGTCATATGTATCCGCGGCTTCTTCTCGCTCCTTCCGAGCAGCCGTCTCCTCTGGTCTCTCTACAACACCATCTTTCCTACGAATCTCGTCGCGCGCCTCTTTCTCGTGCTTCGCCGCCTGTTTTTTCTGCTCGCGGCGGTCCATACCAGCGCGAAACCCTCTCCCAAACAGAAGCTGGGCTTCGTGAGCTTTCATATCCCTAGAAGTGTCCTCGGTGTTTTCCCAATCGAAAGAGAAACGGAACTTCTCGCTTGGCCTGGTCACTCTCTTCTTCGGCTTCTTGCCACCGAGGTACTGTTCCTTAATGGCGTCGAGTTCCTTCTCCCGCTCTCGCTCAACCAATTTCTCAGCCACCGCCTTCTCCCGAGCCTTGGCCTCCTCCTCCTCCCGCTCCCTATCTCGAATTCGCCGATCCGGCTCACGATCTCGTTCACGGCGGCCACGCTCACGCTCACGGAGGTCGCGCTTTATTTCTCCATCCCTATCGCGGTGGCGCTCGCGCTCTCTGTCTCTGTCTCTATCCCTGTCGCCGCGGTGGCGCTCTCGGTCTCTATCTTGTTCCCGGTCTCGTTCTCGGTCCTTGCTGCGGTGTCCATTGGCGTCTTCAGTCTCGGGGGTGGAGGGACCGAGTTGTTCGCGGCGGAGACGCTGCTCGGAGATTGCATCCTCGCGGCGTTTTAGGGCTGATTCTTCGCGCTGGGCTTTGGTGAGGAAGACGGGCTTCTTAGCGTTGTCGGAATCGAGTGTATTCACCGGCGCAGATCCGACGACTTCGTTGATTGATCGCTTCATCGCTGCTGAAGAATCAGAGTGGTTCGCTTGGTCGATTGCAGGAGGGGAAAGCTAAGAAGATACAGAATCGTCTTTTCCTTTTCCCTCGCTCTTTCTTTCGTCACTTGGTTTCCTTTTCTTTCCAGTTTTTTTTATATTTGCGAATTCCCCAATTTGGCAAGTTTATTTCATATATATAGCCCCTACAAGGGTTTTAGGCCCAATAGTTTTGGTTGGGCCTTTTTTGCAATCCTAGTTGTTATACTGAAAAGCCTCCTTTGGCTTGTTCTTAGGTGTCTTGAAATTTGAGGTGTTGTGTAGACAGGAAGCTCAAAAAAATTCATAGCCATTGTAACTTGTAAGTCAAATAAAAAATTAATACTCACATTTAGTCCAAACAACAATTTATTAATACTATTATATGGAGTTTTAGCATTTACACTATCTTGCTTTTTTGTTGTTGTAAGGCCACTCCAATGAAATTGGTACTTGTCCGAATCAAGAAATTTTTGTGGCCTTTATTCATTATATTTCTGTTAATATCACGTAAAAAAGCCACAAATTTTTCTCTGTCAAAACAACAAATTTGGTGGTCACAAAGATATAATCACTATCTTTCAAATAAATGGCCTTAGATTCTTTTTAGTCTTCTGCTTGTTGTTACAATGCTGTATGAGTAGAAAATCTACTTATAAATTTTATGACAAACATAACTTTATGACTTTTGTAAAAAAGTATAACTTAATAAATACAAGGTGCATACATGTGTGCTAAATAGTTAAAAAAACACAGAATTTTAAATAAATCTATTCAAATTTTATGGAAGTAGTTAACATATTTGCTAACTAATTTACTATGGAACAATTAAATCTATTAATGTTTTCTGATTTTTTTTTTCATTTCATAGCTAATTTACTTGGTGAAAATAATACTAAGATCAAAACCTATTAATGTTTTTCAATTTAATGATTTCATACCTAATTAACTAGGTGAAATACTGAAATCTTAAATTTGTAAAATCAGACAAGCCTTATAAACGAAATAGAAGCTCATTTGGTTTACAGACCCGAAACAGAGGAACTTACGAAAAGAGTTGGTGATTTTATTGTATATGCGTGACATGTTTTGATTGGGGTTCTTCTTGTATTCTCCTTCATGTTCAAATTTCTGTGTCTATTTTTCTTGGTGCATATTTTTGAGAGTTGCATACGTTTTGTCTCGTTCCACAGTGATTTGTTAATGACATGCTCTCTGGTTTCTTGAGCGTATTACAGAAACGACCAAAGGAGATCTCAAGGATTGTTTAAGATGAGCAATATCAGTGACTTGCCTGACGATTTACTCGTGAAGATATTGTCATCGATCCCGACAAAAGATGTTGTGGCCACGTGTCTTTTATCGAAACGGTGGGAGTCTCTCTGGACGAATGTGACGAGGCTGGAGTATGATCAAGAATCTCATTATGCTAACTGAACTGGATTCTCAAGATTCGTTGACAAATCTCTGCTCTCACATCAGTGTCCCAATCTAGAAAGCCTGCATTTCAAATTAAAGTCAGGGTATGCTTGTAGAGAAATCGGATTGTGGATTCGAACCGCAATCAACCGTCACATACGCGAGCTTACAATCGAGTGTGGCGATATCTTGATCCATTTGCCATTTAGATTATTAACCTGCGAAACACTTGTGATCTTGAAACTCAAAGGTTGGTTCGATCTAAACATTCCTTTGACTGCCTCTCTTCCTTCCCTCAAGACTCTTCACATTGTTCTCCTTAGGGAATCAAACTACGAATCGTTTTCTAAGCTTTTATCGAACTGTCCACTTCTTGTTGACCTCATGGTGGAACAAAGAAAAAGCAATGCCATGTCAACGCTTAATATCACGGTACCTTCGCTGCAGAGATTGTTCATGAGAACAGTAGTTGAGGGTGAGAGTGACTTGAGATATTCTTCTAACGAGAAGCATACTCCAAAGGTTGAGATAAATGTTCCTTCTTTGAAGTACTTAAACATTGACGACAACTGTAATGACTTTGATGTCGCTAAGAACTTGCCTCAAGTTGTTGAGGCAAGTATCAAAGCTAATGAAACATCTACCAAAGCTTTCCTCATGTCTCTTACCAGTTCAGCCAAGCGTCTTTCTTTATATTCAGTGAAGTCAGAGGTAATCCATCGCTTAACCGCTTCGATTAATCGGTTATCTAAACCATCAAAAGATTAAGGCTTTTTTTTTGTTTGTTTTATATTCGCTTTTCAGGACATGGATCTTAGTTTCTTCTATCAACTTGTACACTTGGAGCTATGCACATCTGCAAATGGGTGGGTGAAGTTACTTGCACACATGCTTAAATGTTCCCTTACACTACGAGTTCTCAAGCTTTTCAATGTAACGAAGCTTCTCCTACTTTGGTCTAACTATTAGTCTTAGTGCTCAGTGATCATATTTGATAAATAATGTTTTGTTTTTCCTTTTCACTATGGTCTTAGGAACATTCTAACTGGTGGATGCGTCCACTGGATCGCTGGGACCCGCCGAGCTCTGTTCCAGAGTGTATGATGTCAAGTCTTGAGACACTAGAGTGGAGAGAATACTTAGGGAGAGACATAGATGTGGAGATTTTGAGTTATCTCCTGAAGCATTCGTCATCTTTGAGGACGGTGAAGATATCCTCTGATGAATCCAAGTCCGTGGAAGAAACGCATCAGATGGTCGATGACTTAGCTTGTGTGTTTATAGATTCACCGAATGCAAACTTGTGTTCGACTTATGAAGTTGTGTTTTGAGTCTATTGATCTAAGTACAGTACTTAGTTACATGCTTGACAAGAAAATAAATTTTTTTTTTTTTTTTGGGTCAAACAAGAAAAAGGAAAGAAACTGACTTTTTTTTTTCTGTGGGCAAAACCTAAGCAGCGGAATTCGATTCCTTTTGATTATACATCTCTGCGTCTTATCGCACAACTTCTTAGAGAGATCTAAAATAAAAGAGAAAGAATTTCGAAATCCTTCACATCTAGAACAAACACATTCCGTCACTGAAGCTGTAAATCGTAAGTTTTTTTTTTTGTTTTTGATAATTTCTCCGCGTCTCTTTTTTGTGGATTTTGAATCAAAATCTTTTTTTTTTTCTTGCCGAAATGATCACGATGCTAAGGGTTCTAAGGGTCGGCTAGGTAAATTGATTGTAACCCAAACACGAACGAATCAGTTTTCGTAGTGATTCTGTGTCAAATCAATTCAAAGATCGTACCTTTCTCTGACTAGACTGCATCGTAGAGTATATTTTGGGGGTTTTCTTCTCCATGCGTCCTCTGCGAATAGTTCTTGGTAAAATTAAGATACCCAGAACCTCACATTTCTTCCTTCTGTATTCCCATTTTACATTTTTTGCAGGAAACAGAGCCGATTGTGAAAAATCAGACATATGAGCTGAAAGTTTTTGTGTAATTCTAAGAAAATGGATGATCATCGAGATAGGATCAGTCGGTTGCCAGATGATTTCCTCTTACAGATATTGTCATGGCTTCCAACAAAAGATGTATGGGTGACGAGTCTCTTGTCGAAACGATGGCGGAATCTTTGGACATTGGTCCCTAGGCTCAACTTTGACCTCAGGCATCACGATAACGCATGCACAAAGTTCACAAAGTTTGTCGACAGGTCTCTGTTACTGCACAAGGCTCCAACTTTGGAGAGTTTGCATATCAAGATCGGTTCGAAGTGTCCTAGAGCAGACGTAGAGACAGGGGTATGGGTCAGAATCGCCGTAGACCGCTCCGTGCGCGAGCTAGATATCAGCTATTGTTCCGGCGAAGAGCCTATAAGGATGCCTAAGTGCTTGTTTGATTGTAGAACGCTTGTGGTCCTGAAACTCCAAAACGCAAGCCTCGTTGATGCGACTTCTTACGATTGCTTTAGTGCCCTCAAGACTCTGCACCTTCTAGATGTCAAGTACGTTGATGATCAGTCGCTTCCTAGTATTTTATCATGCTGCACTACTCTCGAAGATTTGGTTGTGCAAAGATGCCCTGGAGACAATGTCAAAATCGTCAATTTGACTGCTCCGTGCTTGAAAAACCTCTCTTTACATAAATCGTCGCAAGCTTTTGAAGGAGACGACGATGGGTTCTTGATAGATGCCCCTAAGCTGAAGTGCCTAGACATTGAAGACTATTGGGGTGGGTTTTGTTACATTGAGGATATGCCTGAGGTTGTGGAAGCGAATGTCGATGTTATCTATAAAAACACTGAGAAACTCATGGGATCCCTCACCTCGATCAAGCGTCTTGCGCTATGTCTCATCACTTCAGATGTAATCTCTGTTTCCTTTGTTATCTCGATGTTCTTGTTGATTTCTTGATTATATTGTGCTTGATGTTTCTTCAAATGCAGGCTGCTTATCCCGTTGGTACAGTCTTCTCTCAGCTTGTTCATCTAGAACTATGCACATGTGCGCCACGGTGGTGGGATTTACTTACTCGGCTTATTGAAGATTCGCCTAATCTACGAGTTCTTAAACTCAGACAGGTACATGAACATGAACACAGTTTCCTGATATCGGCTAGTTTCTTGTTCGGTTTCAGCTTTGTTGATTGTATAGAGTTCTTATAGCTCTATGCCAACTTTTTTTTTGGATCTCAGAAACATATTAGACGTGCCCCTTGTCCCGGGATTAGTTGGAAGCAACCTGTTTCTCTTCCGAATGGTTTGCTATTACTCCATCTTGAGACCTTCAAGTGGGAACTGTACGAAGGATCGGAAAACCAGAAAGAAGTGGCGATATTCGTCTTGAAACACGCTACTCGATTGAAGAAAGCGATCATCTCTCCGAAGCCAACCAGTACTCTCCAAGAGAAACATGAGATGCTCAAGGAGTTGTCATCCGCGCGGCGTGGTTCGAGTATGTGCGAGCTCTTGTTCGACTGAAGAAAGATAGAAATAGAAGAAACGAACTTTATTCTGTACTGAGGAATGTTTTATTACTTCATTTTCAGTGAACATCGTTTGTAGTATTGTTGTCATATTTACCTGAAAGTATTTGCTCTGCATTTGGGTTTATCCTCTCTTCTGTGTTCCAATCTATGCAGAACTGCATTTGGGTTTATCCTGTGTGTTACAGTCTACCCCTAGAATCTTCAGTAATAAACAAGAAGCTGTTATCATTTACAATTGCGTCAGATCCTAACTAAGCACAGGACAGAACCATCTTCTTCTTAACGATCTGCTTAAGCCTAAGTTACTATTGGAAAATGCTTATCACCTAAAGACTGAGTCAGATTTGAATACACAGAAGAAACTTTGAGATAGTTGCCACTTTCTTCCTGAGCTTCAACAATGTGCCAACTCGCATTTGAGTGAGGATTTGAATCGTTAGATGTTATTAAAGGCCCAATAATATGATTTTGACTTGCACTATGTGTATAGTCTAGAGAGAATGATCAGATTTCTCCAAATGTGAATATAGTCTATGGACTTGCCTTGCGAATTAAGTCTTCCAAAAGAAAAAAGTAAAAGCTTTTTAAAAAGGAAGAAAACGAGCTCTGTTTCTACCTGGTTTGAACTGTTTATACACGAACAACCAAGATGTAATACTTCTCGATGATTGCAAAATAAATTAAGAAAAATTGTGAAAGAGGTGGAGAACGCAGTAGAAAACTTTGATCAAATTATGGTTTTCGTCATGCCGCGAGATATATCTTTCATGTGCTTTGATCAGTGTTATCTTTTCCAACTTCCTCTAGACTCTCAACTATCATATGTGATGAATCGTATAATTAAAGTAAGCTCATTATTATTTATGTTTTATAACTGTAATTGAATTGAATTGAATTGTTATTTGTTTTTATGTATTTTGATAATTATTCTCTTTTAAAGTGTAACTAGGTTACTATCCGCATGTTTGTTCGTGCAGAGAAATAACGTTTGTAGAAAAATTTAATTGCCAAACACTATGATTACGAGTTTTAATAATTTTTTTAAAATTAAATTTTAGTTTAATTTAGATATATTTGTATCGATTTTATATTGATAGTTTCGACTGTATATTAATTTTATACCATATATTTATATCTATTTTATGCATGTGATTTTTAAAATTAATATTTGTCTTCTTTATTTTACTTGTTTAGGTAGAAATATAGATTTTTAACATGTATAATGAATCTTTGAATATTTTGTTGCTGAAAATATGTTAATTATCAGTTAATTTTTTATAATTTTATATGAGCGTCTAAATTTGTATATTGTATAATATTAATAAAAAATATTTTTATATATTGTGTCAAATTTTTAAAAAAAGAATGAACATATAAATATATTTTTTTATATAAAACACACTGAAGTAGTATGATTTATTTTTTAAAACAGTCATTTTATCGGTCAAAATTATTTTAATATATATAAATTTAATATAAATGTAAAAGAAAAAATTATTTTATATTCTATTTTGATTCAATTGTAAAAAGAACGCGAATCTAAAATTATATATTTTCATATAAATCACACCGGTTGATTTAATTTCTAAAACAATCATTTTATTGGTCAAAATTAATTTAAGATTTAAAGAAAAAAATATTTATCTTTAATATACATATGTAGATACAAAATATAGGGTAGAGGTGTCAAACAAAAAAGGAGGCAAAACATTTGATTAATGAACCAACCTTATAAGTTAAGTCAATTTATTCAAGAAAGTTGATAAATCTTCACCAAGATGCTAAGTTCGTTTCATGAAACAACGTGTGCTTAAAAACAAAATTGATTCTAATCAATGAAATGTCAGGGAAAGAACCTAGTCGTGTTCAAATTTTTGATTTCACAAAAGGTAAGGAAAACTTTTAAAAGATTGTATACAAAGAATATTGACCAAAACATTAACTTGATGAATAAATAAACGACGTTTGAAAATCTCTTGAAAAGTCCTCCTTCACATTCTTTACATTTATACCGCTGTGTATATATGTGATGAAAGTAACAAGTTGAAAAGTCTCATCTCCTACCTTTTGACAATTCGAGCATTTTCTAGCGTTCGTCGAGTTTCTCCTTTCTCCTACTGTGTTTACATCTGAGAAGACATGGACAGGATCGGTGCGTTGTCTGATGACTTGCTAGTGAAGGTATTGTTCTATCTTCCAACAAAAGATGCTGTGTCCACTAGCATTTTATCGAAACGATGGGAGCATCTCTGGAAGTGGTTGCCGAAACTTGAGTTTGACGACACAGATTATTCAGAGTCTCGATGCGAGAGGTTAAGGTGTTTCCTTCTCAGAAGTCTGCCACAACATCGAGCTCCGGTTATCGAAACCTTGCATCTCAAGCTAAGCAAATCGCATTTTGAGCCTGGAGTTGTCAAACTGATGATTGCAATTGCCGTTTCTCGCCACGTGCGAGAGCTTGATATTTCTTACTCTTCCGATCCGGAGAAGTCCAACATACTGCCGAGTAACTACTTGTTTACCTGCAAATCGCTTGTGGTATTGAAACTCGAGGACGGGATTCTCGTGGATGTTCCTCCTACGGTTTGTCTTCCTTCTCTGAAAACTTTGCAACTTCAACGTGTGGCATACGTCAACGAAGAGACTCTTCAACGGCTTCTATCTAGTTGCCCTGTTCTTGAAGAACTAATGGTGGAAATATGGGAGGATGACACTATGAGAAAGTTCACTGTGATTGTCCCATCTTTGCAGAGTTTATCACTCTATATACCCTATGAATATGGTATAGATGGGTTTGAGATAAAAACTCCGTCTTTGAAGTATTTCAAAATCAAGGATCATAATAGTCAGAGCCACTACTGTTTGATTGAGAACATGCCTAATCTGATCGAGGCATATGTCGATGTTGAATTCCCAGATATCAATAGTCTCATTGGATCCATCACATCTGTTAAACGTCTTGAGATATGTTCAGAGGTAAATCAGTTTTTCATTTATCAACTCATTTATATTGAATCTTCAGTTAGTAATTTTTTTTAATATAATGCGCAGGTTGTATATGAAGAAGGTTTTGTCTTCAACAAGCTTGAACATCTGAAGCTATGTAGATGCAAAGAGTGTTCTTCGAATCTACTTGTCCAGCTACTCAAAGATTCTCCTAACTTACGTGTACTAGACCTTTACGAAATGATTGTAAGTTTTGTTAACTTATTAGTATTATTTTTTTTGTTAATTGCATCACTGTTTTAATCTAATTCTTCTGCTATATTTCAGGATCATTACTACAATGGTACTGTTAACTGGAATCAACCAAGTACTGTTCCTCTATGTATGTTGTCGAGTCTACAAGTTTTCAACTGGTCGGCATACTCAGGAGCATCAGAGGAGAGAGATCTTGCGATTTACATCTTGGAAAATGCTTGCCGCTTAAAGACTGCAACCATCTCGACCGATGAATGTGATATTCCAAAACTTGAGATGATAAAGGAGTTGGCACTTTGTTCCAGAGCTTCAACAACATGCAAATTCATGTTTGATTGAGTATTTTGATCATACAATTTTTATTTTTAAAATTCCCAATAATTTGATTTGAGCTTGTTCTTTAGTTTTTGATCCGTTCTCGGACCAATATGTTTGTTTCAATCTATTTTGCAATAATATAAAATAAAAAACAAAGAATGCTGTCTGAGCTAAATTATATGATAATATAAGGGTGTCTTCACATAGTATAAAGGATACAAATAGAGATAACTTTTGAATGAAAGATGTGGGTAACGTCGTACCACTGTCCCTTGACCTTACACACGTTGACTCTTCCACAAACTGGGCTTTGTTTATGTTTAAGAGTTTAATCCACCCCATTTTCGTTTGTCGATCTTTTAACTATAAAAGCCCAAAAGGCAATTACGCAGAGAGTAAAGCCCATAAGTACAAAGTCCAAGAACCTATAAGCCCAACACTGTTTAATCTCGATAAACTCTCAAATCACCATCGTCGTGGCGCGTGGGATCGAATTACAGAAATAGCTTTTCACAATTTTCTTTTCTCTGAAGAGGGACGGGAAGGCCTGCCTTTAGGGTTTACAGTTTTTCACATTTGAAGATTGATTCTCTCTGTTTACGGAATTCGAAACGATTGGCGAAATCTTTGGAAATTGCAACTCTCAAACCACTAAGGGTTCATAATTGGTGTTAGTATCAAATAAGCTGCTCTCCGTTGAACGAGGATTACTGGTACTTGCCTATTCTGTGCATTTTGGTAAGAGTTAGTTCATGAATCATCTTTCCTTTGCTAACATTTTTGCGTTGGATGAGTTTGGATTTCATGTGGCTTCTCTTTGAATTTGTGGATTGTTCTGTACCTCACTCTGGTTTTACTTTGCCCCTGCTTTATTGCTCATAGCTAGGTTTTCTGGGTAGATTTGACTATTTGAGCTCTCTATGAGTTTGAACTTCGTGTTTTTCATGCTTTCGTCTTTCCGGCTTCTGACTTGAAAGGGTAATCTGTCACATTTCAAAGAAGTAATTTCGTGATTAATCTTCCTCTTCCATTTCCTCACAAATTAAGAATATTTTCTGATGAATTTGGATTTCGTTCCGATATATTCTGATAAACTTAGCTCATTCCTCTTCCATTTCCTCACAATGTGAATTTGGATTTCGTTCCGAAATTTGCTTTGTTACTTGTCTCTAGACAAATTAGAAAAGAAAAAGACTTAGGCGTGTGTTGTGTTTTGTTTTCAGGACATGGGCAAAATCAGTGAGTTATCCGAGGAATTGCTGGTGAAGATAGTATCGTATCTTCCAACCAAGGAAGTAGTATCCACTAGCGTTTTGTCAAAGCAATGGCAGTTTCTTTGGATGTGGGCGCCTAAACTCGACTATCACATTGATGATTTCAAGTCAGAGCCTGCGTTTCGGGAATACATTAACAAGAATCTGCCATTACGTAGATCTCCAGTCATAGAAAGGTTTAGTGTCCGGTTTAGCCGCTCTGAGTCAGTTCAACCTGATGATATCAAACTGTGGGCTGGAATTGCAATTTCTAGCCGAGTGCGTGACCTGAGTTATCGACGGTTGGTGCCAGCATGATGTATTTCTGCCGAGTAGTTTGTACACCTGCAAACCTCTCGTGGCTCTACTACTTTCTTGCGGAAAAGTTCTTGTGGATGTTCCTGAAATGGTTTCTCTCCCTTCGTTGAAGACTTTGAAGCTTGCATGTGTGACTTACTTAAACGATGATTCTCTTCGACGGCTTCTGCCCTGTTGCCCTGTTTTGGAAGATCTGGCTATTCAGCGATATCATGATGACAACGTGATAACGTTAGTTGTTACTGCCCCGTCGTTGCAGCGTTTATCCTTGGAGATCGGTGGTGGATGTCCTCCTGGTGACTATGAGATACTTACTCCTTCCTTGAAGTACTTTAAAGTTGAGGATGAAAGAGATGGTTTTTCCTATTTGATTGAGCCTATGCCAATGCTTGAAGAGGCAGATATCAACGTTCATGAAAATGTCGAGAAGCTTCTCGAGTCAATCAGCTCTGTCAAACGTTTTTCCTTAAACGCAAATTTCAAAAGAGGAGAACCGGTAAGCTGTTTCCATCTCTCAACTTCAAGTTCTTAATCGTGTGATATCACTTACAACACTAATTTTTGTATTTGTCTCTGAGAATAAAAACCTTTGTTACGTGCAGTCTGTATATCCGGATGGTATTGTCTTTAGTCGGCTTGAACATCTGAAGCTGTGTATAGACGACAACTATTGGCCGAAATTAATTTTCCGGTTTCTCAAAGATTCTCCCAAACTGCGAGACTTCTACATCTATGCCTTTGTAAGCCTATGTAAATTTCTTAGTTGGCTCTTTTTTTCGATCTAACAAGCAATCTATGGAATGGTCTTATTGACTCTTTTTTTGTTTCTATCTCAGTTTGATCAGTATGATAATTATGAACCGATGAGTTGGAAGAACAAGCCCGTTCCAAAATGTTTGTTGAAGAGTCTTGAAAGTTTCAGGTTTGAAGGTTACCAAGGTACATCAGGAGAGAGAAATTTCTTGAGTTTTCTCTTCAAAAATGCTCGTTGCTTGAAGTCTTCATCAATCTTGGAGTATAAAGTCATCATGAATCTCGGAGTACAACTGTACAACCATGGTATGATCCGCGGTAAGAACTGAATGTGGAACTTGCTTTCGAACGAAACATGTACCATGTGTGGTTTACTTCTACATTTTGGTTTTATGTTGTGTAACCTTTAGTTATCCTACAAATATATATGTGCCTTGCCACTCAAGTCTAGTTTTAAAAGAAGTAAATCCAACCAGCTCTATTCTATTGTAGAACAAACGTTTCCTTGTGCGAAAAGATTGTCAATTACAGATTCTGAAATTCGATAAGATTGTTCTCAACCAGCTCTCTCGTAGAACAGATGATTTGATAACAAGTTCCCATTTAGTATGAGGTTGGACTAACCTAATCTCCTCGTCAAAACTATGAAGTTAAGAAGGTTTGTATGATGTATTAAAACATTTTTAAAAACGTTTATTAGATATCCAATCTTATTATGATATATGATGTATTAAAAAACGTTTACTATGAAGTTCAAACACCAATAAGGGTTCAAACATCAATAACATTTTAAAACACGTTTACCATGATGATTCTATGAAGTCAAGAAGGTTTGTATGATGTATTAAAATATTCACGCCAGTTTAGTGGTCTTCTGGCCAAAATATTATGAGTTCTTTAATCTCACCATCTCACTTAGAACACTAAACTGGCGTGAATATTTTCTATTGGCTGTAGATGGCTAAGAGCATGTCCAACGGTGTCTCTTAAGAGTTTTTTAAGGGTTTGTTAAAGTAAAAAATAAAGAAAATAAATGATTAATATTTAGAAAAGAGTAGAAACGGTTGTTAATTGACAATTTTCAGAATTGTTTAAAGACGACAACGTGTCAATCTCTGGTTTAATGGACTCTTTTTAACAAAAACCAACAAAAGAAAAAAAAATTCTTTCTCTCTACTCTTTCTTTCGATATGAACAAAGAGATTCGATCTACTCTCTCTACTCTTTCTTTCAGAGTGATTCAGATCAACCCACCTTCATTTCTATGTCTCTTCGATCTCGAGTTCCTCAGTCAGCAATTCAGGATTAGGGATTAAGGTAATCAAGAGAATCACCGAATGATTTCGACAACTTCCTCTCTATCTTCTTCTTTTCTAATTCTAATCGGGTTTTTCTGATTCGATATTCACGGTTTGTTTGATTTGATCTGATTGATCATCGTTCTGGGCTTTGGTTTGTTTTTCAGTTTGGATTTCTGATTCCCCGACTCTCCGATTCGTCTTTACGGTGATGCGTTTGGTCATCTGGAATTATTATTCCGTAATCCTTGAATTTGACAGCAACAATTAAGGCCGAGATTGATTTCAATTTGAGCTGCTTCTGGCGCAATTTCTTCCCTGACCTTTCATGTAAAACAAAAAAAAAACAAGGTAAATTTGATTTTATTCAAAGTGAAGCAAGACGCAGATTATGCTTAATTTTGTGTTTGAATTCGTTACTTAGACCCAATTTTCATTTTGGTCATATCAGTGTAAGAATTTCGAGAATTTTTAGTCAGAAAATGGTGGGTGCAACTTTGTTTCACCGGAGAAAGCATTCATGGCCGCCTGAGGAATTCATAAACAGAAGTACTCTACAATTAGTAAGTCAATATTTTTAAGATAAGATTCGTTTCCATTTGGAAAAACACAAAAATTTGGAACTTGACTTTATATATTTTTATTTTCAATCAATTTGTAGCTCGATTTCGATAGTGCTGCTCCGCCACCACACGCATGGTGGAGGAGATTAAACTGCCATGTGAATATCTTAAAAGAGTTCACTATAACGTTTAGAGAAGCCATTAAAATGGTACTCCCAAGACGTTTTCGTTATGATTTTTGCCTTCATTTTGTAGTTGTGTGCTTTATTTGATGCCAAAACCTCAGAATGTGATTTGTCTTGGAGTTTCCTACAGGTACGCTTGGGGATACGATTATGGTCTTATGTTAGAGAAGAGGCCTCACATGGAAGGATAACTCCTTGGACCACTAGAATCTCTTGATATACATTCAAAGTTTTGGTCTTTGTTGTGGAGATTTAACTTGTGATTTCTGCAGAAAGCACCTATCGATCATTTCACTAGGGAGAACTGTAAACCATCTGCATCCCAAGGTGTTCCACTCGGAGGAATGGGGTATATAGCAGCATTTATAGTCTCTGGTATTTGGTTTTGTTGGCGATATTTTCGTAGCTTAGTGTTGATCAGTGCTGTTGGTAATTGCAGAAGTGGGAGCATATCTAGGGGCTTCAGGGGTGAGTTTAAGCAGTGGCAAATTACTCCTGGAATGTGCGATCCATCACCTATGATGTCTAATCAGTTTTCTGTAAGTTTATTCTGTGACCTTACTAGACTTGAGATCAGTGCTTATTGAATCCGTGATTTGTTAGTTCCTTTGTCACATTGTTTTACTTTCCTCAATGTAGCCTTTTTATACTTTCACGGTTTTACTATCTCTGGATTTTGCAACAGAGAATCTTCTCTTCCAATTGTATAGTCGTGAAGAATGATAATTCGTTTGGACCATTGAAACTGTTGTAATATTTGGCAAGTGCATAAACATTGTTTCCTGCTATAATCCTCCCTAATTAGTTGTTCTTACTTCAATTGTAAATCTTACTCTTGCAAGAAAATTTAATTAGTATGCTTCTATAATAATAGTAAGAGAAGCTTTAATTTCTCTTAGGAGAAGCTTTAATTTCTCTGAGCCAAGTGAGACTTAGAAGAATTTCATGTTACTTGTGCCTAGTACCTTACCAACGCAACCAACTAATCTGGTTTATTCATAGCAAATGTCACAGTTTCTAGTGTAAAATCAATCCTTTCATGTTTCTGGTGCTTGGCTATTTGTTGACAATTGACATGTTAAGCGTTATATGAATGCATTTAAGCTTGTATCATTCTATGACTTATCAATTAGTTCATAATATTTAGTTTATTTTTGTAGGTTAATCTAGAAGAAGAGGACACCTCTAGCTTATGTGATCAGCGTCTTCCTCTAGTTATTGGATTGCTAAGAAAGGTGAGTGCCCGGTACTGATTTTACAACATATGATACCACTGAAGTTTACAATTCACAATTGACATGAAATCATCTTGGTGTTTATAGGATCAAATATGTTCATCTCGATCCATAAGAAACTAGTACTAATAAAGTTGTAGACTAGGTAGTATGGTTGTGGTGTTATAAATGCTTGTTAGTTAAGGACATGTTTTCAGATTATGATTGTTAAATGCTTGTCATATTAGGATCAGAACGAGACTGGTTTTAGTTTGGTTTTGTTATTGAAATTACGATAAATGCTTGTTAGATTAGGACCATATTAAGACTCGTTTTAGTAGTTAAAATTGTGATAAATGCTTGTCACATCGCCTATTGTGATCAATGCTTGTTAGTTGTAGATTAGGCAAATACATAAGTGCCATTGAATGCTTAAAACTACCAAAAACACTAACAACTTTTTCTATATATTAAGCTATAAACCAACACTTCTCTTCATCGCTAAACCACCACTTCTCTTATTGTTAAACCACCACTTCTCTTCTATGGATCCATTTAGTAACGCTGCTAATTTCATGGATCTTTTAAATAGCCAACAACATTCCCAAATCCCTGAAATTTTTTCCCCTTCTATGGGACTTGGATCATCACAAGTCCCACGGTTTGATACTCAAACGAGTGAGGATCCTGAGCAACTTGAAGAGATACCTGGGGGGCGTAGAGAAAGACGCAAATGGACTCCAACTGAAGATATTGTGCTATGCAGCTCGTGGTTAAACACAAGCAAGGATGCTGTTGTAGGGAATGAGCAAAAAGCATCAGCGTTTTGGAAACGTATTGCTGCTTATTTTAACGCATCTCCTAAGCTTGCTGATTTTCAAAAGCGAAAGGCCAGTCACTGTAAGCAAAGGTGGCACAAGATAAATGATTATGTCTGCAAATTCGTGGGCTGCTATGAGGCTGCAAAGAGGCAAAAAACTAGTGGCTACAATGACGCTGATGTTCTGAAGGTGGCTTACGAAATCTTCTTCCATGATTACAAAGTGAAGTTCAACCTTGAGCACGCATGGATAGAGCTTCGCAATGATCAGAAGTGGTGTGACTCTTCAACTTGCAAAGGTGAGGGAAGTTCAAAAAAAAGGAAGGTTGATGTTCAATCTGAAAGCTCACAAACAGATCAACCAATGGCTCGTCCTCAGGGTGTGAAGGCAGCTAAGGTGAGCAAGTCAGGTACAGTGGAAAGCGAATCCGTGGTGGGACTGCTTGACTTTCAGAGCATGTGGATCATCAAGGAGAAGGAATTAGCTATTAAACAAAGATTGTCCATGGTGGGACTGCTTGAAAATCTCATTGCAAAAAAGGAACCACTTTCAGAGATGGAAGTGGCTCTGAAGAACAAGCTAATAACTGACATGCTTTCTAATTAGCGAACTTTGTATTCACAGAGCTTTAGTTTAAGTCTTCCTTGTACTAGATCGGATTCAGTTTAAGTGTTGTTTGTGATGAATGCTTGTTAGTTTAAATGTCGTTTGTGATGAATGCTTGTTAGTTTAAGTGTTGTTTGTATTTCTAGTCTCTCCTTTTAAGTGAAATGAATAAATCGGTTTTAGTGGTTTAATCGCAGCTTTGGTATGTATTATTATAAATGTCAATAGTGTTTCTGAATCGGTTGTCTCTTTAAAGTCAGTTATTAGCTTTGTAATCACATTGTTGGAGCTTTGACATAGTAATAGATAAACCGATTATGTTGAACTAACTTTCAAGTCCTGTTTAAACAGGTTCTCCGAGACATTGCATTTCAATCAAAAGCCCTGGAGCTCTGTGCAAGACTCTGGCCCAGAATCACAAGGTCCAACTCCAAATGATCAAATGGTTAGTATTTAATTCTTTCTTTTATATTTTTGGCTTACTCATTGATAGATGTGATATGAATATGGAATTAATATTGAAGACTTTGTCCAGCCAAACGAAACACAAAATTACACAAGCTTTTGTCTCGAAACAGATTAGTTGAGTTCGTAATGGATAAAGGAGACACCCGTGATGGATAAAGGAGACACCCGTGAGATCATCTGAAATTTGGAAACGTCAACGTGATGGATGAAGGAGACACCCGTGATATAATCTTTTGTTTTGTAGCTTTCTATTATGTAGTTTTCACACCCGTGAGAGTGTAGAATTTTTTTCCCTTCGTTTTCTTTTGTTTTGTAGCTTTCTATTATTTTATTTCTTTGTTTTCTTGTACCGACACTGTTTTCCTTATCACATAGCTTTTTGCTATATATATATATCACTTTTCAATCTACTTCTTACAAACAAATATCATCTCTGTTTCTTCTTTCGCTCTATATACTTCTTCTTCTTCTATAAACACAAAAAAAAATCCTGCAAAAGAAAATAGCAACAAATGGCATCTTCTTCTAATAATTTTAATGATCCATTTGAGCAAGCATTCAATCGACCATTCGAACAAGCATACGAACAAGCATTTGATAATGTGGTCAATAGTTATGCTCCACCTACAAAAGAGAAGAAAAAAAGACACTATATAGAAAGAAAACGTGAGGAAGGCCACAACCGCTTATGGAACGATTATTTCTCTGAAGATCCAACATATCCGGCTTATCTGTTCCGACGACGTTTCAGAATGAACAAGGATTTGTTCATGAAAATAGTTGATCGTCTCTCCACTGAAGTTCCATACTTTCAACAAAGAAGAGATGCTACCGGAAGGGCTGGTCTATCTGCACTACAAAAGTGTACAGCAGCTATCCGCATTATGGCATATGGTTGTGCGGCTGATAAGGTTGACGAATACCTCCGGCTCGGTGAAAGTACTGCCCTCTTATGCTTGGAAAATTTTGTGGAAGCAATAATATCTTTGTTCGTGGATGAGTATCTAAGAAGACCCACACCAAATGATCTTCAACGGCTACTCCATGTTGGAGAAGCACGCGGATTTCCCGGGATGATAGGGAGCATTGATTGTATGCATTGGGAGTGGAAGAACTGCCCCACCGCTTGGAAGGGGCAATATACCCGTGCATCTGGAAAACCAACAATTGTTTTAGAGGCTGTAGCTTCACACGATCTCTGGATTTGGCACGCGTTTTTTGGAGCTCCAGGTACTTTAAACGATCTCAATGTTCTTGATCGCTCACCAGTATTTGATGATGTTTTAGAAGGTCGAGCTCCAGCAGTGAATTACTTCGTCAATGGACGCGAATATCATTTGGCTTACTATCTCACAGATGGTATTTATCAAAAATGGGCAACTTTTATCCAATCAATTCCAATTCCTCAAGATCCTAAAGCTTCGCTATTTGCTACAAATCAAGAATCTGTCCGAAAAGATGTCGAGCGTGCTTTTGGAGTCTTGCAAGCTCGATTTGCGATTGTCAAAAACCCGGCTCTTTTTTGGGATAAGGTAAAAATTGGAAAAATAATGAGAGCATGTATCATACTTCACAATATGATAGTTGAAGATTATACGTACCAAGGGCTGGAGAATTCCGTTAGGCTCGCCCTTGGAATGAAAAAGGCCAACGCTTAGCTCGCGGAGAGAGTGTGAAACTGACAGCAGAACCCACAATGTGATATGTTCAGTTTGAAATGTCGCAGATTGGAAATTGAGACGCAAGCTCTCTATGGCCGGAGATCTATGTAATGGCTGATTCCTGTAAATAAAACTCCGGATCCTTTGGCTTTTCGACAGTAGAGAAACTGTTCTACTGTCACGCTTAAGGAGCACATTGTAGATGCCAGTGTCGTCATAGTCAAGTTTCCGCACCCGCATCCAAAGAAACCTCCATTGCGCTTCGATAAAAATACTCGTGCTTACGGCAACTTTTGTTGGAAGAAACGATAAGATCTTCCCGAGCAAATCGTCATCAGAAAATCCACTGATCTTGTCCATATTGTTGAAGTTTTAGAGAATGAAGAGAAAGTTTCGAGAAGATAATTTAGTTAAGTGTTATTTCGTTAAGAAATTGTGCGTTACATAGTACTGTATATGCTAAGACGATTCAATCTAGTTTCCTAATCAGCCAAGATATGAAAAATGAAAATGATACATAGTAATTAGAGATTGGTATAAAATAACATTAATACTGAAATTATGGAATGCTAATATCTTAAAATAATTCACCAAGATTCTGTTCATGAGTTAATTGTCTGAGCCACTCGGAAGTCGGAAGTTTAGTTGCAACCAAAGGTCTCCGAACATACCTCTTAAAATTTTAATTTTGTCAAAAGAATTGCTTTACTTGCTTGTGTTATAGACCGGCCCAACACTTATCGTCAAAGATTCGAAAACATATTACTGTATGAAACTTAATATGGTTCAGATGGTAGAATATGATATTCTTGCAACAGACGTATGTAAATGAAAGTTCAAACCCTGTATATATTTGGGCATTTAAAAATATTAGGTTCAGTTAGTAGAATAAGTCTATTAAGAGCATGTCCATTGGTAGAGACTCTTTTGGGGTTGTTAAATATTTTTTAATATAAATTTTGTTCCTTTTCATTTCTAAGAACCTTTGTATTTGATTTAAACTTTTTGCTCTTCCATTAGTTGAATTTCTAGTTGAATTTCTTAAAAAAAATTAAAATAAAATTATTTTATTGTAAACAAAATAAAATTAATAAAAACTTAAATATATTACATATAAAGAAATTTGAAACATACAAGTTACATAAAAACATTTAAAATAGAGATTTGCAAATATTAAACGAAAAGAAACGCTTAGTTAAAATTTTAATTTGTGCCAAATCTTTGCCACATATGCTCCACCAAATCAGCTTGCAATTGTTGATGCATTATTTTATCGCGGACTCGATTTCGATTGGCCATAAAATTGCCGACATTTGTAGGCATATCGGTAGAGTACGTATAATCCACTGGTGCAGTTGTGTTATCTTCTCCTTGTTCGAAATCCGATACATTAAAATGAGTGTATCCATCTCTTTCTTTCTTAGAAAATACTCCAACAGAAGTATACATTATCACAGAAAAATAAATAAATATAAATGCGCACGTATATAACAAAAAAACTTACGTTATATATTAACAAAGTACGACACAAAGGATTAGGGATTTTAGATATGTCTGCGACGATGGGTTTGGGGACGGCGAAACAAGTTGGAGAAGTAACAAAAGGTAAAATTCCTTTCTTTGATATTATTCGATGAATTTGTTTCTGAAACCATCGCCAATCTTACAATCCCAGCTTTTTTCTAGGGTTTGTGCCTTTGATTCCAGTTGACCTAGTTTTTGTATATATTACACCAATTCGCAAATTTCTTGGAGAAAGTAGGAAACTCAGATTTTAGATTCAGATTCCATCGCGTTCGCATTATTTGTTAAACTGTAAGATATCAACACAAAAAGTGACACAACAAAGCACAAAGTGAGAACTGGTTTTCTATCTCTTATTGTATACTCAAAGCAAAGGTTCTTAATTACAATCTTGGATGATGGCTTTTTCAATTTGGACTTAGTCAACATAGATTATGTATTCAGATTAGAACATAACCTTTTATTCTCTGTTATTGGTTGATAGTTAAAAACCGGATCTTTCATCTTAACTTTTGACTTAGTAGGGTTTTTCTTTGTTTCTCTGTTCATTATATAATTCCGATTCTGATGACTTTCTCCTCATTTTTCAAGGTAAAATTCAAGAAAAAGAAGCAGAAAAAGTATTGAACTTTCAGAAGGCTCAATTCCATATGGACAAGATCAGTGATCTTCCGGAGGATCTGCTCTTACACATATTGTCTTTGCTTTCGACAAAGGATATTGTTGCCACAAATGGTGTATCAAAACGATGGCAATCTCTATGGAAGATGGTCCCTAAATTAAGGTTCAACGATAAAAACTACGATCAAAAGTACGAGAAGTTCCTTCATTTAGTTGAGAAATCTATGCTATTACATAAGGCTCCTGCTCTAGTTAGCCTCAAACTGAAGCTCAGTCCGAAATGTACTGCTGATGATGTCGGATTGTGGATGAAACTCGCGGTGGATCGCAATATCCGCAAGCTTAAAATCAGATATGTTTCCGGTCATGGACGCATCAGGCTATCTAAAAGACTACGCACCTGCAAAACCCTAGTTGCCTTAAAACTCAAGAACGTGGTTCTAGAGGCTTTTTCACACTTGGCAGGTTTTAGTTCACTCAGAACGCTTTACCTTGGATATGTGAAGTATTCCGGGGATGAATCTCTTCGCAATCTCGTATCAAGCTGTCCATCACTTCAACATCTTGTCGTGAAACGGCACAATAGGGACCACGTGAAGCGATTTGAGATTGTAGTGCGGTATTTGCAGAGTTTAAGGGTATATATATCACCGCTGCATGATGAAGCAGATTCAGAGGAATATGTGTTAAAGACACCTAACTTGAAGTACTTAAACATTGAAGATCATTGCACTGGTCGATGCTCCTTTGAAGATATGCCTTATCTAGAAGAAGCTAATCTTGACGTTGCCTTCACCAATTCTGATAAGATTTTTGAGTCTCTTACCTCCGTCAAGAAACTTTCTTTATGCTTAAAGAAATCAAAGGTAAGTCTAGTAACTTAAAAACCTATAATTGTGTTTAAATTGTTTCTCTCATGCATGTACTTAGAAAATTTGTGTTATGTGTAGTTACAGTATCCTGAGGGTATTACCTTCTCTCGGCTTGTTCATCTGGAGCTATGTACATGTGATGACGCAGAGTGGTTGAATCTACTCATGCATTTGCTTCGAGATTCTCCTAAACTTAGAGTCCTCAAGCTTAACGAGAAGGTAATTTATATCCCCAATTCCTCATTCAATATTTTAATTGACATGTGATTGAGAAACCAACCAAGATTTTTTTTGTCTTGCTTTTCTCAGAACCATGACTTTGTTTGTAAGTATTTCTTTCGTTCGTGGGTCCAGCAACCAAGTTATGTTCCTGAATGTTTGACTCAAAGTCTTGAAGTTTTCGAGTGGCGAAACTTCAAAGGAACGTTCAAAGAGATGGATCTTGCGGCTTACATCTTGAAGAATGGTCTTTGTTTAAAGAAGTTAGTTATCTCCCCCAAACTCGAGAGTTCAGAAGAATCTCTTGATCATCAGATTATCAGAGAAGGCTTGGTATCTTTGTTCATTGGCTCAAGTTCTTGTGAACTTAAATTTGACTGATATGAGAAAGTTATTTGTTCTTATAAATCCTGTAGCCATTTGTTTTGCTTTGCGTCTCCGTTTTATGGTTCCAACAAGAATAAAAAGAAGAATCTTTATGTTACAATGGAAACTATTTCATGAGAATAAAATTTAGCACTAGAAAGAAAAAAACCAAGTTATTTGTTGGTAGATGATTTGTACTATGATGAAACGGAACATAAGATTTTGTCCAACAATTAAAAGAATTTTTTTGATAGTATACCCTTTATCCAAAATTCTTTTTTGCCGAAGGGCCCATCTTAATGTTGGGCCGGGCCTGATGGTATCTCTTACAGAGTCGATGCTCATAAGCTATTAACCGAAGAATCGCATAGCTTTAGAGTTTAGAGGTTATTGATTTTATGATTGTTCGTCTTCATTTGATTGGATCTCCGCCGATGATTCTACAACTTCCGGTGAGTTTCGATTTACTTTCTCAATGATAGTTTCAGTACTTGTTAGGATTTGCGCCCTGTTTTTATTTCTACTGATTCTCGTCTGCTTAATGACTATACATTGGTTTGGTTCCCGTGAAAATTCCAGTGAGAGTTAAGTAAAGCGAAAACAGAGTCTGGAAAAGAAATTAAAACCCTAGGTTAGGTCTGGATTTGAAGAGGGAACATCTCTCATGGATAGGATAAGTCTATTGCCTGAAGCCCTGCTCTTGAAGATACTCTCAGAACTGCCTACTACTAAAGATGTCGTGGCGACAATGGTTTTGTCCAAGCGGTGGGAGAATCTTTGGATGCTTGTGCCAAGACTCGTGTACGATGATAGCGACAAGAAAGTCGAGTATGGGAAATTTTCGCGTTTCGTTGACAGGTCTTTGGTTCTGCACGAGGCTCCGGTGATAGAAACTCTGAATTTCAGACTTGGTAAAACCTCCTTTGGTCCTGAGGATATTCGGGTGTGGATTAAAGCTGCACATAAACGATGTGTGCGCAAGCTGATCATCGAGATCGACGGCTCTTTAAGAAAATCTCCGGCCATTCTTCCGAGGGGTTTCTACACAGACTGTAGAGTGCTCGTCGAGTTGAAGCTGAACAACGCGGTTCTCGCGAACGTTTCTTCATCTGTTTCTTTCCCGTCGCTCAGATGTCTGAACCTTTTATCCGTGAAGTACCCTGGTGATGACTTTGTCAAGAGGTTTTTATTCGGTTGTCCTGTTCTTGAGCACTTGGTTGTGGAACAATGCCGAGATGACAACGTCACCGTTTTCGCTGTTAGAGTGCCTTCTCTAAAGAGTTTACTCGTGTTGAAATCGTCCAACAGAGTTAAGAATGTTGCATTTGGGTTTGTGATTAATGCTCCTTCTTTGGAGCGCTTGGACATTGTTGATGACAAGGGTGGGTTTTGCATCGTTGAGGATGATATGCCTAAGCTTATAGAGGCAAATGTTGACGTTAATTACCTTCTTCCTGGGAAGATTCTGGGGTCTATTACTTCTACCAAGCGTCTCTACTTATGTTCATCAATCTCAAAGGTAATATCTAAAGTATCCATTCTTTGTCCTCCTATTGTATATATCCTGTGATAAAATCTGTTGCTGCTACATTGTGTAGTGTACTCATGGCGTCTCTTTTGCAGGATGAATATCCTTTTGGTAGTGTCTTCCACCGTCTTGTACATCTGACGCTATGCACATGTGAGACGGAGTGGTTGAATCTACTTCTGCGTCTGCTCAGAGATTCCCCCAGACTACAATCTCTCAAACTTGAACAGGTACACACATATATATACATTTCAACTCAATATATTCAGCTTCTTTGAGAATGTATGTATCCAAGTACAATATCTCAGGTTTGTTTCCTGTTAACTATACATCTCAGTGCCATCATACTCGGGCTCAAGAACCACGCCCGTGCTGGAGTGAACCGATTTCAGTTCCTGAATGTGTGACATCGAGGCTTGAAACTCTCGAGTGGGTAAGCTATGGAGGAGCAGAAGAAGAGAAAGAACTGGTGGCGTTTGTCTTAAGAAGCGGACACTGTGTAAAGAAAGTAACCATCTCCTCTAACTCAACCGATCCCAACAAGAAACTTGAGATGATCAAGAAGCTGTCATCGTCCCCCAGGCGCTCACCTACCTGTGAGCTTATATTTGACTGAAGCTATTAGTATCATCTTTTAGGGTCTTTTCTCATTTTCTATGCACTCTTGGACTTGAATATCACACAAACTAGGCTTGTAACGTTCCATCACGTTGGTTCATTACGTTGGTTCGGTTTCTTGATTTTAAACTATTGTTTCGGAATCATGAGGTAACATGAGAAATCATGGAGAAAAGCTTTCACAATTCATTCAATTGCTAACATACTAAATAAATCTGAATTTCCGCTCACTGTGATTACCGTCTTCTCTCTTCGTTTTCATTTTCTTGAAGAATTATCATCTTCTCTTCCACTTTTCACTCTTGAGACTATCCGGTCTCTCCACCTTAACCGGGTGAGAAAACCAGAGATTCAGCACCAACGGTAACCAACACCGTTGACAACAAGTTTTTTTTTCTCAAATCCCTTTGATACGCCCTAATATTTTTCATAAAAGGAAGTTCACCTCAAAACTTTAAAAGCTACAAGAAAAGGTGAGAACTTTGAAACCTGAAAAGAGACCGTCAATGCTGAAAATCTCCGGCGACGATTCTGCAGTGTCCGGTGAGCTTCGATTTCCTTTTTTATTATCCCCTTTCTGTAATTGTTAGGGTTCGATTGATTCGTCTCGTGTCATTTTGTGATTCTCTCGGCTGCTTAATGACTCTATTTGTTTGTTTCCTGTGAAAAAATCCAGTGAGATTCGGAAGCGAGAACAGCTCAATAATTACAGAATCTGGAAAAGGACATCGAAAAACAGGTTTTATCAATCTTTTCTGTTCTGGGTTCGAGTTGAAAGCTTAGGATTTGAAAGGGAATGGCTCACAGGGATAGTATAAGTCACTTGCCCGAGGAGCTGCGTTTGAGAATATTGTCGTTGCTCCCTGCGAAAGATGTTCTAGCCACTATGCTTTTGTCGAAACGATGGAAGTCTCTATGGATGCTGGTGCCAAGACTTGAGTATGACCATGCTATGTACCAAGATGTTGAAGACGGGAGCTTCCCGCGGGTTGTTTACAGTTCTTTAGTGCTACACGAGGCTCAGGTTCTAGAGTGTTTGCGTTTGAAACTTGACTGGAGGTCTAAAGCTCTGGATATTGGAGTATGGGTTAAAACTGCTGTTAAACGCGGTGTGCGCGAGTTGGATATCGAGATCAATAGTCCTTCCGTTTTAACTCCGGTCTCACTTCCATGGAGCTTGTATAGCGCGGGATGTAGAATCCTTGTGACACTGAAGCTAAGTAACATGGTTCTTGTGGATGCTTCTCCCTCCTTGTCAGCTTCTTTCACATCCCTGAAAAATTTGAGCCTTGTGGACATCAAGTACCCGAGTGAGTATTTTGTCGAAAATTTTCTATCCGGTTGTCCTGTTCTTGAGGAATTGGTTGTGGAACGATGTCCTGATGACAACCTGGTCGTTCTCCCTGTTTTAGTACCATCTCTAAAGACTTTAGTCTTGGGTAAATCAACAGACGTAGATGAAGACAAAGTTGCTGGGTTTGTGGTAGATGCTCCTCTGTTGGAGAGATTTGACATTCTTGATCATAACGAGGGTGGGTATTGTTACATCAGGGAAAATATGCCTGAGATTGTGTATGCAAATATCGACATTAATTATCGAGTTCTTTGGAAATTTTTGGGGTCCATTACTTCAGTCAAGCGTCTCTATCTATGTTTAACAACCAGAAAGGTAACATCTTGTTAACGATACATGCTGTCCTGTGTATATCGTTGTTTTAGATATAATATGTTGGGATTATATTGATTGTGTACTTATTATGCAGAATGCTTATCCTGCTGGTAGTGTCTTCCACCGTCTTGTGCATCTAACGCTGTGCACATGTGGGAGTAAGTGGTTGAAACTACTTGTATGTCTGCTCAGAGATTCTCCTAAGTTGCGAGTTCTCAAATTTGCACAGGTACTGTCTATTATACAACCAAATTATTCAGTGTTCTTCGATAAGGTTACTTTGTATGATAGTATTGTGCCACTGTACTTGCATATCTCAGTGCCATGTCCTTGGGGATGAAGACTATCGCCCCTGCTGGGATGAACCGAGCTCAGTTCCTGAATGTGTGTTGTCGAGCCTTGAAACTCTGGAATGGGTAAAATACGAAGGAACAAAGGAAGAGAGAGAAGTAGTAGCGTTTGTTTTTAGAAACGCAAGATGTCTAAAGAAGGCAAGTATCTCCTCTACATCTACGGACCCGGTTAAGAAACTTGAGATGCTGAAAGAGTTGTCATTTCTGCCAAGGTGTTCCAGTGCCTGTCGTCTTACATTCGACTGAAGTTTTTGTCATCCTTTAGGATGCTGAAAGAGATGGAATCTTAGGTATGTTAGAAGCTCTTAGTACTATTCCATGTTTTTTCTTTTACATATTTAGATCTTCGAGGTTGTTATGTTCTGCGCTTTAGAAGAGAGGATCATAAACTTATCTTCTACTATAATTTAGCTACAGCGTATCATTTTGTGGTTTCTGCTCCATTTCTTGTCTGTTGATTAGGTTAGACTTGTGGTTAAACAGTGTGCTGTTTACTTGTCACTGGATCTTCTTCCTCAAACCGGGTTTGTTCTCTGTTGGTGCTTGAAACAGTTACTACATTTTTAGTTTAAGTTCAACTGAAACTACTGATTTCCGGTTTAGCTTGTTTGGGTTTGATGTTGGTTCGGTTAAATTGGGCAATCTTGGTTTAGAAATCTGACAAAGAAGAAAATAGAGAAACTTCCTCACGCCGTTAGGAGATAGCATCTGGACCACGGTCAAAATGTCAAAGTTGGGTTGGAATCGACAATGCAGTTAATAAAATTTAAAACACAAATGACTATCTGTTCTGTTTTCTTTTGTTCCCAATGGTCGACTGCTTTGAGAAACACAAAATCTCTTTCCTTGACTCGATGCGCATTTACCTCTCCAGAAAATAAAAATACTAATCTGTGTTTTTAAAATATGTAAAATTAAAACAAACTCTGTTCAAGAAGATGAATTTCATTCAAATCATAGGATATTTGAGCTATACTACTACTTCACACTCCGATTCTCCAGACCGTGAAATCAACACAACAATAACACTAAAGTCTCTTCATGGCTTGACACCTCAGTTTTTTTAAGTTTTATAAACATGACACCTCAGCAAAAATAATCACTAATCAAAACATTTTATTAATACACATTATCTATTTATTTTAATTTTTAAACTTAAACCCATTAAAAACCCAAATATTTTTTTATTAATTTTTGTTTTATTTTTTATCAAACTCAAGCCCAAATAATTAATAACAGCAAATAAAAAATTATTATTTTATTTTTTGTCAAATACAAACTCAAATAAAAAATAAAAACAAATAAAAAATTAAATCATTATTTTCTTTTTTTTGCCAAAACTAAATTCAAATAATAAATAACAACAAATAGATAACAACAAAATTCTAGCTATCTGTTTGTTTGACATAGACGTATATGATTGAAAAAGTGTAGGCTCAGCATCACTCTATGCTTACATGAAACAACGCAAAAAGCCTTATGTTATAAGAAGCTCACACTTCATCAAAAATTTGAACCGATAAAAACATAACAACTTCTTAGTTTTCGCGGAAAAACACAATTATACGGAAGATAATGCAATTTTTAGTTTCGCAGGAAACTGTAATTTATTTGTTTTTGTAGGAAAGCGTGATTCTAGGCTTGACGAGAAAATGATTTTTTTTTATTGTTTTGGCAGGAATAGACGATTTCTCAGTTTTTGCAGAAAAAAATAAATTTTCGATTTTGGCAGGAAAATACAATTATTTTTTTTTTGGTTTTTACAGAAAGATGAAATTTTTTGGTTTTTGTGAAAAAACGTAGTTTCTAGGTTTTGGTGGAAAAACAAAGATTCTCGCGGGAAAATAAAATTTTAGGTTTCAAGCTTGACGAGAAAATGAATTTTTTGATTTTTGCTGGAATATGCGATTTTTCAGTTTAATAGAAAAATGAAGTTTTTTTGTTTAAACGGGAAATGCGATTTCTCGATTTTTGTAAGAAGATAAATTTTTCTGTGCTAAATTTCCAAGTTAAAGTATGTTTACAGTAACTAAAATTTAATTATTTAACTTTAACTAAAACGATATTTTAAGAGTTCAAACATAATTTTTTATTTAGTTCTAAAACAATAGCAATGATTTTGATATGAATGTTATTGATTATAGTTTGGTAGTTTTAGAAATATATGTTTATAATAAGATATTTAATGAATAAATAAATCTTATAATTTAATATAATCATATTAATTAATAATTTTTTTTAAATAGTATTTTGCTTTATATAATTACAAAGGACGATCAAATGATAATTTATTAGAGAAAATAAATTACATTTGCCATTAACATGAAGATACTAAAAATGTATTGCTTTATTCTTATATATTTTATTCATATATATACATTTATAATTTAAAAAAAAATAGAAAATATTTAATGTTTATTCAGATTTAAAACTGATAAATATATAATTTAAGCTAACAAGAAAATAAATATAATACTCATTTATATTATAAAAATAATTTTATTATATTGAAAATATATACAAAATTTAGAAAAATATTCTGCAGCATAGCGCGGATAAATACCTAGTAGAGGTAATATTAGTAGCGCTGCGCGTAATAGTTATATGCGCATGGAAATGAATTAATAGCCTTTTCATCATTGTCTAGGGAAATGGTAACATTTAAAACTTAAAAGAGCCATTGAGATTCTCTGTGTCTACGGAATATGAATAGATTGATGAAATTTTGGAAGTTGTACCGCTCAAATCACTTTAAAGGTTCTTATTTTAAATGGAGTGTGTGTCAGTGTCGAGAATCACCGGAAAGTTTAAGGTATTTGCCTATTCAGTGGCTTTCTTATGGTTCTCAGTCGTTCTTGTTTGAATTCAAAGTAGTATTTTCGTGACTAGTCTTTTCCGGGTAGTTTTAGTGGTCGTTGAGTTTGGATTTCTTTCAATATTGTGGTTTGCTTTGACGTTTCGTCGTTTCTTTGACTTATTGGTTTGGTTCATGAGAAAAACAAACACTTACAATATCACATCGCTTGTTGGTATTTTCGAGTTGAAAGTTTGGGATTCGAAAGGGAATGGCTCAATAGGGATAAGATTGATTCAAAGGAGTTTATCCGTTGATATTCTTTGCTGAGTTTGAATTTCGTTTGTGTCTCTCTTTATTTGTCGTTTCTGTACATGGTTCGTTGCTTATGATTATTATTGTTTCTCATAATCCTTGATTTTCTTGTCAATGTTTTCAGGCCTTAGTCTCCGGTTTCTGGCTTCTGGTTTGAAAGGGAGATCTGCCATATCTATATGGATAGGATAAGTCCGTTGTCTGAAGAGATACGCTTGAGAATACTGTCGTTTCTGCCTACGACAAAAGATGTTGTGGCCACAATGCTATTGTCAACACGATGGAAGTTTCTTTGGACGTTAGTGCCAAAACTCGTATACGATGATCATAGCTATCAGGATACTGAGCATGGAAGGTTTTCGCGCTTTGTGGACAGGTCTTTGCTTTTGCACAAGGCTCCGATCCTAGAAACTTTGCATTTCAAAGTTAGTCATACCTGTGGTGGTACTGATCTTCCAGTATGGACTAGAGCTGCAGATAAACTCTCCGTGCGTGAGCTGGTCATCGAGGTCGGCAGCTGTACTGATATTGAAGCTCTAGAGACAAGTAAAAGGAGATTTTTCATGGGCTGCCCTCCTTTTATTGAAAATTGGCATCCTGCCACACTTCCAAGGAGTTTGTACACGGGCCTGTGTAGAATACTTGAGATATTGAAATTAAATAACGTGACTCTTGCTGACTTTTCTTCACCGGTGTCTTTCCCCTCCCTTAGAGTCTTGAAGCTTGACTCCCTGCGTTTCCTTATTCTTGAAGATTCGACTGTAAAACAATGTCGCGATGACAATGTGACCATTTTCACCGTTGAAGTGCCTTCTCTCGTGTTTGAGTGCATGTTTGTGTACGTTGGAGAGACATGGAGATGATGCATATGGGTTTGTGATAGACGCGCCTAAATTGCAGCGGTTGGTCATTTGTGATTATTGGGGTGGATTTTGTGTCATTAAGAATGATATGCCTGATATTGTAAGGGTGTCTATTGAAGCTCGTTATTATTGTGTTGACAAGTTGCTGGGTTCTATGACTTCAGTCAAGAATCTCATATTATGTTTGGACCGCTATTTAAGGGTAAACAACTCTCTTTTTATGTTACGGCTTTTCCACCAAGAATAGTTGGCACTAACGTTTCTCGTCAATTTAATGTTTGGCTCTTTTGCAGGATCAATTATCTGCTGATAATGAACTCGACTCCCTTGAAAGTTTAGAGTTAGGCACGTGTTATGCGGATTGTTTCGATGATCTTGTGTATATGCTAGGAGCTTCCCCTAACCTAAAGTCTCTAGAACTTGTTCAGGTACGTACCCTGAATTATTCATTTGCCTTTGACACAGTACATATGTTGTTCTAATCCATTCTGCTTCTGTCAGTGCCATGAGTTTGATGGATTTCGCCGTCCGCGCCCCCCCTGGACTGAACCGAGTTCAGTCCCAAAATGTCTGTTATCGAGTCTTGAAACTCTGAAATGGGGGGACTTTGAAGGTACATTACATGAGAAACAAGTGGCAGCATTCATCTTAAGAAACGGAAGCTGTCTGAAGAAGGTAACCATCTCCTCTGCATCCACTGACAGCGACAAGAAACTTGAGATGGTCAAGGAGTTGTCGTTTATGTCAAGGAGTTCACCTACCTGCCATCTTACATTCGACTGAAGTTTCGGTCAAGTTAACATATTGGTGGATGGTGTTTGATTTGAATCTTGGAGAAGTCATCTGTGTTTCTTATGCTTTTCTTTTCAGAACTTGGAACTTTGAATTTGGTATCCAATTTCATCGACTTTAATATAAAACTGAAACCATAGCAAGCCATTCGTGTACTTCGGTTGGGTTTTTGTTTCCTTTATTTTGAAGAATGTACATAACATTATGTCAGCTTGACATCGAGAATTTATGAAACTACTGATTTCCGGTTAAGCTTCTTTTGGTTTGATATTCGTTCGGTTGATTTGGGCAAGCTTTGGTTATATAAATTAGACAAAGAAGACCAAATAGAAGATGATGAATTGGAAACTTTTTTCTTCACGCAGTTAGAAGATTAAAAATGAGTATCAGATTTTATTTTTTTTAACTAGTGTTTTGCCCACGCTACGCGTAAATTGTATAGTTATATTGTAGTTTTATAAAAGGTTGTCAATTAATTTTGTGTTTAATATTGTAATAAATTATAGAGTAGTATATCTGCATGTGATTTTTAGATATAATCGAACGAAGTAAGTATCAGAAGAATGTATATATATATGTGAAAAGATGATCGAAATTTTTGTATAATAATTTGAAAGTAGATTAATATACCTTTTGGCTTAGTTAAACTTTTTTATAAGAGTTAATGCATGTTTTTGCAAATATGAAGGGTAAAGTTTGACATTTTTGTATAATAATTTGATCTGTAATTTTGTTATATTTTTGTTTATGTAAATAGTATCCACATGAACTATATATTATATTATAAATATATTGTCTAAATTTGGACATCTTATGTTATAATGCTATTTCTTTAGTGAACATCATGAATATTTTTTATACTTTCAAAATATTTTGCGTAAGCTTACTTTTCGCTTGATACTTTTAAAAAGAAGAACTCAATCCTTACTCTATTTTTGTTTTATATTGTGTATTAGGATTTTGTTTTTAATTTTCATATAGTATGCATTTCTCTACTTATCAATTTTTTAAGATTCAGTATGTACATAGAATTTTTGTAATTAGTTCATATATTCAACGAAGAAAACAAATGGCAATTAATAATGAACTTTTTTATTATATGAGTTCTTTATTGATTGATATAATATTTGTTTGATAGTTTAGCTAGCTCAATTATTTGCCAATATTGGTGAATAGTGTGAAATTTATCGTTATATATTATTTGAAAAAAAAATCTTTTCAGTTTTATGTTTCATGAAATTTTGCAAATAAAAATTAAGAAACGGTGAGTAACTGTCTTTAATCACCGGTTTTTTAGTTAGATTTTTACTTCAGTTTTTCTATAATATCGGATTACAACGAACAATATGAAACTCTATATCAGCTTTAGAAACTTGAAATCTGTTATAAGTCAAAAAATTACAATTGTATAAATTAATTCTCTCTAGACGAAAGAAAACTGAGTCACTCTCCAGTTCCAACAATACTATAATTCAAACTCATTCTACTTGATTCACATTATAAATATAAATGCAAAACAGTTGTGAGATTGTATTTTTATGTTGTGTATAACAATCTCAAGCATGAGACACATTAGACTTCATTTGTGATAGAGTTGTGTATTATTTATACCATATGTGGTTCATCGCTATGTCTTTTTTTTTGACATCCTCATTGCTGCGTCTTTTGGATTTCCAAATATTTATGCTCCACTTATTTAATTTTTATTATTTATCACCAGTTTGGTTGTCATTAATTAATAAGTAAAATTTGTGTTTAGTGACGGCTGATTCCGTTTCTGGTGTGTCAGAGGCGAGATGATTGGAAACCGAGAAGACGATGACTCCATAAAATAAGCTTTTGTTTAAGCTGTATAATTGAGTTTTAATGTAATTTGTTTTCAGTTTATTTTTTTTAGCTTTGTTTTTTTATTGAGAATTTAAGAATTATAAAAGATTTTTTAGGTAAAATTTGAAGAAAGTTTGATTAAGAAATTATTTAATAAAATGGCTTTAGATTATTGGTTGGAGAAGATGACATAACAGTTTTGAAATCTACCATTGGTTAATTATTTTTGCTGATGTGGTATATTGTCTTATTCTTATTGGTTAGATTTTTTATAATTTAACGAAAAAATTTTGATTAATAAATTATTTAATAAAATGGTTTTATATTATTGGTTGGAGAAGATGACATAGCAGTTTTGAAATCTATCATTGGTTAATTATTTTTGCTGATGTGGTACATTGTCTTATTCTTATTGGTTAGTTTTTTTATAATTTAACGATGTGGCAATTTATTATATTCTTATTGGCTGATTATTTTTGCATATGTGGCATCTCTTAGAGAACAGGAAATCTATCCCATTTATAAAAAAATCTTTTCAGTTTTATGTCATGAAATTTTGCAAATAAAAATTAAGAAACGGTGAGTAACTGTCTTTAATCACCGGTTCTTTAGTTAGGTTTTTACTTCAGTTTTTCTATAATATCGGATTACAACGAACAATATGGAACTCTATATCAGCTTTAGAAACTTGAAATCTGTTATAAGTAAAAAAATTACAATTATATAAATTAATTTTCTCTAGACGAAAGAAAACTGAGTCGCTCTCCAGTTCCAACAATACTATGATTCAGACTCATTCTACTTGATTCACATTATAAATATAAATGCAAAACACTTGTGAGATTGTATTTTTATATTGCGTATAACAATCTCAAGCATGAGACACATTAGACTTCATTTGTGATAGAGTTGTGTATTATTTATACCATATGTGGCTCATCGCTATGTTTTTTTTTTGACATCCTCATATTGCTACGTCTTTCGGATTTCCAAATATTTATGCTCCACTTATTTAAGTTTTATTGTTTATCACCAGTTTATTGTCATTAATTAATAAGTAAAATTTGTGTTTAGTGACGGCTGATTCCGTTTCTGGTGAGTGAGAGGCGAGATGATTGGAAACCGAGAAGATGATGACTCCATTAAATAAGCTTTTGTTTAAACTTTATAATTGAGTTTTAGTGTAATTCGTTTTCAGTTTTTTTTTAGCTTTATTTTTTTATTGAGAATTTAAGAATTATAAAAGCTTTTTTAGGTAAAATTTTAAGAAATTTTGATTAAGAAATTATTTAATAAAATGGCTTTAGATTATTGGTTGGAGAAGATGACATAACAATTTTGAAATCTACTATTGGTTAATTATTTTTGCTGATGTGATATATTGTTTTATTCTTATTGGTTAGTTTTTTTATAATTTAACGAAAAATTTTGATTAATAAATTATTTAATAAAATAGCTTTAAATTATTGATTGGAGAATATGACATAACAGTTTTGAAATCTATCATTGGTTAATTATTTTTGCTGATGTGATATATTATCTTATTTTTATTAGTTAGTTTTTTTTTAATAATTTAACGATGTGATAATTTGTTATATTGTTATTAGTTGATTATTTTTACCTATATGACATCTATGAGAAAGCATGAAATTTCCTTTTATATAAATGAGATATGTAAAATCAAAATATTACATAGATTTAATTCGAACGTGGGAACGAATTAATAAATTTCTCATCATTTTGAATGTTCGTTTCTCTAAGAGAAGCCGGAAGGCCTTTTGGGGAAATGAGTCTCTGTGAGTGACTATGGAATCTGAATCGGTCGATGAAATTTTGGAAGTTGCACCGCTCAAATCACTTTAGGGTTCCTACTTAAAATAAAAATTGGTGTCAGTAATGAAGAAATTGTTCCTCTTCTCCGTTGAGCGAGAACTATCGGAGAGGCTTCAGGTACAGTATTTGCCTATTCAATGGCTTTCTTCTGATTCTAAGTCGTACTTGTTTGAATTTTAAGAAGTAGTTTCGTGAATAATCTTTTCCGGTGGATGATTTCGAATTTCGTTTGCTTTCTCTTTCAACTATGTGGTTTTCTCGTTTCTTAGGACCGTGTACCATTTAACTTATTTGTTTGGTTCATAAGAAAAACACACGCTTACGAATTCGCATCCCTTGTTCGTATTTTTTTGATGTTTTTCAGGCTTTGGTTACTGGTTTAGGGGTTCTAGGCTTTGACAGCTAAATCTGCGGAAGCTGAAAGCTTGAGATTCGAAAGGGGATATCTCTCTCATGGATAGGTTAAGTCAGTTGCCAGAAGAGCTGCTCTTGAAAATACTGTCACAGCTACCTTCTACTAAAGATGTTGTGGCCACAATGGTTTTGTCTAAAAGATGGCTTCCTCTTTGGAAGTTGGTGCCGAAACTCGTATACGATGATCATAGATACCAGAGTATTGAGTATGGAAGGTTCTCGCGCTTTGTAGACAGGTCTTTGCTTTTGCACAAGGCTCCGATCCTAGACTCTTTGCATTTCAGAGTTGGTCATACCTCTGGTGTTGCTGATCTTCCACTATGGACTACAGCTGCAGATAAACACTCTGTGCGTGAGCTGGTTATCGAGATCTCCAGCTCATCTACTGCATCTCCAGCCATTGTTCCAAGGAGTTTATATTCCATGTGTAGAATGCTTGTGACCTTGAAGCTACAGAGTGCGACTCTTGCGGATGCTGCTTCCTTGCCTTCTTTCCCATCCCTCAAAAAATTGAGCCTTGTATCCGTAAAGTACCCAGGTGGTGACGAATTTGTCAGCAAGCTTTTATCCACTTGTCCTGTGCTTGAAGACTTGGCTGTGGAGCAATGCGCAGATGACAACGTGACCATTTTCACTGTTAAAGTTCCTTCTCTCAAGTGTGCATCCTTACGAAAACCATTCGCCAGACGTTCTGTAGATGAAGGGATTGTGATAGATGCTCCTTCTTTGGAGTACTTGGAGGTTGTTGATTCAAGTGGTGGGTTTTTCGTCATTGAGAATGATATGCCTTGTATTACTAAGGCAGATGTTGTTCTCACTCATCCCGCGGAGATTCTGAGTTGTATTACTTCAGCCAAGTTTCTCAATCTATGTTTACCATACTCAAAGGTAATATCTTCTTAGCTACACTTGCTACTTTTTTGTATCGTTTTACCGTCTTCATCCAATTATTGGACAAAGTGGGTATTTTTGTGAGCAAACTTGTGGTCACCTCAGTACATTTTGTGTGTACTTAACTCTGTTTTGTATTGCAGGATGCATATCCTGCTGGTGGTGTCTTCCGCAGACTAGTAGATTTAGAGATATGCACATGTGAGACAGAATGGTTGGATCTACTTATGCGTGTGCTCAGTGATTCCCCTAATTTACAATCTCTCAAAGTAAAACAGGTATGCACATATATTCAACAATGTCTTAATTAATTTGATAACGTTATTGTCCAATATTTAATCAGGATCCTGTTTATATCAGTGGCATTGCCTTCGAGATGAAAAGCTGCGCCCGTGCTGGAATGAACCGAGCTCAGTTCCTGAATGTTTGTCATCGAGTCTTGAAACTCTTGAATGGGGCAAATTCGAAGGAACAAAAGAAGAGGAAGAACTGGTGAAATTTATCTTAAGAAATGGAAGCTGTTTGAAGAAGGTGACTATTTCCTCTAAACTTTCCGACTCTGACAAGAAACTTGAGATGCTTAAGAAGTTATCGTTGTCGTTCAGGCGTTCACCTATCTGTCAGCTTTCATTCGACTGAAGCTACAGCCAGACATGTCAAAGTAACATTGTGTTTGGTCTGAATCTTAGATAAGCAATTATGACTTTTTATGTTTTTTTTTTTCTCTACATTGCTAAATCTTTCTTGATACTACTTCCACAAGTTTTTTTTCTCTTTGCATTTCAAAGTTGGTCAAACCTGTGGTGCGGTAGATATTCCAGTATGGACTAGAGCTGCAGATAGACTCTCCGTGCGTGAGCTGATTATCAGCATGGGTTTTAGTGTATCTCCAGTCATACTTCCAAGGAGTTTGTACACCATGTGTAAAACGCTTGTGACGTTAAAACTAAAATACGTGGGTCTTCCGGTTTTTTCTTCACCGGTGTCTTTCCCATCCCTCAAAACGTTGAACCTTGTATCCGTGAAGTACCCTGGTGATGACTTTGTCAAGAGGTTTTTATTCGGTTGTCCTGTTCTTGAGACCCTGTTTGTTGTGCAATATCCCGGTGACAATGTCACCGTTTTCGCCGTTAGAGTGCCGTCTCTCAAGACTTTAATGATGTTTAAATCACTAGACGGTACAGACAGAAATGCGAATGATGCAGATGGATTTGCAATAGACGCTCCTTCTTTGGAGGTCTTGTACATTTGTGGTCGGTTTGGCGGATTTGGTGTCATTGAGAATGAAATGCCTAATCTTGTAATGGCAGATATTGATGCTCGTTGTGGGTGTTATAGCAAGGTTATGGGCTCTATAACTCCAGCCAAACGTCTCCATTTACGTTTCCTCTATCCAAAGGTAAATACAGTAGTATGCTGTTTAGTAGTAGTGGGATCTCTTTGGATCTAACATTGCTCATCTACTTAATGTTTGTCTCTTCTTTTGCAGGATGTCCATCCTGTTGGTAATGTCTTCCACCGTCTTAAACATTTAAAGATGTCCAGGTGTGGAACAGAGTGTTTCAATACGCTTATGTGTCTGCTCAGAGATTCCCCTAAACTTAAATCTCTCGAACTTAAAAAGGTACACATAGATCTGAACTATTCATTTTCCTTTTACACACAGTACATAGGCTGTTATAATTCACTCTACTTTTATCAGTGCCATCCCCTTCCCAATGAACCGCGCCGCTTCTGGACTGAACCGAGCTCAGTTCCAGAATGTCTGTTATCGAGTCTTGAAACTCTGAAATGGGTGAAATATGAAGGAACTGAAGAAGAGAAAGAAGTGGCAGCATTCATCTTAAGAAACGGAAGCTGTTTGAAGAATGTAACCATCTCCTCTACATCCACTGACCGCGACAAGAAACTTGAGATGATCAAGGAGTTGTCGTTTTTGTCGAGGCGTTCACCTACCTGTCATCTTACATTCGACTGAAGTTTGGGTCAAGTTAACATATTGTTGGTTGGTGTTTGATCGGAATCTTAGATATAAAGCTATCAGAGAGTTTCTTATGTTTCAAATGTGCTATGACTCTACGTGATAATGTTTTTGTACTAGAAGGAAGAACGACACATGCGCAATAATATTATTATCAACTTATCATCTTGTGATTTATATTTCTTCTTTTTCTTTCACACCTTCTCCTTCTTCATGGTTTTTGTCTTACACGACTTCTTCTTCTTCTTCTTCTAATGAATTTTGTAGCACTAAAAAAATGCTTCTATTTCTTTATAACATTTTTAGAGGCATTCTGTAGAAGCTTCTAATTTTAAAAAAATGAAAATCTATTTTAAAATATCTATTGGGATTCTGAAAAACAATAAACTAGGATTTTTCGGCCTAGGGGGGTGGGAATCCCTTATTTTATTTTTAAATCAGCGGGAACGCTTCCTAATCCTCTTACACCATTTCAGGAGAAGTAACCAAGGTTTTAGGTATTTGAACATTCCTTGCGAATTCTCTTATGGCTTCTCTTCTTCGTTTTTTGTTTGGAAACTGAAAGTAAACATGAATCGACTTCTACCACTGTTGTTTCGCATCGATTTCTGTGGTGGTGGGTTTCTTTTTCTCGCTAGGATTTTGCTTCTTTCGCATTGATTGATTCTCTCTGTTTATGGAATCTGAATATTGATGAAATCTTTGAAAGTCGCACCTCTCAAATCACTATTATTCGCATTTTTCTGTGAGTTTCTTCTAATTATCAGTCTAATTTTGTAAGAGTCAGTTCATGAATAGTGTCTTTTCTAGTTAACATTTCAGCGCTCGTTTGGATTTCATATGCTTCTCTTTCTACAATTGTTTGGTTCCTGAGAATCTCACATCTCTTGTTCGTAATTTTGATGTTTTCAGGGTTTCGTTGTTGGGTTTTGAAAGCTTTGGGATTCGAAAGGGAATATCTCTTATGGATTTGATAAGTGAATTCAATGAAGCGCTGCTCTTGAGAATACTCTCACAACTGCCTACTACAAAAGATGTTGTGCGCACAATGGTTTTGTCAAGACGATGGCACTCTCTTTGGAAGGTGCCTAAACTCGTGTACGACGATGAAGGCACTGAGTATGGAAAGTTCTCGCGCTTTGTGGACAGGTCTTTGATTCTGCACAAGGCACCAGTAGAAACCCTGCATTTCAAACTTGTTCAAAACTCTGGTGTTGCTGAAATTGGAATATGGATCACAATCGCAGCTAAATGCAGTGTGCGTGACCTGAGCATCGATATCGACTGTTCTTCCAGTACCACGCCAGTCAAAATTCCATGGAGTTTCTATTATAGAGCATTTCAAATGCTAGTGGCATTGAAACTAGCGAGTGTGGTTCTTGCGTCTAGTTCCTTGCCTTCTTTCACATCCCTCAAAAAACTGGGCCTTGTATCCGTAAAGTACACAGGCGCTGATGAATTTGTCAAGAGGCTTTTATCAAGCTGTCCTGTTCTTGAAGACTTGGCCGTGGAGCAATGTAAAGATGACAACGTGAGCGTTTTCTCTGTTAACGTCCCTTCTCTCAAGAGTGCATCCTTCTCAAAATCATCATCCAGATATGGTGATGAAGGGATTGTGATAGATGCTCCTTCTTTGGAGTACTTGGAGGTTGTTGATTCAAGTGGTGGGTTTTTCGTCATTGAGAATGATATGCCTTGTATTGTCAAGGCAGATGTGGTCGTCACTCACCCCGGGGAGATTCTGAGTTCTATAACATCAGTGAAGCGTCTCATTTTATGTTTACCATATTCAAAGGTAAATATCTTCTTAGCTACACAGTGCTCTTATGTATTCCATCATTGGTGTTTTTGTGAGCAAACTTGTGGTCACTAACATTTCGTACGTACTTAACTTTGTTTTGCACTGCAGGATGCATATCCTGCTGGTAGTGTCTTCCGCAGTCTTGTAGATTTAGAGATATGCACATGTGAGACAGAATGGTTGAATCTACTTATGCGTATGCTCAATGATTCCCCTAATTTACAATCTCTCAGGCTAGATCAGGTATATATACATGTATTTCACTGCAATTCAGTTCACAATGTCTTAATCTATCAAATACTTATCAGCATCCTGTTTATATTAGTGGCACTGCCTTCGAAATGAAGAGACGCGCTCGTGCTGGAATGAACCGAGCTCAGTTCCTGATTGTTTGTCATCGAGTCTTGAAACTCTGAAATGGGTGAATTTCGAAGGAACAAAGGAAGAGAAAGAAGTGGTGAAATTTATCTTAAGAAGCGGAAGCTGTTTGAAGAAGGTGACTATTTTCTCTAAAACCTCTGACACTCACAAGAAACTCGAGATGATCAAGGAGTTGACATTGTCGACCAGGCGTTCACCTAACTGTCAGCTTGTATTCTCCTGAATGCTACAGTACGACATGTCAAGTAACATCATGTTGGTTCTTGTTTGGTATGGATCTTAGATAAGCTAGTATTAGCCTTTATGTTTTTTTTTTATTCCATATTTTTAGCTCTTTGAATTCCTTATTTTCTTTCACTAAGTCTCTACCTACTAAAAGAAAGAAAGAATCATAAGAACTATATGCCCATCATTACCATCTTTGATCTTATGGTCTTTTCCCCCATTTCGTGTTTACATGAGTACTCCACACAAACTGGTTTGTTTATAGATGGTTTAGAGTTTAGACCTTTGGATCTATCCCATTACTTTGCGTCACAAACATATAAAATGATAAATTATTTCAAGAGATTTTCTTTTATAAAAAACTAAGCGGAAAGGCCATTAGAGACCACCGGATTATATATTAATCACATATATAAAAAAAAACTCTTCCCTTCAAAATTCAGATTTAGGGTTTTTCTGTTGAACATGAGCAAGTTGCTGTAAGTGTTTTTCGATTCTGTCAATCTTCTTCACGATGATTCGTCTTAATTATTTGTTTGATCTAAAAGGAATTATCAGTTCATAATTATAATCCATTAAATTACTTTCTCATACTAAACATCTCCGCCGGTGCCGTGTTTATTAGGGTTTCTGTACGTATTAGGGTTTTCTTTGTTATTCTCGGCTGCTTACTAACTATTTGTTAGGTTTTTCAGCTCGTTAGGGACAATCAGACATGAAATCCTAGCTTTTTATTTGAAAGGAATGCCTCGTATTGATTGGATAAGCGAGTTGCCTGAAGAGCTGCTCTTGAGAATACTGTCTTTACTCCCTGCGAGAGATGTTGTGGCCACAATGGTTTTGTCCAAGCGGTGGCAGTTTGTATGGATGCATGTGCCAAGACTCGTATACGACGATACCTATCAGGGTATTGAGCATGAAAGTTTTTCGCGGTTTGTAGAGAGATCCTTGCTTTTGCACGAGGCTCCAGTTCTAGAGCTTCTGCATTTCAAGCTTCGTAAAAGTTCCAATGTTGTGGATATTGGATTATGGACTAGGAGTTTAAGTAGACGCCATGTGAGTAAGCTGGTTATCGAGGTTGACAGTTCTTCTTGTACGGCTCCAGCCATCCTTCCGAGGAGTTTGTACACGGCGTGTGGAATGCTTGTGACTTTGAAGCTAAACAACGCGGTTCTTGTTGATTTTGATTCTTCCTCGTTTTCTTTCCCATCCCTCAAATCTTTAAGCCTTGTATCCGTGGAGTACCCAAACCAGGAGTTCGTCGACAGTCTTTTATCCCGTTGTCATGTTCTTGAAGATCTGGATGTGGAATAATGTCTAGATGACAACGTGGCTACTGTTTTCAACGTCAGAGTGACTTCCCTAAAGAGATTACTCTTGGATAAATCAGAAACGAGAGATACATCTGGTGAAGATGTGTATGTGATAGATGCTCCTTCTTTGGAATACTTGGGTATTTATGATCATTGGGGTGGATCTTGCGTCATTGAGAATAATATGCCTAGCATTGTTGAGGCAACTCTTTACGTCAGTTATGAGCATCCTGTGAACATTCTTGGTTGTATTACCTCAGTCAAACGTCTCGATCTATGTTTATCAACCTCAAAGGTGACTGCATGCACTCTTCTTGCTTTTCTTTCACGAATAGTGGCTTCTCTTGTGAGCAAATCTGTTGCCACTAACTCCTAATTACAGTATTATTCTATGTTTTATGCAGCATTTGTATCCTGTTAGTACTGTCTTCCACCGTCTTGTGCATCTAGAGCTATGCACATGTGAGAAGGCATGGTTAAAAGTACTTATGCGTATGCTAAGAGTTTCACCTAATTTACAATCTCTCAAACTCCAACAGGTTCGCTCCGAATTATTCAGTTTACTTTGATTAATATATATATATATATATATATATATATGTGTGTAAATTTCTAATGCACTTTATCTCTTTGCCGTCAATTTATCTCAGTTCCATGACATTGATTTTGATGATCGTCCGCGCCCGCGCTGGAGGGAACCAGGCACAGTTCCTGAATGTCTGTCATGGACCCTTGAAACTCTTGAATGGATAAGATATGAAGGAACCAGAGAAAGAGCTTGTAGCATTCATCTTAAGAAATGCAAAATGTTTAGGGAATGTAACTATAAGCCTTGAATCCACTAAACGGAACAAGAAGAAACTTGAGATGATCAAGGAGTTGTCATTTCTGTCAAGGTGTTCAAGTACCTGTCATCTTATATTTGATGAAGTTGCTGCTGAGTGTGATTCGGAGAGTTGATGTGAATCTTTAGATATGTTTTTTCCTCTCTCTTTTTTTTTTTGGTTTTTTAGATAATCTTTAGATATGTTGAAAGATTATGTTTAGAGAGCATGCTCATGGATGCGATACTCTTAAAGTATCTCATAAATATTAATAAATATTTTTTAATCAAAAAAAGATTTAAACCATAAAAAGAATGTTACCTATTATAAAAGTATCTCGCAATTGAGAAGTACTTCTCAAACAAAGATCGGTTCTCTCTCTTCTCTTTTTTTTCAATTTTTTCAATTATTTAGTTTCTAAGATATCCATCTAGAATTTGCCGATGGACATGTTTTAGAACTCTTTAAATATAAACAACTAAAAAAGAATCACACTTTAAAAATGTTTAAAAACTACTATGGTATTTATAAGTCATGCTATTGCATTTTCTAAAAAAATTCATAATTTCAAATGTTTTATTATAATATATGTGAAAACATAAAGCCCATCATAAGTTTAATGCATTATTATACACTTGATTAATTAGTTTTATCAGATCAATCTCTCCCCTCGATTTATATCCATTTCGTTTACAATCTTGATTTATCAGGCACTGCTCCTTTTTCCCTTTTTTGAATTAAAATTGTACTCCGGTCTTATGATTTCGGGAAAGAGTTTTGGGTTATAACAGACTATTAGAGTATCTTCAATAGTGAAATACTCTTTAGAATTCTCGAACAAAAAAAATATTATTATTTTAATATAATTATATTTTAAAATTAAATTTTAATTTTAATAAAAACTTTATGTCAATAAATAAAAAACAAGTATTACGAGGAAATCTCACTTCTCTCTTATTGGTATCTCAAATGATAACTTCTCCTTCTTCTTTTTCTTATCTTTCTATTTTTTAAATATTTTTATTGTTGAGAACCCCTTTGAAGGGGATGCTCTTAGTTAGATACTCCAATTGGTATATAAACAAGTATTATATTAATTTAAAAAAATGAACCAATCACAAAGACATAAAGGGTTAGATATGTTAAATGAAAGAGGGATCTCATCTTTTCTCTCATTTTTGTAACATTTTATTATTTTTAGAAACTGAGATACCCTTTCTCACCCCGTTAAAGATCCTTTTAGGAGGTTTCTCAGAAATGTTGAATGCCAGGTTAATTGATGAATCTGTTTTCTCTCTTCTTTAAGCCATTCAGGCACATCTGCAATAATTCCAAGGCCAGATCTAGTGGCGTTTCAGGCGGAAGTGGTGGTGAAGGCAAAGACAGACTGCTCTGGTTTCGCGATCTTGGTAAATATTGCAGTGGATAGTTCTCCATGGCTGTGATTCAAGCCAATCAGGTACTCGAAGACCAGAGTTAGATCAAATATAGAAATTTTGGAACTTTCTACGACGATAATGGTGGTCTTGAAGCTGCTCGTTATGTCTGTAATAATATCTTCAACCATTTTTGAGAAATATCAGCGGAAACACAAAGAGTTATGACCAAAGAGACAATTCAAAGAGCCTTTCATGCGACTGAAGAAGGATTCACTTCTATTGTTTTGGAGCTTTGGAGTACAATGCCAAACTTGGCAACTGTTGGCACTTTTCTGTTTAGTTGGAGTGATCTATCAAAGCACTCTTTTCGTGGCAAGCTTCGGAGATTCACTAGTTGTTTTAAGGAAAAAAACTTGACTAGTTCTGTGAACTTAATGAGAAAACAATGCGTGCATGGCATGATCTGCTTCAGTTCTTTCTTGAGAGAATTTACATAAATATTTACTGACAACTAAAACATAAGACAACAGGTTTTCACAGAATCTAAGCCATGAACAAATCAATATTGTTAATGTTATCTAATTGAGACGAATCTGCCAATAATATAATCTGACTAAAAAGAAGTATTTTTTCATACAATATTCGGAATGGCATACATTAATTTTTGAATTTTTCACTTGAATCACATATAATTGATCCTAAACAGCTTTCACAATTTCTTCTTCTCGGATGATAAATGGTAAAACATCAGGTTCTATAAAAGCTTTTTGAATCGAGATCCTGAAGAAAAACTAATCTTTTAAATAAAGAATTGATGATAAAGATCAAAAGAAGATCAATGAAAAAATTTAGGGTCAGATTAACAACAAAATTCTGTCTCAAATGTGATAAAAATGTTAAAATTATGGTATGAGCTTTAAAATAAAACAATATATTCAGATTATTTAAAATATTAATAAATATTTAAAAAAATACAATATGCGCGGATACAAAATTTAGTTTCTAATTATTCATGCAGAAGAAACAATTGAAATACTACATATATCTTTCCTTTGGTTTATCTGCCTCATTAACTTATATTGATTTATCTTATGAAATCATTATTCAATTGCTTGGATTGAAATCATTTTTACTGAATTAAAACCAATATTTAATTTATTTGGTTGGTTGGTTTAAAAATTACCAAATGTATAAAGGGATTTAAATATTATATTATATTAATTGTTTTGCTAATTTGTTTTGTCAAGGATAAAACTCTCATGTTATTTTAGTAATTACGATCACAAAAAATAAGGATCAGTTTGTTAATTATAAAAAGCAAAATTATTTATTTTTACTTTCAAAGACATCATTTATTTTTGAGTATCTCGATCTTAGATCAAACTTTTGATTAAAAATCTATTTTAAATTTTAAATATACGGAAAAAGATCTATTTATTCTCATATGATCATATGGATATAAATTCTTGTTTTTGGTCACTTTAAGTTTATTGGCATTTTAAAATATTTTCAGAATTTGATCAGTATCATGTTTATATTAGTGGCATTGCCTTCAAAATAATTCTATAAATTAATAAAAAATTTTGAAGCCTAAACACTATTAATTTATAGAAATTTTACTAATGGGATAGATCTAAAGGTATAAACCATCTATAACCAAGCCTGTTTGTGTGGAGTATATTCATGTAAACACGAAGTGGGGCAAGGACCATATGATCAAAGATGGTAATGTTGGATATATAGTTCTTTCTTTCTAATAGTAGGCAGAGACTAGTGAAAGAAAATAGAGATAAGTTGTATAAAAAAAATCAATTTGAAGAAGACAAAAAAACAATACTAGACATATGTTTTAGTAAATTATCGTAGTTAGATATTTACATAAAATTTTATATAATATTTATTAATTTATTAGTGGGATTATATCACTATAAGAAAATATATCTATAGCCAGAATTTTGTCACAATATTTTCGTGGCAACTATTTTTAACCACAAAATTGTCACAAATTTACCACAAAAACATTTTTCCTAAACTTTATGGCAATTTGTGACAAATTCGTGTCAAATTTTGTGGCTTTTTGTGACAAACTTTGCCACCAATTGACACAAAGCTATTCGTTTCAAAATTTGTCATATATTGACAGAAATTTTTTTGTGGCAAATTTTCCAGGACATAGAATCGTGAGGATTTGTGGCTAATTAGCCACAAATTTTGGTCTCCCTAAGTTGTAACAAAATTTAATACCGACTAATCAGCTCAAATAATTTGAGGTGTAGATATTTTTAAACATTTGCCACGAATTGCCATATATTTGCCACGAATTGCCACAACATTGCCACGAATAAATAATGGTTATTCGTTCCCGTGTGCTTTGAGTCTGCAAAGTTGTAATGTCGTATCATATCAGAAGGCAGAGAATATATTTTGTTTTTGCCACAAAATAAGTTATGGCAATTTGTGGCAAAATAACACTATATATATAAACTTCATCTACGTAATTGGTGGCATATAAAATCAAAAAAAAAATGAAAGGAAAAGATGTCTGGTTTTTTTGAATCGAGAGAGTAGATGTATACACGTTTAGATATACAACAAAGAGGTGTATCAAATGAATTTGTTGAGGGAATAAACATATTTTTGTCTTTCGTTTGTAATCAACCGTCTTATAAGGAGAGAGGAAATTTACTGTGTCCGTGTTTAAAGTGCAAAAACCAAAAGCGTCGTGATGCAGATACTGTGGCAAAGCACTTATATTTGAAGGGATTCACGGAAAATTATTATGTTTGGACGCATCACGGAGAAAGTTGCTACGACGATGGTGGAGCATCAACAAGTCATTGGACGGATGAACAAGAAACTTGGATTAATAATCCTAATATTCAAATGCCCATTGATCAGTATTATGAAGCAGATACATTCTGTAACATCATCTTTTTCCCGGAATGCCGCCTTAGATGAGCGGATGACTAGTATGGAGGAAAACATGACCCATATCAAAAAATCTGTAGACAATAACAACGAGGCTTCAATGCAAGTCATAAACGTAAACGTGTTGTTACGGATTAATAGTATTGATCCTGTTACACTCCTACCAGTAACTATTCCACCTCGATCTTCATCCACCGCAGCTCAGCATAACTCACAAAGTCCGCTCAACCTCGGAGATCTACTGAACCATAACCTCTCGGGCATCTTTGAGGAGACGGAATGAAGATTTCAATGTTCCTAAATCAGTTTTATGTCACAACTTTTGGCATTGTAATATATAACGTTTTTACAATTATTAGTACTTGTAATAACTTTTGTTGTAATATTAAATATATTTTATAATTAGTGATTAGACTATTAATTATTATTTTTTTAAATTTTTAATTATTTGCCATAATGGTTTAAAGGCAATATGTGGCAAAATTTGTAACAATTTGTTTTTTGTAATTTCTGGTAAAAATTCTCACACATTATATTGTGGGATGTTCTATCTATTTTGCAACATATTAATTTGTGGCAATTTGTCATAATTTTGTGACACCCTAAATTTCTGGCAATTTATGTCAAAATTTGCCAGAATTGTGATTATGGTAATTCGTTAAAATATGCCACAATTGTTTTGTGATAAGTTGTGGTAAATATGCCAGAAATTTGTTTCTGGGTAACTCGTGGCTAATTTACCTGATATTTCATCGTGGCATTTTGTGGCAAAATTGTTAAAAATTGCCACAAAATTCTTTTTGTGACGACCCTATAGCCACAAATAAATTACGTAATAATTCGTGGTAAATGCTTCTATTGCCACAAAATTTAGGATTCTGCCACAAAATTATTACTGGCTATAGTTACTTTTTTTGTAGTGTATTTTATATAAGTTTTTTAAAATGCTTATTTATAAAAAAATTATAAAATTTTATGAGACTATTTTTAATAATTTATAGAATTAATCATTTATAAAATTTTAAAGCTTACAGTGAGAGATTGTTGAAAGCTTATGTTTAGAGCTCTTAATTTAAATTTCTAATTATTCATGCATGTTCAGAAGAAAATATATATATATATATATATAAAACGAAGATATAAATCTCATAAAATACTTAAATACATCAAAATAAGTTAACGAGGTAGATAAACCAAAAGAAATATATTCTTTCCTTTGGTTTATCTGCCTCGTTAACTTATTTTGATGTATTTAAGTATTTTATGAGACTTATATCTTCGTCTTATAGTTTTCCCTTGTTCACAATTGATTGGTTTGAAATCATTGTTACTAAATTAAAACCAAGATTTAAAATTACCAAATGTATAAGGATTTCAAAAACATCTACAGCAACAACTAATCAGGATTGATGTTTACACTTTTTATTTAAATGATCGAAAATAAAAATTATATTATACAACTAAAATCATTTTTTATTAAAAAATTGACTTGTATAATTATATAATAGTATATATTATAGTGCAACACAGTCTCCTAGAGTAGTTTCTTAAGATAATTATATATTTAATTAAATGAAAATTAAATAAAAAGAGAAGAATCGTCTCCTAATTAAGGTATTTAAGAGTCGGCTTTTAATGGTGACGTGTCCACGTTTGATTGAAAACAAATTGAAAACATAAAAAAAAAATTCTACGGAATTGATCTCTTCCCCTTTCTCTCCCTCTATGCTTCTTCTGATGCGATTCAATGAATTCTCCTTTGATTTCTTCCCTTTCTCTCTTTCTACGCTTCTTCTCTGATGCTATTCAATGGAATCTGCTTTGAATCGATCTCTTCCCTTTCTCTCCTTCTAATCTTTCTGCGATTCCAGCCATTGTTCATCACAATCTCTCCGATAAACTATATGAGCAGCGGAAAAATGCTGCGCTTGAGGTTTGACATCCGAGTTTCCTCCTCACTTCTCTCTTCCTTTGCGTTTGGACTTTGCGTCTTAGGTTTTTGGATTAGTCTGTTTCATTTCCTTCAATGTCTGCGATGATGATGATGATGATATATAATGTTTGCTCTTTTAATTGTAGCTGGAGAATACTGTGAAGAATCTAACTTATGCAGGCTCTGTAGAGTTTGGTTCTATTGGAGGCTTGGATGCAACGATGCTCGTTAAGGCTATTGTGAATCAGAAGCTGTTTTCATCAATGTCAAGGTTTAGAATCTTATGAACAAGTGGCTCGGTGATGCACATAAGCTTGGTATGTGTTTAAGTTCTCATATTGATGTTACCCTTTTAGCTGCGTTTGGTAGAGTTAGTAACTAATACATTGTTGATGGGTATTATATACTAATAAACCCAAGTGGGTTTTGCTTAAGATTCCTAATAGACACTGAAAATGCCAATGATAGAAACTCTGTATTCTGTTTTCTGATTGCTGTTTGTTCTTTTTTATTGCAGAATCCATACTCTATGAACATCCTAATGGCTAGCTACGACAAAGAAGCGGGCGCATCTCTATACTACATTGACTACATCGCAACTCTTCACAATGTAGACAAGGGAGTTTTTAGTTACGGCTCGTACTTCTCTCTCGCAACAATGGACATACACTACCGCAGCGACATGTCCGTTGAAGAAGCCATTGAATTGGTAGACAAATGCATACTTGAGATCAGGTCGAGACTTGTCGTTGCACCACCAACGGAGCTCGCAAGTACGCTTGGCGTATGTCTGTACAAGACGTGACTACTGCTTCTACGTGAGTCGTTAAGGAAGGCGGTCTTTGGTCTTAAGCATGTGTGAGTTAGTACAGAACTACGGATTATCAATTTTGGTTTTGTTTAGCTTGATTTGTTTAGTTTTCTCTTTTCCATTATAAACTCAATTCCTCTTTTATGTTTTATTCAAAATATAAACTTTAGTCACAATTTTCTTTTTTTTAAAAACCCCTGATGGGATTATGCCATTGGAAGAGAGAAAACACAAATATCTTAATTAAGTCTCTTAGTATGAATTTTATTATTAAATATTAAGTAAGAATCCTATTTAGAGCTTTTGCATTGCACATGCTCTTATAAATACGATTTTCTCTTTTAATACCTCCGACTCGGACATGAAACTTGAGATGATCAAGGAGTTGACTTGTCCACCAGGCGTTCATCTACCTGTCAGTTTGCATTCTCCTGAATGCTTTAGTACGACATGAGAAGTAACATCGTGTTGGTTCGTGTTTGGTATGGATTTTAGATAGTATAACTTTTGTTTTTAATTCCATATTTTAAGCTCTTTGAATTTCTTAAGAGTTGGATTGAGTTTAAATTTTGGAATACTAAAATTTACTAAATTGTTTTTAAGTGTTTGATTGATTACTGTTCTAACTTTTGATGTAGAAATATAGTTATAGATTTTTTTGCTATAGCTGTAAATCTTATTTCTTTAAAACTTTGGCTGTAGTATTATAAAATTTAGAAATTATAAAATTATGTATTTTTAGAAAAAAATGCTTTATAACCAAAAAAAATAATAAAAAAAAATATTCTGATTCTGAGCAAATAAAAGAAAAACAAAGTTTATAAAGTATAATTGATATAATTTAGAACTTTAAACATAAATATTGCTATGCACAACATCTACAGCAACAATCAATCAAGTGATTTTCGTTTGGATTGATGTTTACATTTTTTATTTAAATAATCGAAAACAAAAATTATATTATACAACTAAAATCATTTTTTATTAAGAAATTGACTTGTATAATTTCTTATACGACTAGAGACATACATTTGTTGGTGTTAACCACAAATATTTGAGAAAAAAATACTATAAGAATAAAACCAATTATTCAATGGGACATATTTTGCTAGACCATATAAAGTGTAGGTTCTAACCAGAATAAATAATTGAGAGAAATAATTTACCAGTTTAGGGTTCTCTTCTGTTGAACGAGAAGTCCCAGAGGTTTTATTCAATCGATCTTCTTGTGATGATTCGTCAAATCACGAAAGAAAAAGGAATTGAGCCCTCAAAGAAAAGGAAAGTTCACTTTCCTCGAAAAGGGAAGTTGACATTCTCCTAAAAGAAAAGAGGTCTCTCCTTGCACCGCCTCTATCAGAACTCATTCTCGAGACCTAGAGCGAGTTTAACATTCTGATATTGAGATCCTACAGTTTTAACAATTTGTTTGATCTGAAAGGAATCATCAGTTCATTATAATCCATTACATTACTTTCTCTTACTAAACATCTCCGCCTCTGCCGTGTCTATCAGGGTTTTCTTTGTTATTCTCGGCTGCTTAATAAACTATTTGATAGGTTCCCAGCTTGTTAGGGACAAGACATCAAAACTTAGCTTTAGATTTGAAAGGAATGGCTCGTATTGACTGGATAAGTAAGTTGCCTGAAGAGCTGCTCTTGAGAATATTGTCTTTACTGCCTGCGAGAGATGTTGTGGCCACAATGGTTCTGTCCAAGAGGTGGCAGTTTCTATGGATGAATGTGTCGAGACTCGTATACGACGATACTTATCAGGGTATTGAGCATAAAAGTTTTTCGCGGTTTGTAGAGAGATCCTTGCTTTTGCACGAGGCTCCAGTTCTAGAGCTTCTGCATTTCAAGCTTCGTAAAAGTTCCAGTGTTGTGGATATTGGATTATGGACTAGGAGTTTAAGTAGACGCCATGTGAGTAAGCTGGTTATCAAGATTGACAGTTCTTCTTGTACAGAACCACCCATCCTTCCGAGGAGTTTGTACACGGCGTGTGGAATGCTTGTGACTTTGAAGCTAAACAACACGGTTCTTGCTGATTTTGATTCTTCCTCGTTTTCTTTCCCATCCCTAAAAACTTTAAGCCTTGTATCCGTGGAGTACCCAAACCAGGAGTTCGTCGACAGTCTTTTATCACGTTGTCATGTTCTTGAAGATCTGGATGTGGAACAATGTCAAGATGACAACGTGACTGTTTTCAACGTCAGAGTGCCTTCCCTAAAGAGTTTAGTCTTGGATAAATCAGAAACGAGCGATACATCTGGTGAAGATGTGTATGTGATAGATGCTCCTTCTTTGGAATACTTGGATATCTATGATCTTTCGGGTGGATCTTGCGTCATTGAGAATAATATGCCTAGCATTGTTGATGCACTTCTTTATGTCAGTTATGAGCATCCTGTGAACATTCTTGGTTTTATTACCTCAGTCAAACGCCTCAATCTATGTTTACCAACCTCAAAGGTTTCTGCATGCACTCTTCTTGCCTTTCTTTCTGGAATCAGTCACGAGTAGTGTGACCAAATCTGTTGCCACTAACTCCTAATTACAGTATTTTATGTTTTATGCAGCAATTGTATCCTGTTAGTACTGTTTTCCACCGTCTTGTGCGTCTAGAGCTATGCACATGTGAGAAGTCATGGTTAAAAGTACTTATGCGTATGCTAAGAGTTTCACCTAATTTACAATCTCTCAAGCTCCAAAAGGTTCGCTCCGAATTATTCAGTTTACTTTGATTAGTATATATATATATGTGTGTGTAAATCTCTAATGCACTGTATCTCTGCGCCGTCAATTTATCTCAGTTCCATGACATTGATTTTGATGATAGTCCGCGCCCGCGCTGGAGGGAACCAGGCACAGTTCCTCAATGTCTGTCATCGAGCCTTGAAACTCTTGAATGGGTAAGATATGAAGGAACCAAAGAAGAGAGAGAGCTTGTAGCATTCATCTTAAGAAATGCAAAATGTTTAGGGAATGTAACTATAAGCCTTAAATCCACTAAACGAAACAAGAAGAAACTTGCGATGATCAAGGAGTTGTCATTTCTGTCAAGGTGTTCAAGTACCTGTCATCTTATATTTGATGAAGTTGCTCCGTCTGATTCAGAGAGATGATCTGAAATCTTTAGATATGTTTTTTCCAACTCTCTTTTTTTGGGGTTTTAGATATATAATCTTTAGATATGTTTTTTCCAACTCTCTTTTTGGGTTTTTATATATATAATCTTTAGATATGTTGAAAGCTTTATGTTTAGAGCTCTTTGAATTTCTAATTATTCCTGCATACTCAGAAGAAACAATTGATATACACATATTCTTCCTTTGGTTTATCTGCCTCGTTAACTGATTTGATGTATCTTATATCTTCTTCGTCTTATAGTTTTGCCTTTTGAAATTATTGGTCGATTACTTGGTTTGAAATCATTGTTACTGAATCAAAACCAAAATTTAATTTATTTGGTTGGTTTAAAAATTACCAAATGTATAAGGATTTGAATATAATATTATAAATTAATTGTTTTGCTAATTTGCTGTTTTTTAGGGGGAATTCCTTTTTATAACTTAAAAATTGATTTTTTCTCAATATGTAGACCTCTTATTGAATGGTTGGCAAAACTAACCCAAAGTGGTAGTGAAATTACAGCTCAGTCATTTGTAACTAAACAAAAAACATCTGTCACAGTTACGATTTTATCCTCCGGGAAGTCTACGTAAGAAGTTTACAATCGTAGACTTCTAAAGAAGTCTATTTTTCTAGACTATTAATGAAGTCTACATAAGATGACTTCGAAAGAAGTCTATTACATAATTAGTTTTTTAAAAATTAATTAGAAAATATAAAATAAATAAATTTCTAAAAAATTGGTAAACATAAGTAAGACATATATATTTGACATGTATAGAATACAAAATTTCATACAAATGAATCAACTTAAATGCAGAAAGAAAATTAACTAGAAAATATACAACCGTTTAGAAGTCTACTAAAGAAGTCTACATTATTAAATCTTAAATTTTTTTACTAAAATTATAAAAAATATTATGATACAAAAATTATAAACATAACCAAAACATGGACAATTGGCATTTATATTAAATAAAATTTCATGAAAATAAACCAATTTATAAGTTTCAAAAGTATAAGATTGAAAATGGTTAGGGTTTGAAGTAGACTTCTCGGGTAGACTTCTCCAGTAGACTTAGAAAAAAACATAGCGTGAAATCAAAATTATTTAACAAATTGGGCGGGAATCGAAACAAATTAGGCCGGAATCGAAATCGAAAAAATATACCGAAGTAGAATTTTCAAGAAGTCTACTGAAGAAGTCTACTTAGCCGAAAATTTTTCTACATATATAAGGAGATTAACCTAATTTGGTTAAAAATAAAGTTTTTCTCTCCCTCTAAAAAATGCCTCTCTCTCCTCTACCTCCTCTATGGCCATGAATCTCTTCTCTTTCCTCTCTTGCCATCAAACCCATCTCTATCCTCCATCCTCTCTATCTCGATTATGGTGATGGTAAGCAAATCTGAGGTTTTGTGTTTCTTTTGTTGTTTGTTTTGTGTTTATATTGTAAATCTGAGTTTATTATTATATATTTGAGCTTCTTGTTGTAAATCTGAATTTATTCTTGCAAATATGGGCTTCTTATGGTATAAATTATGTAGAATTTGTTGCAGATCTGATTTTTTTGTTGTTGCAGATCTGATATTTTTTTTTTGCAGATCTGAATTTTTAGTTGTTGCAGATCTGATTTTATTTATTTTGTTGCATATCTGAATTTTGTTTATTTTGTTGCAGATCTAGAATTTTTTTTGTTGCATAGCTGATTTCTTTTTTTCTTTTTTGTTGTAGATATGATGTTTGTAAATATAGCAGATTTTGTTGAAATATGAATTTTAACATTTTTTTTATTGAGCAGACCTGAGCATATTTTTTTGTTTTTGTTTTTGTTTTTGTTGGAAGCAAACTTCAGCTGCAGACTTCTCGAGTAGACTACTCGAGTAGACTTCTCGAGCAGACTTCAGTCACATACATCTTTTTTAGATATTTTGTTTTTATATGCTAATTTTAAGATTTATAATTAGTGATCCTTAAATGTTTGTTTGTTTAGAAGATCTACTTTATATGTAAAGTTGGATTGCAATTAATGTTATTTAATATATTTTTAAATTATGTGTGTTTTATCATATTCAGATTTCATATGCAGACTTTTTTATCATACTTAGTCATCACCATCTTTCAACCTCTAATAACATAAGAAAATTAATTCAATTTTAACTATACAAAAACATGTAAAACTCATAACAAAAAAAACATGTAAAACTACTTAGATATACCACAACTAGTCTTTCTTCACACATTAAGCTAAATACCAAATAAAAGAAGAAAATTAATTAAAGCTAAACTGTAACAAAAAAAATTCAAACTCATACATAAGCAAGAACAATAAATATCACACACTTGAGAGGCAAATAATAAATTTTATTTGTTACAAATATCTGATCAATTAAATTTATAAAAAATTAATATCGCAGAGTGCAAACGAAGTCTACTATGTAGACTTCAAGTGAAGTCTACAGACTAATAAGTTAAATACCAAATAGAACAAGAAAATTAATTAAAGCTAAACTATAACAAATCAACATGTCAAACTCCTACATAAGTAAGAACAATAAATAAGAGTCAAAGAATAAATTTTATTTGTTACAAATATCTGATCAATTAATTTAATAAAAAAATTAATGTCGCAGACTGCAAACGAAGTCTACAGACTAATAAGCTAAATACCAAATAAAACAAAAAACTTGATTTCACCAAATATATAATATAAACATGTAAAAATGATACAAATGTAAGTACATTTACTAAAACAATCGAAAGACCAAAAAAATCTTAAAAATTCGTTGTTAATTTGATAAAAACGCGTTTATAAAAAAAAGTGAAATAGTATACTAACAACAAAGTTTACAAAAGTAGACTTGCAACGAAGTCTACAAATGTAGACCCCGTATGAAGTTTATATTTTAGGTTACTTTTGCAATTGCCAAAAGATGAGTAGACTTCTTTAAAGAAGTCTACTCACTCCGAGAAGTCTACGTAAAAAAAGGTTAGTTTTGCAATTGACCAAACTTTGACTTTTTGTAAGAAGTCTACTTGCAAAAGTAGACTTCTTCGGAGAAATCGACTTTTAAAGTAACTTCTTAGAGGTTAATTTTGCAATTGACCAATGTTGACTTTTCAAAGTAGATTTCGTTTGAAGTCTACTTCAAAAGTAAACTTCAAACGAAGTCTACTTGGGTTAGTTTTAGGGTTGACCAAACATTGAATTAATTTTCGAGTAGACTTTGTTTGAAGTCTACTTAGAAAGTAGACATCAAACGAAGTCTACTCGGAAAAGTAGACTTCAAGCGAAGTCTACTTGGAAAAGTTAACATTGGTCAATTGCAAAACTAACCTCTAAGAAGTCTACTTTCAAAGTAGTCTTCTCCGAAGAAGTCTACTTTTGTGAGTAGACTTCTTACGAAAAAGTCAAAGGTTGGTCAATTGCAAAACTAACCTCTTTTTACGTAGACTTTTTTTGAAGTTTACACTATTTGTTTTTGTTGTCAAAGGAAATTGCGCAGACTTCAACTGAAGTCTACTGTCGGAAATTGGTACACACAGTCAATTGCAAAACTAACATGTGTGTTGACCAGCAGACTTCTTAAGAAGTCTACTTTCGCGGCACAGATCTGAAAACTCACGAAAATTAACTGAAAAATCACCTACCAGTGGTATTTAGCTTATTCAACCACCGATTTTTTTGATTCCAGCCACCACCAAACAAGTCCAATCGATTTGCCAGACCAAATCACCAAATATGGCAATATATTAAAACATCAAGTTTCAAAAACTTAGATTAGAGAGTTTTTGTGCTGAAAATGGTGAAAAAATGAAAGAGTAGAAGGTTAAGAGAAGAGGAAATGAGGTTACAAAGCTAAAAAATGGGTCTTTGAAGCAATAAAAGCTTCGAATTGGTTGAAAATGGTGGTTGAGTGAATTGATGGTGATGACATTTTCGTGAATAAGTGAGGAAGATGAGGATTGTTTGGTAAAATAGATTTCCGAAATAATAATAAAAAATAATAATCTAATGGCATTTTTGTAAACAAATAAAACTGATAAGGATATAAGTGAGAGAAAGTGGTTAATTTCAGAAATGATAAAATTGGAGGTTAGTTTAGCAATTGACTTGAGTTTATGAATCATTTTTGCAAAATTCCTTTTTTTTTAAGGATAAAACTTTCCCAATATATTTTGGTAATTAAGATCACAAAAAATAGGGATCAGTTTGTTAATTAGAAAATCAGTATTGATTATTTTAACTTTAAAATATGTGACACTCACTCACTCAGTCTCAGATCAAAACTTGTAATTGAAATTCTATTTTAAAATGTCCAATGAGATATTTGAAAAAACACACAAAGAAATTTGGGATTTGTGGGCACGTAGTGTGAAAAAGGCGCATTTTAGTATATCCCAAGCTAATAAAGTTATTTTGTTTTAAATTAGCGGGAAGGCATATTGTCCATTGTAATCGAGAGAGAAAGCGTTTCAGGGTTAAGGATTCGCCTCTGATCAGTAGTAATCGGTGACTGAAATTGAGTTTGAAATTGAAATTGATGAAGGAGAAACAACGAAGGTCTTAGGTATTTAATTTTCCTCGCGAATTTTCTTATGATTTTTTCTTTGATTTTTGTTTGGAATTGAAAGTAGCAGGTTCACAAAATCCACCGATCACTGTTTGCAAATAAACATCTGCGTTCGAATCGACTGCTCCCAGTGTTGTTTCGCATCGATTTCTATGGTCTTGGCCTCTTGGGTTTCTGTTTTCGCGCTATGTTTTTGCTTGATTATCGTGATCCTGTGTCATTCGTATGGCTCCTGAAAGAATCTACTGAGCATTGGGAAGGGGAAAAACTGATCAATTTCAGATGCAATTTGGTTGTTTTCTCTATTTATTCAGGGTCGAGAAATGATAGCTAAACCTAATTTCTGATAGATGATAGCTTGTGATTTACGGAGATTTCAGGGTGATTTCTTACTTTGGAGATTTTCTTCTAATCATTTTTCGTCTTACTTTTTGAATTGACAGCAAAAAAAAAAAAAACCTCAGTTTGATTATAATGGGTAGGATAAGTGAGTTGCCTGAGGCGCTGCTCTTGAAGATACTGTCGTTAATGCCTACAGAAAAAGCTGTGGCCACAATGGTTTTGTCAAAACGATGGCAGTTTCTTTGGACGATGGTGCCAAGGCTTGAGTACGATCACAACATGTATCGAGATGGTGAAGACGGGAGATTCTTGCGGTTTGTCTACAGTTCTTTGCTGTTGCACGAGGCTCCGGTTCTCGAAAGCTTCTCTTTAAAACTTGGTCAAACCTCTGGTGCTGTAGATGTTGGAGTGTGTGTTAAACCTGCTATTACTCGCTCTGTGCGTGAGCTGAATGTCGAGGTTGATACTGTTACTGAAACTCAAGCCATACTTCCGAGGAGCTTGTACACAGGCTGTAGAATGCTTGCGACTCTAACACTCAAGGATGTGGTTCTTGTTGGTGCGTCTTCTCCGGTTTCTTTCCCTTCCCTCAAAACTATGAGCCTTGTATCAGTGAAGTACCCAGGTGACGAATTCGTCCGCAAGCTTTTATCCGGTTGTCCTGTTCTTGAAGACTTGTTTGTGGTACAATGCCGCGGTGACAACGTGACGGTTTTGGTGGTGAGAGTGGCTTCTCTAAAGTATTTAGCCGTGCGTCGATCATCGGAAAAAGAGAACCATCAGGGGTTGGTGATCGATGCTCCTTCTTTGGAGTTCTTGGACATTGTTGATTACACAGATGGGTTTTGTTTCATTGAGAATAGTATGCCTAAGATTAGAGAGGCCCATCTTGATGTGACTTATAGCCAGACTCAGCAGCTTCTTGGTTCTCTCACTTCACTCTCCCAGCTTTCATTATGTCTAGTGAGTTCAATGGTAATGCGTTCTTCTCTTTCAAACATTTTGTTAAGGATTTACTTTGTCCTTCTAATTCTCTGTTGAAGATATAAACGGGATCCAACACAATCATGTAGGATGCAGCTTTCGATGGAACAATATTTAGCCAGCTTGATCAGTTGAAACTATGCACTTGCGACCCCGAATGGTTGAATCTACTTATGCGTCTACTCAAAGCTTCCCCTAAACTAAGGTTTATTGTGCTTCAACAGGTACATATACTCAAAACCCTGAAGATGCATCAAAGATCCAATCTTTGACCCGTTTAATTTAATTTTTCCTATGTTTGATATTCTAACTCGACTATACTTCTCTTCCCTTTTCAGTCTAACCACTGCATTAGAACTGAAGTTCCGAGCCCGTGCTGGAACAAACCAAGTCAGGTTCCTGAGTGTCTATTGTCTAGTCTTGAATCTTTTAACTGGAGGCATTACGAAGGACGAGGAGCAGAGAAAGAGCTCACAGCATATATCTTGAGAAACTCTCGTCGTTTAAGATTTGCAACTTTCTACCCCAAATCAACAGATCCTGTAGAGAAATCTAAGTTGCGCATGGAGTTGTCAAAGTCACCAATGAGTTCTTCAAGCTGCCAGCTTGTATTCCGTGGGAGTTACAATCGTGCCTCACGGTGAAAAGACTAACTTCAAAGTGTCAATCTTGGTTTGTTCCATTAAGTTTAGGATTGAAATCATGGTTTTCTGCTTCTTTAAGTTCTCTGGTTTGGATATCTTGGTGTTTAAATCTAATTTCAGAATAGATCGTTACTTTTGGATTTTGGAGAAGTATTGTGTGGGTCACATTTGTTTCTGAAGTTGAAGATTGTTGATATAATCCATTATGACCTATCTTCAGTATTAAATCCTAAGTTATTTATACTAACGAGAAGAGAATGATGATGAGAGTTGATGAAACGATGCAATCCAAAATTTGTACCACTTCCAATAGTCAAACTGGATTATTTTATTCAGATAATTCTATTTACTGAACTTTATAATATCCCAACTAAGACGCTTGGATAAGTTTGAATCTTGGATAAGTTTTGCATTCAATTAAAATATACTATAAAACAATCCCCCACAGAGTCCTAGGAAAAAAAGAGAAATTTGCATCCGATATTTCCAGCTAAAAAATAAATAAACCGTGAGCTAAAAAGACTCCTCGTTCGTCGTCCTTCATATAGAAATTTATCTCAGGGTTTAGGGTTCGTAAATGGTGGCTGAAAGAAACTGAGGTATCTATTTCTTTTCGCACAAGTAACCAATGCTTTAGGTATTTTCCTTACTGAAATGGCTGTCGTCTGTTTTTTTGGATTTCAATGTAATAAATTGAGGAAAAAAGATCTTTGATCACTATTTGGAGTCAAACATCTGTTTAAGAATCCTCAGCTACAGTTTTTGTTGTTGTTGTTGTTGTAATCTTCTCTATGATTTCAGGCTATTCAAGAACACATCTGTTTAAGAATCTATAGCTACTATTTTTAATTTGTTGATGTTGGTTTCAGGTGTGGACAGCGAAGTCTGTTGCAGTAATTGAACTGAATGGATAAGATAAGTGAGTTGCCTGACGAGCTGATCTTGACAGTATTGTCGTCACTGCCTGCGAAAGATGTCGTTTCTACCATGGTTTTGTCAAAACGATGGAAGTTTCTTTGGATGTTTGTGCCAAAACTTGAATGTGATTATAACGACAGGAGATTGTGTCGGTTTGTTAACAGTCTTATGCTGTTACACGAAGCTCCGGTTCTAGAATGCCTGCGTTTCAATGTCAGCCAAAAGACTGGTGCTATTCTAAATATTGGAGCTCTAAAACGCGGTTTGCGCGAGGTGATCATCGAAACTGATGATTCACCTTCTTTGACTAAAACCCTAGTCTTGCTCCCGAGGCCCTGCTTTGGAACAACGCTTGCGGCGTTGAGACTAAGTAACGTGGTTCTTGTGGATGTTTATAGCTCTCCACTTTCTTTCCCATCTCTCAAGATATTGAGTCTTGGTTCCGTCATATACCCATGTGGTGAATTTGTCAACAGGATTTTATCCGGTTGTCCTGTTCTTCAAGACTTGGAAGTTCAGCGATGTGAGCATGACAACGTGATGATCTTCGTAGTTAGAGTGCCTTCTTTAGAAAGTCTATGGTTATTAACGTCACCAGACAAAGCTAAAGACGATGCACATGGGTTTGTGGTAGAAGCTCCTTCTTTGAAAATATTGAACATTCTTGATTATTCAAGTGGGTTTTGTACCATTGACAAGAAAATGCATAAGATTGTGAGTGCAAACCTTGACGTGGACTATAGTTGTACTAAGAAGCTTCTAGGACGTATGGCTTCAGTCCAACAACTTTATCTATGTTTATCCACTTCCATGGTAATTTGATTTTGTTTGCTTCTTATTGCTCAATGATCTTTCTTCATACATATATATATATATATATATATATATTGAAATTGTCATTGTATACGTTACATGTTATATTATATAGGAAGCATATCACGAAGGAAGAAAATATAGCCAGCTTGTATGGTTGGAGCTATGTACGTGTCAAATAGAATGGTTCAATCTACTTATGCGTCTTCTCAAAGATTCGCCTAAACTAAGATTTCTCAAACTAGAACAGGTACAGTAACATTTACTGCTTTCAACACTAAATGATTCATATATATATATAACTATTCAATTTTTGTTCCGATTAATACTTTGTGCTTTCTTTTTTTTTGAGTCTTAGTACCACCAAGATCGGACTGTACGTGTAATGCCGTGCTGGAGTGAACCGAGCTATGTACCTGAATGTCTGACGTCAAGCCTGGAAACTTTTGAATGGGTGGGATACGATGGAAGAGAAGAAGAGAAACAAGTCGCGAGATTCATCTTAGGAAACTCTCATCGTTTAAAGACGGCAACTTTCTACCACGAAGCAACAGTTCCTGAAGAGAAACTCATTGAGCTGTCAATGTTACGTAGGAGTTCATCAATCTGTGAGCTTGCATGCAAAGAGAGCTATGGTCAAATTCCAAGGTATAGGTAAACATTTGGTTACTTGCGGATAGTTCCAAAGGTTAAAAAGTGTTGTTGGTTCCAAACATATTAGCAAACTTTTTTTTTCTATTTTGGTTTTATTCTATTTAAAATTTTGAAGTTAGTTTCAAAAAGAAATTGTTATATACCTATTGCAAAAGTTCAAACCAAGTAGCTCACTTTCTTGCAAAAATGACTTCTCCATAAATTGTATCATGACTATAAAATATTGGGAAAGTATTATTTGTCGCATTTGATCCCCAAGCTACAAAAGTGTGTGTCTTTTCATCGTTAAGCAATTAAGGATCTTAAAACTGAAATGTAAAATGTAGGAGGAGTTAATATGCAATTTTTGTAATTAGAAACAATATATAACAATTTTTTTACAAAATAATGTAAACAAATATTCTTGTTCCATAGCCGTCCCCAAATTCATTAGGGTTCATATGAGAGCATAGGAAGTAATTCCCTTCCCTTGTAGTTGCAATCTCTTCTTATTCTAAAAATCCAATCTTTGTTACGAATTCGGAGTTCTATCATCTTCCAATCTCTCCAATGGGTATTGTCATGTCATGTGTAGGTTTATGCTCATCTACTTGATTTCCCGAGAAATCATAACGAAATCGAGAAAGCAGTGAGATTCCCTTCGTGATACCTTGATTTTTGGCAGCTAATTTTTGGCTCTCAGATGTATCGTCGAATGGATAGAATCAGTCACTTGCCTGACGAAATCCTATTCAAGATACTATCATCTCTTGGGACGAAAGATGCTATGCCGACAATGCTTTTGTCTAAACGCTGGAAATATCTCTGGAAGTCTGTACCAAGACTTGAGTTTGATGATCGCACTCGCTTTCCCCAGTGTCAAGATTTGGAAACTGTAAAGAAAACACCGATAGTGCCAAGCACTAGCCTAAGACCGTAATACCCGAGAGATCCGAAAGAAACAAAGATCCTCTAAGTATGAATAATAAGATGAAAGAATACTTAGAGAAAACTTGAAGGAACTTTAGAGAGGATAAGAGAACTTATGAAGAACACTCTTTCTTTATTTGTTCAACTTCTCTTGTTTACAAATGATGGAGTAGTGGGCTATTTATAGGCTCCACTTATTACAAAATATCTTACAAACATTCTCCTAATCTCTAGAATTTTCTACAATAATATCTAGAATTTTAACTACAACATCTAGAATTATCTATAGAATTATCTAGATATTTAACTAATAGAATTCTCTAGAACATTTAAGAAAGATGATGATTTTTAGTGATGTTTCTAGAGATTCTAGAACTTGAGCTTAATTTTGGGCCTAATCTAAAAACTAATAATTATTTTATAAACCCAAAATTAAGCTTAACCCAAAATCAAGTTTAACTTCAATACTCCCCTTTAAACTTGATTTTGTCAGTCATCCCGAGCTTCGAGCGAAGTAACTCGAACTGACTTTTTGGTAATGACTTGGTGAAGATATCCGCAACGTTGTCCTCGCTTCGAACTTCCAAAGCTTCAATTGTCCCATCAAGCACCTTCTCTTTTATGAAGTGATGCTCTAACTCAATGTGTTTAGTCCTCCCATGGAACACCGGATTATTGGCCAGCTTGATCGCACTTTGATTATCTCCATAAATTGCAATTGGCTTATTGATTGGCTCGAACAGATCTTCAAGGAGTCTCTGAAGCCAAATACACTCTTGAGCTGCTAGAGTTGACGCTTTATACTCTGCTTCAGTTGTAGATAACGACACCGTTGCTTGCTTCTTACTGCACCATGAGACACTTGTGTTCCCACATAGGAAAACATAGCCTGAAGTTGATTTCCGATCATCAAGATCTCCACCAAAGTCAGCATCCGTGAAGCCATAAAGAGAGACCTTGGCATTATACTTGTACACCAGACCCATGCCAAGAGTTGTCTTCACATACTTTAATATCTTCTTTGCCGCTTCTAGATGTGGCTTCCTTGGTGCCTGCATAAACCGACTTACAAGACCTACCGCGAAGGCAATGTCAGGTCTTGTAATGGTTAAGTATAAAAGACTTCCTACAAGAGAGCGATAAGGCCGAGGATCAGGTAGTAAGGACCCTTCATCGCGTTTAAGCTTTATGTTGACATCCATTGGAGTAGAGCGTGTCTTTCCTTCGTGTACTCCAAACTTCTCAACGATTCTTCTTGCATAGCTTTGTTGGCCGATGAATATTCCACCCTTTACCCTTTCCACCTCCAAACCGAGAAAGTTGTTGAGCTCTCCCAACTTCTTCATCTCAAACCTTATCGACATATCCTCTTGTAAACGAGTAATTTCTGCATCATCATTCCCGGTAATTATCATATCATCCACGTAAAGGAGAACTACCACGTGGACTCCTCCATTCTTCTTGAAGAATAGACTCGGATCAGAGTTTGATGCCACATAACCGCAGAACTGAAGAAACTGAGCAAGCTTTCCATACCAGGCTCATGGAGCTTGTTTTAACCCATACAAGGCCTTCTTCAGCTTACACACATAATCAGGATGCTCTCGTGATATAAAACCAAGTGGCTGCTCCATCAGGATTTCCTTGTCAAGCTCTCCATATAGAAAAGCATTCTTCACGTCTAATTGCCATAACTTCCAACCAAAACTTGCAGCCAAAGATAAGAGAGAACGTACCATAGTCATCTTGGCTACAGGGCTGAAGGTCTCATCATAGTCTTCTCTATACTTTTGAGAGAATCCCCGAGCAACCAACCTTGCTTTGAATCTATCAACGCTTCCATCTGTTTTGCGCTTGATCCGGTACACCCATTTACAAGAAACAGGTTGGGCATTCTTGGGTTTTGGAACCAAATCCCAAGTTTCGTTCTTCATGAGAGCATTCATCTCCTCCTTCATTGCGTTTTCCCACTCGTCAACACCTTTTGCTTCATCATAAGATGTTGGCTCATCTTCATCTAATGGAGCTGTAAAGTAGCACGAGAAGGTAGTAACAAACTTTGGATCTCTGAACCGAGCAGGTTTAATGATGTCCCTTTTAGGCCTTTGACTAGCCGTGGAACCATGATGTTCCTCCTCATCCTCCTCTTGATCAGTGCTCCCCCTTTCACCTTGCATCTCTTCTTCAGGACCTTTTTCCTTACTCAGAGCTGGTTTATCACTCTTGGAGGAACTCCCACCTTCTTGCTCAACTAAAACTTGAGGTGGCCCATAGAATGAGGAAACTTCATCAAAAACAACATCTCGAGACACTACGTACCTGTGTGTCTCTGGATCCATACACCTCCACCCTTTTCTTTGTTCGTCATAGCCAACGAAGATGCACTTCTTCGCCTTTGCCTCCAACTTGGTTCTTTGAGAATCAAACACATGGACGTAGCAGACTGATCCAAATATCCTGAGATGTTTCACTGACGGCTTCTTCCCATGAATCATCTCATACGGAGACTTCATGTTATTTGGGCTGAGTGGCATCCGATTTATGACGTACACTGCGCATCTCATGCCTTCCGCCCACAAGGCTTTAGGCAGATCCTTCCCATATAGCCAGCTTCTGCACGTCTCAGTTAGATGTCGAATCTTCCTTTCCGCTACTCCATTTTGTTGAGGTGTATACGGACAAGTAAACTCTCTCTTTATTCCATGCTTTTGACAAAAAGAGAGAAACTCCTTGGACATGAACTCCCCTCCATTATCTGTCCTTAAGGTCTTGATTCTCCGACCCAGCTCCCCTTCCACGGTAACCTTGAATTCTTGAAATTTGGAGAATACTTCTGATTTTTCCTTCACAAAGTATACCCAAGTGTGCCGTGAGAAGTCATCAATGAACAGCAACATGTACCGAAACCCGGAATATGAGGGTGTTCTTGTAGGACCCATCAAATTACTATGGATCCTCTCCAACAGAGCACTGCACCGTGAAGTAGAATTGTCAAATGGAAGTCTATATGATTTTCCATATTGACAACCTTCACAAAGCTTTCCTTCATCTTGGATCTTCAGCTTCAGAAGCCCATTTACCAACTCCTTATTCACCATAACCTTTAGCTTAGTCATGTTTATATGACCAAGCCGAGCATGCCATATAGAGGTATTGTCGTTTGTACTCATCTTCTCCACGTATGAGTTGGACGCAGATAAGACATATAGATCCTTAACCCGCGATCCGGTGTGAACCACATCCGCCTTTAACTCTTTAATATTCTTCAAGAATTTGACGTCTCTTGGGCCAAATAAAACGTAGTTACCTGAGTCTACTGCATTCACCACAGAGAGAAGATTCTTCCTTACTCCAGGGACATGGTATACATTCTTGAGGGTGATAGGGCTTCCATCTTCTCCTTCAATGACAACAGTCCCTTCCTTCTCGACCCGGTGAACTGAATTATCCGCGGTAATTATGGCTTCTTTTCCATCATGGCGCTGAAGACTAGAAAATAGCTTCTCGTCTCCGGTAATATGGTGGCTACAACCCGAATCCACAATCCAATCATTTTCAAGATTTTTAGTTGTGGATATACCTGAAGATGCAGCCTCCACCGTGAAGCATTTCCCCCATTCTTCGTCTTCAATATGACCTTTTGATTCTGCCATATTTGTCTCCTTCAGCTTGACTCGACAATCCTTTTTGAAGTGCCCAAGCTTTCCACACCGGTAGCACTTGAATCGCTTCTTATCTCCAGTAGAAGATCCTTCCGGTCCATCGATGTTCTTTGCACCATCGTATTTGGATTTGGCTTTGAAGTTGTGTTGCTTCCGAGCTACAAAGGCGCTCCCCGAGTCATCATGGATTTTGACTCCTGCCATTTGCGTAGCTAATGACTCTTGCGAAGCTAGCAGGTTCTCGAACTCCTCCAAGGAAGGTTGTGTAGCCCATCCTTGAACCGAAGTCACAAACGGTGTATACTCAGGTCGTAGACCTCGAATAATATACCGTTTTAAACGTGCTTCGGAAATTGACTCCTCCGGATTTAGAGTATTAATCTCTGAGCGAAGATTCTTTACCTTGATGAAAAACTCTGAGATTGAAGACTCCCCCTGCTTTGCATTCGCCAACTCGTTCTCTAACAGTTGTAGCCGAGCTTCATTCTTCTTGTTGAACAACTGATCTAACGCCTGCCAAATGGAACTAGCGGATGTGCAACTTGAGACATGCTCAAAGACTCCCGAGGATATTGACCTCTTCAATGCAAACTCCGCCTTGGCATTCTTCCGTGTCCACTCCTTTGTCGCTTCCGCTGTCGCAGCAGCTCCCCTTGGTGGTGTTGTGCTACTGCCGCCGACGACATCCCATAAGTCCTCACTCACCAAGTATGACTCCATGCATGACTTCCATAACCGGTAATTGGATTGGTTTAGAATCTCCATTCCCAACCCAACAACGCGACCCATTGACTCCATACTTAGAGTAAATCTGAGATCTCAATTAATCCGATCTTGAAAAAGAACCAGATCAGAATGGCTCTGATACCATGTAAAGAAAACACCGATAGTGCCAAGCACTAGCCCAAGACCGTAATACCCGAGAGATCCGAAAGAAACAAAGACCCTCTAAGTATGAATAATAAGATGAAAGAATACTTAGAGAAAACTTGAAGGAACTTTAGAGAGGATAAGAGAACTTATGAAGAACACTCTTTCTTTATTTGTTCAACTTCTCTTGTTTACAAATGATGGAGTAGTGGGCTATTTATAGGCTCCACTTATTACAAAATATCTTACAAACATTCTCCTAATCTCTAGAATTTTCTACAATAATATCTAGAATTTTAACTACAACATCTAGAATTATCTATAGAATTATCTAGATATTTAACTAATAGAATTCTCTAGAACATTTAAGAAAGATGATGATTTTTAGTGATGTTTCTAGAGATTCTAGAACTTGAGCTTAATTTTGGGCCTAATCTAAAAACTAATAATTATTTTATAAACCCAAAATTAAGCTTAACCCAAAATCAAGTTTAACTTCAATAGAAACTACAGAGTCTGAAGCTTGGAAGTTTCGGCGGTTTGTGGACAGATCTTTGATGTCCGGCGAAGGTCATGTTCTACAAAGTTTGCATCTCACATTAACTCTGAAGTGCACAGATGGAGATATCGCGTTTTGGGTTGGAGACGCGGTGAAACGTGGTCTAATGGAGCTGAAAATATCCAGCGTTTTGAGGCGCATTATGCCGAAAAGCGTGTATACCTGTGAAATACTTGTGGTTATGAACCTGTTCGGAGTTACTTTGGATGTTCCTGAGCTTGTTTGTCTAAGGTCCCTTAAAGCTTTGTCCCTCAAATATAGCGCTTTCCATCACGACAGTTGTCTCCTTAGACTTTTAGCCAACTGTCCTGTTCTTGAAGATTTGTTCATAGAAGCAATGTTCTACAAAATCGTTCTGATTCTCAAGATTGCGGGGCCTTCCTTGAAGAGATTCTCCTGGGTTAACATAAATCCACATTCTAGAAACACGGGACTTGTGTTAGATGCTCCTTCTTTGAACTACTTGCGTATTGTAGATTCTTTACGTAGCTTTTCATTTACCGACAGCATTAACATCCCTGAGGTGGTGGAGGCCGATCTTGAGGTTAAACTCAAGCGTCCGGAGAAGATTCTGCATTCTCTTGCTTCAGTGGAGCGTCTTCGCTTATGCTTATCAGCTTCAGAGGTAATTTTGTTTTAGTTATTCTTCCATCTTTTCAGCCTTACACTGCTCGTATGTTGATTTTGTCTCCTATCTTTTTTTTTTTTTTTTTTTATATGCAGGTTGTGAATCCCGTAGGTTGTTTCTTCCGTAGGCTCAAACGTTTGGAAGTATGTACATGCAAATCACTGTGGCTGGATCTGTTTATGCATCTGCTCAGAGATTCCCCTAGCTTGAAGGCAATCAAAATCAAACAGGTGTGTTTTATGATTATAAAGTCTCCTTGATGTATATATCTGTACTCCTGTTGTTGAGTTTATAAATTCTAATGCAATGTACATTGTAACCTTACTGATTCTCAGTGTCGTCATCCTGTTAAACATCCCCGGCCTTGCTGGAATCAACCGGGCTCTGTTCCGACATGTTTGTCCTCAAATCTTTGAAACTTTTGAGTGGTCGAACTATAGAGGGACACAAGAAGAGAAAGAACTTTCGACCTATATCTTGAAAACCGCAGTTTGTTTAAAGAAAGCAAGATTCACCGCTCGTTCCTCTGATCCCGTGAAGAAACTGCGAATGCTCCAGGAGCTATCCTTGTCGCCAAGGGTTTCATCTATGTGTGAGATTGTGTTCAACTGAAAATTCATGGTGATCACTCTCAGACACAAAACCTATATAGATGCTTGTTGACAAGTCTTCTTCTCGTGTTCTTTTGGCTAAATTCTCGTATCTGCAAGATTTTCATCTTATTCTGATCTTTGTAAGCAATAACAGCTATATTACCTGCAACTACTTTTTTCTTTTTTCTTGTTCCTTTTTCTCTTTGGAGTTTTGAGAATTTTAGGTTTGATGTTATACTCTGATGTTCAACGGTACTTTATCGACAGAGTCACAGAAAGATTTAAATGTTAAACTGTTAACTTCAAACCCAAAATCCTGTTCAGTCTGAAAATTTAGAACTTGCATTATTGAAAAGTAAGCGCCATTTGTGTACGATATTAAGTACTTTTTGGAACATGTTTTTTTTATGTCATTACCACCGCTTGAATATCTTGATGATACCGAGTCCAACATATTTCGGCGCCAGTAATAGAAAGCTTGTGCTTTAAGTTAGGTCATACTTGTAGTGCTCTGGATATTCGGACATGGGTTGAACAGGCACTCCGTTTACGTAAGCTTGACATTCTTCTTTCCTGCTGTTTATATGTTTTTCAGACTTTCTTACTGTAATTGTTTTTATATAAATATATGCAGCATGCGTATCCCAAAGGAATAAACTTTCACCGACTTAACAACTTGAAAGGCTATTGGACATGTACAATAGGTTTTGGGCCCAAAAAGGCTGTTTGGTAAATTAACCAGCCCTATATAAGAATAGGCTACTTTTTTTCAATTGAGAGGGCCAGTAGGACCCAAAAAGGTTTACGAGGTTGAAGTGAAATCCGAATTTCTTGTTATTCATTCCGAATATATATATTAGCTTTTTAATGGAATGAAAAACAAAAAGATTGCATCCTAACTGAAATTAGGGTTCAGAGGTGAGTCACTTTCCTACTATCTTCAGAATATGAATAGCATCAGATGATATTTTGTGTGTGTATGTGTACTTTCAATCTCTCTTTTGTGGCTTTGTCTAGTTTGAGAAAAAACAACTAGGAAACTAAACTGAAACATGTTCTCATCGTTTCGTATCTAATTTAGGGTTTTCAAATTTCTTTGTTTTCGACAACAACAAATAAAGGGATTAAAAACCCCCATGGAGTGTTCTATGAACAGAATCAGTTTCTTGCCGGATGATTTACTCTTGGAGATACTTTCATTGCTTCCTACAAAAGATGTCTTGACCACAAGTCTTCTCTCGAAACGATGGCGGAATCTTTGGAGGCAGGTTCGTAAACTAAAGTACTGTGATAGGAATGCTGATTATTGGAGATTTGTCCGGTCTGTGGACAGGTCATCGCTGTCAAGCACAGCTCCGGTCCTAGAAAGCTTGCATTTCAAAATCGGTTGGCAATGTAGCGATGTAGATATCGCATTTTGGGTTAAAATTGCATTGGAACGAGGTTTGCGTGAGTTGAGTTTCTGTTCACCTAATAACAAACCTAAAAAGTTACCTAAGAGCTTGTTTACTTGCGGAACACTCGTGGTGCTTAAACTCGCCAATGTATCGCTTGCGGATGTTACATTCCCGGTATGTTTTCAGCTCCTCAAAACGTTGCATCTTAGTTGAGTGATTTACTTAAACGATGATACCCCTCGAAAGCTTTTATCAAGCTGCCAAATTCTTGAAGTCTTGGTCGTGAACAGGCAAGAAGATGACAATGTTACAACATTTTCTATTATGGTGCCTTCATTACAAAAGTTAATCTACGATGCAAGAGTTGCTACTCATAAAGGTGATTCTGAGTTTGTGTTGAATGCTCCTTCTTTGAAGTTCTTAAAGATTTCGGATCTCAGTAACGAGTGTATGGTTGAGAGAATGCCTCAGCTTGTGTCTGCAAATGTTGGAGCTACCTATTGGAATACCGACAAAATCCTCAGTGCTCTTACATCACTCAATAGTCTCTCGCTATGTTTGCCCTCAGAGGTAACTTAATGTTTCCTTGGAAGTAGAAACCCATATATATCTGTAACAAATTACATTAGACTGTATAGTTTTTCCGACTGGTGAAGTCTTCCATCAGCTTGTCGAGTTGGAGTTTTGCACATTTGAAACAGAGTGGGATCTACTTATGTCTATGCTCAAACTTTCTCCGAATCTACGAGCTCTCAAACTCAACGAGGTAAAACATTAATTTCAAAACCCTTATAACTTTGTGTGTTTTTGTCGATATCATCATCTCTAAAAATATTTGATAGTGGTCTAATGTATATTCAGAGGCATGGTGTTGTTTCTGAAGAAGGAGTGTATAATAGGGATGAGCCGAGTTCTGTTCCTGAAACGTTGATGTTTGGCCTTCAAACTCTAGAGTGGAGAAAGTATAGAGGATGGAAGAGAGAGAAACAACTCGCGACGTTTATCTTGAAACATTCTTGTCGTTTAAAGACAGCGATTATCTCACCACGATCCACCACTTTGGAGAGGAAACATGTAATGCTCACAGAGTTGGCACTTTTGTCTAGAGGTTCAACGACATGTCAGCTTGTGTTTGGCTGAAACTTTGAAACCATCTGATTCAAGCAAAAAACCTTAAACGAGTTTTTTGGCATCTCTTACACGATTTGCTTTGTTTCTCTCGTTTGTTACACCTTTTCATTTTAATTGACGTTTTCGCCTTTAATTCAAGTAAATTAAAGCTAAAGTGATTAGTATTTTACTGTTTTTTTTGTTGTATTTTTTTTTTGAAAAAGATTTTACGAGGCATGAAAAAATAGATGCTATTAATTAGTTATTGAGGATCCTCAGATCATTAGGAAAGCACACATAGTCAAATATTTTCAATTAACGACAACTACATGTTTCGAAATCAATGTTGCAAACACCTTTCTTTGGACGACAAAAGTGATTACAATCAGCGTCCGTTGAGCACGGTGGTCCGACGCTTCTCCGTAACCTATTCACCACCCGTGGCTGTGGCGGTGGGGAGCAATTACAATGTATTGGTGACATGCATTCGCATTGTTTCCGCGGCGGCATGGCTAGTAGCCCTGTTCCACAATATATAAGTTTGATAAGTTAATTATATTCACTAGAGAATAATATATATAAAGCTACCTTAACTAGATAAAAAAACAGACCAGGTGATAATATCAAGAGGATGCAGACGCATGCAGAGATAGCTAGGTAGAAACTGATCTTCGTCATGTGTATATACGGTTTGTTGTTTCTATTTTCTAGTGACTGCAATATTTTTGTCTTGTCAATTTTGTTAACTTATTTATAGGCCAAGGTGTTTATTTATACCCTTTTTTCCTTTGTCATCAGGTCAAGGTGTGAAAATTAAGAAAACATTTTTCCCTTTATAAATCTAGCTAGTTTCTTAATGTAGTGCCTAGAACTCTAAGAAGAATTCCAAAATTGCATTTTAGTATTAGTGTGTTTGTTATCTAAAAGCTACATTTAGATTTAACAGTTTAACAAATAATTTAGAATTTTAGTTCTTGTAATATTTTATGTAGATTTTGTGGGAAAAATATACTGCTTTACTCATTAGAAAAAGAAAAACAATGGTCTAGCATTTATCACACATGGATTGTATTCTCTACCCTAGATATGATTTTACACTTTTTCCTCAAGTCAACTCATTGTGATTTAATTTTGCGGAAAACTTGCCAAATGGCCAATGATAATAATACTATAAAGTATTTGGTTTTAATTGGGGCAGGAGAATAAGCTGAATTGAAAGAAAAGACAAGTTGCGGGCTCGAGGTGGAATGGATCGTAATCGCTTACGTTACGAGAGGTGGAACAAATTGTGTACTTGCACGAACAAGTTTTTTTATAAAAAAAAAAAATCAAGAATTTGCATTCATAGAGGTGATTATCGAGATAGTAAGCTTGCCGTGGAGTATAGAGCATCGTACATATATGCGACATGCATAAACTGCTGATACGAATTTTTATCGATACTTTATTTTATTCAGGATACCACTTCTTTATATATATGAACAGCACGGTGGTCCACTGTTGATCGCTGCATTTAGCGACCAGCAACATTTTGTATGAAAAAAGTTCATTGTCACACAATCACACTTACAAATATTAATTTTTTGGGATCAAATCATTCATCTACAATGGTATGACACAAAGATATGAACTAACTTTGATAAAACTATTTCATTAAATTCTTTTAAAATTCAATTGCTAGTGGCCAATGATGCACTCAATTCATTGACTACTTTGATACAAAGATATGATTTAGCAACGAATCAATATTTTTTTAGTTGGGCAAAGTCAATCTGACTAATTCATTGACTTTTCTTTTTAAGTTCAATTGGTAAGAACATGTCGTCCTTAAACATCAACAAATTACTGTCATGCCATACCAACAATTAGCTTTACTTTAACACTATCGGCTAATGGTCGTGGTCGAGGAATACAATAAGGTACGAATGAACATAATAAATAATTTGGCAGTATTCGTTAATTGCATCTAACAACAGTCGCTTCATTTCGACTTTTTAATATCTGACTTAACAAGCCTTTTATTTGGTTAGGCAATGCGACACATTTTAAAAGCGATAAGGCGTTAAACTCCAACTATAAAGATAGAATGTCAAAAACAATTAGTAAGAGGCCTCAGAGATCTTGGTGGTTAAACATTCATCAAGTGAAGAATTTCTTCATCAAGAGTAGCAAATATTTTGATTGCATCACCGGCCACTATCAAATATATAATCAATAAGACTCATGTTTTTCAAAACAAAACAGAAAAAAATCAAAAAAAGAGAATTGATGATGATGAGTCAAAAGTAGCTGGTAAATAATCACTTAGAATTCATAGGGAATCCGAATGAATTTTTTCATCATCCTCATCATCAACAATATGTCAATCACTCAAAAACATTCAAAATACACTAAAGATATTGATCGATCTACTTATCATCAAGGCAGAAAAAATAAACAAATTACGAGAATTCGATACAGAGATTGATACATGTATCTGCCTAGTGACCGAAGATCCTTCGAAAAAAGAAAACTCGGATATTAAAAGGCAGATCAAGCTCACGGAGGTACGTAAGCTTACCGGAGTAATCAAAATCCATCATCTCTTTTGCCTAACGATAGATTCCTTGATCCACTTTGTAGATCAAGTAATTGCAAATTAGGACTACTTTACAAAATCCACAAAATAAAATACTGGAAAAATCGTTTTTCGTATAACAACTGACAAAATAGCAAATCGGTAAAAAGTTTGAGCCGCAGAAAAAGAATTGATTGGATATCGTTTACCTTAGAAGATGAGAATCTATATATACGCAGTGATGAGGATGTGGATTTCAAAAACCCTAGTTCTTAAGGCCGTCATAGTTAGGTGTGAGCTTCTTTTTTCTGTTATAAGCCCATTAGATAAGTAAGCCCATAATTAGGCTTGGCTGTAGTTATTGAAATCGAAGATTAGCAAAAACGCAAATAAAAAATAATGGCCCATGCAGGTTTCGAACCTGCGACCTTCGCGTTATTAGCACGACGCTCTAACCAACTGAGCTAATGGGCCAATTTGATTTAATAGCTAAATCGAAAGTATAGAAAGCTAAATTATTGCAATTATGCTCACGGGGTGTGCTTAGCTGAAACTGAGTCGTTTTGTCAAACTTGTTTCTCTCAGACACACTACACTTCAATTTCTCGTGGCCAAATCTGTGCTCCGTTCTTTCTCCGGTTTCGATCTCGAAGAAGATGAGAGTAGTAGCATCTTCCTCTGTCTCATTCTCTCTGCAACTATCCTTTCTTCTTCTTCTTCTCCTTGCTTTTGCTATTAGATCGAGCTCGTCTTCATTGAACGATCCGTTTCTCGGCATTTCTCCTCAAGGTTTGCTTTCTCTTTCTCCCTTACTGCTCATTGGAGATCCGATTCGTTTTTGCTTGAGATCTCCGCCCCCAAATAATTCTCCGATTTCAACTTTGGTTTTCGTCTATTCTCGTTGGCTGTTGATTTCTTACCTTATGTTGATTGTTTTCCGTGGATGTATAGATGAGAAGTATTACAAGTCATCTTCGGAGATAAAGTGTAAGGATGGATCAAAGAAATTCACGAAAGCTCAGCTCAACGATGATTTCTGCGACTGTGCAGACGGAACCGACGAGCCAGGTTCCTTTCATTCTCCTCCCAATTTCATCTTCTTGCAATATCTCCCCTTAGTGTTTAGCCACACAGTTTGCTGGATTATGATCCGAGGATTGCATTTCAGTTTCATTGTGAATTCAAATCTATGATTGAAGCTCTACTTTGGGGACTATATGTGTGATTGGATCATCTGTTTACGTTGCTCTATGTGTTGGAAACTCCAGGTACATCAGCTTGCCCAAACGGAAAGTTCTATTGTCGGAACGCAGGCCACTCTCCATTAGTTTTGTTTTCTTCCAGAGTCAACGATGGCATATGTGGTATGTTACTCAATCTATACAACTCCTTACATTTAATTTCTGCTGATACTATCAGATGTACTTATGGTTGCAATGGTTTGTTTACCCATGAGAGCAGATTGTTGTGATGGAAGTGATGAGTATGATGGTAAAGTGACGTGCCCAAATACATGCTGGGAAGCTGGAAAAGCTGCTCGAGAAAACCTGAAGAAGAAAATCGAAACATATAATCAAGGGCTTGTTATAAGGAGGAAGGATATCGAGCAGGCGGAAGTGGGTCTGGAGAAAGATGAAGCAGAGTTGAAGAAGCTGAAAAGCGAGGAGAAAATTTTGAAAGGCCTTGTTCAACAGCTGAAAGGTTCGCTCTTTTCTCTTTTGATGGCTTTTTTGGCAAATGGCATGAGAGTTAAGATTTTGTTTTCATCTTAGAGAAACTTGAATGGAACATATGGTATAATCATGTGATAATCAGTGTATTGGATTGTGAAAGCAGAACCCTGCATATAAGTGTAGTTAGATGCCTGATACGCCTCTGGATCAGTTCTTAAAATTTTCTTGTAGTTGACGCAGTGGAATCTGATAGGATCATCAACTTCTTGCTCTTTCAATATAACTGGCTATGATTGACTGCAGATGATAGAGACGGAATTGTGCCTTAAACATTGTTGGTCTTATCAATAAAAAGCTTGACATTTCCGTCGGATTTCTTCTTCTGTAGAACGTAAAGAACAAATTGAGAAAGTAGAGGAGAAGGAGCGTTTACAGAAAGAAAAGGAGGAGAAGGAAAGAAAAGAGGCTGAATTAGCTGCCCAGCCAGGAAAGGTGGACGGTGAGGAGAAGACAGGTGACAATGAAAAAGTTGAAGGAAGCACAGATGAGGAAGGGACGCCTGGAGATTCACATCACGATGAAAATGCACATCATGATGAGATTGGTAATTACAAGGATTTTCCTTCAGTTGAGGTTAGTTCTTCTCTTGTAAACTGAAATAGATTGGCACGCTTTCTTCTTCTTTATTTTGGTTTAATTTCGTTTTTTAACTAGTTAAGGAGTCAAACCATGAAAAACAGCTTATCAGACCATTCGCCAATATTCTAGCCCCTTTGTTGATTTCTCTTGTTTTGCACAATTGTTGTGTCGTTCAAGTGGGTACTGAATTAATCTTTGAGTTCAGGAGCCAGCAGCTGAAGCTGAACCAACAAGTATATTGGAAGAGGCTACTCACACTGATCCAACAGACGAGGTTTGAAAATTTATTTCAATCATATGCTCTTTCCTAAAAGGGGAGCGGTATGTTACTTGGAAGTTTGATGATGATATAAGGTTGTCTACAATGCAGCATGTTGTGGAGACGAAGGAGGAATCTCCCTCATCTGAGGATTCCGTCACAGATGGATCTCAAAATGATGATGGTAGTACCAAAAAGGAGGAATCAGACGAGGTGAAAAAAGAGGTAATTTACTTTGAATTTCGTGCTAAGTGCTTACGAAAGATAGTCATATATCTGATTATAGTTCTCTGAGAATAACTCTGTCCTTTTGAGACTCGTATGTTGCATTTTCTTCAATAACTCTGCCCGTTTTGAGTTATATCTTGTAGATTTTTGAATTTCTTACTTTATCATGACGTCCAAGTACTACTCTACGCTCTGTTTATAGGAGGATCTTGTATCCGAGAAGAAGGAAGAGTTGTCAAAGGAGGAGTTGGGGCGTCTTGTTGCTTCTCGTTGGACAGGAGAGAAATCTGATAAGCCAGCTGAGGCAGATGAGAGCCCTCAAGCTGATCATCAGGAAAACCATGAGCATACACCCATCACTCCACATGAAGTAGATGAGGATGATGGATTTGTTTCAGATGGTGACGAGGATACCGGAGAAGATGGGAAATACAGCGACCATGATCCCGAAGATGATTCCTATGAAGAGGAGGATCGCCATGATTCTAGCACGTCCTACAAATCTGATGCAGAAGATGACGTCGATTTTTCAGGTTTGCACACTATTACCACAGATATTTGCGTTATTTAGAGATGCTAATCATCTATCATTGTAAGTATGACATGATTGAATTTGGTTACGTATAGAGACAATCTCAAATCCTACTTGGTTGGAGAAGATACAAAAGACTGTCAAGAACATTTTACAGGCTGTGAATTTGTTCCAAACTACCCCAGTGGACAAATCAGGTAAACTAATAGTATAGAACTTCCACTAATAGTAAAACCAAGAGACGTATTTCTTCAGTGATTCATCTGTTGCGTTGTGGTATATGCAGAGGCTGATCGGGTACGCAAGGAATACGATGAGTCGAGCTCAAAACTGAACAAAATACAGTCAAGGGTATCGAGCTTAGAAAGGAAGCTAAAACAAGACTTTGGTCTGTATGATAAGACATCCTTAACCTTCACTTACGTTTGCCTTTCTTTGAGTTAGTCGTTAATGTGTTTTCACTACAGGACCGGAGAAAGAGTTCTATTCATTCCACGGTCGTTGTTTTGAAAGCAAACAGGGCAAGTAAGGAAAATCTAAGCAATTCATACTCCTCTTCTTTTCCTTAGTAGCATTATTATCAGGGATTACAGTTACGTTTATCTTATACGTTATTACATTAATAATGTCTAGGTATACTTACAAAGTCTGCGCATATAAAGAAGCAACGCAAGAGGAGGGCTATTCGAAAACTCGTTTAGGGTAAGTGTCGTTGCCATTGTATATTTTCCGCGCTTGCAGATCTCTTTCATGATATACATATATAGAGGAATTAGTTTGAAGTTGACAATCAGATATCAGTAACTATCTTATCTCTGTGTTCATGTTTATAGTTGTAAGCTTAAATGTTTCGATTAATGTGATTTGCTTAATAGGGAGTGGGAGAAATTCGAGAACTCGTACCAGTTCATGACATATACAAACGGGGATAAGTGCTGGAACGGTCCCGATAGAAGCCTAAAAGTAAGTGTTTGAAAAACGTTAAATCGGAAAAAAATTGTTCAAATATATTTTTAGCTCCAACTATCAAAAGCTTGAGAATTGAGTTTTTGGGCTTGTAAAGATGACAGAGACACGAAATAAAAGCTTGGCTAATTCTTGGCATGCAGATTAAGCTAAGATGTGGGTTGAAGAATGAGCTTATGGACGTCGATGAACCAAGCCGTTGCGAGTAAGTTCTTGTCTTGGTCCTTACCTTTCACATGTCATCACCTTTTATCTCCGGTTTTTCTTTTATTTTTTCCCTTACTAATGTCTTTCTTGTTGCAGATATGCAGCGGTCTTATCTACTCCAGCTCGGTGTTTGGAAGACAAACTTAAGGTAAGTCTATGTGTTCATCTCAAATCTCAAACATACTTGCACTCGTTGTTAAAAATTATATAACCCGACCTTTCGTCGTCTTTTTATAGGAGCTACAACGGAAGCTCGAGAAGCTGATGAACCAAGACCAACCTCAGAAGCACGACGAACTCTGATCATGTTCACCTGAAATAATTCTTACCGGATGCGCACCATATAGATTTGTGTCAGTTAGACTACTAATCTTTGCTCAATCTCGAACGTCATCAAGAGGACAAACAAACAAAACTATGAACTGAGACGTTTTTTGGTCGGAAGAGAATGATAGGGTCAAGTTTGTCTCATTTGGGTTCAGTGGAGGTTTTATTTATCAACAGCATTTTAAACAATGTTCAACTTTGGGTTAAGGCAAAGAACAATTCCTATATATATACAAACATGAAGAATGATGGCTAATTTTGGGGGGTGTTAAAATTATTCGTGATAAATATGGAACTCGTTCACTTTAAGCTCAGATAGTAGTTTTTTATAGATCCTACCTAATCAAGAGGTAGGTTTGGTTCGGGTTTTGTCTTTTTATATAATGCTTCAAAATTTCTGATACTTTATTTTTAAAAATGCCAATTCGAAAAGAGACAAACTCCAACATTGTAATTTTTCTAGATTTTTTTTAATTTTATCATTACCAATATACAAATTTTTTTTGTTAAAAATATACAATATTCCTCATCTTTGAATTATGTAAATTAAAACTCAACAGAAACAGATTATATAAAAATGAATCATGTAAAAGGCATCATATAATATATAAAAGTTGATGGCATAGTGCATTGAGGGCGTCCATATGAGATTAAAAAATTCGATCTGATTGGTTTACATTATCGTTTTTCATTAATCACAAAAATATTAAGCATGATTATGATGAAGAAACTCAATATGATTAGTCCACATCAGCGTCTTTCAATAAACATAAAAATATTAAATTTGATTAAAACATTACAAAATTAATTTCTATTTTTTAAATACTAATAGGACAAAGAAACTCAATCTGATTGGTCCTCATTATCATTTTTCATTAATCACAAAAATGTTAAGTATGATTAAGATGAAGAAACTCAATATGATTGGTCTACATCATAGTCTTTCATTAAACATAAAATATTTAATTTGATTAAAATATTACAAAATTAATTTCTATTTTTTAAAAATATGAATTTTGTTTTTTTTAAACTCAATCTGATAGGTCCACATCAGCATATTCATTAAATGAAAAGATGTTAAGTATGATTATGACGGAAAAACTTGATTTAATTGGTCAACATCAGTTTTATAATCAAACCAAAAATTATTAAGTATAATTAAATATTAAAATTTAATTTAACAAATTATGTCCAACGAAAAAAGTAAATTCAATATGATTGATCCAAATCAACATATTTATTAAATTAGAAAATATTAATATGGTTTAAAATTTTAAAATTTAAATAAAAAATTAACAATTAACAATTATCAATTAAACAAAATATGCAACAACTCGATTTAACAATTAAAACAATGAAAACTGAATAGAAACTCAATCTGATTGGTCCACATCATCGTTTTTCATCAATCACAAAAATATTAAGTATGATTAAGATGAAGAAACTCAATATGATTGATCCACATCAGCGTCTTTCATTAAACATAAAAATGTTTAATTTGATTAAAACATTACAAAATTAGTTTCTATTTTTAAAAAATATTAATAGGACGAAGAAACTCAATCTGATTGGTCCACATCATCATTTTTCATTAATCACAAAATGTTAAGTATGATTAAGATGAAGAAACTCAATATGATTGATCCACATCATCGTCTTTCATTAAACATAGAAATGTTAAATTCGATTAAAACATTACAAATTTAATTTCTATTTTTTTAAATATAAATTTTGTTTTTTTAAACTCCATCTGATAGGTCAACATCAGCATATTCATTAAATGAAAAGATGTTAAGTATGATTAGGACAGAAAAACTTGATTTAATTGGTCCACATCAGTTTATTAATCAAACCAAAAATTATTAAGTATAATTAAAATATTAAAACTTAATTTAAAAAATTATGTCCAACAAAAAAAAAGTAAATTCAATCTGATTGATCCAAATCAATATATTTAATAAATTAGAAAATATTAATATGGTTTAAAATTTTAAAAGTTAAATAAAAAAGATTAACAATTAACAATTAACAATACATGTATAAAAAAGTAACTATTATCAATTATCAATTTTTTAAAAAATCTACAACAACTCGATTTAACAATTAAAACAATGAAAACTGAATCAAAATATAACATAAAACTCTTGGAAGACATGATGGAGAAGGAAAAATAGTTTTGCATGATCATTACAGCTTCCTAACAAAATTAAATGCGAATCAACATGAATCATTGATTATATATGCAGTGGTACACAACATCAGTAAGACTTTCAATAAAAAGCTAAATATTTGAATACATAAACCTTCAAAAAGAAAAAATTATAGAAATTCTATGGAAAACAGAAAATAATATCAAAATCTTAGCATAATTATATTTCTCTAAATCAAATGTATATGTACGTCAATGTTGAATAATTCGATAGGTGTCATTGTTATTATTTTACTTAATAGTTTTTTAAAATTTATAAATAAAAATAGGATAAATTACATACTATATATTAAATTCTCATATATAAATGAAAATTTCTATAAATATATTATATTTTTAATAATTTTAAAGATGGTAGTTAAAAAAAATTAAACCAAAATATTAATATGCGTAGCGGGAATGTATATATAAATAACCAGTTAATTATAATTTTTGACTAGAAATATCAGTTGAAAAACCATGGCCCGACAATGGATCGAGAAGGCATAAAAAGGTAAACGAAACGAATATTATTAGTAGTAAACAATGTGCGTCACCCCTTTATAAAAACGTAAACCGGTGGTAAGCAATGATATGAACGTATCGGTGTTTTGTTGACCCAATCCTAAACCGGTAACAAGCAATAAATGTATCGGCCATTTGTTGACCCAATCTAAACCAGCGACCTTTAATTTTTCATTTTTTCACCTTAAAAGTCAAAAAAAAAAGAAGAGACAGAGACTCACAGTTCGCTCATAACCCCCAAAATCCGCAGATTCTCTCTCTCTTTTTTCCTTGTTCTCCAAGCCAGATCTCTCTCCATAAATCTCTCTTCATCTCTGTTTCTTGACTAGCATCTGCGATCCTCGCTTGTAACTGTTTTTTTCCTCCTTTGAAGTCGCTGTTTCCCTCTTACGATGTCGATGGCGATGATAGAGCAAAGGCCGAAGACGAAGATTGTGTGTACTCTGGGTCCAGCTTCCAGATCCGTTCCGATGGTCGAGAAGCTTCTCAGGGCGGGTATGAACGTCGCTAGGTTTAACTTCTCCCATGGATCTCATGAGTATCATCAAGAGACTCTCGACAATCTCCATCAAGCTATGCTCAACACTGGGATCCTTTGCGCCGTCATGCTCGACACCAAGGTGAGTGAATCAACCTCACTTACATGTACATAGATTCTGTGTTTCTGCTGTGAACTGTGCGTTTTCGTCTCACTTCGCCTCTGTTTCTGATTCCAATTTCATCTTCTTTGACCCCTGATTCGACTGTGATCTGAATTCCTAGGGTTTGTGAGATTTATGCTGTTTTTCTGGGTTTCTAATTGGTTTATTTCCAGTTTTCGATCTGCAAAACTGACGCGTGTGTTTTCTTTTTCCTATTGATTCTGTTGAATGTAATTTTATGCCTCTTTTGTATTCATCTATGTTTGGTACAGGTTTTCTGTTTTTGTCTGTTTATGCCATTTCCTTTGATAGACTCTTTTCTATTTCAACTCATGCTAATTAAGAGCTCTTACAAATATAATTATTTTGGCTTTTTATATTTTCCAGGAAATTCCTAAATATGTTTTGAATTGTGAATCTAGGAGATCTGTGAGCCACTGGTTTTTTGTGGTGTTGTACATGTTTCCAGTCAGGACTTGAATTAGATCAAATCAGCTTAGAAGAGTTAAAGGTTGTTGTAGAGACCAAATTTAGCAATTGATGTTAGCCTTTAGCTAAAACTAGTGGGAAGATGTTAATACAAATTTGATAGATAACTGAGAAACCTGTAATTGTGGAGAGTGGTGGTAAACGATGTTCATGAATTGCTCTCTCTGGTCTGTGATTATGGTTTCTGTGGGCAGATAAGTTAATTAGTGTTTAAAGTATATAGGCAAAATGCAACTCAGATTGGTGTTTAAATTAGATCTCCTTAGCTCGACTTGTTTCTTGTAAACGTTAATGTCACACCTGCTTCGTGTATGTTTAGATCAAGGCAGTCATGTCCACAATTCAAGAATAAAAAAGAGACTTACAATTATCAAGTTGGAAGAAGATAGTGTTGAGATAGACAATGTTCTTGAATTGCTCTCTGGGCTGGATTATGATTATTTAGCCCAATTAGTGTGTGAAGTAGAAGATATAGCCTAATTTCAACTGATGCTCTCACTCTTACTTGATGATTTCTCTTGTCAACTTATTTCTTGTACATATGTGAATGTCACACCTGCTTCATGTATGTTTTCTGATTATGCTAAAGAACGATTTCGTATTTTCTCTTGTACAGGGTCCAGAAATCCGAACCGGGTTCTTGAAAGATGGGAAACCAATCCAGCTGAAACAAGGCCAAGAGATCACCATTTCGACTGACTACGACTTGAAGGGTGACGAGAACACGATCTGCATGAGCTACAAAAAGCTGGCTGTAGATGTGAACCCAGGGATGGTCATACTCTGTGCCGATGGTACCATTTCGTTGCTTGTCCTCTCTTGTGACAGAGAGAATGGCACAGTACGTTGCCGCTGCGAGAATTCTGCGATGCTCGGTGAGAGGAAGAATGTTAATCTCCCAGGTGTTGTGGTGGATCTGCCAACTCTAACTGAGAAAGACAAAGAAGACATCATGCAATGGGGAGTCCCGAATCAAATCGACATGATTGCTCTGTCCTTTGTCAGAAAAGGTTCAGACTTGGTTCAGGTCCGGAAACTACTCGGAAAGCACGCTAAGGACATTCTTCTCATGTCAAAGGTATGTTAAAGCCAAAGCTTCTCTTTCCGGTTTAAGAAAGTACAGGAACAATTTTTTTGGATTGTGATTGTTTTGTGTTAATCTTCGTTTTGATGGATTAGGTTGAGAACCAAGAAGGTGTGGCGAATTTCGATGACATTTTGGTCAATTCCGACGCGTTTATGATTGCAAGAGGAGATCTCGGTATGGAAATCCCGATTGAGAAGATATTCTTAGCTCAGAAAGTTATGATCTACAAATGCAACATCCAGGGAAAACCTGTGGTCACAGCGACTCAGATGCTCGAGTCCATGATCAAGTCTCCTCGACCCACAAGAGCTGAAGCGACAGACGTAGCAAACGCTGTCCTCGACGGCACGGACTGCGTCATGCTCAGTGGCGAAACCGCAGCTGGAGCTTACCCTGAGCTAGCTGTGCGTACAATGGCCAAGATATGCGTTGAAGCGGAGAGCACACTCGACTACGGTGATGTCTTCAAGAGAATCATGCAGTACTCTCCTGTTCCAATGAGCCCGCTCGAGTCACTCGCGTCCTCTGCAGTGAGAACCGCTAACTCAGCTAGAGCCACACTCATCATGGTTCTAACCAGAGGAGGAAGCACGGCGAGGCTTGTGGCTAAGTACAGACCAGGAATGCCTATATTATCTGTCGTTGTTCCCGAGATCAAAACCGACTTCTTCGACTGGTCTTGCAGCAACGAATCACCCGCGAGGCACAGCCTCATCTTCCGTGGTCTGATCCCGGTACTCTACGCAGGGTCTGCAAGAGCCTCGCACGATGAATCGACAGAAGAAGCTATTGAGTTTGCGACACAGTACGGGAAAGAGAAGGAGCTGTGTAAGACTGGAGACTCCGTTGTTGCTCTACTCCGAGTTGGTAATGCTTCCGTTATCAAGATCTTGACCGTCAAGTGATGATGAATACGATCTATAAAACAATCCCGTTTTTGGCGTTTTGGCGTTTTGGGAACGCAACTATAAGGCGTTTTATTATGAATTCTATTTCAAGATTGTGATTAATATCTTGAGATTAGAAAACTCAAGTTCTCTTTCTTGCTAATTACTACTGTGGTGACCAGTGAATCCACTTACGGTTCTTTTTTTATGGATTATTGGTTGTATTGAACTAATGGATCATACACGTATCTATTTATCATAATTTCTTCTTCGTTTTTTAAAAAATATTTCTTTTGGTATTATACGACGGAAATAATGGTGAAAATATATTCCATGCTCTTATTCGTTAGAAGACAGAGCATGAGGACAAAAAAAACAGAGACAGCGCATGAAACCCATACAAAAATCAGTCCGACAAAGATTTAATCATTATCTCCAGTTTCGTAAAATTTTCATCATTATTTGGGGCTTCATACTGAAATAAATTTGTATATTTAAAACACTCAGAAAAACTGGAAACGAAATTTGATCATCTCTGTGAAAAGTCTTTGAACATGAAAGATTGAATCATCATCTCCCATATAAAAATCATTCCGACAAAGATGTAATGATTCTCTCTATTTTGTAGCATTTTCATCATTATTTGGACATGATTGACATACTTCATATTATAAAGACACAAATATCAAAAAAATGGAAACGATGGAGACACACAAACCGAATTTGATCATCTCTGTACAGCAACAATGAAAGAAGATTGAAACAATAATACCTCCAGACTCCATAGATTTTTCTTAGTTCAACAATCTGAGTGAAAGAACATCTTTTTCTTTTGTATGTACATTAAAAGCTGAGAATGAAATACAGAGAACAAAACAAATTCAAGAGCTATAAAATGAGAAGATGGACAGAACAACAAAAGTAAGAACAAGAACAAAACCAAGATGTTTTTAGTTTCTGGATGTTTTGTTCTCTATGCTTTTATCAGCGAGAAGAGCCAGAAGATCTTGAGTAGGAATTGTTCTCACCAGATTGAGATCCAGAGGATGAAGAAGACGAAGAAGAAGAAGAAGAAGAGAACAAACCACTGAATGGCCATGGAAACGAAAACCTTCTTCCATTCCCGCTCCTCGTATCATCCTCTCTTCCTCTCTCCACACTGCCCACATTCTCAACAACGTTTCGGTTACTGATCTCAGGAAGGGCTCTTGTCCTCGCTGGTCTCTCCGATTCAACCTTAGCCTCATCATCATCATCATTCGGGGAAGGAAGCTCGAACCGACACACGGGACACGAGCTATGAAGCTCAAGCCACGGGACAATACATGGGATATGAAACTTATGCTTACAAGGCATCTCTTTAGCTTCCGTTCCTTTCTCAAAATCGTCCAAACAAACAGAACACTGCAACGGTTCCGTTATCTTCACCGTTGGTAAAGCTTCAACGGCTTCTTTACGAGCAGGTGGTGTCCCTTGCCTATTAGGATCATTCTCAGCCAAATGCTGAAGCAAAAGATCTAATCCTGGTCCGATGAAGTAATCTCCAAGTGAAGTCAATGCAGAATGGTTCTGAGTTTGATCAGAAGATCCCTGAACAACGAGCGACTGATTAAACGGATTGATCATTATAACTCTATTGCTGTTATGATCCCTCTCTCGATTCTCCCAGTGATTATCAGAGCTCTCATACTCAGAAGCGATCCCTGCACGAATCCCTTGAAGCAGCTGCAATATGTTCCCCGAGCTTCTTCGTCTTCTCCTCAAGATGGATTCAAACTCTCTATCCAAATCAATCTCTCCACCATGTCGCCTAGCTCGATGAGGACGATACACATTACTGCTGCTGTTATCGTTTCCATCAGCGTTACTCGATTCATCGCCATTGTTGTTGGTATTATCATCATCATCGTTCTCTTCGCCAAACTCTGCTCTCCTGAACCTTCTTCGTCTCCGAGGACTGCTCATCATCCCAAGCAAGATTGGAGCCCACAGAGACATTGCACGGTCTGTTCCGAAATCGGTTTCTGGGTCTTGAGCGTCTCTTATGCCTCCACCTCCACGGCCATTACCGCTCATTTCTTCCACGAACCCGCTTTGGCAAAAGGGACATTTGATCTCAGATTCCATTATTGGATTCACCGTTTGTGAACACATGTGACACCAGTACCTAGCCGCCATTGTTTCCTCCATATGTTCGTCTCCTCCTTCACCTCCCCAAGATCTCTAGGATTCTGCAAACAAGAAGGATGACACAATGAAACTCTCTGTTATCTGCCTATCTATCTTCCAGTTCTGTTTTTAATTCAGATCTAGGACACAAGAGAATCGTATCCCTTAAAAGTTTCGAGCTTTACACTAGTATCGATCTTAAATGAGGAAAATTTGCCATCAATGTCCCAACTTTAATGATTTTGACCAATCATCTACAAGATTCAGACAAGAACATCTTTGAAAAGGAGAGGACAAGCCAAAATTTGGATAAAATCCAAAACCCACCAAAAAAATAAAAAATTGAACCCAAAAAAAACCCAGAATCTTTTAAAAGATCAAAGAGGAGAAAAAAAACCTTGAAAAAGGAAACAAATTTTCTTCTTTTTCCCTCCTTTGTCATAATTTTTATCAATTAAAAACGACAAAAAAGGTTTAAAATCCATGAAAGAAAAACCCAGAAATTTACACACCCATAGAGAAATCACAACAAGAACCATACCTTGAAATGTTCTTCCTTACTTTTTTTCCTGAAGAACCAAGAAGATTAAAAACCTGTTCTTCCTTCTTTCGATTCCTCCGGAAAAAATAAACCCCAAAAAGCTCAGTTTTTTTTCCCTTATGTTGCTCTCTTACGAAGGGTTTGAGAAATGGAGGAGAAGAAAAAAAAAAAGAGGAAATGAAGAAGAAAGAGTGGAAGGAAACAAAACAACCCAACCACGTCCTCTTCTAACCCAACTCGTTCCTTGGTTCCTCTTACTTTATGTCCTTTTCTTAATTAGCATTTATCAGCTCTGGATTATTAGTATTAAATTAATAATCAAATTTAAGACTTTTGTTAATTATAGTCTTTTCCCTCACAAATTTTGGGGTTTATTACTAATATATATCAGTAGCTGATTCAACGCCTGTGGTCTCCGTTTAATTACGTTTCCATGGTATTTGTTTTGTCATATTATAATATGCTAGTTGCAAGATAATATACAGTATAATGTATCTACTTACTTTATAGTATGTAAAATTTATGTAAATATTCGTTTGATGTAGACTTTTCAGATAGACGCGTAAGAGTTTTCGTTTAGTTGAAATAACTTTCTTTTTTACGGAGATAACTTGTTTTTGACGGAATTGGACCGAGTATTATTATCATTTATCCATCACATTCTTAAATAAATGTGTTTTACAAACTACAATTGTGGTGTTCACAAACTAATCGATTAAATATTGAAGTACTATTTTGTTATTCTGCTAACGTATAAATGTGGAATCAATCAATACAGACATTTATGATTAAACAATATAAAATCATATAATCCCGACATTAAATAATTAAAAAAAAACACAATTGACCCTCAGATACAATGTCACAGACTCACAGTTAGACCCTTTTTTTTGTAGCAGCAGAAATATTTAAAACGGTTCAGTAAGAATTGAACTTGGTAAACTATATATATCACCACTTAATGAATTGAACTAATTGCATAATAGTGGTTGAGGCCAAATAAATTTAGAAGCAAGAGAAAAGAACAAAAGCCAGAAAATATAATAATTAATAGAATCAAGTAATCAACATATTTTCAAATGTAAAATATTGTACAGCTCAAGAGCCTAATAAAGCGCAAAGAGTTGCGCGTGGGACACGTACTTCTTTATGGGGCCGTTTGTATTATTAATCTGGGCTAAAAATTTCAGTCGATGGGCCGACAAATAAGCTTATTAATCTGAGTGGATTGAAAATAATGCAATCCTTAATAACCTTGCTAACCCAAAAATTTCAATTTGTGGGTGTATTGATTTAAAGTATTTTATACCATTCTTCAAGTATGCAGGTGCATATGATAGTTTACAATATGAGTGAGGCAATCTTTTTTATAACAAAACAGAGTAAGCGGATAGTTTTTTTCTACTAAGGTTTGGCTTCTCAAGAACAATCTAATTGCGGATAGACTCAAGTGTTTATGAAGACGCATTATACTGACACACGCATATGTATATGTTTAGTATACACTTATATGACAAAACACGATATATTTTCTAATTAACTTGTACTATAAAACACGATATGTACATTACCTAATTCAGTTTTTTTTTTCTTTTTAAAAACCGTGGTAAATCATTAGCTCAAAACAAAACTCATCGGTGAGACTTGTAGAAACCCCCAATATTGCTACTTGAAACGTCTACAATTGTTAAATGGAGGGTTAACAGTTAAACTCTGTAATTAATAGGATTCGAAGTTTCGAACCATGCATGGCCTAGGTCCATAGAACAAATCCTTCACCAATCACTATAATCATTGAAAATTTATTATTATTTTAAAGTATTTTAACAGTTTAGAAAGTAGAATATATGGAAATATTTTTGTAAAAATTATGACATGACAAAAAAATCTGAATGTGTCTTCACTCATGATAATACAGTGAAGAGAAGTAGTAATAGTTTCATGTCGAACTCTTATGAGACGCGTTCAACTTTTTGTTGATAACATGAATTATGTGAATTTAAATTTGGATAATGACGTAATAACGGTACTAACACAAATCCCTAGTACATACAGTTTTAATGTTTACGTGAAGAATTAAAGATTAGTAAAACCTTAATATTTCTTCATTTTGGTTTGTGTAGACCATTATATAAGTGCACCACGCGCTTATTGGTCGGTTGAAGCGGCCTCGCATTCGTATTTGAAGCCTGTAAAATATTGTTTAAAACACTATTTAAATTTGACCCAAAAAAAACATTATTTAAATAGGAGTGAATCGATTTGGATGATTAAACAATTACAACATGGTCTTGTCTTCAATTTTCTAGAGACCATAAGAAATCATATTTCCACACGCAGACTTATATCTCGAGATGCAATTCATAAATGCATATGATAGTTTACAATATGATGGCTAAAGTTATGTTAATGATGTTAATTGTGCTGTATAATTAATTAAATAACACATTAGGTTTACGTATGTATGGTAAACTGATGAAAAATTAAAACAAAAGGAAAACATACATCGTGTACAGCCACGCGGAGAAGCTTCACTTGCTCACTTGCCACGGTCCTAATCTGAAAATTTATTAAAGGATAAGACATTGCTATTGAGTAATGATTAAGTTACAACATCGTTATAATAAGATGAAAAGAGAATAATTAGAAAGTACAATATGAAATTTAGAATCTCTTCAATCCGACGCTTGGATGTTCGGCACGAAGAAACTCTAGCCTATTGGTTTCTAACTCGTAGCTAAAGTCAAAATTCTTATATTATTTCCATTCTATTCTTTTCAACGAAAGCACACTATATGTACAAATGATGTTTTTTTGAGCTGAATAAAATTTAACATTCTTTTCAAAAAAAAAAAGAAATTTAGAAAACCATAGATTACGAAAATTATGGAAGAAAGGAGAATAATTAGTAAGATACCTGCTTGGAAACGGACCAAAGAACATTCTCAGAACAAGGAGGAGCAGTAAGTGATCCAGAATATCTATAATATCGTTTCGATTCAAAACTGAGTTTTTTGGGATTAATCATTCCGACATATTCCTCGGCATTATGTGTATCAGTTATCTTCTTCAGTAATGTTTTCCCAACTAATCAAATATTAACACACACAGAAAACTGAATTAGTACTATCGTCTTTTGGTCCGAAGTGTATAAATTGGTGTAGCTGTAATGATTGATAATAAAGAAAAGATTGAGATTGAGATTGGAAATATACCGAAAGGAGAAAAGCGTGAGGTGCTCCATATTTGAATAAGAAAGCGACAACAGCGTAACTTCCATTTTTGCTCTCATGAACCAGGTGTTCCTCAAGAGCAAACCTAATTTTAATTATGTCTATTAGATTTGTTTTAAACAGTGAGATAACAATCATCACGTTATATATTAAGATATGGTAGAATATAAGTATACGAGTAAAGATACCTTTTGCCATTGATTGTGTGTTCGGAAGGAGAGTGCCAATGAAGCTGTTAAAGTTGATATTTAATACCACCAACAGTGATACCTATACCTCCATTTCCTCCTTTAAATTTCAACTGCCATATTAACAAAACAAAAACAAAAACCATTAGTATGACCAAATATACAATGGCAACATAACTAGTCAACGTAAAAAATTATATCTGCTCTGATTAAATATGTGTATATGAAAGATGAAATATATTGGAATATGTAATTAGTTGATTTACCATGATATCATGGCCTCTGTTCTTAATGGTAGTATTGGAAGGTAAATATTGGCTACGAAGAGATCCAAGTTTAGTAGTAACTGTAACATTTTTGTCTTTAATATCAATCGGAGATTGCATTTTTCCTGTTCCACACATTTTCCACTCTGCCTTTAGTTTTCCCCAATTCGCTGGCCCCTTCTTTCCTTTCGTCTCGTAGCTAAATGATAAGAACAAACCTCTTTTATTGATATGAACAAGAGATTATACGCCCAAGAGTATGATCTTGAAAGCAACTCCAATCTCTGTCTTCGAACAATTTTCAGAGATGAGCCCTTTCTCTCTCTCACTTTCTGAATGAATCCTATACAATCAACTCTCGGTTACTTATATACTGTACCGAGTACAAACCAACTGAATCAACAATCCAAACCGGACTAAACCAACAAATCGAATATAACAGAATTACGCGCCTGAAGTAGCCACGTTATCTTCTTTATTCTTCTTCCTTCTTGTCACATATACTCTCTTCGGCATATCAATACCCCCCGTATGAAGACTGAGCTTGTCCTCAAGCGGAAATGTGGGAAACTGTTGCTTCAGCTCACCCACCCTAAGCCAAGAAGTCTCATGGTCCGGGAGTCCTTTCCACTTAATCAGCAACTCCATGTATCCTTGTTCATCATAACGAGTATCCATGATTTCCTTTGGCTCGATAACCACTTCATCATCCACTGAAACTGATAACGGAAGAGGCAACACTGTTTGATTCTCACCAATCACCGGTTTTAACTGAGAGACATGAAAAACCGGATGAATTTTTGATGACTCTGGTAAACGCAGCCGATAAGCAACGTTTCCAACGCGTTCCAGCACCTCATAAGGCCCATAATATCGAGCTGCTAGCTTCTGACATAAACGTCTGCTTACAGATTATTGCCGATATGGTCTCAGTTTCAAATATACTCTTTGACCAACACAGAACTCCAATTCCCGGCGATGTTTATCAGCATTGTTCTTCATCACGTCTTGCGCTCGGGTTAAATGCTCCTTTACATCCGATAAAATCATATCACGTTCCTTCAACAGAGTTTCAAGCTCAAAGTTCTGCGTGCACCCATTCTCAAACCGCAGTAACGTAGGAGGATCTCTGCCATAAACAACCTTGAAAGGAGTGGTATGAGTTGACGTATGATACGAAGTGTTATACCACAATTCAGCCCACAGAAGGAACTTAGACCATGTTTTCTGATGTGTCGACGCAAAGCAGCGTAAGTATGTTTCTAAGCAGCGATTGAGAACTTCCGTTTGGCCATCGGACTGAGGGTGAAAAGCTGTGCTGAAGCGTAGCTTAGTACCTGACAAACGGAAACACTCGTGCCAAAAGTTGCTTAGAAAAATTTTATCCCGATCCGAGATTATAGATTTGGGGTACCCGTGTAAGCGTATCACTTCCTTTACAAACTTCTGGGACACTTCTACAGCCGTGAATGGGTGTTTTAGTGTGATGAAGTATCCGTATTTACTGAGACCATCCACCACAACCAAAATCACATTAACTCCTTGAGATAATGGCAACCCTTCGATGAAGTCCATTGACAAATCCTCCCAAATCTGTTCAGGTAATGGGATTGGTTGTAGCAACCCAGCAGGAGAAAGAGTCGAGTATTTGTGAGTCTGACAAGTAGCACACTCGGAGACATACTTCCGAACCTGTTTCCTCATGTGGCTCCAGTAAAAAGTAGACTGAATCCTCTTAGAGTTTTGAGAATCCCGGAATGGCCCCCTAGCACGCTGTCATGATTCTCTTGTAATATCAGAAGAATGTGCTTGGAGTTACGAGGGATCACCAATCTCCGGTTGTAAAACAGTCTTCCATTGACCACAGAGTATCCTGTTTTAACCTCTTCTCCTTTCTCAAGCTTCTTATGAACCTCCTGAATCTCGATATCTTCATCGATCTCTTTGAATAGATCCTGGAGTTGCAATGTTGTTGGCATTGTCATTGACAACAGCCAGGATGACATCGAAGGTTGAGTTGTTGAAATCCGAGATAACCCATCAGCCACTTTGTTTTCACTGCCCACCTTGTATTCAATGTCAAATTTATATCCCAAAATACGAGTTAGCCAACGCTGATAATCCAAGGTTACTTCTCGTTGTTCTAATAGGTATTTGAGACTCTGTTGATCCATCCTTACCACAAATCTTCTTCCCAACAAGTAATGTCGCCACTTTTGAATCGACATAACTATTGCCATCAATTCCCTTTCGTAAATGGGTTTCTGCTGCTCTTTGTCAGATAAGCCGTAGCTAAAATAAGCGATAGGGTGTCTATCTTGTATTAACACCGCTCCCAAACCATACTCTGATGCATCTGATTCCACTATAAACAACTTGGAAAAATCCGGTAATGCCAAAACCGGAGCTGAGATCATAGCCTCTTTGAGTTGATCAAAAGCTTTCTGAGTTTATGGAGTCCACATAAACTGTTCTTTCTTCAACAGCTCCGTCAATGGTTTAGCTAACAACCCGTAGTGATGCACAAATCGTCGATAGTAGCCTGCAAGACCTAAAAACCCTCTCAACTCTTTCACAGATTTTGGTGTTGGCCACTGCTTAACTGCTGCTATCTTTTGTGCATCCGTAGAGACCCCCTTTTGTGAAATCACATGTCCCAAATACTCGATTTGGTTTTGAGCGAAGGAGCACTTCTTCTTATTAGCAAATAGCTTTTGTTCGGCAAACACTTTTAACACCAACTCCAAGTGTTTGATGTGGTCTTGGAGATTGTTGCTGTAGACCAGTATATCATCAAAAAATACCAATACAAACTTCCTGAGATACGGCTGAAACACTTTATTCATCAACGCCTGAAAAGTAGTTGGAGCGTTGGTTAACCCGAAAGGCATAACCAAAAATTCATAGTGGTTTTCATGGGTGCGAAAGGCTGTCTTTTCAATGTCGTGTTCCTTCATTCTTATCTGATGATATCCCGAGCGTTGGTCCAATTTTGAGAACAGTTTAGCCCCAAAAAGCTCATCAAGCAACTGATCTATCATCGGAATTGGGTACTTAATCTGGTACCATGGCTCGGTTTAGTGCTCTATAATCAACGCAAAATCTCCATGACTTATCCTTCTTCTTAACCAACAATACGGGGCTCGAGTAAGGACTGTGGCTTGGTCGAATCAACCCTTCACATAACATTTCTTGAACCAACTTCTCTATAGCCTCTTTATGTGCATGAGGATATCTGTATGGCCTTACACTGATAGGTCCCATACCCTGTTGTAAGTTGATCCCATGTTCACTGCCGCGTATTGGTGGTAACCCCGTAGGTTTCTCAAACACTTTCTCAAAGGCAACTAAGGTCTGGGTAATCAATGTGGGAATGAGTTCTGTCACCTCATGACTAACTTCTTTGTTACTTAGTACAATCCTCTGCTTCTTCTCTTCTGGTTTGTACTTCAAGGATTTAAGTGACATCGCTGATTCGTGGAGTGAAGGATCTCCTTTCAGTGTCACATATCTTCCTTTATGCAGAAACGTTAGCTCATGATTTTCCCAATCCACCATACACTTCCCAAGTGTTCGTAACCATTTTACTCCCAAGATTACATCGGCATTTCCCAGCTCCAGCACGATGAAGTCTGTTGTAATCTGAATGTTCTGCAGAGTTAGCTGAACATTTCTACACACTCCCGAGCCATGAACCGAAATGCCAGTCCCTAGCAGCACTTGCGATTGAAAGGACTTATCAGGTTTCAGTTTTACTCGCTTTGTCATGTCCGGTGTGATAAAGTTGTGTGTTGCACCACTATCTAACATCACTACAACAGATTGCTTCTTCAAACAGCCTTTTACTTTTGTTGTAGTTGGAGAAGGTAACCCCAAGAAGGAATTGAGCGACAACGTTGTTAGCTCAGGTGTCCACACGATTACTTCTTCATCAACCGTTTCTTCCTCTTGATTAACAATCTCCACTTCTATACCATTTAGCATGGTCAACACTTGACATGACGCATTCGGGCATTTATGTTGCCTTGTAAACTTCTCCGGACAATAGAAACATATCCCCAAACGCTTCTTCTTTGCTACTTCTTCTGGAGTTAAACGGATTTGAGGTCTAGGGAATCCCCCTCGTTGTTGTGATGGAGCAATCTGATTACTAACCCCTGAATTCGTTCTCATCTTCCAGGTGTTGTTAGATGGGTAACTCGAATACGATTTATTAACTGTAACTCCATTTCCTTGATTAGACTTAAGAGTCTATTGTCTTTCCTTGCTCACCACTCTATAAAGTGTGCTTGACTCCATCTGGTATGCCAACGAGATCATTTCCTCAAGATTAACCGGTTTGCATATATTCACTACCTCCTGCATTTCCGGTTTCAACCCATTCATAAAGACGCTTTCCCTCTGAGCATCCGACAAACCACAAGCTTGAGTCGACAGATCCTCAAAGAGATGTATGTACTCAGCCACTAAACCAGTCTGCGTCACTCTGAAGAAAGGTTGACTCGGATCCCGTAATTTCTCTTTACTGAAACGCGCAATCAGTCGGTCTTTGAACTCCTTCCAACAATTAAATGGCCGTTGATGCATCTCGCTGTTGAACCAGCTTAGAACATCACCCGCTAGACTTACGGAAACCAGATCGAGTTTTCCAAAATCATCATAACCTCCGATCTGAAAGAATCGTTCCGCAAGTGCAATCCATCCGTACGCATCCTCACCCGAGAACGTCGAAAGTTCCACTTTTCTCAACAATCCTTCTCTGCTGTTTTCCAAGACTCCCCGAACCCTAACATCCTCTGGCCTAGGACTACGGCAAGGTTCCTGGTCAAGAGAACATACCTGTTCTTTTCGCGATATCGGAATGGATCTATTGGCCTCGTTCGTCGTGTTCTGTCGATTCGTCGCTCCGCGCTCCAACGCCGACATAATCGAACTGAACTTTTCTTCTAAGCTCTCAAATCGCGCCCGAGCCTCTTTCTCCATCGTCAACTGTGATGTAATCGCCGATTGCAAGGATTTCGCTAAAGATTCTAGCGTGACCTGTGCTATCGCTTCTTTGCCTTGATTTTTCTTCGTCATTGCTGCTGAAAACCTCGCGATTGTTCGATCCAGAGCGCTCACCGTCACCAATTTGATAAGAACAAACCTCTTTTATTGATATGAACAAGAGATTACACGCCGAAGAGTATGATCTTGAAAGCAACCCCAATCTCTGTCTCCGAACAATTCTCAGAGACGAGCCATTTCTCTCTCTCACTTTCTGAATGAATCATATACAATCAACTCTCGGTTATTTATATACTGTACCGAGTACAAACTAACTGAATCAACAATTCAAACCGGACTAAACCAACAAATCGAATATAACAGAATTACACGCCTGAAGTAGCCACGTTATCTTCTTTATTCTTCTTCCTTCTTGTCACATATACTCTCTTCGGCATATCACTAAACTCCGTCTCGTCCTCCATTCAAACCTCGCGATCGATTATATTGTTTATTTTTGTTATATAGGAATAAAAACACTTTTCTATAAGCATATATAACTTCCATTTTAGGTCGTATAGGGTGAACATATATAAAATTTCATTGGATTTTAATTAAAAAAATATATTATAACTTTTCAACGTAAACTAGTACTGATAAACATGTAAAGATGATTTGAAAGAAGAAAAAAAAAAGAAAATAATTTACATAGCTTACCAACTTCTCCACCCGGTGGTGGTGGACCTGGTGGTGCACTTGAAACAATGGTAAAAGTGATGAAGATAAAGAGAAAAACGCATCCAAATTGTGATATCTTCATTTTCTTATTCTATGTGAATATGTCTTGAAGAATCAGAGATGAAAATAAGTGAATTATCTCTTTTCTCTATTTGGGATCCTAACCTAACAACGTGTTCTAGATAAAGAAAATAGAGTTGTATACATAAACAAAACACAATGCATATGATGTGAGTTTTTTGTGTGCAAGTTAAAAATGAATGTAAATAGTTGACCATTTAATTAAGATAATGGATATTCTAAAATAAGTTTGTTTTGTGTAATTCCTCTTTTTGTCAATTTTACACGTTAATAAAAAGAGATAAAAACATGTTGGCAAAAACATTGTATATATTAAACGTATGTTATCCTAACGAGATTAATATATTATATTATATAACATTAGTTACATTCAATTTCTATTTTTTTCTGTGATTAACAATCTACATCACACTCTTATCTTTGCTATCGATTGTGTTCATCAAACAAGAAAAGTATTAAAAAAAAAAAAAAATTATTGGAAATAACGAAACCTAGTTAAATAAATAAAAAAGCAAACCCTCGAATTCATAAAACAGTTAAAGGTCCCTCCCTTGCTTCTGCGTTTAACAACATTTGCAGCAGTAGATAACCGAACCAAATGGTTTCAAATTCAGTGAGCTACAAAATCTAGAGAAAATAAACATAACAAGTTGTCATCTTCAGTCTTTGACTAAGATTCAGATCCAAGAACCACTCTTTACTCATAACTTCAGCTGAGTGCAAGCTGACATGCTGGTGAAACCCTCGTTGACGAGAACAACTCCTTGATCACCTCAAGTTTCTTGTCACTCTCAGTAGCTTTAGAGGAGATCTTAATAGTTGCCTTCTTCAAACACTTGGCGTTTCTAATGATAAACGCTACTGCTTCTTTCTCTTCTTCTGTTCCTTCATAACACACCCATTCGAAAGTTTCAAGACTGGATAACAGACATTCAGGAACTGAACTCTTTTCATTCCACAACGGGTTCCAGATCGGGCGCGGGTCGCTAGTTCGAAGACTATGGCACTGATAATAAACGGTACAATGCACTAGATCAATCATACTAATAAAGTATATAATAACCTTTGTCGAATATTTAAGACATATAAATGAATATATTAAGGTGAATATATATATATATATATATGTAAGATGTACCTGATTGAATTTGAGAGCTCGTAACTTAGGGCAATCTTTGAGCACGCCCATAAGTAGATTCAACCACTGTGTCTCACATGAGCATAACGTTAAACGTAGAAGACTGCAGAAGACACTACCAGTAGGATACACATCCTGTATGTATACACCAAGATAACATTAGGGCTCACATGAGCAAATCTAGTGTCAATAGGTTTGATCACAAGAGAACTCACTTAGAGACATTATCAATTAATTGAGTCTCAAAGAGAATGAAGATGGCAGAAGGATGGAGGCAAGAGAGTATATTACCTTTGAGAATGGTACACAGAGATAAAAGCGCTTGAATGAAGTAATAGAACTCAACTTCTTCCAAGGTTGCCAAATATTAATGACGATATTTGCTTCCACAACCTGAGTCATACTAGACTCAATGACACAATACCCAGACGTGTGGAAGATGTCCAAGAACTCCAAAGAAGGAGCATCTATCACAAACCCTTGAGACTTGATCTTAAAAATGGTTTCGATTCTATACAAAACTAATCTCTTTAGGGAAGGCACTCTAACGCTCAAAATGGTCACACTGTCATCTTCACATTGCTCCATAAACAAGTCTTCAAGAACAGGACAACCAGAGAAAAGATTTTTGACAAATGCCTCACCTCCATGCTTCACGCATTTAAGACTCAGTTTCTTGAGAGATGGGAAAGAAATTGGAGAATTAACATCCATGAGAACCGCGTTGGCTAGCTTCAAGGTCGTAAGCGTTCGAAAGCATGTGAACAAGCTCCCCGGAAGTGTGACTGGAGCCTTATTACCAGAAGATTTATTATCAATCTCAATGATCAGCTCATGGACACAGTGTTTCTCCGCAGCTCTTATTATCCACGCTTCGATATCTCCAGTACCATATATTTTACCAAGTTTGAAATGCAAATATTCTATAACTGGACCCTTGTGTAGAGATAAAGATCTGTCTACAAGCAGCGAAAACCTTCCATGCTCGAGGTTCTGATAGCTATCGTCGTAGACGAGTCTTGGCATAAACATCCAAAGAAACTTCCAACGTTTGGACAAAACCATTGTGGCCACAAAATCCTTAGCATTGGGACGTAATGACAATATTTTCAAGAGAAGCTCATCAGGCAACTGACTTATCTTGTCCATAATTAATTACTAACCTTTCAGCTTCCGCAGAAGCCAGAAATCAGAGACGAAACCCTATAAACATTGACAAAACAAAAACACGAACAAGGGATAAGCAACGATCGATGTAGGGTCAAAGCAAAACCCTAGCGAGGTACAGAACAATCCACATATAGAAAGAGAAGCACATGGAATCTAAACTCACCCAGCGCTGAAAAGTTAAGATTACTTATGAACTTACTCTTTCCGAATCAAACAAGAGGACGACAATCATTATATAAAAAAAAAAAAGAATACACAGATTGAGCAAATACCTAGAATCTCTCTCCCGTGATTTCTTTTTAACACCAAAGAAAATATCTATAATTGTGTGATAATTATCTTTGAGTTTAAAATTGTCATCTGATTATTGACATATTAAATATGAACATATTTATATAATAAAACTTTTAAAAAAATGTGTGAGATCTTTATCAAAACGATCCTCCTTTGTAAAAAGGGATTTATGAAGTATGTCAGGGCTGGCCCGCCCGGCCTGGTCTGTAAAACCAGCATATATTTAACTCCGGTTCGATAATATATCAGATTTATATTTTAAAATTTGGCCCGATTCTAATACAAAGTTATAGATTTTTTTTGAGTTTTTCGAGTTTTTTCAAATTAAAAAAAAAATATATATATAAAATATAAAATAAACTAAAAAAAAATAGTTATTAAAATTAAATTCAAATTTAAATAATTATAAATATAGTTTTATCAAAGCAAAATTTTAATTTAGTAAATTCATATGGAGATAAAATGTGTAATCTTGTTGTGGAGGAATGAGGAACAAGACGGAACTTTAAGTTTAAATCAAGGAAACTTATCCTAAAAATTAAAATGGGAAAGATAATAAATGGGAAATAGTATAAGTCCTCACTGGATTTCCACAAGATAACAGACCAAGAGGTGTTAGAAACAGGGGACATGAACAAAATAAAACAGAGGAAATTATATCACTTGACTATTGAACAAGTCTTCTTCTCTCCCTCAGAGCTGAAACTGTAACTTCCGTCAAACGTAATCCGACAGGTAGGGGAACGCCTTGGCAAAAACGATAACTCCTTGATCATCTTAAATTTCTCGCTGCGCCGGTGGTCGGAGCTAAAGGTTACAGTTACGTTCTCTAAACAGCTTGCGCTTCTTAAGATGAAGGCTACTACTTCTTTCTCTTCTTCTCTTCCTTCATAAAGAACCCATTCGAAAGTTTTAAGACTCGATAACACGCATTCGGGAACTGAGCTCGGTTCACTCCAGCAGGGGCGCTGCTGATTAACCATTCTGTGGCACTGACAGAGATACAGTGCGTTAGAGATGGTCACACATATATATACTAATGAATAATTTGGAAAAACGTACCGGTTCGAGTTTGAGAGATCTTAAATTAGGGGAGTCACTGAGCACACGCATACGTAGATTCAACCATTCTGACTGACATGTGCATATCTTTAAATGTACTAGACGGTGGAAGACACTACCAACAGGATAAGCTTCCTGCAAAAGAGAGAGAGAGGCTGAATAAGTCCTTGAAACAGTGTCATAGTGCCAACAGATTCGAAAACAAAAAGAGAAACATGTTATTTATATTACCGTTGAGTTTGGTAAGCAGAGACAAAGACGCTTGGCTGAAGTTATAGAACCAACAAGCTGCTCAGTTTGGGGACGATTAACGTAGACTTTTGCCTTAAAAATCTTACTCATATCATTCACAGTGACAAAAGACCCATCATTGGGATCAACGATTTTCAAGCACTCCAAAGAAGGAGCATCTATCACAAACCCATGTGGCTTGGCTTTAGCTCTGTCTTCTGATGTACTCAAGGCTAAACTCTTTAGGTGAAGAATTCTAACGCTCAGAATGGGGACATTGTCACCTGGACATTTCTCCACAACCAAGTCTTGAAGAACAGGACAACCGGATAAAAGCTTGTCGACAAACACATCATTAGGGTACTTGATGGATTTAAGACTCAGTTTTTTAAGGGATGGGAAAGAAACCGGAGAAGCTACATCATCCACAAGAACCACGTTACTTAGTTTCAAGGTCACGAGCATTCTGCAGCTTCTATACAAGCTCCTAGGAAGTTCCACTCGTCTTCTACAAGTAACAATCTTGATAATCAGCTCACGCACAGCGAGTTCCTCTGCAGCTCTAATCCACACTCGGATATCTTTACTATCAGGAACGCCACCGAGTTTGAAATGCAAAGCTTCTATAACAGGAGCATCGTGAAGGAACAAAGACCTGTCTACAAAACGCAGAAACTCTTCGTGGGAAAGGTTTTGCTTGTAATAATCGTATGAGAGCCTTGGCACCATCTCCCAGAGAAATTTCCACCGTTGTGACAAAACCCTAGTGCCCACAACATCTGTCATTGGCAGAAACGACAGTATCGTCAAGAGAAGCTCATCAGGCAACTGACTTCTCCTGTCCATAGTTTTTGTTTTTTTTGCTGATATTTCTCTGTCCATAGTTAAGAGCCAACACTTATTCTTTCAGCTTTCCGCAGAAATCCGAAACCCTAACACCTGAAAACATAGATAAGGCAAACAAGAGGTAAGAGATTCTCAGTGCGTGTTATTCATAGAACAACCAGTTATAGAAGGAGGCCAATAAAACGAGTATCACAAGAAATTCACGAAATAAGCAAATACCTTCTTATAAGACGTACGTGATACGGCTATATATGATACTAGGGTTCTGTCAAGGTTTAGATTTAATCTTTTTTATTGTGCTATTCATAATTTCATATCAAAGAGTAGGATCGGACATTAGTCTTTCATATAGAAAGTAGGAAAAGACTAATGTCTATATAGCCCTGTAAAGAAAGGGCAAAGATAAATTCAAGAAGAATGGTAAATATCCAAATATACAAATAAGCATATTTTAGATAATTTTCTTTTCTCTTTTATACTTCTTTAGTTTCATTGTAATGTTTTGGATTATGTGTGATTTCATTTTTAGGTAATTAATTTGAATTTTATTTTTTGGAAAAAAGTTTAGGGATTCTCTTGATTTCTTCTAGGGTCACGTTGCATGTGTTTAGGGCTGGTTGAACCAAAGGGATTGCCTTCATTCTACTACACCAGCGTATATAAGCTGGTGGATGATATTTGCATCTTTAGTTTAAACCTATCTCCTCTAATTTAAAACAGTTTGCATTTCATAAGATAAATGCTGCTAACTTCTCTCTCTTCTCTAGCTCCTTCGTATGTTACCCCATTCAACAACATGGAAAGACATATGAGAGTAACAGAGAAGAATAACAATCTCTAATTTCTTATCTAATATTTGGGTTCTGGAGGGAGGAATGAAGCACAAGATGACATTTTCCGTTTAGATTAAAAAAAATATATATACATATAACCGGAACAGAGAGGTGTTAGAAATGTTGAAGTGTATATTGTTTCGACTTTTGAATAAGAAAACAGAGTAAGAACAATGGTTGTAACTTTGTCTTTCTCAATAACTTGAAAAAGTATTACAACTTTAGTTACTTGTTGTAATTACAAATGTGAGTCTCGACCTATATTTATACTAAACGAAACATTGTGTTGAAGAGACATGACTCTTAATAGAAAAGACACAACCTGAAACAGAGTATTTGTGTCTCTTGATCAAGTAACTAACTAATGTGAATATAACTAGCTTATACGAGATTTTGATTATAGTTCAACACTCCTCCTTAATCAAATCTTTGTTGCACTCCAAGCTGTCTTCGAAGTTCTTCAAATCTTGAGCCACTTAACGCCTTTGTGAGTATGTCCGCGAGTTGATCTTCTCCTTTGCAGTATTCCAGTTGAATAAGTCCCTTGCTCTCTGCCTCACGAACATAATGATACTTGATCTCTATATGTTTTGTTCTCCTATGCTGCACTGGATTCTTCCCGATTGCTATGGCGGACTTGTTGTCACAAAAGATTGTGATTCCTTCCTTGATCTCTTCTCCAAAATCCTTGAGAAGTCTTTGAAGCCAGACTGCTTGATTCGTTGCTGCACATACGGCCACATACTCTGCTTCAGCTGTTGATTGAGCAACGGTTTGTTGCTTGCTTGATTGCCAACAGAACACGGCTGATCCAAGGGTAAAGACATATCCTGATGTGCTCTTTTTGTCTTCAATGGAACCACCCTAATCGCTGTCCGAGTAGCCAATTAACCTTGGTTCTTCCACACTTGTGAACTGAACCCCAAGACTTGGTGTACCTTTGACATAACGTAATACTCGCTTTGATTCCTGGTAGTGCTTCATCTTTGGCGCTGACATGTATCTTGCGAGGTAAGAGCTTGCATACATCACATCAGGTCGTGATGCACATAAGTATAGAAGGCCTCCGATAATGCTTCTGTACTTTGTTTGATCGCCATATTCTCTGTCATCTCCTTCCTTCTTGCCTTGAGGTGTAAGTGGAGTGCTTACCACCTTGCTTGATCTCATCCCAAACTTGTCTATAAGTTTGTTAGCATACTTTTCTTGAGAAAGAAATATGCTGTGATCATCTTGGATTACTTCAAAACCGAGAAAGTAACTTAGCAATCCAAGATCCGTCATCTCGAACTCTCTCTTCATGTTTTCCTTGAATGTATTAACGAGATGAATGTTGCTTCCTGTGATGATGATGTCGTCTACGTAAAGGCTTACGATCAACACATCTTTTCCTTGCTTCATAGTATACAGCGCTGCATCGTTCATACTTCTCTCAAAACCATTTTGAAGAAGGTATGAATCGATTCTTCCATACCAAGCCCGAGGAGCTTGCTTGAGACCGTATAAGGCTTTGTGAAGCCTTAACACCTTCTCTTCCTTTCCTTCAATCACGAACCCAGGTGGTTGTGTGACATAGACCTCTTCTTTTAATTCTCCATTTAGAAAGGCTGACTTGACATCCATTTGGTATAGCTTCCACTTCCTTTGAGCCGCGTATGCAAATATGGCTCTTATGGTGTCGTGCCTTGAGACTGGAGCAAAAGTCTCTTGGTAGTCAACTCCATGTTCTTGAGAGAAACCACGAGCAACCAATCTTGCCTTGTATTTGATTGGCTCTCCATTTGCACCCGTCTTTATCTTGTAGATCCACTTCACACTGATTACGTTCTTCTTCTCTGGTTTATCTACAAGTTTCCAAGTGTTGTTTCTCTCGATCATCGATATCTCTTCGATCATGGCTCTCCTCCATTCCTCGATCTCAACTGCTTGATCATAGTTTTGCGGTTCTTCTTGTGCAAGAAGACAGGCTTCTATGACTTGAGCCGCTTCCTCTAGATTCACCCTCGGTGCGATTTCCATGATTTCAGTCATCGATCTTAATTTCTTTGGAGTGATGAAGTCTCCTCCATCTTCTTCTCTGGTATTTTGAGACCTTTCGGGTGAGATTTGCAGATTGTTGAAAGCATTACTCACTTGATCTATCTGATCACTTAGATCGTTGCTTACTCCTTCTCCATTGATTTCCGCTTGATCTTTTGGTGCATTAACGTCGGTTATGGGTAAGACAAAGGTTTTGTCGACTTCTTTTTGTTCTTCCCAACTCCATTTCTTCTCTTCTTCGAATTCAACATCTCTTGAGAATTCGATCTTCTCGTTTTCAAGGTTGAAAACTCTATAGCCCTTCGTTTGATCGCTATAGCCGATGAAGATGCACCGCTTAGCTTTCGCTTCAAGTTTCTTCCTTCTTTGATCTGGTATGTGAACGAAACATACGCTTCCAAAGACTTTTAAGTGTGACACATTAGGTTTGTGTCCACACCACTTCTCCATCGGGGTTAGATCACCTTCGACCGCTCTTGTTGGTAGACGGTTTTGCAAGTAAGCCGACGTGTGGATGGCTTCGGCCCAAAACTTGAATGGCAAGTCTTGTTCTACAAGCATCGTTCTTGCCATTTCCACCAATGATCTGTTTTTCCTCTCGGCTGATCCGTTCTGTTGCGGTGAGTAAGGCAAAGTGACTTGCCTTTCAATGCCTTCTTCTTCACAAAACTTGGTGAATTCTTTTGATGTGAATTCTCCACCGCCATCGGACCTTGGTATCTTGATAGAACACCCTGATTGCTTCTCAATCATCGCTTTGGCCTTCTTGAAAATGGAGAAAGTCTCTGATTTTTGTTTGAGGAAGTATACCCAACACATATGGGTATAGTCATCCAAAAACACTAAGAAATATCGACTTCCACCAAGTGATTCATGTTGCATTGGTCCGCATACGTCTGTATGTACGATCTCCAATCTCTCCTTTGTCTTGGTTTGAGACTCCTTTGGAAAGCTTTTACGAGACTGCTTTCCAAGGTTGCACGCTCCACATGATTCCTTGTGAACCATGAACTTTGGTAATCCTTTTACCAAATTCTTCTGCTGTATTTGTTGGAGCCGAGTGTTTCCCACATGGCCAAGTCTTTTGTGCCATATCTTCATCTCTCTTGGTTCATTAGCTAGCATTGCTTCTTCTTGAACCGTGCTTAGCTTTATCCTAAAGCTTTTATTTATCATTGGAATCTCCAAGATCTTCTTCTCTCTTTCATCCAGAATGATGCATTTCTTCTCTTGGAAACATACTTGATAACCACTAGAGATTATTTGTGGCACACTCAACAGGTTCTTCTCCAAACCAGGAACCAAATAGACATTTCTGATGATTCTCTTCCCATACTTAGTCATGATCGTGATGTCTCCCTTTCCAGCCGTCATAACTATCTCTCCATTTCCGACTTTGATCGGAACCTTGATGCTCTTGTTGATATTTGAAAAATATCTCTCCTCCTTTGTCATATGGTTGGTACATCCGCTATCTATCAACCATGAGTCTTCTCTTGGTATTGTTGTTACTTCCTCACTTGCAGTAAACAACATGTGATCTTCTTCCGATTCACTTTCCTCTTGACTCACGTGTGCTTTCTCCTTCTTCTTTGATCGACACACGTTTGCGAAGTGGCCAATCTTGCCACAATTGTAACATTCTTTGTTACTCTTCTGATCTTTCCATTGATCATTCTTCTTCGGTTTCTTCCTGCATTCAATGTCAGTGTGATTGCTTCTCTTGCAGAACTCACACCACTTCTTGCCTTGTGTGCCACGGCGTTTGAAACCGGCTTCCTTGTCTTTTGAGCGCGTGTAGAATGCTCCTTCATTGCTGTTACCATCTCTTACAGCCAATCTTGTTTCATGTGCCTTGAGGATTCCGATAAGCTCTGTCATTGTAAGTAGAGACAAGTCGCGAGTTTGCTCCACAACACTAACGATGCTATCGAATTTTTCAGGCATAGAGATGAGTATCTTCTGAACGAGTTGTGCGCTCGTTTTCCTCTCTCCATGATATGTTAATTGACTCTCCAAATCAACTAACTTATCGGTGAATGATTTAACATCCTCTCCATCATTCATCTTAAGGTTTTCGTATTCTCGTTGCAACGTTTGAAGTTTCACCAATCGAACTTGGGGAGATCCTTCATATTCGTCTTTCAACGCTTCCCAAGCCTCCTTTGATGATGTTGCTCCGGATATGCGTGAGAATATCTGATCAGTGACGGCGGTTTGCAAAATTTGCAACGCCATCGTGTCGTTTGTAACCGCTTCTTCTCTAACGGTTACTGCTCTTAATGATGCAGGGGTTTCTTCTCCTTGTACCGATTCCGGCGGTACGCCTTCCTCGACCACTGACCAAAGTTTCCTTGTCCTAAGGATGGTTGATATCTTGATGCTCCAGAAGCCATACTTCTCCCCGTTGAAGATCGGGATCACTTGGTGTGAGGAGCCTTGCATTGTCTCGGCTTATTTCCTTTGACAGATGCGATCTGTTGCGGTTGTTTCTTCGCCTTTCTCTCCTTTGTGCTTTTCTTCTTGTCCTCACTCAATCGAATAGCTCTGATACCATGTTGAAGTGTATATTGTTTCGACTTTTGAATAAGAAAACAGAGTAAGAACAATGGTTGTAACTTTATCTTTCTCAATAACTTGAAAAAGTATTACAACTTTAGTTACTTGTTGTAATTACAAATGTGAGTCTCGACCTATATTTATACTAAACGAAACATTGTGTTGAAGAGACATGACTCTTAATAGAAAAGACACAACCTGAAACAGAGTATTTGTATCTCTTGATCAAGTAACTAACTAATGTGAATATAACTAGCTTATACGAGATTTTGATTATAGTTCAACAAGAAACAGAGGACATAACTTAATTATTGAACAAGTAAAAGTCTTCTTCTCTCCCTCGGAGCTGAAACTGTAACTTCAGTTAAAGTCAACCCGACAAGTAGGCGAACGCCTTGGCAAAAACGACAACTCCTTGATCATCTCAAGTTTCTTGCGGCGCCGGTGGTTGGAGTTAGAGCTTATAGTTACTTTCTCTAAACAGCTTGCGCTTCTTAAGAGGAAAGCTACTACTTCTTTCTCTTCCTCTGTTCCTTCGTAACACACCCACACGAAAGATTCAAGACTCGATAACACACATTCAGGAACTGAGCTCGGCTCATTCCAGCTCGGACGCGGATCAGCAACAACAATTTGATGGAACTGAGGTCAATGACGGCACATAGATAACAGTGTATTAGAGATATCGTCACATATATATATATATATATATATATATATACTAATCAAGTAAACTGAATCATTTTGGGAACGAACGAACCTGTTCGAGTTTGAGAGATTTCAAATTAGGGGAATCATTGAGCACACGCATAAGTAGATTCAACCATTCCGTCTCACATGTGCATATATCTAAATGTAGTAGACGGTGGAAGACAGTACTAACAGGATAGACATTCTGCATAAGAGGCAGAAAGGATAAGTTGATAAACAAAATGTCATAGTGCCAAGAGATTTGAAGACATAAACAGAAACATATTGTTGTTACCTTTGGGGTTGGTAAGCAGAGACAAAGACGCTTGGATGAAGTTATAGAACCAACAAGTTGCTCATTTTGAGGACGAGTGATGTATACTTTTGCATTCAAAATCTTACTCATGTCATTGACAATGACACAAAACCCTTTATAGTAATCACGAATTTTCAAGAACTCCAAAGAAGGAGCGTCTATCACAAAACCATGCTCGCCTTCAGCTCTGTCTCCTTTTTTACTCAAGGCTAAACTCTTTAGGTGAGGCATTCTAACGCTCAGAATGGGGACATTGTCACCTGGACATTGCTCCACAACCAAGTCTTGAAGAACAGGACAACCGGATAAAAGCTTGTCGAGAAACACATCATCAGGGTACTTGATAGATTCAAGACTCAGTGTTTTTAAGGATGGGAAAGAAACCGGAGAAGCTACATCATCCACAAGAACCGCGCTACTTAGTTTCAAGGTCTCGAGCGTTCTGCAGCTTCTATACAAGCTCCTAGGAAGTTCCACTGGTGATTTCCAAGTAACAATCTTGATAATCAGCTCACGCACAGCTCGTTTCTCTGCAGCTCTGATCCACACTCGGATATCATCACTTCCACGAACGACGCCAAGTTTGAAATTCAAAGCTTCTATAGCAGGAGCCTCGTGAAGGAACAAAGACCTGTCTACAGAACGCAGAAACTCTTCGTAGGAAAGGTTTTGATACTGATAATCGAATGAGCACCATCGTCCAGAGAAATTGCCACCGTTGTGACAAAACCATAGTGTCCACAACATCTGTCGTTGGCAGAAACGACAATATCCTCAAGAGAAGCTCATCAGGCAACTGACTTATCAGGTCCATAGTTTATAGGTTCAATCAAAGTGATCATGCCTTCATTCTACACGAGTTTATATAATCTATTAATCTGGTGGATGATCCTTGAACTGATTCACTCATGATTTGCATCTTTAGGTTAAAAGTAAATGCTGCTACTGTTTTCACTTCTCTAGCTCCTTCATATGTTACCCATTCAATAACATGGAGAGAAGATATATCTTTATGTTTCCTTCTTCCACAAGGGAGACATATAAAAGAGTAACGATTTCTAGTTTTGTTGAGGAATGGGGCACAAGATGAAAATTTTGGTTTAAATATAATTAAAAAAATAAGTATCTTCAAAAAGTACATATAATCAGAGAGATAATAAAAATTGGAAATATGAGTCTTCTCATTGTATTTCCGCATGATAACAGAACAGAGAGGTGTTAGAAACAGAGGACATGAAGAAAATAAAACAGAGGAAATCATATCACTTGACTATTGAACAAGTCTTCTCCTCTCCCTCAGAGCTGAAACTGTAACTTCAGTCAAACGTAATCCTACAAGTAGGGGAACGCCTGGGCAGAAACGATAACGCCTTGATCATCTCAACTCCCTTCTCTAAACAGATTCCGTCAAGGTTTATAGTTACATTCTCCAAACAACTTCCGTTTCTTAAGATGAAAGCTACTACTTCTTTCTCTTCTTCTGTTCCTTCATAAATACGCCATTCGAAAGTTTTAAGAGTCGTTGACACACATTCAGGAACTGAGCTCGGTTCATTCCAACACGGGCCCGGAACATCAACACCATCATCATATCTATGGCCCTGAGATACAGTGCGTTAGAGATGTTCATACATATATATATATATATATACTGATCAAGTAAACTGAACCTTTCGGAGCGTGAGAGATTGTAACTTAGGGGAATCACTGAGAACACGCATAAGTAGATTCAACCATTCTGTCTGACATGTGCATATCTCTAAATCCACTAGACGGTGGAAGACAGTACTAACAGGATAGACATTCTGCATAAGAGACCGAAAAGGAATAAGTCTTGAAACAGTGTCATAGTGCCAACAGATTCGAAAACGTAAAGAGAAACATGTTATTTATATTACCTTTGGGTTTGGCAAGCAGAGACAAAGACGCTTGGCTGAAGTTATAGAACCAACAAGCTTCTCATTATGGGGACCACCAGTGTGGAGTCTTGCCTTCCAAATCTTACTCAGCTTATTCACAATGACACAAGACCCACTATCATAATCATCAATGTCCAAGCACTCCAAAGAAGGAGCGTCTATCACAAACCCATGTGGATCGCCTTCAGCTCTGTCTTCTGCTGTACCCAAGGCTAAACTCTTTAGGTGAAGCATTCTAACGCGAACAATGGGCACATTGTCACCTGGACATTGACGTACAACCAAGTCTTCAAGAACAGGACAACCGGATAAAAGCTTGTCTAGAAATACATCATTAGGGTACTTGATAGATTCAAGACTCAGTTTTTTTAGGGATGGGAAAGAAAATGGATAAGCTGCATCATCCACAAGGACCGCGTTACATAATTTCAAGGTCACAAGCATCCTGCAGCTTCTATACAAGCTCCTAGGAAGTTCCACTACTGGTGGTGATTCAAGAGTGTCAATCACGATACTCAGCTCACGCACAGAGCGTTTTTCTGCAGCCCTAATCCACACTTGGATGTCTTTACTGTCACGAGTATGAAATGCAAAGCTTCTACAACAGGAGCCTCGTGAAGGAGCAAAGACCTGTCTGCAAAACGCGTGAATTCTTCTTTGGAAAGTTGTGGCTTGTAATAAACGTATGCGAGCCTTGGCACCATCTTCCAGAGAAATTGCCACCGTTGCGACAAAACCATAGTCTCCCCAACATCTTTTGTAGTAGGCAGAAACGACAGTATCTTAAAAGAAGATCATCAGGCAACTGACTTATCCTGTCCATAGTTTTTGTTTTTTTTGCTGATATTGGCATGTCCATAGTTCTGAGACCAGTAGAACGAGTAAGACAGAGTATCAGAAGGATTTCACGGAATAAGCAAATACCTTCAACCTATCCAGTTATGTGATTATTTTAATCAACATCTAAGACGTGATACGGACGGCAAATATATAATACTAGGGGTAGGTAGTATTGGACATACTGTACGTACATACATATAGAAAACAGGAAAGACTAATGTAGGAATGATTACATTCCTATAAAGAAAAGGAAATTGATCAATTCATGAAGAATGGAAAATATACAAATATAAATACATTGAATCGTTCCCAAAGCATCCGATGTACGAGGATCATGGCTGCTCTTTGCATTCCTAGAGCCCAAAAAATGGAAGAAGAATATCGCCTTCAACGTTTAACGTTTTGATCGATATCTCATCATATGCTTGCTTGTGCGTTTGCGTTTGCTTTTACTCATGTTTCGCACATCTCTCATGTTTATGAATAATCTTTTCATATGAGTGAGTTTGCTGTTGTTGAACAATGGAAGATAATATAGATGATCTCTAAAATTTCCTTACGCAAAGCTACGGAGCCAAAAAAAACATAACAAAGTTGTTTGGAAAAAGAAGACACAACAAAGTACTAAGAGCTTTCTAACATCTCAAGACCAAACACCAACCAAAGATGACTTCTAACTTAACTCACTGTTGAAGATGTCTTCTCTTCTCACTCAGCTGCTTAACCTGTAACTTCAGTCAAACGCAAGCCGGCAGAGATCGTAACTTAGGGGAATCTCTGAGCACATGCATAAGTAGATTCAACCATTCTGTCTCGCATGTGCATATCTTTGACCGTAGGAGATACTAGCAGCAGAATATGAGTCCTGCATAAGAGACGGCATTAAGTACACAATGCAACCGATTTGATCACAAAAATATACTAGACTACAGTATTCGGATAGTTTTGATTGCCCTTCTTGATAAGAAATCAAGAACACATTACCTTTTACACATAAACAGAGGCGCTTGACTCATAGAACCCAGAATCTGCTCAGGATGGTCACTAGAAACTTCAACCTTTGCCTCCACAACCTTAGGCATACTACTCCTAATGGCGAAAGTCCGCCCGTGTCATCAAAAACACCCAACAACTCCAACGAAGGAGCATCTATCACAAACCCATGAGCCTCCACGACAAATATGTACCATGATTCAGAGTCTTTAGAGAAGGCACTATAATGTTGAAAATGGCCACACTGTCACCGTGTATTCGTTTCACAACCAAGTCTTCATGAACAGGACAAGCGGATAAAAGCCTCTCGACGAATTCATCACCAGGGTACTTCATGGATACAAGGCTCAGTTTCTTGAGAGACGGGAAAGAAACCGAGGAAGCAACATCATCCACAAGAACAGCGTTACTTAGTTTCAATGTCACAAGCATGCGGCAGCATTTATACAGGCTCCTAGGGAGTGTGACTGGAGTTCTGCTACCAGGATAAGTAACCAATCTCGATAATCAGCTCACGCACGCAGCATTTCTGTGCAGCTCTAACCCACACTTGAATATCTCCACTACCACATATCTTACCAAGCTTGCATAAACAGAGACCTGTCTAAAAACCGAGAAAACCTTGCATATCATAGTAGAAAAGTCTTGGCACCATCGTCCAAAGAAAGTGCCATCGTTTCGACAAAACCATTGTGGCCACAACATCTTTCGTTGGTAGTGACGACAATATCCTCAAGATAAGCTCATGAGGCAATTGACTTATCCTATTCATAGTCAAGAGCAGCTAAAAAACCCTTTTTCAAATTCTAAAGCTTTCACCTTTCTCCGTCAATGTCAGAAACCCGAAATCAGCAAGGAAATGACTCAAATAAAAATGAAGGAAAACAAAATCCAAACTCATCGAAATTACCCATAGATATATGCGAGTACGAAATCAAACAAATAAGACGAGTTGGAAGAGAGCAAATACCTAAAACCGCAAATCAGAAACAGCAAATCAAATAAACGAGGAAGAAAATCCGTAACTTTGTATGTCACTGAAGAAGAGAAAAAAAAAAAAAGAGAATCATAAATTTGTAGTTTTATTTCAAAAGACAATGCCATGAAGAAACAGAACATCGAACAACATCTTAAAGCCAAGAAAAACACAGAATCGGGAAACTCATTTACTCGTAACAAAGATGGCGGTAGGATTGCCTGGAGATGGAGGATTCTGCTTGAGGAGTGAAGCATGTGAACCAGCTTTAGCAACATCTTCAGGGTCAGTTGCAGAAAAGATCTCAACCTCTTCAAGACCGAGTTGCCGCTTGATCAAGTCCATGTTACTCTCGAGAACTTCCATCTCTCCAAAAGGCAGCTTCAAGTTCAGAGCCTCACTGCCCATGGCTATTGCCTCGTCCTTCTTGAATTTAAGGAAAGGCATGCAAAGCTTCTGAATCTGCTTGAAGTCATCGGCTTGTCCATCCTTGTGCAGTATCTCCTTTAGCTCTGCAAGTATCTCTGCATCAGGCGCAAAACCACGGGTCTGTTGGTTAAATTTGCGTTGCAGGATCCCAAGGCAGTGAGCTCTCCATCCATCAAACTGCTCATTCACGTAAACTAGGCCCTTCAGCTTCTCCTCTGCCACGGCTGTTACTTGAGCACCTTTCTTAGCAGCCTTCTTGGAACCCAAGAGCTGTCTTTGTAGAAGCTTTCTCATTAGGACGATAGAGTCCTGCAAATACTTGTTAGCACCCTTGAGAACCAAATCTGGCTCATTTGATGCTGGCCAGCCTGCGTTTACCACACTGCCTTCCTTCTTCAAAAGTTTCCTCCAGACGTATTCCGCAAACTGAGGGCATATTGGTTCAATGAGGCGAGTTTGCACATCCATAAAGGTCAGTATCAAGTCATGGTTCATGCCGCCAGTGCCACAGGAGAGTCTGTACTCATCTCGAGCCGCTTGTAAGTCATAAAACCCATTCTTCAGTGCCTCCCTGAACAAACAATCTTTGTAGGCTTTTTCAGTCAGTCTGACAGCAATATTCATGTCATTTTCAAACACTTTATCAGCATATGTAGATGCAGGGCCCGTTCTCAAAGATGATTCAGCCGCCAGAACTTCCTCCATCCATGTGAGCTCCTTTGTCAGCCGCAAAATTGCAGCATTCGCAGTTTCAAATACAAAATTCGCATCATCTACGCCATCACCAGCATCAGCCAAAGAAAACCTTGTAGCAGTGGCAGAGAACTCTTCAATAGCCTGCCGCAGTGTTCTGAAATTGCCAGTTGACTTTGACATCTTCTCAGAGTTCAGCATAATGTGACCATTACATCTGATACCACGTGGCCAGTTACGAGTCGCCATTAGTGCAGTGTGGTTGTAGAGAAAGAACGTCAAATGGTTCTGAATGAGATCCTTTCCTGACACTCGAAGATCTAGCGGGTACCAGTAGTCAAATTCCTGCTTCATCTTACTTAAAACATCTGATGGAATGTCAGATGATTTTGGGTACTGACCATCGCAGAAGAGATACTCCCAAACCTCATCGTTCATCTGCTGAGGGCTAATCAAAGACTTGCTGCCTTTGTACATGTCTCCGTCGTGAAAGATGTGGGAAACTGTATAGTAGGCCATATAAAGGGAGGAATCAGATAAGGATTCGACGAGGAACTGTTCATCCCAGGGAATACGTGTTCCAAGACCAAAAGAACGTGAGCAAGCCCACTGATTGAGCCAGCTCAAAGTGTGCTCAAAGCCATGCCTTGTTTCTTCAGAGTAGAGATTCATGTTTGACAAGCATTCCTCAGCCATTTTCCGCCATTCTGATTCGCCGTACGTTATGTACCACTGATCCGTAAGAGCCACAACACATTCATCTCCCGATCTTGACATCACGGGCTTCTCTGGTTCACTGTATAGAATTGCCTCGCCAGACTCTATGAGCTTCGTCTTGATAATGGGCTTGATTTCTTGAACTTTCCTACCAACAAACTCTCCAATAAGCATAGTTCCTTCCGTAAATCCTTTCAGGTACGTCAACCTCTTAGCCTCTGCAAGCTTCTCCTTGTCATTTTGGCTTTTGATTTTCAGATCCAAGCAGACCTTCTCGGCAGCCTTATCCCCAAACTCGGGAATGTTGATAATCGGAACAATAGCAGAGGGCACCCACTCATCTTTTACACCATACTTTGCTCGAAGAGCAGGCTTAGCATTCAAGTCGTGCAGAGCCATGTAATCATCAGGGGCATCACTAGGGACGCTGGTGACAATGCCAGTACCTTTGTTTGTCAGAATGGTTAACATGGGCAGAGCATAGATGATCTCGTTCACTGCAAGAGGAGACCTCAAAGGGAGCCCAATCAGATCATAACCGGTCAGCTCAACCAAGCAGGAAGGATTCTGAGGGATCTTTGACAAGTTCTGGTAGGCAAGGTTGAGTGCAGCTCTCTCAGTAAGGACGAAGACATCAGTTTCGCTGATTTCATAAGCTCCGTATTTCCCATCAGGCAACACCCATGCGTTTGTTTGTCCATACATGGTCTCGGGCCTCAAAGTAGCTGCAGCAAGAAACACTCGCTTTCCTTCCAAAGGACCCAGCTTCAGAGGGAAGGGCTGCACTACTTCCATCTTGATAAGAGTGTACTCTTGAGGCTGGACACCTTCACCAGTGGCACGGTCGTGATCAGCACAAGGCTGTCCATCTAAAGGCGAGAAGATGGTGTACCTACGGTCTTTCACAATCTTCCCCATAGATTTCAACTTGCGCATCTGCCACCTCACAAAGGCGTCGAAGAAAGGATTAACGTCAGTGGTAACGAACGACCTTCTCCAGTCACAGCCCAATCCATATGCCCTGAGATCTTCAACAGCCAGTGGTGGAAAGTAGTACAACCATTCATAGGGATCTTGGAACCTTGCAATCTCAGTGTCAGTGAGGCCAAAGCTGCGCATAATCTCCCATTGATAAACCTGTCCACCGGATTTCGCAGCCACCTTCGACTTCTTTCCCCTGAACTGATCCGGCAAAGCAGGTGTTGTATCACTCTCTTCCTGAACAGCTTCTGGAGCTTGTTTAGTGTCAGTGAACACAGGAGGGTTCCCAAACTGCTGCATCTCGCGGGAAAGCTTATCCGCAGAAGCCTTAATCGGCATGCCAGTGCAGTGGAAGCCAAAGGGAAGGAGCACGTTAGCGCCTCTCAGTCTATGGTAAGCAGAAGCGAAATCAACCTTGGAGAGTGAGAAGGCATGCCCAATGTGCAGATAACCATTCATATACGGGAAAGGGAAAGTTGAGAAGAACTTCTCTCCTGCTTTTGGAGGATCTTTACGAGACTCAGCCACGAATACTCCTTCTTCTTCCCACCACGTTCGTGCCGCTGCCTCAATCTCCAGAAGACGATCTCTCCTCACGAAGCTTTTCGCTTCAGATGCCATTCCGTGACAGTGCCTGCGCAGCACACAACCATTCAATATCACCATGTCTACGGAAATCGAATCAATAGATGAAGAGAAGAGAGACTTTTTGACGGCAATTATTACCTTGAGGATGAACTTCGGGGGGTTGTAAATCGAGTCCACCGCGAAAGCAATCTGAGATATCTTGATAGAGAGGGAGCCACGGTGGGAGGAGAGTCAATGAAGATGCTGTAGTGTCGCGCGATTAGGGTTTTTCAAGCTTACTCTCAAATCTCAATTCACATTTTTGTTGAACCAGGGCATCCCAATTAAACCGAACCAAAATTAGCCTCAACCGGAAATCAGTAAGCCAGTTTTGAAAATTAGATTATGGTAAACATGCATATTGGCAGATGGATTTATTTCTCCACACTTTTATAGCATTGGAAAGCTTCAAGATTTGTTGAATTTGAAAGCCTTCAATTTTCCAATAAATTAGCTTCAAGAAACCAGGGAATCTCAATTCAAAACAGATTCGATTATTTTGAATGTCGCCATTGTCCCAACTCGGAATCTACACTAGACATGCTATTTTTGAGTGCTAATATTGCAAAATCTGTGTGGAATCTAGCACCATATTTTTGAGCTTTAGGACTTAAGAAGCTTCCCATTTCAGAAACAGCAAATCAAATAATAAACGAGGCATTTGATCAGGACATTGTACTAGTTTCGTGGTTTGTGATTGTTTTCCCGATGCATTCACTATCCCAATTTATATCTGTAACTTGTAATGTTACTGAAGAAAAAAATAAATTTTTTTTTTTAGTTCAATAGACAATTCCTCAAAGAAGAAACAGACTGTCGAGAACATCTTACAGCCAAAAAAAAAAAAAAAACATAAAAAAGGAAACTCAATTACTCAGGCGGTGGGTGAAAACACAAAGCTCTTTTCTTCCCTTTCTGTTCACCTCAGCCTCACCGGCGAATTACAAAAGCTGCCGGTGAAAAACTCGTTTTCCGCCATTTGGTTATTAAAATTGACTTTCTCTTTTGGGGTTAATTAGATAAAGTTCCGAAACTCTTTTTTTGCAAACTATGCGAAAATTTCAAAATCAGTAATACTAATAAGTAAACTCTTTTCTTTTTTTTCCGTCTCCATAAGGTGTTCAGTCCACGTCATCACCTCTGAGCTCGGAACTGTCTGCCGGTGTAAGTCTGTCCGAAGCTCCAGTTACGAGGAGTAACGTTGTTGGAAACGACGGTACGGCCATCGCTGGTTGTTACTCTAAAGGAGAGAGCTTGGCCGTCGAGATTTGCGTTGCTTTGCCAATTCTGTCCCCAGTTTCTCGACATGCTTTGCCAACCTGTCCTCGTTCCTTTAATGGAGATGGAGGTAACATCCCCTGCACCGGCGACGTTGGTTACGAGAACCAGGTTGAAGTATGAGTGACCGTTGATCGTGAATCGCATCCCTCCTTTTCTCCGGCAAGCCACTCTGTTTCCCCAACAATAACAGAGCATACGGTTAAGGGAGACCGGAGCTTCATATTAGTGGCCATTTTTCTCCAAAATTGATGAACCGGAGGAGAATAAACGGTCTTATTTTTACCCAGAACCGAGCTAAAACCGGGATCATAACCATTGAGCAAAACAGACCACAAGAAGATGTTTGATTAAGCATGTGTCAATTTTTTCTACTTATTTGGTCTAAGATTGATCGACCAAAATGTGTATTTACTATTTACCCTCTAGTATTTGATTATAGCGAACCGAGCTAAACCGAGATGGGAAAACGTACCTCCGGTATTGAACGGGGACGACACCGGCTTTGTATTGAGCGATACGGAGAAAGATGGGCTGAGCCAAATCGAAGTGATGTTGGGGAGGATTACACCAACCTCCGGCGTTGTTGGCCTGAGCAAAGTTCGGCGGACAAAAGTTTGTTCCGGTGACGGTGATTGTTCCTCGAAGACACCATTTTGGGTCGTTTACACATTTTATTTGGAAACAAGCGCCACAGCTTTGGCCACCGTTGAATAGAGCCGTGCTTAGAGCCGCCGTGTTCGTGCCGTATCCTTGGCTGTATAAATTCCCGTAGCCACACGCGCCGCCTGATCCCAAAAAAACAAAATACCACCAACAGAAATAAGTTTTTTGAGAAATTAATAAATGAGTAAAGTTGGAAAAGATTCTTTCAAGGTATTAAGTTTGATGTAAGTTGGAGAAAATATGAATGATAATATTAGCGTGAAAGTAAATTACCCATGGTGCCAGAAGCATCAGCACCTCCATAGAATGTGGCTCGAGCACTGACCCAACCACTACTGTAACCATCCACACTCTTCCACATCATCAGCATCATAAGACTCACCGACATTAACACTTTTCCAAAAATCTCCATTTTCTTTGCTTATTTTTGTTCTGCACAAGAAAGTTTAATCATAAGTTAAATAAAAAAAAAAGATATATATGTGTGTGTGTGCATGTAAGAAGATGGAGGAGAAGAGAGATTGGAGCGTACAATGGTTTGGAGAAGAAAAAAAGGAAACCACTAAAAAATGTAGTGAGATTAAAGGAGAAGAAAGGGTTTTTCAATGTGGTAGGTTGTGACTTGTGTAGATGGGGGGGGGTTATATATAGAAATTTCTGCGAATGATAATAATTTTATTAATATTCATTACTTTTGATTTTGTTGTTGTAATATAAGTATATATAAAACTTGCAATTAAATTTTGATCAGCTAACCATTTATTTTATCATTTTTATGGATTCAATAAACCCATTTTAACAATGGTAGAGTGGCATTATATATGATTATCATCCAATTCGACTAAAGCAAAATGGTAGCAGAAGCATAATTGAAGTATTGACTTATTATTTTTAATTTTATGTACTATGTTCACCAAACATGTACTTTCGACATTTGTTTACACAAATATAAACATGTAGTGAATATCTTATTAAATCGATTTTTTCCAATAATATTATGTTATGCACCTCTCTGTATTTGCTATGATATCAATTATGCGATTATTCTTATTTATAACTTATGAAAATTTGGTGCTTAAATAAGTTAATATTATATGATTTGATTAGTAATTATTTAAAAGTTGGACAAATGAAATCCTATCAATTGCATTAGTGATTTAGTGAATGTAATTATTCTTTGTTAAAAAGTAGTATATCAGACAACTAAAAACGATACTTCTATACAGTTAAATTTGTGCGATAAAAACTTATGTATAATGGCCGGCCATCTTATAAAACTTTCGTGCTTTATATATATATATATATATATGCTTTGTGTAATAGTTGAAAAGTTAGCCGATTGATAATGGATTAGTGAAAGTTTTTTACTTTTTTTTTTTATCAGTTTAAGAAAGACACATATATGATAAAATACTATAAATGGCTTGATGTCAATGTGTGCTGCTTGAGATTTACTCCAAGTAAAGTGAAGGTGAATAGTACTATTTTAACTAGTTAGTATAATTTTTTTTTAATAAGCTCGAAATTTGTAACGAGCAATCGAATCCCGACGAAGGTACCTCATTGCTTATAAGCAGAGACCTCATATTACGGGAGCCAAGTTGACCATTTGACCAACTATTTTTCTAATTCCAAAGTCCACAGAGATGGATACATTGAAAATATAAAATATTCTTTTGACCCGAGTTTTTTAGATGAATTAAACCCTATTTTTTTGGATTTACAACAGTTATGTTAGTTTTGTAGTTTCTATAATGTGTGTTTAAGGAAGAACGAGCTGTTGTCTAGAGAAACTCAATGATGAACATTGTATTTACAGAACATGTTTATTATCCAAATACTTGATTAATTATTTATAAATATGAGTTTTAATTCAAGAATGCATTACATTTTGATAAAAAAATCATAAGTATCCATTAACTTCGAGCAATATACAGGTTCTATCTTCGACCTATGCCGATTACAATTCAAATTAAAAACGCATCCATAGTTTAGTCGATGTGCAATAGATAGTATTACACTGAACAATGAAATATTTAGTACTACTTATCTTTCAAAAGAAATTGCTTTAATCTTGAGTTAAAGAGAAATTGTTTGAGGTCAAAATTATTATTTTAGACATTGTATATTCGATTAAATTTGCAAATTGCAAAAGTTGACCAAACCCTAAAAGCAGTGTCTTGCTTCAAAAACAAGGATTAAGTAGCTCTTTCTATTTTCTCATAAAGTTATTAACTGAAAACCGCAGGAACAGAACATATACTTTTTTCCAACACATTTAACTACTTTTTCTAAAGGAAACAGAAAAAGAAAGTAAGAACAAAGCGTTAGTATATTACTACTGTATTAATTAACAGATAAATAAAAAGGAAGTATAAACAAATAAAGCAAAAAGTGCAAAGAACACCGCCCAAGACGATTTCTTTATGTTGGGTAATTTTTTTCGTTTGATTCTGTATTGGATGAGGTTTTTTTCCAAATCGGATTTTTTCTATAGAAATTTTTTTCTTCCACTATGTAAAATATGAATATACAGTGAATATTTATCTCTAGATATACAGCCTATAACTAATTACTGGAGTATTTGATTGAATTAATCTTTGAATGATAAAAAAACTAAATCATTTTTGAATGGTTGCAACAAACAGACAATGCACTAATCCGCTTATGAACAAGATCATTTTTGATTCCTCGGTCATACATAAACTTTGGCCCCTATGCGGGAAGCTTTTAGATTTTATGAAGAAAAAGCTTTGACCAAACGAATTGTTATTTTTCTTTAAGAAAATAGAACGGTCGAATGCTTATTACCATTTAAATCTATAGATTCTGAATGGTACTAGAAAATAGTAGCAGAATTAAAAAGATTTTTTATCGAATCTTATGAAACAAAATTTAATCTGTAGGCCATTATTTATACTATTATACTATCTTTAGTAGAAACATTTGAAAGTTGTAACACCAACTAATTTTAACTATACATTTCACCAAACTTAATCAAAATTACACCATAAATAATTTAAATACTAATTTTGTAGGAGGTCATGTCCCTGATCATTATTTCCCTGAATTGAATTATTTTTTTTTTTTGCACAAATCCATTTTTCATCATTTACAATAAAACTGTTTGTTTTGCCTGCAGAAAACTTATATGAAAAAACTGTGGCCCTTCAGTATGCAAACTTGCAAAGAGATTAATACATTTTCCGATTATTACAATTCGCAATATAAATATTCTTTGGCACTTGTATTTATTATCTAAAATTGGAATCAAAGCCTGACTTTCGGCGACTGTTCCGTGCAACTAGAAAATAATTATTTATTTTTTTCTCAGAACAAATCATCAAAGCACAATTTAATTTTAAAACAAAAATACACATGAAAAATTGACCACCTCAATTTCAGGATCCACAGTGACGTTCATGTGACACAAATCGTCTAACTTAAGATTTGCAAACAGCACTTATTATTAACCTTCACTAGCAATTAAACTATTAGCAAATGTAGTAAAAAAAAAACAATCAAACTACCACCAACGTTATTCTAATCAAATTAAACCATACAAAATGATTTGTGGAATATCAGAACAAGCAAACTTGTTAAAATAACCAGCAGAGCTTAGTAAACGCATTACAGTACTAATTGTGTTGCTTTAACCAGACTATGCATGTTCTTAGATTAATATAAGTGAAGCAAGCTAATTCGACTTTTCTTCCCTTTACAGCTTAAATCATAAAAAGATCAATACTACTTTACAGCTTCAATATCATCTTGACGACAACATCCAATTCGATGTATATCTCCATTAAACAAATGACTCTAAAAGAATATATATATATACACGATAATTTTATTATTTAATAACCAAAAATTGATGGAAATTATAAAAGCATCCCATTCTTATCGGTTGCAATTATAATCTTGATGGCTCGTTTGGTTCTCTATAATTGTGTCTTGATAAAGCGAGGCTAGAAAAAAAAAAGTCGCTTTTAGTCCCACACGCATGTAACATTTGTTACTTATCATGAGCTATTTCAATAATGTTTAATCACCTGAAATGCTCTACAGTATTAGTTTGAACATATTTTAGGCTTATTTTAATCGATATAGTATTCATATACAATAACCCAAAATGTAATCGAATAAATAAATAATGATAAAAAAACAACTAACTACTAACGCCCCGTAATGAAAATGAGCGATGCAGTGAATATTTCCGCCGTAAGAAATTCGTAAATTTGTGATGCACACATAGTCACATATCACCAGATAGATAACATGCATGCATCACGTATATATACATTTTTTAAAACAGTATGCATCACATATTTTTCTCTATTAAATAATAGCATACCATTGATCATTTTATGCGGATGTTTGGACATGGTTTAATTTTTCAACCATAAGAAAAACATTACTACATTTTACAACTATTAATAATGTTGACTATTGCCCCTTTCAAAATTTTAACAAAAAGTGGTATTGACTATTTAATAATTAGATAAAGAAACATAGGCAATCGATTACACGGTGAAGAGTATCGTACATGATCTTAGTGAATCAACTAGTTTGGTACGATCTGATATTTGTAGAATATAAAATGTAATTTAGTGCATCATTTGCTCGAGTGAATTGAAGATATTTTAAGTATTTATTTTTGTTTTCTGAGAAGCTCATGATTTCTTGCCGGGAAAGTTGCATGAAGTAACAAAACCAAATCTTTAAATGAATCAAGTAAAAAGAGCCACGTGGCCACTTGTCGTTTCCCGCGCTGCGCATCTCCTCTCCCTTTCTTGAGCATATTTCTTTCTCCGACAAAAGATAAAAACGAGTAAATTTGTATAATTTCAATTTTCTATTGAGTATTTTCGTTTTTTGAGAATTCCAATGTCTGACTAAATTTAATTAGAGTTAATTTTGAGGTTTTGGACATTAAATGTGCTAAAGTTTTGACAAACCCACCCCACGTATTACCTTAAATGACCCGTACATTTCGGATCCATAACTTTGTTTCACTCTATTGCTGCTGAACATTATTCATTTTTCTTATCGTTATTCATCTAAACATCTTAATTTTATTTGATTATACAAAAAAATAGTCAAGATTTATTTTTTACAAACAAGGCTTTTTTTTCTTGATCAAACGAACAAGGCTTTTATTTAAGGCCTAAGCCTGAGCCCAAACTCGAAACCCTCCAGAGTTTTCGTCATTAATAACATCACAGCCGTTAATCTACGCGCCATAACGATCTCTCTCCTCTTCGGCTGATTCTCCAAATATCTCTTCCTGTTTTGCACTTGACCGGAACTCGAATTAACCTCCAGACCTCAGCTTCTCTTTCGCCACCGTAAGGGAAGCCATAGTTGATCCTTAATTAACTGAATCTGACCGAAATATTTAAAAACCATTTTTTCCCCTCAAATTTCGTTGCTCTGTATCTGCAAACCAATCTCTTGTAGAAGTTCATGAATCTTTTCGACATGAGGATGCGAAAGATCACCAGAGATGAAACTACATACTCTGTTTTCAACTTCTATTGAGCTTTCACCAGCCAACTTCTTCACACCAATCCCTTTCATCCTCCTCCTCACCATCCTCGACTCGTCCCACCTTCCTAAATCCGCGTATAAATTGGCTAACAGCATATAGTTACCGCTGTTACTCGGTTCTAACTTAACCAGCTGATTCAAAGCTCTTTCTCCAAGCTCAAGATCATGATGAACATTCGAAGTTGCAAGAAGAGATCCCCATATCGCAGCATTAGCCTCAAAGGGCATGGTTTTCAAAACTTCTTCCGCTTCTTTGAGTTTACCTGCTCGTCCCAGCAAATCAATCATGCATCCGTAATGTTCAACGTTCGGTTGAATCCCGTATTTCCATCTCATTGAGCTAAACAAACGCTTTCCAAGATCAACCAAACCTACATGGCTGCAAGCTGAAAGTATAGCAATGAAAGTGACATTGTTCGGTTTCACACCAGCTTTAACCATACGGTTAAAAATCGCCAAGGCTTCAGCTCCAAGCCCGTGTGTAGCCAATCCAGTAATTACAGTCGTCCAAGTAACCACATTTCTCTCATTAACACGCTCAAACTCCTCCAATGCCTTTGCTATATTCCCTGATTTCGCATACATATCGATGAGCGCGTTGTTCAATGAGACCGCTCTGTTCATCCCTGCGTGATCAACGTAGCTGCGTATCCTTTCACCCAATTCAAGTGAGCCAAGATCAGCACAAGCTGAGAGTGCAGCCAAAAGCGTAACTTCATCTGGCTCAACATTATCCATCAGCATTCTCTGAAACACTTCAATGGCTTCGCTCGCTCGTCCGATCTTAGCATACCCAGAGATCACACAAGTCCAAGAAACCGCATTCCGTAACCAACAAGGCATCATCTCCAGCAAAACCCTTGCTTCATCCACCCAGCCCGCTTTTCCAAACCCAGCTAACAACGCATTCCAAACAGTAACGTCCCTCACACGCATTTCATCAAACACCTTACGTGCATCTCCCAAACCGCCACAGGAACAGTACATCTGAATCAAACCTGTAACTACATGGACACTGGAATCAAACCCGAAAACCACCGTTTGGCAATGAATCTGTCTCCCAAACAAAACATCAGACAACCGAACAGCAATCTTCAGCACAAAAGGGAAAGTAAACGTGTCAGGCTTCGAACATAAAGCCCAGAACTTTCTGTAGACTAAAACCGCGATCGAGTGCGCGTTGGGTTCGTCGACGAGAGACAAAGCTCTGATCATGGTGTTGTGGAGATAAGCGTTGGGCAATGGCTGGTGGGTGAATACAGAGTAAGCATATCGGAGATGTCCAGCAACTGAACATGCCTCGACGAATTTGGCAACGATGAGGTTGTCTCTGTTTAAACCGGTTATGATCATGGAACAGTGAGCTTGCTTCAATGTTTTGAGGTTGGTTCCATGGATTTTCAGAGAGGCAACGAACCAATTTATGACCGAGATATTGGATATTCGGCGAATGTGCAGAGCGATCGGTCGCTGTAGCTTCCATGGCCTTAAGCTCAATGCAGTGATTACTTGCCACATTCTCTTATGGTTGGGTAATTGCTCAATGCAGTGATTACTTGCCACATTCTCTTATGGTTGGGTAATATTGTGGAATACTGAAATTTATATATTGAAAGAGAAGCATTATTAAAAAATAATCTTAATTTTATAAAATATTAAATTGGTGCTATTTTGCTGATGTCTCATCACTAAAATTATTTTTTGGAAAGTTATAAAAATAGACTTATGTTACTAGATTAATTACATGTTATGCCATTAACATTAATTTGGTTATACATTAGTTTATATCAATTATATTGATGATGATTTATCAAAATATTTTCCTTTTCTATTTTTTATCAAAAATATAACATATTAATTATCTCTTTAAATATTATATTTTATCTCTTATTTTTATAGAAAAATAAATCATCACATCATTCATATAGTAAAATATATATTTTTTGTGTTATAATTCGAATTTCATTAAACAAATATAAATTACTCAAATGATTAATAACAAAAGTACGTTTTAAAAGACTAAAATTAATAATAAGGATGTGTATATAAATGATTTATAAGTCAATATAAAAATATATAAATGATAAAATAAACAGAAAGCTTAATCTAATAGATATTATTATTTTTAATTTATACAACAAAATAACTTGGTAAAAAATTAAAATATTTTTGTAAGGATATTATATAATAATCTTATTAAAATTTTTGATATTGAAAATATTTTTATTGAATCAAAAAGTTAAGAATGTATAAGTATTGACTCAGTTATATACAATTTTAGATAATTTATTAAAAATAATAAAAATATAATCTATTTTTATATAATTCTTATGTATATTTAGTATTTAATATAAATTTCACAGTAATTTTATTTTCTTAAAAATTAATATTCTTATGACTATAATTTTTGCAGGTAAATCTAAATATGCATTTACATTCATATCAGAAATATTAAAATCGATTATAAAATCTTTTAATCAATTTTTATTTTTACAATTTTAATACTCTCTATTTCAAAATATAAGTTGTTTTGCATCAAAGCACAAAGATTAAAAAAACAACTTTTCTTTAAAATAAAGTAATCATTTAGTATATAAATTAAATATAATTCATCTAATTATGAAAAATTAAAAAATATAACCGGTCACATAGTAGTCATAGGAAGTAGTAAAAAATATAAAAACAAATATATTGTGAAACAAAACAAAATCTTAAAAAAAAATAATATTACGAAACAAAGAAAGTAGTAAATTTTTTTTTATTATTATCATAACATATTAAATATTTAATAGTTTAATCAAAATAAACTCCCTCTATTTTTTTTTGGAATTTTAAGATCATGTTATTAATCATAGGTTACATAAAGTATAAAAAAGGATTTCGTATTTTTATCCAGATTGCGCATATATATTTAATTTTTAAATTAATTTATATTATAAATACATTACCCTAAAATTCATAAAATAAACAAAAAAATTATTTTGTCAATATTACAAAACAACTCATATAAAATCAATTGTATTTTGTTGTATGATTTTAAAATTATACTATATTAAATAAATAATTAGTATGAAAGAGAAAGATTCAACGAGTATGAAGACAAGGTTCCGTGTTAAGAAGGGAGATATCCTGGTAGGCATTGTCTCGAGAGAACAGAGAGGTTCTCTCTTGATTATGTTGTTCGGCGGTGCAGATCGGTTCAGACTGGTCAGACCTCTTTCCCTTTGATCGGATTCTCAAGGTATGGTCCCTCCGATCAGGTCCGCTCTGTGCTTCTCTTCCTGGTGTGGGGATCTCTCCTTTTTTATACTTGTCTTTTTTTTGTCTTGTTCTCTCCATTCGGCGTGCCAGAGGAGCAGGTATATTAATCATTCATGCGTGTTTGGGAAAGCTCGCCAACTGCCTGAAAATAGTACGTGGGAGTTGTTCGGCCGAGCTAGCATGACATGTGTCAGCGTGTAAGACAGTTCGATGCCCACGTGTCACATTCCCGTTGAGGGCTTTAAAATCGATCCAACAATATCTATATTTAGATTATGACAAAAAAAATTGTTTGTATAGTAAAAGATTTATATATATAAAGGATAGACTCATGAAAAATGTATGGATTTTATATAGTTTTACAGATATTTTTAACTTTTTGAATAGAATTTTAATATATTTTTTGATATTTTCTTTCTCAATTTATTTTAAATTTACACGTTAATACTTTAAATAAAAAACTAACACTTTTTTTAGTAAAATAAATTTTAAGAATAGCCATCAGATATCTATTACTAATAAAAGTTGATGCTAAATGCCTCTAAAGGTGTTCACATAGGATTTAAAAGATCCAATTTTATTGCTACACATCATCATTATCCATAGTTAATTATATATTGTATATTAAAATTAATTAATTTGCTTTTACTGGTATAAAGGAAAATTTCTAAATTTTAATTAATTTCATCTTTGTTATTATTAGGAAAGTTTCAAAATTTTAAATTAGTTGGTAATAAGAAAGAGTTTATAAAGTATATCTTATTTTTCTATTAACAATAAAAAATAAATTAACATATAAATAAATTATTAAAGAAAATTATATATATTGAATAAAATAATTAAAAACCATGATTAAACTATTTCAAAATTTAAATCATGAAAAAATTAAAATCTGAATTGCTAACCTAAAATATATTAGTTGTAGTCCGTGTTGATGTCTTAGGTCAATGAGAGCATCTACATATAACGTAGAAATTTAAACTAATTGGTCCACATCAGTATTTTTTATTAAACATAAAAATATTAAATATGACTGATAATTTAAATAAATTAAAACATGCAAAAATATAAAATTATCATAGTAGAAGAGAAAAGTAAGATAAAAAAAGTTTAACTAACAAAATAATTAAACAAATTATGTCAAAATTTTAAATCTATGTTTGTCAAAATAAAATGGAATCTTATTGTCACAAAAGCTAAACGAACAAAGATAAATATGTAAATCAATAACAAAAAAGTTTAATTAATTTTTTTTTTTTTAACATTTATATTTTAAATAAGTAATTAATTTAGAAAAATGTTTAGATTAATTTTTTAAAAACATTTAAAATTGTTATATAAAACTATCAATACCACCCCAAAAATATTTATATTAAATTAACAATCAAAAGTCATGTAGAAGTTGATATTATTATTTAGAAATCAACACGAAAAGCTGAACTAACCAATAAAGTTTAACTAACAAAAAACCAAACATGAATTATTTTTTGCAATATGTCAATGCAATTAAAATAAAAATTCATATAGAACAAGTTTAATTAACAAAAAAAAACTATTAACTTCATATCTATGCTATTTTTTATTTAAAAAATCACTATATATATATAAAATAAGTAAGAAAATAAAAAAATTTAAGTAATACTAAAAAATAAATTTACTAACAAAAAGAAGATAAATATTTAAGATAATTATATAAAAATCAATATTAAGAAATTAATTAACAAAAAAAAGTAAAACAAAAATTAAGTTTTAAAAAATGTTAAATTTTTTAAAAAATCATCTGAAAAGAAACTGACTTGATATCTCACTAACTACTTAAGAAATCAATATTAAAATATTTAACTAACGAAATAACAAAAAATATATCCAAAAATATCAATATTTTCAAAACAATTATGTGTTCAAATAAAATAGAAATCAATATCAAGAGAAGTAAATTATCAAAGTAAAAAGTTGTATAAAGAAAACTTAGCTTGATATTTAGGCTAATATTTTGGAAAATCAACAAAGAAAATTAACTAAAAAAACAAATGATGGTATAAACTTTTGAGAGAAGTCCACATAAAAATTAGAAAACCCAGTTATATCATGTCAAAATAGCATTATAATTAAAATAAAAATTAATGTAAGAAATAAATTTAACAAACAAAAAATATTTATGTAAAAGAGATTAAATTGATATATGCTAGCTATTTGGAAAATCAATAACAAAAAGATTAATGAAAAAATATATATGTTTTAAATATAACAAACATGCACAAAATTAGATAAATTAAAATAAAAGAAATAATTACCATCCAAAGATATGTAAAATAATAAAAAAACAAAAATCTAAGAAGAAAATTAGTTTAAAATTTAGTTCTAGAAAATTCATGAATTCTAAAATATTGGTATTGAATTTGAATAACCATATAAAGTTACAGTAGGTTATACAAGTTTCTAAATTAAATATAGGAGTACTGTTTAAATTTACAATAACTTATACATTGGTTGCGTCTGGACATATAAACCTTAAAAAAAAGAACTATATAAATCGTAAGGAGACAAAACAAAACACCAAAAATTAGTAAGGAAATTATTTTCTAAATCAAACATATGCACATCGAAGTTGGATAATTCGTTAGATGTTATTACTATGATTTAAATTAATAAGATTTATAATTTTATAATAAAAATAGTTAAAACTACATATTATGTTTTAATTTTCTTTTATATAAAAGAAAAATTCTATAAATATATTATCCTTTTGATAATTTAAAAGATATTAGCTAAAAAAGAACTAAACCAAATTATTAATACAAACTCGCGCTGCGCGCGAGTTAAAAGCATAGTTCTTTATAATGATAGGAACGATTAGTCAAAAAGGCTATGCATATAATGTTTTTACTATTATTTGTAATCCTTTTTTAATAATGAGAATCTATTTAATCAAATAAAAAAATTAGAAACTAACAAAAACAATAAACCAAATATATATATAGAAAAGACATAACTTTTATTTCATCGAAAAACAAACAATATGATATTAAACTATTAGTTTATTTTGAAGATAATCGAGTTCTATCATTTTTTGCAACAACATTGTAAATTTTGTATAGGACCTACACACGTTCCATCCGAATACTTCCCGTCCACTCTACAATCGGCCCGGCATTGATCATCTAGTACATGGTTTTATGCAATAGTGATATCCAAAATCAATGTTCACTGCATATAATATACATAAAACCAAGTTAAGAAAATTATATATATATATATACACATATACATATAAATCTGTTTTACTAAAATGATCAAAGATAGACGAGGAAAAACAACATACCTGATGAGGCCAAAACGTCGTAGTTGGAAAACGATGTTGCCAGTACTATAACAAGAACAAAAATCAGAAAAGCTTTTGTCATCTTCATTATTTTTTTTTGTTAGTTATAATTTTGTTATATTTATAATGCTCTATTTATATGACTGTTAGTGTTAAAAAAAAAAATGGTAACCATTATATTAATTTAGTAACTATTTTTAATAGTTTTGAAGTAAAAGGGATGAGAAAAATAGAGAATCCTAAGCCATTAATGAGAGAAGATTTTCATTAAATAGAAACAAATCTTATAATAAATATCATTCTGTTAGATTAAATACAAGATTTGACTGGAAAAAATGATATTGGAAGAAATGAAATGACAATTATATATACAATATATGTTAATCGTTATGAAATGACAATTATATATACAATATATGTTAATCTTTGGGTCAAAATTAGCATATATGTATGTACGTATACTTGCATGGATAGTATGATAATATAAAAAAGTTTAGTGCCACATCATAGAGATATAGAAATATGGTTAAAGGTTTTTTTTTTGTTTTTGATTTCGGTCAAGCGTTATAGGTTTCTTCTGATAAACCATTTTAGTAATACAATATATGTTGTTAAAATGTATGCTTGTCAAACAATTATGAATATTACAAATGCTTAATATAGTATAAACTCAATAAATTAATAATGTTGAAATTTTGATATTTTATTAATTTATCGATTTTGGAAAAAATAAATTGTTTATTAATAATTAATTAAAATAAATTTTATCTAAATTTTATAATATTTTTCAAAATTTCCATTATAAAATTAGAGATAAATGATAAAAATATTTCAATTTAAATAAAAAAAAATATATTCATATTTTAATAGATTATCATAATTATATATTTATATAAAATTATTTTATATGATATTTATTAATTTATGATATTAATAGGACTATATTTTACATAGATTTTTAAAATAAATTATTATCTTATTAATTTATCGATTTGTATTAATTTTTGAATCAGCCTAACTTAGAACCCAACAAAATTATTGATTTATCAAATCTATTAATTTATCAAATTTTAATTATATAGTTTCCACTGTACATTTCTTTGTGATCGTATCAGATGAATTTTTAGAGATCAAAATATTGTAAAATACACTCAAACTCAGCTTAGTTTGGATAGGTTTCATTAACAACTAGTGTTTTGCCCACGATACGCGTGGATTGTATAGTTATATTGTAGTTTTATAAAAGGTTGTCAATTAATTTTGTGTTTAATATTATGATAAATTATAGAATAGTATATTTGCATATGATTCTTAGATATAATCGAGCGAAGTAAGTATCAGAAGGATGTATATATATGTGAAAAGATTATCGAAATTTTTGTATAATAATTTGAAAGTAGATTAGTATACCTTTTGGCTTAGTTAAACTTTTTTTAAGATTTAATGCATGTTTTTGCAAATATGAAGAGTAAATTTTGACATTTTTGTATAATAATTTGATTTATAATTTTGTTATATTTTCTGTTTATGTAAATAGTATCCACATGAACTATATATTATATTAGAAATATATTGTCTAAATTTGGATATCTTATGTTATAATGCTATTTCTTTAGTGAACACCATGAGTATTTTTTTATATTTTCAAAAATATTTTGCATAAGTTTCCCTTTCGCTTGATGCTTTTAAAAAGAAAAACTCAATCCTTACTCTATTTTTGTTTCATATTGTGTATTAGGATTTTGTTTTTAATTTTTATATAGTATGCATTTCTCTACTTATCAATTTTTTACATTCAATATGTATATAGATACTTTATAATTAGTTTATATATTCAACGAAGAAAACAAATGGTAATTAATAATAAACATTTTTTATTATATGAGTTCTTTATTGATTGATATAATATTTGTTTGATAGTTTAGCTAGCTCAATCATTTGCCAATATTGGTGAAGAGTGTGAAATTTATCGTTATATGTTATTTGAAAAATAATCTTTTCAGTTTTATGTTTCATGAAATTTTACAAATAAAATTAAGAAACGGTGAGTAATTATCTTTAATCACCGGTTCTTTAGTTAGGTTTTTACTTCAGTTTTTCTACAATATCGGATTACAACGAACAATATGGAACTCTATATCAGCTTTAGAAACTTGAAATCTGTTATAAGTCAAAAAGTTACAATTGTATAAATTAATTTTCTCTAGACGAACGAAAATTGAGTCGTTCCTTAAGTTTTACTTTTGGCAAGAAAAACGTTCTCCAGTTCCAACAATACTATGATTCAGACTCATTCTACTTGATTCACATTATAAATATAAATGCAAAACAGTTGTGAGATTGTATTTTTATGTTGCTTACAGCAACCTCAAGCATAAGACATATCAGACTTCATTTGTGATAGAGTTGTGTATTATTTATACCATATGTGGCTCATACGCTATGTTTTTTTTTTTTTACATCTTCATTGCTATGTCTTTTGGATTTCCAAATATTTATGCTCCACTTATTTAAGTTTTATTGTTTATCACCAGTTTGGTTGTCATTAATTAATAAGTAAAATTTGTGTTTAGTGACGGCTGATTCCGTTTCTGGTGAGTCAGAGGCAAGATGATTGGAAACCGAGAAGACGATGACTCCATAAAATAAGCTTTTGTTTAAGCTTTATAATTGAGTTTTAGTGTAATTCGTTTTCAGTTTTTTTTTAGCTTTGTTTTTTTTATTGAGAATTTAAGAATTATAAAAGCTTTTTAGGTAAAATTTGAAGAAATTTTGATTAATAAATTATTTAATAAAATAGCTTTAAATTATTGGTTGGAGAAGATGACATAGCAGTTTTGAAATTTACTATTAGTTAATTATTTTTGCTGATGTGGTATATTGTCTTATTCTTATTGGTTAGTTTTTTTATAATTTAACGATGTGACAATTTGTTATATTCTTATTGGCTGATTATTTTTGCTTATGTGGCACTCCTTAGAGAACATGAAATCTATCCTTTTTATATAAAGGAGATTTATCAAAGAATTATTGATAAATAGACGAAATGACAATAAATTGTTATAAAGATTTTTACTTGAGGGCTAACACATTCTCCAATCGTAGATGTTTCTCTTGCAAATTTGTTTCATATATTTATTTTCAAATTATTTATGACATTAATATGAAGGGTGTTTTAGTTGAAACTATCAATTGACTGATATATTGGGTTTTTGAGACTTTTCAAGTAAATGTTTTCAATGATTTTTCGAGTCGAATAGTTTATTTTAGAGTATATTAGTCCTTTATAGAGTATTTTCAGGTTTTATGTCGTTTTGAGAGAAAATGAGCCGTTTTTGGTGCAAACGAACATTCGTTGAAGTACTCCCCACTGATGGATCGAGCTGAATTTTGGACACAAGCTATATCTTTGAGTTAGCTTTTATTTAGAAGTAGTTTGAAGTCAATCCAATGGTGTAATCAAAATCTATGTCAGTTTCCGTGAAAGCAATCCAATCTAGCGCGCGCAGAAAGCTGAAGAATTTTCCGAGAGAAATTAGATCGATCGATCTATGATTTGGATCGATCGATCCGAGAGGCCATGGACTTCCCGAGATGATTTAGATCGATCAATCCAATCCATAATCGATCGATCCAATCCAGGTTCAATCGATCCAAGGTCTTAATCAGCCGGTTTGGTCGTGCAGAAATAAGGAAACTTCGGGTTTTTTTTCTATTCTGACTTGGTTTTCGATAATCTCTCATCCAATTTTTACCTGGACATATAAATACTAGTTTTCAGCCATTGTTTAGGGAATCCTCTTCTTTTATATTCATACTTCTAGGTTTTGTGCTTTGTAAGCTTGGAGAGAAGATTCTCTACATCTTTTAAGAAGATTTCTGAACCCCTTTGAATTTTTTATTTATTGATTATGCATTTCTCTTCATCTCCTTATTGTTTCTCTGCTTCCATGTCTGAGTAGGCATTATCTCGAAAGTAATATTTTTCAGGGCCGGATCGGGCTTCGGGCTTTGGCCCAAATGGACATTCCAAGTTATTTATCTGATTTTGTTAAGTAGATGGCAAAAAAAAAGATTCATTTGATAATGCATGAACATATTAAAAAAAAAAAGTTTAGAAGTATATGGTTAAAATCTGGCTTAGTTAGGCTTTTGCGGTATGAAAATAAAAGTACTTATGGGGAACATAAATATGTTTCGGGCTTATATCAGCCCTACATGTTTCATGTACACGTACTCAAGCAAGTACACGCATGACATGATACATTCATCTAATATTAAAACTACCCACAAACCTCTCATGTATAAATACGAATAAACATACTTAGTTTCGAGAGTCATACATATAAAAATAAATTAATTAATCAAAATCAAATTCGGGTAGCAGAAACCACGACGACTCCAAAGAAGCAAGTTATATGGAGAAACTCTTGGGTTGTGGCGACCCGGTTTTCATATCTTTTGAAGAGCTCATCGCATAAGTCTGGTCCAAGATAGGCATCGACCATAGGACGAACAGCAGACTGAACCATATTGGTCCTGGCTCGTCCGTAAGAAACCGGATCTTTCTTCCACTCTTCTTTTTTCTCATCCGAGTGTTCAACTATTTTCTGGTATTCCATTGTCTCTATCTTGAAACCACCGATACGGTCGAATCCGGCCGCCACTTCCTCCGGGCTTCTCATGTACGCCGGAATGTTGAATCCGTCTCTTGTGTCTTCCTCTATCAAACCCTTTTATCCAAATAAATCATTAGCGTTTAATATCACTTTTTTAGCAGAAAACATGTGGAAAGAAAAGCTAAAAATGCCAAACTCTCAAGTCTCAACTAAAAAGTAAAAAAAAAAAAAAACCAAAAAAACTTTACAACAAAGATAAAGTCAATTAGAGCGTTACAAACCAACTCCTCGTTACCTGGCATCTTACCAGAAACGGTCCATTAGTTAACGGTTATGTAATGTGAGACGTCATCTTGAAACGGTTATGTAATGAAAACATGAAATTAAGATTTACCTCATCTATTAAATCTTGCCAAGCTTGTTCCATAGTAGTTGTGAAAGGATGTTTTGCTCGAGAACCTTGGTCTCCAAATTGACTACTTGAGCCTGAAGGACGACCACCCATTAACACAAACAACACTCCTCCTTTAATCATTTCTTCTTTCCGACACTTTAAAAAATCATCCAAATCTTTGTCTGACTGCTCTGCGAATGCATCAACCACTTCTTTCTCCGCTCCTTCGATCCACGTTTTCCCTTTGTTCCACGTTTTTGATCTCTTCTCCAATACTTTCTCAGGTATCTACAATATATAACCAAATCCATCAGAAGATCGATCAATTAGAAACACTTAGATATATGTTCTTGTTGTAAAACTAATTAAACTACTATAAAACAGTTTTATCGAGCAAATATTGTAGCCATAAGACTTATATGATATCATGGTGTTATGTTCTTGTTCTGACAGAAATTATCAAACTAACCAAGAAAATGTTGTTATATTATAACATTTGGAGAATACATTTTCTACTATTTAATAGTGTCAAATTGCTCTCGTTAATTAATTTGGATGATTGATTAACAAATGTAACACATGAACTCTATTTCCTACTATCGGAGAACATTTTTCTACTATTTAATAATTTTTCCAAATGTAACACATGAACTCTCCTACTATTAGACCAAGAATAATAATTAGTTCTTTTAAAAAATATATTAAAAAAATGTACGTATGTATAGACCTGAGAGAGCCAGTGTAAGGCACTTAAGCTCACAGCGACGTGGATCGTTCCTCTCGGAAAAAGCCGATCATAGAACGAGCCAGCGATGCCGCAGGCGAAATACTTGGACGATTCAACTTTCTGTTTCTCAGTCAACAATCTGAACAACATGTTGAAGTCATTAGAAGGCAAATCACAGAAGAAAGCCTCAAACTCCGGCAATCCACCACCGTACACCGCCGTGTATCCCCGGCTTAAAGTCTCGACCACTATATCGACATTAGAGAAAGTGTTGGAGCCGGTGGCGCAGCCAAGATCGGCTATTCTGATGATCGGAGATGGGTGGTCGTCCAATAATAGTTTGATGGATTGGAGAGATGAGATAAGGATTGGTTTGCATAAGGTTATAGCCAAAGCTTGGGAATCGGAATTGTTGACGTAGCTTACGTCACCTTCGCCGCCTTGCATACATAGTACACGGTGGAGACTGGTGGTGGTCCAGTCTTTTGCCGTCGGAAGGCTTGGTGACTCCATTGATTAATGTTTTTTTTTTCTATTTAATATTTGTAAAAGAGAAGAGAGAGATTTTGGTTTTGGATGTTGAAATCTTAGCTGAGGCTTTGTATATATATTTACTCAACGACTATATACACATATTGACATATATACACACACGCATTCATGCATAATGATTTTCTGTTTTTCTTATAATTGGAGTTGGTGAATGGTTTAATTACATTTTACAGAAATATACAGTCATTCTTGTAGATTTTTCTACCCCTACAAATAAACTTAGACTTTAACTGGTGATAAGATAATGAAGAGTAATAATGAATTTTCCTTCATTTTATTTATTTATTATTACTCAACGGTAATATTTGTTTCATATCAGTCCATAGTATTTTTTTATAAAATTTAGAAAGAATAAAAAATATTTTTTTATTTCCCTATATATATATATATATCTAATTTCTATTTATTTATTTTATTTTGTTCCTATTATTCTTTTTCTTTTCATTCTTATTTTCTTTTTTACTTGTCACCATGTGATATATTATTGATTTCTTTCCTTTAAGAATTAGCTGATGTTATATTTACTATATATATATATATACACACAAATGTAAACGTCGTGTTCAATGTTTAATGTAAAAGAAATGGGCAGTTACGTTTTTCATTGTATGTAGCGTTATATATGAATGTCTTTGTCTCTCTCTCTCTTTCTATGCTCTAGATTTTTTTCCCTATTTGATTACTTTATACGATGAAAAAAAAAGTTTCTATCTTTTAAGGTTTATCTTTATTCTTTTTTTTTTTTTGACTAAACGGTTTATCTTTATTCTTCTAGAAAGAGGTCTAGGTCTTTATTTATTCATCCTTATCTTCGTCACGTTATCTATGAATTAACATTCTATAGATATTGCTTATTATAATGGATAGATCATTAACATAAGTAGACTAAAGATTTCGTGGACGTCTTATATAAGATCTTATTTACATAGCACTACGAATATAATTATTTTCCCGATATGTGAATTTATCACAGAAACTGAATGAAACGTACTAACAATCATCTCTTTATATTGTCATGGCAGAAACCAATTATGTAAATTTTCATTTGATTTTTTTTTTTGGTTGGTCGAGGAACAAAAGATTGTTTATCGAAATAAGAAAGTTCGAGTAGGAAGGTTTTGAATAGTACGTTAGTAGTTGATGTCTTACATCTATCGCTCACTGTCTTTTATTTTTCAATTTAATATGTATTTTATTTAGCTGATTGATAATCATAAGAATACGTATATACACACACATGCATGCATATCATACTTATTAACTTTTTGACACGAACACTACTTGCGACTTCTTGATCTCATACCTGTCGTTAAACATATTTACTCCCTTATTTTAGTTTTTGTCTCCATAAACCTTATCGCCTCTCACAACTTCGACATCTAGAAAAAAAAAACTTTGATCAAGAAAAGATGTTCATAATTGAAACTTTGTTACTTTTTGAACAAACAAAAAAAAAAAAAAAAATTGAAACTTTGTTACATGTTCATAATAAAATTGAGAAGACAATTTGCATCCTCTGTTTCTTTAAATTGTGGTTCCTATATCTCTTACCGAAAATATTTTGTACTTTACACATTCTGGATTGGTATAATTTGTGTCTATGCTCGCTTTACAGTTCATAATAGTTGGGATGGAGTGGTACTTTTCTCTTGCCAAGTAGATAAAATATAATTTGCGTCCAGGACTAGTGGATATGTAATTTTTCATCATTACCTCGTCTTTTAGATTTTGGTTCCGACACAAAACGAAATGTTTTTGGTTTCATCTTAACTGAAAATGGAGATAAATATTTTAGATTAAAGTTTGTTAATCCGTTGAGTCGCGACTAGTCGGGATCGATCCGGTGATCATCCAAATGACTTTCCGGTTTGATCATCGGTTCGGATCTAAAAAAAACTTTGATCGTAAACGCAACCATCAGTACAAATCAATACCTAAAAAGAAATTAAAGTAAAGGGACTTGGCAAAAAAAGAAAAGACAACTTTTACAGAAAATGGACCTTTGACTTCGGTTAGAGGTTTTAGAGGGTGAAGTGGTCCTTTATAACATCTATATAGAGAGAGTTAAGAGTTGTCAATGTCCTCTTTTTAGTCTATGGTCCGATTCCCACTTGCTTCTCCACCAAATTTTCCTATAAAATGAGTGTAAATGAGCACTTCTAATGATCCTTTGGCATGACGCAGACCTATCTATGGGGAGGAGCTAACACCAAAAAGAATTGTAATACTCTTTTTTATTTATTTATGGAAAGCACTTTAAAATGTACATTTACTTTCATCGAATATTATTTCAAGAAAATGGTTGTTGCGCTCAATAGTCAATACCCCCAAGTTAAATGTCAGTGAAGTGAATTATGATATCATCGTATGCTAAAGAGAATAACTTTATACAGACAAAAGGAGGAATTTCTTAAGATTTGGTCTAAACTACTTTCTGTTTACTATAATTTATAAATAATTCGTACACATCCATATATCCTAAAGTTAAAAATGTTGCCCTTATGCGTGCATCGATGCAGTGTTATGCTAGGTTTATAGAGTCTCAAGGCAGAAGTACTTAAAAATTTGGCCCTTATTGTAAAAATATACAAAATAATATAATTATAAAACGACAAATATAGAAATTCTAAATTACAAGTTTTTTCTTATAAAATATTTCACCTTCTTTATATAATCCAATTTTAAAATAATGTTATAGATACGATAATGAAACAATTCCCTTATGATGATAAAAATTGGATTTTTCCAAACAAATTCTACTTCTATTGTATTTCATATAAAATACATAACCCTAATCCATTGTGGCCGTATAATTTTAAAAACATTCGGTGGCTCAACCGCTCAATGCAAATGCCTTTTTTCTAAAGCATCAAACACACCTCTGCATCGATGTCTAATGATCGAAATGGATCGTAGTGAAAAGCCGGTTTATGGCAGTGGCCAAGGCGCTAAGATGTGGGTGAGAGAGAAACTTTGAATTATAGTGATTTTAACCAACTTTATTATATGATGTAATTTCACAAAAACTTTATTTATCGACAACAAAAACATTACAAAAGCCTTAAATTCACGTGAAACAAAAATGGGTTCAGTTGGTTAGACTCAGGCGTTTCTCTGCTCAAAAGTCAGAACGTCCACATCATTTTCTGAAAAATATTATATACAAATATTACAAAATAAAATATTTAAAATTATAAAGGTTAAATAACATTAATAATGTAAAAAATTATTTATTTATTATAATCATTAAAAATACAATTTACAATATATACATTTTGTATTATTTTTTGTGTCTTCGTGATTTCTAGTTTTTATTGGTTCACTGAATAGTTAGAACATCTACATTGGTGAGATCCATTGAATATCTCACTAATATAATATTAATATTTTGATTATATTTTATTTTAAGAATTTTATTGCAATTTTTTTCTTTTATTGATAAACTAGTTTTTCATTAATCAAAATTATCAAAAAAACTTATGGATAATAGAACTTAGTAGGAAAATAAAACTATTTTATGATTTATAAAAAATTAAAATTTTTAAAAAGAATAACATATAAACTATTTAATCAACATTTTAAACTAATATGTACTTTCTTTATTGGAAAAAAAAACTACCCAACTAATAAATAGATATATAATATATCCAATTTTAAAGGTTTTTAAAAGTTTTCAGAGTATCTCATTTGAAAAGCTTTCAAAATATATTATTTTTTTAATTTTTTTATTTTTTTATATTATGAGATATTTATTGAAATATCCGTTGAGATATTTTCAGTCGAAATGTTCTTACACAAAATAATAGATAGAGTAATGTAGTACAACTGTTCAATATCACCAGTAACACCTTCAATTTTTTCTGAAATTTAGAAAACGGATATAGGTTCAGGAAAAAAACATATACTTCAAAATGTCCACAAATTGAAGATGTTTAACTTAATCACTAGGACGAAAATTATAGTCCAGAAACTTCAGTATATCAAGATCGAAAACTGAATTTCACTAGATCGAGACAGAATGACGATTACGTATTCCATAACAATTGCGAGATCTATAAATTTAGTGACAACTTAAAAAAAAAAATGATGAAAATAGCTTAGAACAAGAGTGACCCACCGTACCAAAGAAACATGTTAATTACATCAAAAGGAAAAGAATTTCTATCACATCAAAGTCAAGTGATTAGTTTTTTCCGAGGTGGGAACAATAAAGGCGTAGTGGACCGGTTCTAGATCCATGACTGATCCCTACCGTTATACTATGCTGTGCTAGTGTGCTAAGATTAATATGATATAATCATAATAATCAAATAATATTAAGTGGGAACCACAAAAGTTAAGCTTTATGCAGAATGATCACTAACAGCCTTATCTGGTTGAACCATAAAATAACTACCAGACTTCCACTACATCCTATAGCTCTTGAAACCGGTTATGCTCTTTGAATCGATTGGTTATCGACGACCGCATAAAGGTCAGACAGATTATTAGTTGGTTTAGTATAACTGTTTTAATGAATACACGATTTATTTTAGTTTCTGCCTTAATTTGGATAAAACTGATGAAACCTGATTATGGTTACCCTTTCAGTTATAGACACCAAAATTTGGAAAAATAATTGAGAATCAAGTTAACAACATTAAAAGTCTTGACATCTTTTATACCTTTTATGAAACAACCCGGCCGGAAACATAATCGAATTAATATGACAAAAATAAGAAACAATAACTCTTACAAAAACAAAAACAAAAACAAAAAAAAACTCAAACCTAAAATAAATATTCTATTTAATATATATATTTTTTAAAAAAGTGTATTTCAACAAAAACTAATATGTCCGGGAGGGGAGGGGAGGAGGGACCTGAAACTAACTAATTTCCAACCAATTATATCGAATTATAATATGGAATAAAATGTTACAAGGTATGGGACTCTATGAACATATGTCCTACTCTGATACCATGTAGGACATAGTGTTCCAAATTCTTGCAATAAATGAATCATAGACACCAATACAACATTTTTTAATTACAATTTGATTGGTCCGTCATATTGCGGCCATATCTTCAACCTTGGTATATAGATCATTCTTTCACTATTCTACGAATATATCTGTCATGTTTTTCTATTATCACCGTTACAAATTACATAGTCATAGAACTTAACAATGTCACCATATAGTTAGAACACATCAAAACCATGAAACTTCTATATATCAAATGACATTTATCAATCAATTTACACGATATATGATATGAAGCTATAAAACAAATTGTTTAGATTTCGAGTTATTTTTTTATTCGTATGTCTATTAACTGAAAACCACGTTCATATCTCCCATTCTTGACACCACTTACAAGAAAAAAATCTTAACTTTTTACCAAAAAAAAAAATCTTAAACATATAGTACATCCACATTTATTTTATAAAGTGAGACATTTGCATGAAAAAAGTATATTCTATTATGTTGTGTGTAGGTGATCGAATTGCGTGGTGAAAGAAACCACCGCTAAATCACAAAGTAATAAAAATATGTATTAAAATGTTGGAAAATAATAAAGATATATAAGGAATTGTAGCTACGTACTCTTACTAGCTATAGCTAATTAGCTATAGAATGAGACTAGGATGGCTAGAGAGAAATGTTAAATAGTTTAAACCCTACGAAACACGTGATGAACAATTGATCAGAGAACCATACTGTAACGCTACTATACTAGTTATCATTCATTGGCAATTATTGGGACAGCTACTTCCGTTCGCTTTTGTATGTAATCGGTTCGTTAATTTGGTGAAAGTTTGATCTGAAAACTGTGAAACAGAAAACCTGTAATTACATAGCTCGTGGGTACACCAAATATAGATGCAATTGAAGTTATGTGGAACAAGATTTCCCGTATATTGCTATTGCTTGTTGTTGCCTATATATTGCCTTTTGTGTTGTCTATTGCAAGTAGCTCGATCGTGGGTACGCTTAAGCATGGGACAGTGCTCGTGTCTACGAACTCGAGAGAACGAGCACAACACACACACACACAACAAACTAAACAACAACAAAAGAAAGCTATCGCCGCCTATTGTGTTGCATACATACAATTTTTTTTATTTTTTTGGTAAAATGTAACATACAGTCTTCTTTTGTTAGTTCATTTGAACACAATTCCGCGAACGGGGATAAAAGACAAAATGACTGGTGAAACGTACCATGTAACAAACCGGTAAAAATGTCACCAACTCATCATTCACACAAAAAAATCAAAGAATCTTCGATCGAAAAAAAAGACAAGGAATCTAGATTGACGAAGAAAAGTACGACAAAACTGTATCGCTATTACTTAACGGTAAAAACATGCATGCATGCACATAACAATGTATTTTCAAATTGGAATATGCATAAAGAAATAGCTCCTTTCCTTTTTCACTGTTCAATTTTCACAGAACAAAAAGTCCTCTCTCCATTGAAATTTATTTTTTATGCTCTCAATTAAAAAAAAAAACGATTTATCCGGAAGTAAAGAGGAGATTATCCACCGAAGAGCATGTCTATTTACTAATGAATAAAGTAATGTGATGGTGTACCTATATAAATATAATGCTAACTAATTAATTATATATATACATACATATATATATATATATATATGTGTAAGGGTTTAACTCGTATCCTTGAGAGGATATTAGTGCAATAAAATGATTTAGAATGAATAAAAACTGACTAATAATTTTGTTCCACTCATTTATGTTGAATATAGTAAAGGGATAATTCTATAAAATTTGTTCACAATTATTTAATGCAACGGGACCAATAAAGCTTTTTCTCAATATTTTTCACTCTATATAGTAAAGTTTTAAAAGAAAGATTGATTCCATCCTATTTTAGTCTTCTAATTATACAAATATTTCTCCTGAGATTATGAGATATGACCATAATTTTTGATATTCTTTGCTTCAACTTGTAATCTATTTAAGCTACTCAAAATTAGACTTAATTAATTTGACCCAACCCTTTATCTGAAATTAAATTTGTGGGAACTATTGCCTTAAAACATGCTAGTCATCTAAGAATTGGTCGAGCGCTATGAATTATAATGATCAAGTGTCTTTGTTTTTTTAAATTATAATGATCATCATAATGATTATCATTATAACGATCATCATAATGATTATCATTATAACGATCATCATCATTATAATGACCTGTCAACTAATTAAATGGGGTTTCCGGTAGTACGTTAATTATAAGGTACTTTATATATATATGCAGCTCTCAAGAAGAAGGAAGGGCTAATACTTAAGATTCTCCTAGGTTTGAAACGATCGATGACATATCATTGAGGTGTCCGAGAGACCCATTCTGCATACAAACTAATTCGCCGAGGATATATACGTGAACGTCTCTTTCCACTCAAAAGCCAAGCTTCTGCTGTGTTTTATATGAAAATATACTCTTTTAGTTAGGTTATGTTTATGGTCCCCGACCCCTACCTTCTTCCTTCTTCCTACTTTTGATGATTGTTACCTCTGCGATCTTCTTAGATCCATAGAGAATCTAATATTACAGAAACATCCATATAATTTAATAATATTAATCTCCCATATGTCGGTTCACTCGAGATGAGTATTGCTTCCAACGTTTAAAGTAAAATTCACAATTTAATCTCTCTCCCATATGTCGGTGCAATGTATTATGTGTAATTTTTTTTTCCCTTTGGGGTGAAATGTCCGACGACCAGTATTATTGTGCATATGGTCCATCTTGTGCTCTTCCCTTGCTTTTCTGAGTTTTCTCCCAAATTTTACGTCGGAAAGTCAATGCAGTGTTATAATCATAATTATAGTTGTCTCTATAATAATGAAACATATTTTATTGGCGCTACGTCCACATTTATTTTAAATTTGTTATAAGAAAACAGTATCTTATCTATAGTTTTAGGTTTTGTGTTATACATAAGTGTACTATACATGGTCTCCCTTATTGATGACATTATTTTCAATATTTAAACTATAGAGCTTAAATCACAAAATTCATAGTATTAGACCCATAAGATTAATGGAAATAACAAGTTCTAACAGGTTTTCTCCGAACATAATCTCAACTGAATAAAAATTAGTTATGAAAATATAATTATAATTGACTAGCAGAGAGAGCTATATAATACTGGTCGTCGGACATAGGGGTGGGCACAAAAACCATAACCGAAAAAACCAAACCATACCGAACTGAAAAAATGATATGGTTTGGTTATGGTTAAACCTAAAAATCCATTTGGCCATTATTTTTTTATAGTTTTGGTTTAGGTTTGGTTTGGTTAAAAACCGTCAAACCAAAAAGTTTTTTTGGTTTTTAAACTAAATTTTAAATAATTTATATTTTTCTAGTTTCTTAATTTAGTTTAGGTACATATTTTATTATTGAGCTTATTTATCTTTATAATTTACTAACTTAACTCATAAATTTAAAATATAATAATTATAAAAAATATCTACATATAAATAATAAGTAAATCTTAATTTTTCAATAAAAAATAACGTGATTAACTCATTTTTCTTCACATTCATGTCTTCTAGTTCTAGTTCCAAGGTTACATGTATTAAATTTTAATCTAGATTTGCTTATTGTTTTATAATTATTTATTATGAAAGATTTGATAATTTATTTGTTTATCTGTTTTGAAATATGTCCTTATTGATGAATTTTTTATGATTTTGATTCTATTTTTTGAACTTATTGTTTTATTTCACTCATATCTATTATTATTTTTTTCATTAGTTTGAATTAAAATTTTCCGTAAAAGTATAATTCCAAAAAAACCGAAACCAAACCATATTAAACCGAACCGTAAAAAACCAAACCATACCGAACCGAAATATATATGACTTTTATATAGTTTGAATTTTCGTAAACCCGATAAACCGTAAAACCGAAAAAACCAAACCGAAACCAAACCAAAAACCGAAATGCCCACCCTTACTATATATATCTACGTCATGTCATATTCTCGCTATTGTCAACTTACTCCACTCTCATTTTATTGCTTTAAATTATTAGTTTTTATGTTCATAGTGTTCTTTCACCACTTTATAATAACACTAGTCTCTATTAAACATATGTTATTGTTATAATATGATCACGTTTTTGCAGTGTTCAACAAGTTTTTCAGTGCAGTACAGTAAATTAGGTCACATGCAATGCATCATGAATAGCGTTTAAAATATGTAATTAGTCCACCCACACACACTTTTAAGATAAAGACCATCAATAGTTAGTGCATATATAGACACCAGTCCTTTTATACACGATTCAAACCAAATAAATTTTATGTTTTGTTTTCTTCTATGTAATCGAGTTTTTTGGACCACGATATATATATTCCATCTTATTTGGGGACCATATATTCATATGAACTATGTTTAATATAATGCATGAATGTGTGCACTTCACATCTAAATTCTGAAACCAATGCCAAAGTTATTATTACTAGCTAGTACGTATATTTTCTCCGGGACCATGAATAAGTTTACTACACTTGATATATAATTGTACGATGTTTTTGGCCCATATAAAGATACGGCCCAGTACAAACATTGTTGTTACCCAACTTCGTGCTATTACCAACTTTGAAGTGTGTTGAAATGCATGCGTAATTGATGAGTTTGTCAATTACTATGATTTATGAACTAACTATTCTGTTAATCAAATTCCAGTTTCATATTATTTGTAATAATTATTATTATCACAATTGAAGAAAAATATTGAAAGGAGAGGAAGAGCGCAATACGGGGGTTTCAATACATATAGATCGAGGATCCGACGGAGAACACACGGTTCTTCACAAACTTAGTTTCTTTTTTGTCCGACTTTTCTTCACTCCTATGTATAATTTGATCTTCAAAAACACTTATTAAAGAAATCAGAAAAAAACCGTTTGAATCACTTATACAAAGAAAAAAACTGAATTTCTTTAAGCTTGTATCGACAAGAAGAATTTAAAACGAGAGATGGTAAGAGTGAGTATGTCCTTCGGATTTTTTCTACTGTATATAATATTTACTGTTGTAACGACAGTAACAAAAGCTGAGGATCCTTACTTCTTCTATACGTGGAAACTAACGTACGGCACAATCTCACCGCTCGGAGTTCCTCAGAAAGCTATTCTGATCAACGAAAAATTTCCTGGTCCGAATCTCAATACAACTACCAACAACAACATCGTCATTAATGTCTTCAACAATCTCGACGAGCCATTCCTCTTCACTTGGTCAGGAAAAATGCTTATATTCATTTCTTTCTTTTGTTCCAAGTTAGGTTATAAGCAATTTTCCTTGTAATCCAAGAATAGTATGTATAGATGGGATTTAAAGAAAGGTTTTGAATTTACTGAAGCTGTATTTCTGTTTTACGTAGGAGTGGAATGCAACATAGGAAGAACAGTTGGCAAGACGGTATGCCCGGAACTACGTGTCCGATTCCGCCGGGTACAAATTTTACATACCATTTCCAATGCAAGGACCAGATCGGTAGTTACTTTTATTACCCAAGCTTAGGTCTTCAACGTGCGGCCGGAGGATTCGGTGGCCTACGAGTCAACAGCCGGCCGCTCATTCCGGTCCCATACGCTGATCCAGAGGACGACTACACAGTTCTTATCGGCGATTGGTACACTAAAACACACATAACTCTCAAGAACATTCTTGATAGCGGCCGGTCAATCGGACGGCCTGAAGGAGTTTTGATCAATGGGAAATCAGGAAAACCGGATGGAACCGGTGAACCGATTTTCACGATGAAACCGGGAAAGACTTACAAGTACAGGATTTGCAATGTGGGTGTGAAGATGGCGTTGAATTTTAGGATTCAGAACCATAAGTTGAAGCTTGTGGAGTTAGAAGGATCTCACACTCTGCAAGACTCGTATGACTCGCTTGATCTTCACGTTGGTCAGTGTTTTGGTGTTCTTGTGACCGCTGATCAAGAACCTAAAGACTATTACATGGTTGCGTCCACACGGTTCCTCAAATCAGTCCTTACTTCCACAGCTATTCTTCGTTATGAGGGAGGTAAGGTTATTAGACATCGATCTAGCACTTTAAATTTGAATAATTAACTATCGAATTATTTTATAAGAAGATTAATAAACTTTTGGACGCAACCATGTAAACTATTATAAATTTGTGTCATATCTCTTACCTTGTTGTTATACTATTTTATAAGAAGATTAATAAGCTTTTGGATAATATATGTACCGTGCAGGTAAGGGTGCAGCATCTCCTGAGCTTCCTAAACCTCCGGTGGGTTGGGCCTGGTCACTGAACCAATTCCGATCATTCAGATGGAACCTAACCGCAAGTGCAGCTAGACCGAACCCTCAAGGTTCGTACCACTACGGTAAAATCAACATCACACGGTCCATAAAACTGATCAACACGGCAGGGAAAGACGAGGGAGAAAAGCTCAGGTACGCGCTTAGCGGAGTGTCACACGTGGACACGGACACGCCGGTCAAGCTGGCTCAGTATTTTGGTATAGCCGAAAAGGTGTTCAAGTATGACACGATCAAGGACGAGCCGACCAGTGTCGAGACTAGTAAGATTTTGGTGCAGCCGAATGTTCTGAACATCGAGCACCGTTCGTTTGTGGAGATTGTGTTTGAGAATCATGAAAAGACTGCACAGTCTTGGCATCTTGATGGATACTCTTTCTTTGCTGTCGCGTAAGTCTATATATCTAATATATCTCTGTCACACATCAAGTTCTTTTTTTCTTCTTCTTTTTATCATATGCATATTCATTTCATCTTCTACAATCTGTTTCAGTATTTGATATGACAAAATAACCAAAGAACAGAGAAATCGATATCGTAGTGAATTTGGACTACAATTTCATTCAAAGAAGAATAATGTGCGTGTGTGTGTAGGGTTGAGCCAGGGAAGTGGACACCAGAGAAAAGGAAGAACTATAATCTATTAGACGCAGTGAGCCGACACACAATCCAAGTTTATCCCAAGTGTTGGGGAGCCATCTTGTTGACTTTCGACAACTGTGGAATGTGGAATATTCGGTCCGAGATCCTCGAGAAACGTTACTTAGGTCAACAGCTTTATGCTAATGTCGGCCCAGCGGAACTTTCCCAGAGAGACGAATACAGTTTTCCAGCAAACGGTATTCGTTGTGGCCTTGTCAAGGACTTGCCTGATCCTCAGCCGCCCAGGAACTCGGTTTGATTTTGTTTGGCTCGGTTCGGCCTGGTCTGGACTCAAGGTTTTCTTATCTTATACTATACGTATGTGCTCAAATTTTGGTTTTTGTAGGTCGATAGTAAAAAGTGTTATGAAATGTCTGTAATCCAGTTACGCATTTATGATACAGATGATATATTATTTTCCTTAATTATTAAACCAAATGTTACATTCGATTGGAACATAGAAATGGAATGACAGATTAGATACATAAAATCCCACAATTTAACACAGACTATTTTATAGGGTAAAAGACGAGTTTTGGCTAAACAAAAGCCGGTTTACCAAACGAATATAGCAGGATTTATTTACTTCCCGATCGAATCGACACCACAAAACTGGAAATGATATGCTCTTGAAGCATATTTATTATCATGATCACTTCATGTTATACATTTACCTTTACATACTTAATGTATAGGTATATCTACAACAATACGAGTGAAATAGTAACCTTTTTTTATTTCAAGTTTTTCGTTCTTTTTTTTTAAATATAGTTTAAAGTTACAAACACTATAAAAAATGATGTACCTTCTTCCTTGTAAAGATCTCTATCCGCAACTTCTTATAAAGCAAATAGATAAGGACCACTCTCATAGGCTCATAGCGGGAATTCTTTCTGCAAGAGATCGAGATTCCTTGACTCACAAGCTTCAATCAGGTCTTGCCTTGAGGCACAACTGCACAAAGTTAACCAGAGTAGCAAAAATTCAACGACACTGATGGATTTAATGGATTTTTCTTGTTCACAAGCTTTATACATACCTTAACGAGAGCCTCAAGTACTGCCATGCGTTATCGGCCTTAGGATTCATCGCAAGGGCACGAACATAATAAGGGATTGATTCCTTGTACATCCCCTGTTACAATTAGAAACACGCAATAACATCCCGAGTTTCAGTTAGTTTCACCAGTCCAGAACAATCATCAAACCTCTGATATTTGCATCTCAACACAAGTAAAAGAAACAAGGACTCGGACCTGGTTTGCGTAACTGATTCCCATGTTTGCCCAAGCACGAACATAATTAGGTTTTAAATCTAGAGCCTGCGAGTTAATCGTAAAATGCGACGGTCAGACAGACGCAGAAACAATGAAACTTAGACAAGTTTTGATTCCTGTGCTTAGAACAGTACCTGTTGATAAGCAGATATGGCATCAGCACTCTGGACACTGTTGGCTTGTGTTGCACCAAGCTTATTCCACAGAGAATAATCGTTTGGTTTTAGTTTCAATGCTGTTTGGAAAGAAGAAATCGCTCTATCGAATTCCCTTGAGAGATTGTAGAGAACGCCTAACACTATATGCACATCGGCATCCTCAGGATTCATCTGAGAAGCTTCGGTGAATAATCTAGCAATCTGTTTATACATAGACAAGGAATAAAGTTTCAATACATCCATGAGATGAGATTCAGCTGCAGAGAATTTACAAGAGGAAGGAAGAGCACTTACATCAGCATGGTATAGAGAATCAGCAAGCTCTGGAGGAGCGATTGCTCCATACTGTGGGTGATTTCGCAGCCATCCATATAAATATTTCAAAGCAGTTGCTTGCTCCAATTCTGTAATTACCGAGGATATGTTATTAGTCGACCTATGAATATGATCTATCTAATTTCAAAAATGTATAATCAAAACAAGCATTCTCATTTAAGAAACAATATTGTCTACAATCAGGCACTGACCGTTTGTATGGCTCACACCAAGTGCAAGAAGCACCTCTAGATTTGTTGGATCAGCCTCCTGTGCACGCATCATTGCAGCTATTGCCTGCATCCACAACGATAAATTGTCTCAAAATACGAATTGAGTAATCCCTTATTTTTGATAACTTATAGGTGATTCATTGTTCATGAAAATCAATCTAACTAACCTGTTGATCATCATCGTTCTCTGCGTGTGTGACCCCAAGTAATCTCCAACCCTCAGCGTTTTCAGGATTTTTCATAACCTCAGCTTCTAGAGCAAGCGCTGCTTCGCTCAGAAGTCCTTTGCGAAACAACTCCTGCCCTTCTTTCATAGGTTCAGGGTGACCCACATAAGGATTCATGTCAGAGAAGACGTAGACACCACTAGCTTGCTTTTCAGCATTTCTTTCAGTCAGAAATCTGGAGAGACAGAGACTTCTGTTAGATGCACTTGATAGTCGAAGATGCATGTTGGTTCAACACTGTTCATGACTCCATATATAAAAACTAGGAGGTTATTAGATATATAATCCCTTGACTAACCAAAGAAAAATGCACAGGGGAATAGTAACAATTGAGTAAAGTGGATTGAGTAATTGAATTGACACGGACCATAATGAAAGAGAAATTATTGGTTCTTAAAAATATTGAACGCACAAAGCACAATGAAAGATAAATTGTAATAGATCAATTAAATAACAGTGAACTTACTCATCATAAGCATTTGCCCATGCATCAGCGGAACTCTCACCCACGGGCCCTTCAGCAAATTCATCTACCCAGTCATCAACATTCAACTTCGAAAACTCATTAACCCATTGGTCCTCAGCCGATTCTTGCTGTCCTCTCCCAGAAGCAAACTCATCAGCCCACTGTTCTGGTCCATGGGAAAGCTACACACACCAAAATAGAAAGCTTATGGTAGATGCAAGGTGATGCTTCTTATCGAAAAGAAAAGAGCATATATTGTCTGTCACTAAACTTTCTGCCATGTCAGCGATTTCAGATTCTTTTAACTATAAGAAACCATTTCAATGGAAAAATGTCCACTATGGATACATTTCCAAGACAGAAATGCAGATCCACTACAACAGCTAAACCTATCATCATGAGCTTCACTAGCGGATTTAAAGGCTATGCCAAGAACGGCATAATAGTAATCAACTACACTAGCATGCTATCAGTAGCGAGGGAGACCCTAAAGCGAACACGTACTTTCTCATTTGCAAATTGATCAGCCCAACTTGGCGGCCCCAGATACTGCTGTTCATATTCAGTAGCCCATTCCCCAGGGGCTGGTCCTGGCTTGACTTCATTCTCATCAATAATGAGTTCACCGCGGCTCATCTTTGAAACAAATTGGAGGAATCTTGAATTCTGCGGTCACCAAACATTATGCAAGCTTTAATATAAATCTCAAACTCTCAAGAGAACAGCTCAGCAAAACATCCTTACAAGAAAAAAGAAGACTCTGTGATAAAATAAATTTCAGTGATCTTTCAAGTTCTAGAACATAAACAAGCATAGAATTTCTCGGCAATGGAAATAAGGGATCAGAACAGCCTAGAAACAAAATATGTCGTCCTACTGAAACTATGATCAAAAGTTTAGAAATGAGTTTACTCTGAATGCACATGATTGTAAATGGCAGGTTACACCAACCTGAAATTTCGGGTTCCCATCCTGAGACAGTGTATGGGCAAGCTTACGAGTCTGCTCCATTGCAGCTAAATTTTGCATATCCATACTTCTCATTTGGTTTGACATCAATTGAGATTGACCCTTCAAAATGGAAAAAGATGAGACGCCAAAGATTTTCAGAAGAACGTGACAAATAATAAGAGAGCCAAGGTGTTGGCCAATTAAATGCGAGTCAAACCTTGATGACCATACATCACACAAACAGTCGCAACAGATTCAGGTTTTTTAACAACCTGGGACCTAGCAAATCAAAGCCTACTCCACTAAAAGTATAAGCTCTAGATATTCTACGATACGCACTTGAAGCTTTTCACGTGTCTGGTGTGGACATTCAAATAGATATATATATCAAACAACTGAAGGAAAAAGTATCTATCATATACCTGCTCAAACTCGGTGGCCCACCCATTCACACCATGTTGTTGCTCAAAAGACTGAACCCATGCATCAGGACCACCATGATCCATCCCATGTTGGTTAAATTCAGCGGCCCAACTATCCGCAGGATGTAAACCAGGTTTCATAACTGCTTGAGACTCGTTCCAATAATCATCTAGCTCCCGAAATCTCCCAGGAATATGACCTCTAGCTTGAATACCATCATCGATATCCAAAGATGACAACAATGCATTTACCTAGAAAAAAAACAATATATTCAGCCACGTTTAACGCATACAGCACAATGATGTAGCTACAGAGAACTATCAGATAAGCAGTAAACCTGAGCATTGATAAATTCCTCTCCCCTATCGGCGAAAAAATGCCGGGCCATTATACTACTACGATCACGTATGCATTGTTTGTCACTTTGTGACAATCCCAGCACAGGGACAGGTGCTGGACGAAAGGGAATGCCACCACGGCTACTCTCAACAAATGAATGCAGAAAGTTTGACAAGACTCTCTGCGGGGGTCCTGCAACAAATACGCAATGGGAAAAAAAACAAATCAAGCAAGCACAAGAGAACACCTTGCTTTGACATTTGCAACAAACAGAGACAGAGCTATGAATAATAAATTGAAGGAACGCATGGAGGAGAAGTTGCTTCAAGTACTTATTCCATGTATTTATACTACTACTCAAAACTTTCACTGCTTTTTATTCATACAAAGATAATGTTTTTTACTTCTCGGTTGAAGCTGTTACCATTATTTAAACATCTAAACCACAATATCTATCAATTTTGTACCCGGCACTAAATAAATTTCTTAGAAAAGTATGAGTGAAAATCAAATCACAGACCTTCGAATGTGGGCTGAACTGGCTCATACATAGGTCCCATTGGAGGAGGCATAGGTCCACCACGTTGTACTTCATCCCAAGCTGCACCCAGACCATTCTGATCTACAGAGCGGAAGCCACGGAAGAACTCTGCCCCCTGATCAAAAAAATTTGGCAAACCCATCAGCCATCCACAGAGGTCTAACTAAAATTCCACAAAATCAAAACTTTGCACATCACTAACCTGAGCACCCGGTTGCAGAACTGGCTGATCCAACTCAGAACCAGGAAGTGACCTTAGATGTTGGTCTTCAGAGTAAAACTGTGGCCCAGGACCTGAACGAGTGGCATTAGGTATCTCCTTGAGCCTTTCCTGCGAACCAAATCAGCAAATCATCATCACATGACGTAATCGATAAATTGTAATGATAATACCGAGTCAAGAAGATTACGTGTGCTCTTAGCGATAAGGACAATATCTAAAACCCCATACTAAATGAAAGAGAGATCAAAAACACCCACAAGGATGAGATCTACTTCGAAAGCTCAGCGACAATTGGCGAGAATGAACCAGGATAGTTGTTTCAACATGAAATTCGATCACGATGCTAACCTGGGCTTTGGAAGAGGAACCGAGTATCGCGTTGGTGAGAGCTCCGAGAGGGTTGGAAGAAGAAGATGAGCCCGGAACCGCGCAGGCGGCTCCGCCGTTGACAAGGTCTCTCATCGCCATGTTTCAACGTTTTTTTGGAACTCCGCCGCAACAACCGTCGTCGAGTTCTAATTAGTATTGGTTCCTCCGTCCTCCGAAATTGATCATCACCTCCTCCCAAATCCCAATCTGTAGTTATCTCTCTCGTGGCGGTGTTTTATTTTTGGGTTTGGCCACAGCTTCATAAAACCGAATTACACATATATGGAGTATGTAAATATTTATATATTATCCACACCACACACATTTTTAGGCTCACCATCACATTTATTTTCATTTTGTGAAAAACAAAACAACAATTCATTTTACTTTATAGTTTTGTTGTATACTGTATTCAACAATTTTTTTATAGGATCTGAATTTAGATTGGTATTAAAGAAAAAAACTTTACAATAAAAAGGCAAAAAAAGAAGAAGAATTTCATCGACAGAGAGAGACCGAGGAGAGTGACAAGAATGGCGCCATCGTCGTCGAGCGGTTTGACCTTCAAGCTGCATCCTCTAGTGATCGTCAACATATCGGATCACCACACTAGGGTTAAGACTCAGCTCAATCCTCCGGCTTCAGTCTGTGCAAGCGGGAATGTCTCCGACAACGGCGAAGCAATGTTCCAGCAGGACCCTAGGGTTTACGGATGTGTGATCGGTGTCCAGAAAGGACGTACGGTGGAGATCTTCAACAGCTTCGAGCTTTTATACGATCCTTCCACTCAAACCCTCGATAGATCCTTCCTCGAGAAGAAGCAAGAGCTCTGTTAAGCTCACTCTCTCTCTCTATCTCTCTTTCTCTCAGTTATTGTCGGAATCAATTATTGTCGGAATCATTATATTAAGCGTTTAAAGATTGAATTGATTGAATTCTTCTGCTTTCTTATAAAATTTCATTCTTGTGTAATAGACAAGAAGGTGTTCCCTGACTTCTACATTTTGGGATGGTACTCAACGGGAAACGACGCTGAGGAATCTGATATGCATATCCACAAAGCCGTGAGTCCACTGCCTTCTATAAGAGTTTCTGTATGGTTGAGATTTGGTCTCACACTCTACTGAAAAGTTTGATTTTGGTGTTCTCTCATGGTGACAGCTGATGGATATCAATGAATCTCCTGTTTATGTTCTTCTAAACCCGGCGATCAATCACGCTCAGAAAGACCTCCCAGTGACTATTTATGAAAGTGGTATGTTTTCAATCACTTTGCTCTTGTCTCATTACTAATCTTAGACAATACAGATTATGTAATGGCACAAGGTTTAGCATGCTCGAATATCAGATTTTTAAATCTAACTTTTGTATTTTTTCCATTGATTTCATCTTCAATACTTGAAGAATTGCATGTCATTGATGGAATCCCGCAGCTGATTTTCGTTCATACAACTTACACAATCGAGGTCTGTGCTTAGGTTTGATTCTGTAACTAATCTATGTTGTGAAAGTGGACTTTGAGTAAAAATTCGTGAGATGTTTAACCCGTACAGACAGTTGAAGCTGAAAGGATATCAGTCGATCATGTTGCACATCTCAAACCATCTGATGGAGGCTCAGCAGCAACCCAATGTGAGCCTTATGTCTCTCATACTTATCGTAATCCATTTCTTTCAGTCGCACTAAATTTTGGGTTGGTTTGAACAAATCTGGTTGATATGCAGTGGCTGCTCATCTTACTGGCATACATACTGCCATCAAGATGCTTAACAGCAGAATCAGAGTGCTCTACCAATATCTTGCCGCAATGCAGAAAGGTACTCTTCCCCCAAGTTCTCATTCTCATTCGTGTCACTAGTCCATGGTTCTAGATCGAAGATGGAGAAAGTTGTGTAGTTTAGTGATTTTAGCTGGCAAGGATATATGACTCGTGGCGTGGGATCTTACTTTCTAGGTGATATTCCTTGTGATAACTCACTTTTGAGACAAGTATCGAGCCTGCTAAGAAGGTTGCCTGCCATGGCATCAGAGAGGTTTCAAGATGATTTCTTGATGGTGAGTTTGATTTGCATTTTATTTTTCTTCAGTATAGCTTATTTTCTTAAACATCTCTCAAACATATGCCGTTTCTTTCCTTTCGCAGGAGTACAACGACAAATTACTAATAACTTACCTCGCAATGGTTACAAACTGTTCCAGGTTTGTTCCCTATGTAACATTCTATATAACCTAGGCCGTTATGTTCTATTGTGATCCTCACTTAATTATTGATACCCTAGGAACTGTGAACGTTATGGTTTTCATCTGACTAATAACTCTGTTTCATCTGTCAATTTCTTTTTTTTTTTGGTTCGATCTGCAGCACCATGAACGAGATGATCGACAAATTCAACGCTGCGTATGAGAGAAACGCTCGAAGAGGTGGAAGAACTGCGTTCATGTAAAATATTATTTTCAGCGATTCGAGTTCTAAAAGGTTTATCTTTGGTTCCTGAAACTTTTTTTGAATTTGCCTCTGTGAGTATCTATATAAATCAGACGGCATAAGAAAGTTTCAGAGACCAAACAAGCATAGGAAGTAAGACTTGTCTTCTTCTTTCACTGTTTCCCTCTATAAGAATCTTCCACTTCTCTGTAAAAACTCTATGTTTGATCTTGAACAAGTTTTCATTGTTAGTAAAAAAGATATTAAGGTACATCATCATCTGTCACGTCTTAGAGTTGGGCTTATGTCCTCCTTTTATGTTGTCTATGCGCACGTGCTTAAACATAGCTACTGTACTTGTTTGTTTTTTCTTCTCTCGTTTGCGTAGCTACTTAAAAGGAAAGATAACCAACTATATGTTAGGGTATACGACTTCTCCGGCATAACTAAATAAATGTTAGGTGACAAACGAACAGGAGTTATACAAATATGTCAACATGATATGAGACGCAGTTACCTAAATTTAAAGTGAAGTTGCTTCTCTGACACAAAGACCACTAATCAACTTTCTGGCAACAATTAAGGAAAAATGATTTGCTAAGATCCATTTATATAACTTTGCCTCTTTAACAGAGCTATATGTACCCTCATTTTTCTTGTTTTATGCTTGCTTGTATAATTAATAAGGCAAAACTTAGGAATGAAAATAGAAACAGCCTTTACCTTCCCCCAAAGTTTCAAATTAATAAATGAAAGAAAGAAACAGAAATGATGAGTTATTATAAGGACCGACCAAATGCAGAAAGAAGAAAAGAGTAATTTTTTTTCAAATCTGTGGTAATCTACTCATTATCTGGTTATATATCGATTGTCCTGTTTCCGAACCCGGTTCAACCTTTGGTTCCATCCCTCTCTGCATCATCGCTTCACTCATCCCAACCGGTTGAGTCAAATACGGGTGAGGCAACATCGGCAGTTTCCCTTGACCATACGCTAAACCAGACATTGAAAGATTAGTCAAACCGGTTTGACCTAGACCGAACGAGAAACCGGAAGGTGGACCCAAATGCGGCTGGAAGCTAAACGGACGGCCAAACGGAGATTGGTTGGTCGCCGTAAGTTGTCTGTCGAATCTGCCACGTGGCGGCTCTGAGTGATGTCCGTTGTGGTGGTAATGGTGGGATTGAGCGGCTGAAACGCCGCTGTTACCGTTTCCACCGCCTGAACCGCCGCCGTGGCTGCTGTTGCGTGCGGCGGGGACGTCGTGGTTGTGTTTGCCTTCGTAAGTGGTTATCACGGATTTGAGATCATGAGAAGCTCTCTCTACGTGTTTTCTCACTGTACATCCAGGAGCTGTGCATTTGTAGTAACTCCTACAAAAACATTTTTTTTTATCTCAGTTAATATTAAAAACGAATCAGATGCTTCGAGAACAGAGGAAAAAGCAACAAGAATTACTAAAGAACCTTGGATTTGGGTTTCCTTTGACAACTTTCTGACCATATTTTCGCCAGCGATATCCATCATCAAGAATGTCAACATCACTTGTTGTCTGCACAACAACTCTTGGCTCACGTATGGCTCTTGTTGCTCCACTCATCTCTGCTGCATAAGCTTCAAGTTTCCTGAAAAATCAAAACTTTTTTGAGTCAAAACACTCACATATTTACTTGACTGATCGATGATTCAGTGTTTAATAAGAATCACTAAAAAGAACCTTCTTTTCGACTCGGATTCGTCTCCTTCTGCTCCTCCTCCTCCTCCTCCTCCATCATAGCCCAAAGAAACACTCCCATGCGTCCCTCGATCATCTTCGTCTTCATCGTTAGAGAATGTCGATGAAGCATCAACCACAACCACAGCAGCATCACCTGACTCATATTGACCTCCGTTTTGAGCTTGAATCGATCCAGATTGGTTTCCATATTCAAATCCCTCTTCGACATTGTTCTCATTGCTTCCACCTTGTTGTTGAGTGTTATTACAACTGCCCCACGCTCCAGCGTTATCTCTCTGATGCTGCTGCTGCTGCTGCTGCTGTTGTTCAACTTGCTCGGTTCCATCTACTTGCATTCCCGAGCGGCGATTAGGTTGAGGTTTAGAGTGATTATGAGCTCCTTTGTATATAATCTCCGTAATGTGGCCTTCCCTTGATCTCTCGACTTTCTTCTTCACTTGACAATTCGGGCTTGTGCACTTGTAGTAGCTTCGTGGATACTCACTCCCTTTGACCAGCTTTTGTCCGTACTTCCTCCAGTTGTATCCATCCTCAGCAGGCGCACCACCAACCATCGAATCACCGCGTCTCTGCTCTTCTCCTCCTCCTTCCTCTTCTTCTCGACCGGTGTTTGTTGCGGCATCAGGTGTCTTCCTCTTCTGGCCACTTTGTTCAGTTTCAACCACGTAAAGATTAGAGCTTTTCATGTTTTGAGAACCGGTTTTCACATCTTCTTCTGGCGATCGATGAGAAGAGCCGTTGTTGTAGCTACCGTAATCAACAGGCATCGCCTCCGTTGTGCCTTGGAAGAAAGAGGAAGATGATCTTGAAACGGGATGGAAAGTGAACGATCCCCCAATGTCATCAAAGAACTCGTCTTTCGCATTACTGTGGAATCCGGGAAGAAATGGAAATTTCCCTGTAGTTGGAGACGGTTGAGCCTGCAAGGTCATCATCACAGAGGTTTTCAGCAAAAAAAAGCTTCAAAATAACATCTAAAGGAGACAACTTTCCATTACTTACCAATGGGTTAGAAAGAAAGACCGGAGATTCCAAGAGTGTTGCAGGGCTAAGGCCAGGAGAAGAGATGGTCAAGCAAGGTGACCGAAGACTAGAGTCGATGGAAAAGTCAGGATTAGAGCGGATGTTCTCGGTGTTGATCCTCGGAGCGTTGAATCCAGCTCTTCTCTCGCTTAAACCACCACGTAAAGTGTTGGTTCGTGGAGATTCCTTGTTGTTGTTACCATTAGTGACATCTTCTACACCAGTAACTTGACCATGGTTCAAAGAAAGCTCTCTTTCAAGAACACGTTTCGAGCTCTTCTGTTCTCCAATCGCAGAGGAGAAAAGCGTCGCTGGACTTGGACTACGAGGCACCCATTCTCCCATTACAGCAACGTTTTCATCAAAACCAGCCATTTAAGATCCAAGATTTTGACTGAGTCTTTGCTCAAAATGAGATGAAAGTCCTGAAACATTATAGAACATTAAAAGGCTGAGTCTCACAATCACAAAACACAGAAACTATTTAAGACATGATGAGCTAAGTAACACAAACTAGATTTCAGACAATTGTAAGTTATGCCTAAAGTGAACCAGTGAGTTTAAAAACTCGTATATATATATATATACACTATTAAACCTTTTTTCTTCAGAGTCGACAAAAGTATAAAGTAAATATAATTTATCGAGGACAAAAGAGAAATGTAAGAAAATGAAGAATTAAGAACAACAAGAACTTTTTTCTCTTTTCACGCGTTAATCTACTCCTTTCACGGAAACTCACGATATTGATATATAGGATTTCAGATTCTAACGAAATTAGCTCATTTTTTTTTGGAAAATGAATCATTGACAGAAACAAATGATCGAATCACGGAGATTAAAAAGAGAAACAAAACAATAAGACAACGTCAAATTATAGCTTAAACCAGACGGTAAGCGAAAACTTAAGGTAAGTGATTAAACAAATCATGTTTTTTTTTTTCCTTTATCGAATTCAAAATCCAGAATTTAAGTTAAAGATAAAAACCTTTTTAATCGTATGAAAATCAAATCACAAATATGAAAACAAAAAACAAAAAAATGGGAAAGGCAAAATCGATTAAGACCATTTACCTGATTGATTGAAGACAACGAACCACAAACACCGTCACAACCGCCGCAGCCGCAAACGGAAATCGCCAGTTCCGCCGCTAACATCCAACTGGACTCTGATCCGACACCAACAACGGAAACCCACCCGACCCGGATCCGAATTTAGCACTGAATGAAACGAGATTTTTGAAGCGGGAGAGAGATGTTTTCCTCGTCCCGTCTCCTCCTTCTTCCCTTCTCTGTTCTTCTGGGTTTCACAACAAACCCAGAAAAAAAAAAAGGATACAACTTCTCTCTCCCAAACGAGAAAAGAAATGATTTTTCCTTTACCCAGAACAGAATGATGATGATTATTGACCAAAGAAGTGGATATTACACAGTATGATTAGATTAATCACTGTAACTTTCTCACCATCGTAACGAACATAATTCCAACTTTTCTTTCCGTATGTTACGATTCGATTTTTAAAAACAAAATTAATATGTTTAGAAAAATGGGCCTGTGGGCGAGAACAGGAATCTTTGAAAGAGAAGGAAAAGAGAGAGAGAGAGAGAATTATGAAACCATTTTGATCGATTTTTCTGATTTGTTACTGAGGAGGAAGGAGGTATAAAGTTTTTGCAGAGAATGGTGAAGATGGTGATTCGTGTTCTACATACACGAAGCGTTTTTCTCTCTAGTGAATTCTCCTATTGCAACACGCCACGTGGATTAATCAATGTAGAGAGAAGAAGATCGTCGGCTGATCAATGAGCGATACCGTGAGGCGTAGCGCAGGTGATCTCTCTAACGAATTATCTGCCAACTTTTCACATTTATTTCTCTTCCAAATTCATTTTTTGCGGGTTGGTTATTAATAGGAATAAAATTTATTAAAAAAAGTGGGAAATTATTGTCAAAAGTTCCTATTCTGCCACATGTCGGATTAAGGAAAAAAACTAATTATTACTCTATTACAGTGAACGTAGTAATATTTGAAAAACTATTTGAAAAAGAATAACAGAATTATCCTTTGTGGACAATAGCAACAAATAAAAGTTAATTATAATGCAGGTTGTTGTTTTTACTATAAGGGTCACATTGGTTAGAAATTTGTGGAACAGAAAATCTAATCTACGAGCTATTTATAGTCTATGTATGCATGTAACCATGCTGGAAAATAAGTAAAAGGGAGCAAATTTGTCAAAATATTGTCACCGCGGAATAAATTTGTCATGTTACATGCGTATTTTTACATCCAAAAGTCAAAATGAGTGAGTCTAAATCAGTTACAACAATGAGCCAATTAAATCATTTATGTTTTTGCATAAGCTATATTATAATGTGATTTAATTAATTAGGTGTGTCAGATATAATGTATTTGGGAATGTATTTGTACGTGCCCAAATTATATATATCGATCGTTTAGTCGAAGTTGAGACGCAACATATATAGATCTATATGGCAACCAAATCTTTCGACTTCAATCAATAAGACGTATAACCATTTTATTTTGAATTTGACATGTTCTCTCATACATGCATGTGATTTTTTATATTCATATTGATATTTTACATGCATGCATGTGATTTACACGGGACCTTTTAGATGAAACGTATCAACCTAAGTTACAATATAGGAGATGCGTTTAGATCCATTGTAGATTTCAGATGCTGCTTACTTGCTTGCAAAGAAAAAATAAAGAAGGATTATTAATCTATAATGTATCTTACTAGTTACATCAGATCTATATATATCGTACTTAAAAACAAATATATATTCAAATATAGATGTAATCTAATATAACTGGTAATAAAACGAACAAAAAATCATCAAACGAGCGAAAGAACTTCGGACAACAATTCTTGACAAATATTTGAGATACGTTACTTAACACGTTTAATTATATTATCTGAACACTAATTAAATCATATAAATAATAGCTTTTCTTTAAAGATAATGTCGAAAAATAATACTAACTTCTTATTATGGAATGACTAACGTACGTTAAGGGCTAAGGGTTACATAATAATAGTATGATCATTCTTAATCTATGCGGGGACATTAACAAAATGGAACCAATCAATGGCTTTAATTATACCTTAAATTGAATATTTAATTGGAAACTGGGGAGGCAGTTTTTCCAAAAAACCCGGTCAAAAAGAGACATTGACCAAGCCTTTAATTTTTCTTCTTTAATTTTCTTTTTTCCTTTTGTCCCTTTAAGAGCCGCAAACTATCCCGTTACGGAGCTGTGACTCAACACTCATGTGACAGGCGAAAGCACGGTTGTGGCGTGGTGTACCTTTCTTTTCTTCTTACAGATATTTTTCCCAGTGGGGCCCGCAAAACGAACTTTGAAAAGGACAGAGGATCGACGGCTCTGATTTCTTGTCAGTTTTTCCCTCTGTAGTAGGCCCCGTAGGACCCACACGAACGGAAAAGACAAACTTGGGTTTAAAATTTCTACATCGTTCGGCCCATTAGGCCCATATAGCTTTAATAAAATAAAATATTTGGGATTATTGACCCAACGGACTTGCTTTGACTGTCCGATGAACCAAAAGTCAATTATTGAGAATGTCAATGACCCGACCCGACTGAAAAATACCCGCACCGACAAGGTTCATGATAGGAGACCAAGTGGCTCTAATGGCACAAGTTTCTATGAGGATTTTCAGTAAAATTATTAACCTGACAAGAGAAAGCTGATCTTACCCGTTGCTTGGGTCGATGTATATATGTACATACTGTAGAATCGTCGTTGAGAATTTGAGACTCTGATCCGTTGCAAAAAGTCGAAAGCTTTTGGAGCTATTAATCTCTCTTTGGTATTTTTTTCTACTTCTTCTTCTTATTTTATCCTTCATTTGTACAGTTGTTACTTTGATTTGTTGTGTGTTTATCTCTGTGTGTCAATTCGCTTTTGTTGAGAGAATTAGTTTAGTTGCTGTGATCATGGCTGCTAAGTGTTTGATGTTTGGTCTTCTCTGCTGGTTCTGTTGCCTTCTTACAAAAGTACAATTGAGTTTGCCTCAAAGTGTTTAAAGCCTGTTTTTGGAAATCTAAGAAGGTTCCTTTGGATTTAGCTGTTGTTAGTACTTGGTACTATTCCCGCATAAGTTAATTTGTTCTTTGGACAAATATTAGAAACACTTTTTGTACTTTTAAACAGGTTCAACTATATATAGCTTCTTTTATTTTTGTAAGCCAAATCAGTTTGATTTTCGGGATTTCATTGTTTTCTTCATTAAGTGAAGTTTTTTATATATCTGTGATGTTCATAAAGGAAATGCTTAAAGCGTGTTTATAGCAACTGGCTCAATCCTCGTATAACAAATCTGGAAAGCATGTGTGTCTCTTCTTCAGTTTCTTCAATTCAATTGATTCTAGATGTATCGCTTATTAGGAATCTTTAGGGCATTGCATTTTGTAAGAAGTTCGTGATTTGAGTCTTGCTCTGCTTTCTTGAGCCTTAGGATTTGATTCAAATGTCAGCCTTTTCTAGGTCTAGCTTAAACACCGTCAATACGCTTGTATGTTTATTTTGGTTTTCTCTTTTTTGGTTGTTATGGCTAATTGAACGCTTCTCTTGAACTCCTGTTTGAGTCTTTGTGTAGACTTTCTATCTGAATCTTGTCATCATCTTTCAAAATGCGTCTGTTCTGGAGTTAGTAACAAACTGACACCTTTGGCATCTTGAATCACATGAATACGAAATTCCAAACTGTAAATATATTGATACTGCAAGAGAATGAGAAACCCTTGTCTAGGTTTTGTTTGTTTTGCTATTTTCATGCCTAAAGTACACAACCGCCTTGTGATTCCAAATGTAGAACACAGACACAATCTCCCATGGCTGCATTTGCAACTGCAGAAGCGTGTGACAGCAACGCAGAACTAATAGCAAACGGAGACCTACGCGCTCTCCACCCAGTCTTCAAGATCTATGGGCAAAGAAGATGCTTCTCGGGACCAATCGTGACGCTCAAGGTCTTTGAAGACAACGTTCTAGTCAGATTCCAGCTAGAGACAAAAGGAGAAGGAGCAGTCTTAGTTATAGACGGTGGTGGAAGCATGAGATGCGCGCTTGTTGGAGGAAACCTCGGACAGTTAGCTCAGAACAACGGGTGGTCGGGGATTGTGGTGAATGGATGCGTTAGGGATGTGGATGAGATCAATGACTGTGATGTTGGGGTTAGGGCATTGGGTTCTAACCCATTGAAGTCTAGTAAGAAAGGCAATGGTGAGAAGAATGTGCCTGTTTATATTGGAGGAACTTTGATTAGAGATGGAGAGTGGCTTTATGCTGATAGTGATGGTATCTTGATCTCCAAGACCGAACTCTCCGTTTGATTCAGAAGGTTTGATTGATGTGCCAATACCAGAGACACGCTGGTTTATATTTCGAATTCTTAATAATCTGTTTTATACTTCTATAAATAAACCCCATTTCGTGCTATTTGTGAACTTCTACAGTACAAAAATAAGAATGAATGATTTGTTTTGTTAGGAGGAGCTGATATAATCATCTTCTCAATTTAAATGACCATTAATTATTAATTACAAAGCTTTTACTATAATACAACAAAAGCAAACTTTGGTCGAGTCCAAACGAATTAAAATCTTTCTTTGTAACTCTTCTTTTGAGTTCTTTGATTTTGTAAAGACGTGAATCATGTGATTAGATATGTGATCAGGATAAGTTTATTTATATTTTTTTTTTTGTCATGATAAGTTTATTTATATAATCTCAATTTTTTCGTCTAAGAGCTTCGTTGAATATTATAGAGATCAGTACGTCAACAACATGTATATATATGTAGTTACTTACTTATTATTTTATACACAAAAAGTATTATTTTCTAAAAGATTACATTTGTTTTCTATTTTCGTCTTTAAAAATTGCGTTCCGGTAAATAAACTGCATTAGAATTAATGTTGAAGTTAAAACGAAATTATGCCGCATATTAATTGTGTAAATCCATTGTAGTGATTTATGGCTATTTTGAATAGGTAGAACAAAAATATAAATAAACAAGTACGAATAAGACCTCTTTGCCATATACTTGAATCTGAATCCAAAATTATGCAAAATGGAATTTGAAAGAATCCAAAATTCTGCAATGTGGAATTTAAAAGAATACATATCGTGGTGGACCAACTACCTTAATGAAATTGAAACAATTGAATCAATTCCATCTCAATTAAAAACCAGATTCATACCTAACCAAAAATAAGATCAGATTTATTTTGTCACGTTAATTTCGGTTCACTCGTTTTTTTTTTCTTGGACCAAACACACACAGAAATCGTACGGAATATCGGTGTTCCCCATTGACAAGAAAATAAAATAAAAATCGGTGTTTCCCAAGAGCGGTGTAAAGAATAATTTCAATATATAAAAAAAAGTAGCATATTCATGGCTAAGAAAAAATATATTACTATTAAATTATGTATTTTATGTTCCGCCACAATAAATAAAAGCATCATAAAAAAGTTAGACAGACCACACCATCCATCACCATGCCTTGATAATATGACTTATTTTGACATTTCATATTTTCTCTAACACTCCTTTGTTTTTTTCTTTTTTTCATTTACATGGTATCTATAATAGTAGTCTACACTCACTTAAAATAATATTATATTTTGCGTCGATCGAGTCTTCTAAATCAAACGTCAAATTTGTTGAAATATGTTTTCGATATGCCATATATTCATATGGATGTATTTTGGTTTTTTATTAATTTCACCAGCAGAATGTTTAAATTCTATCAAATGATAATATTCATCAAACTTTTTATGTTCTAGACAAAAAAAAATAAGTAAACTCTACACCATAAGTATAAACGAATATATTTCACCAGCAGAATGTTTTGCCTGCGTTTCTCATTCGATCTTTAAGAACTTTCGAAGTAAATGAAAGTTTTGAAACATATAACTTAGGAATTAGGATCACTTATTAATCCAAAGCTAGTAAGGGCTGTTATTGTGATACATCATTGCGATAATAGAAGCTACAATTTTTTTTTCCTTTTCTGATTTGTTTCTTACTTCAATCCATTACTTATCAATTAATCGTTCATGACTTCACAAAGAGAAAGTGTCGTGTAGCAAAGGAAGTATGGGACCTCCATAAGTCCATAGGGCATGGAATATGACCTATGAGGAAAATGATGTTTGACTAAAATCTTCATTTGTTTATCCCTTACGTTTCCACAAAATGGTACTCCATTTTTTTTTTTTTTTTTTTGTATTATTTTTCTTCATTTCTCTAAGAAATGTGATGATGGCCATAATTCTGGCTGCTAACTACTACACGCGTTAACATAGAACAATAAATAAGATATCTGATCATCTACACTTATGGTTATGGATCATGTAAAACTTCTATATATCTGCTTTCAAATTAAGAGCTTGCATTCTTTCTGATTAATAATTTGACAGAACCAACACATATAATTTGTATAGCTATAAATAACAACTTATAATTTCTTCACCTTCTTCATTGTAAAATCTACCACCGGTTACATGGTTTTGTTATGATTTAAGGTCGGAGAATATATGTGGCATTGTGAACTTGAATATATACATATTCGTTTGTTCTTCATGTAATGCTTCAGCTCTAGTATACTTCGAATATCTTCTCATCCAACAATTTTAGTGTTATATAAGTTCTCGATGATACCACGATATACATATATCTATAAACTTTCATCACGTTACGATGCTTGTTGATGAGCGACTAATTCACAAACTGTCTTGTCCCTATGATACATATATACTTTCTCTAATCTGATATGATTTTTTTTAAGACTCCGTTCTAAAATTGATACTCGTATGTTGTTAAGTATTCTCTCTAACCTATGGTCGTACCATATACGTTCTCTGATATGATAAACTTCTCCAAATACTTACAAAGACTTTCTCAAAAGTGACGCTAGTCAACCCACATTTTAGTCATATAATCTCATTTTGCGCCCTAATGATCTAATCGAAAAAGCATTCGTAACCTCTCCAAAATTCACATGTTTGGATTTTCATCATCTATAAATTTAATCACAACATTCATAAAGATAATTTTTGCCCAAACAATAAAATAAAGGAATTTTATCAATCATTATTGTATAAATTAGTGTTCTTAATTTATTATAAGCTAAATTTTGAAAAGTAATTAACATTATGTATGATTAAAAAAATCATAGAAATAAACAACTCGTTAAATACACAGCTCACTTAGTTCATTCATTCAGACTCAAAAGTGGAAAAAAATAAAAAGAAATAATATTTAGGACCAATGCATTAAAAATGGTTTTAGAAATTTCAAAACTATTTAGGAATTCACACAGCTCACGTACAGAGTACAGACAGACAAAATGAACAGCAACGAGCGAGGAAACTACTATATTTTCATTTTTTTTCTATTTTAACATTTCTTTTTTACTTATTTTATTAAACAATTTGTTTATTTATTACTTAGGGAACCTGATACCACTTTGATGTGTTAGTGCGTGGTTCTTGTTCATCTCCCTCTCCCCTTCTCTCTCTCTCTCTCTAAGAAAATCTTTTCTTCTGCCAAGAAAACCATTTTTGAAATAATCAATCCTCTAAAGGTTTGTGTGTATTTAGTCTTATTATTTCCTGTATTTATTTTTGCTATTTGAAAAAACTATTTGACCAACTCTCTTTCTTCTTCTTCTTGTTCTTCTACTTCTTTGTTCTTGTATAGTATCCCCGATTTACAGTTTCTTGTTCTTACTTTGCTTTGAATCTTTGTTGTTTTCAAAGATCTAAACTTATATTCTTCAAAACAGGTATGCATGTATGTATATACTTCTCTGTGAGTTTTGGTATTGTATGATCCAAATTCTCTTCTGTTCATGGCATTATGTAAAGTTTTTGGTTTTGTTCCCCAGATTTTTTTGTTAGATCTCATGTTTCTCTGTGTTCTCTTATTCTCATTAATTCATCCGCAAATAGAGATTCCTTCTCCGGAACTACTTTATTTTGTTTATTTAAATGGTTTGCTTATCTTCTTTCAATGTTCTACATCTTTTTTCCTCAATAGCTTTTGAAAATAAAATAAAATCTCAGTGATCTTTGATTTCTGATAAGCAGATGTTTGTCTAAATTCTACTGTGGATTATCTACACTCTTGATTTATAAGTCTATTGTCTTGTTGTCTAAATTTCACTTTCTCTTGTGATTCCTCGCATAAAATAACAACACTCCAATCTATTGTCTTGTTGTCTTAATTTCACTTATTTTTAACTGTTTATGTTTGTGATTTCCTTCACCAATCGGATTCAGATGCTTCAAAGTCTCACCCACTAATCCTAATTTTATTCTCTGTTTTGTCTCCTTCACATGAAATAATATTTATTTTTTCTCCAAGGATCTTCTCTAGTTTTCTGGGTTTTACACTTTCCTCTTATAGTTGTTTCTTGAAATCAAAGACTTGAGAATAGAATTCATTTCCTTTATTAAACTCTTTCAGGTTTCATAGCCTCTCTCAGGGATTTGGTGCTGTAAAGATCTGGTGTTATGCAGAAGAGCAGGGAGGTGAATAGTAACAGTGAGAGAATCAAATGTTCTTATCATCCACTGATCATAGCTCATCTCCAAATAATCCATCATCTTCTTCCAGTTTCTTACACCTGACCAACTCTAGCCATGAGTTAGGTCAATCACATCTTTCCAGTTTCTCCATCAGGTAAATCTTTAAAGTTGTTTTTTTCTTCTCCGATTTGTTTGGGGGTTTTATGAACAAGAAGTCAACAGTTTCTTTCTTCACCATTGTTTTAGTTTTCTTGATGAGTCTGATCATAACTTTTCTTCCCATCCATTCAAATTGCTTAAATGGGTCAGATTTAAAAACAAAAAGTTTTTTCTTTTTCTTTTCTCTTTCACCTTCTGGGATTATGTGGAGCTTAAATGGTATTTTCTTTAATCCGTTGGTCCATACCATGTGAAGTTAATCTGAACGAGGCTCAGTATCATCAAAGAAACAACCTTTTCTTTGTGGTGTCTTGTCTCTCAGAAGTTTTATTGCTTCATAAAGTTTGTACCTTTGTTTTGTCTGGTTGTTATTACTAATAGTCTGAGAGTTTTTGGTTTTTGTGATGGTTTTGCAGAGATTATGCATTTAGTCACCGGACCAAGAACATCAACGAAAGCTGGCCTTTTTCCTCAACAAGTTTGCATCTTTGTTTGAAACATGGCTTAAGTGATCCATTGCCACCGATTCAGCCTCTTGGCTCTGTGATAATCCCCACGGTAACAACTCCTCCATTGCAGACGACAAACATAACTCATATTGTTGAAGCGATAAGCTCCAAGGGAAAGTTGGAAAAACTTGGCTCCAATCATACATTAGCAGAGACCAAACAAGGCTTTGAGAATGGTCTTTTGGCGAGTGGTTCGAAATCCGAAACACAAGTAGCCATCGCTAACAAGAATCAGAGAAAGAAGTGTGGGTTAATAGTGAAACCTGGAGCTTGTGTGGATAGTGGATCAAAAGAAGACCTTATGGCTTTGAGAACTTGTCCCATCTGCAAAACCTTCTCGTCTGCTTCTAACACCACTTTGAATGCTCACATTGATCAGTGTCTGTCTGTTGACTCGGAGCAGCAGCAGCAGCCGCAGCCAATTAGTAAGGCAAGCAAGCCTAGGAATAAGCCACGGTTGAAAGTTAAGTCGATGATTGATATCTACGCCACTGCAAAAGCATGCACATTAGAAGATCTTGATAGAAGAAATGGAACAAAGTGGGCTGTGGTTTCGAGCTACTCCAACGGCGTTGTCTCTGATGACAAGCCTGAAGTGTCCAACAAAGGGAAGAAGCGGATCGTGTCGCGTGTTCGCATTGAAGATGACGATGATGCTGGCATTGGACCTGTTTACATTGATGATAAGGGCCAAAAACTGCGGATTATATCTGAGGTTCACGAGAAAGCTTCTGATCCATCGAGAGAGAAAGAAGATGTCAGTGAGAAGAAATCTTCTAGTGAAGGTAAAGGGAGTTACAAAAGCTTTAGGAAAAGACTTGGTGGGAAGAAATATCACAAGCACTGTAAACTCGTAGTTCCTCAAAACAAGAAACTCACTGTTCGTAAAGGCAATGTTTCAGAGGTATGTTCTATAGATTTTTTTCTGCAACTTATGCATCTGCATGATTTGATTCTTGAAGTAAGACCAGAGTTTTTTGAACAAAGTCGCTTGTGTAACAGATACCGAAGCATCGAAGAGGATATTCTGAAGAAGGTAGAGGCATAGAGAGGTTAGAAACTTCTTCAGGTCCAGTTCAGCGAAGGATTTTCAACCAGCGGATGCTAACAAAACGTCTTCTTTCAAGAAATGAGAACAAGAAAGAGAGAGAAGTTTGTGATCAGCCATCTTATGAGAATGTGCATTCACTGTCATCAGATCGTCTTGTGTTAAGAGGTCCAAGTCAGGCGAGTACTGATTTATCCGAGACGGTTTCTTCTCCTTTGAACAGTCAAAACTCATCGTGGAGAACTTGTGGGGAGAGTCAAATCTTTGGAAAGAGCTGGGGTTTTTCTAGGAGGAAAAGATCATTTGGAGCAGATCCCTTGAGATGTTCAGTACCTGTGGATAAGGTGTTTGCTTCCAAGGGAAAGGGCATAATGAAGTTGAAGAAAGCTCGGTTGGATTTCTCGGAGAGTGAAGATGAAGATGAAGATGAAGATTCAGGGAGATGGGAGTCTGAAATGACTCAAGAACGTGAACTGGCAGATTACGATGATTGGGATGAAAATGAAGAAACTGATAAGGTTTTACTAAGCTCGAGTCCTTCAGATAGTGACGAAGACAATGATCATGAAAGCTACAAAGGAGAGGATGATATGTTGGACAAAACCGATGATGCAGATGCTGAGTTTGAAAGCATGATGTACGAGAAAACTGGTTGTGAAACTGCAGAACGAGGAAGCTCATTCATGGAGGTTGATCCCATTCCTATTCCAGGACCTCCGGGATCATTTCTACAGAGTCCTTGGGATATGGGAACTGATGCGACAGAGAATCTTGGAAACTCTTCGGTTATCACAAGCCAGGTCCAATCTTCCCAAGACCATCTTGATCTCACAGACAGAAACTCATCGGAATCACCTGTTTCGGCAATTTCGAACTTTGCGGCTCCTGAAACATTCAGTCTCCATAACATCATCACCACAGACAAGAGACCTTCTAGATTTAGAGACAATGATCAGCCATGTTGTTGCCAAAGGAAAGAGATAGCTTTTGAAGATACAACATTTGGGCAACCTGCAGCACCACACATGAACCAACAAGATTTGAATCTCTTGAGTAAGTCTGTTCCGGTTGTTCCTTCAAGTTCAAACCCGGTTTTGCGGTTAATGGGAAAAGATCTGATGGTTATTAACCAACGAGAAGAGACCTCACATGGAGATTCAAGTCTTAGACCAGCCTCTCAGTTTCTAGATCTCTCTAGGACACAACAGGTGTCTCCTCCTGCGCATCTCCTTCATCGTCCTTATGATGGAAGCGGGTTGTATTTCGACTCAAGCACAAGTTTCTACAACATTCCATGAAAATTCAAATACTTTTCTCCAACCTTCTACACTCCATGACGATTCTGTTCAACTCCAGCCAATTTCATATGCTTGAGATGTCTTGAGAAGTGTTCTCCTCGTTATTCAACCTCAAGATTTCACGTTTCTCTAATAAAGAGGTTGAGAAGAATCTCAAGAGACTGCTTTGAAGAAATCATGATATAATTCTCTTTGAACTTACTACATTCATAAGATATTGAGAACTCCACTAAGGTAGAGAGGACCCCACTTTTGCTTAAACTGGTTATTACAAAGGGGTGAAATCTAAATATGAAAGTTACTATATAGTATAATGTCATGAAAACGAATTTTAAATACAGTATATTATATGAGTTAACATCAGGATTCTTGTCTCTGCAATAGATATATAAATTTATATGGTTGAAATCATATGAGGTAGTCAAGATCATAGTCAACGTCATGACATACATTATGTATACGCAATTCATTTTCTTTTGTCACACTAATTCCTTATTTTAGAGTGAAAACATATAAACTTTATTAAACACAAAGATACAAACTTCTATTGAGTGTAAACAATGTCAAAATTGGATGGAGAAAGAATTTATATATAACAACCAAAAAGAGAGTTTCATTTGGCGAAGATGAGCTGTTTTCTTGTTAGAAGAAAATTAAAATAAAATAGGGAGAATATAGTAGTGAAAAATGAATGTATGTACAGTATAGAGATGAGTACAACTACAACGGCTATAATAGCATGCGCATTTTTTAAATTATTTGCTCATTATCATATGCTTCTCACTCCATGTCTTCTTTTGTTTTTTGCATGTTAGTTGATGCACATGTATCATGTATGTACATATTTGTAAATATATACTATATAGTGGTGGACCTATATATAAATTATTTATCTCGGAGGTATAATACAATTAAAATTCTTAACAAAATGGTCGAAGTTAAGTATAATATGAATGAACGTGAATATAATAATGGAGTGATAAACAAATGTTTGCCAAGTTTTGTGTTGTTGTTTTAAACGATTTAAACGGAGTTAGGTGACTTGACAGCTTCCTTAATAGTAGGCCCTTTTGTATATATACTGTAGATTTAAATGATCAATGCGTTGGTAATTCAACTAGTTAGAATAGTGTTGCTTTGGTGCTTGAGGTTTCAATTTAAACTCTGTTTATAGAGAAACATGACACGAGATCGAGTTAGTTATGTTCTATATTTATCAAAAGTCTGGAGAATGGTTATTTAAAAGACGATCAATGTGTCAAAGTTTGACATTACAACTTCTAATTCGTAGCTTATAGATTAATTAGTACAAAGTGTAAGACTTTTTTTTTTGAGAAAAATGTTGCGAAATGTGAAACTTGAGCATTCTCTTTGTTTAGAATATTAATGGTTACCCACAAACAGATTGAACATTTCAGTTTTATGTAAACAAAAATTTGAGAGGGAGAGAGAGAGAGAGAGAGAGAGAGAGAGAGAGAGAGAGAGAGAGAGAGAGAGTTACATCAGAAGAGGGCATATCTCTTTTGTTGTTGTTGTTGAATATATGTTCCTTTCCTACTGAAATGCAACATTGGTCCTAATCTCTCTGAGTTGCCTTTTCTTTTGGTAAGAACTCCCAAGTTTAATGATTTCATTTGTGAAATTGCCACTGATCTCCTCAGTACAACTTGCGGCAGCATTTGACCGTTTGGAAAAAGTTATTATCATAAAAAATTTTAAAAATAAAATAAAATGACTACTTGAAAGTTGACACTATTATATAAAGCAATTTTTCAACTTTTAAAAACATTTATATTTGACGAAAAATGCATTTATATCTACTAGTTTGATAGATCTAAGCTTTGTAAATACCTACGACACTATAAAAGTCCATATAGAACATTACATAAGCGCATGTCTAAACTTGACAATTCTTTCTTTCTAACAAAATTATATCAGATTTCTTAATTTAGTTTAGGCGCCGACAAAATAATAATGAATATTAGGTTGTCATCTAACTTCTACTGCGGAAAAATCTAGTCGACATGAGCAATAAATTTAGTATGAAAAAAAAAAGAATGAAAAAATGTCTCTTAGTAAGTTTCTTTGAACACTTATTAGAATATGAGATGTAACGCCATCCGTTTTGAATTTGGATGTTTGTTACTTTGCTTGTACACTTGTACATAGAATATAATGGCCTGTGTTGACATTTGGGAAGATAGGTTCGTAATTGGTGCATGAATGTATATTGTTTATGTTGTGGTAAAAGCAATGCTTGAGATTTTACATTAGATGCAGATTTCTGAATGTATACATTACTATCACTACTGCTCATGGTTTCAATTTTTTTGCACATAATAGGACTTGCATGGGTTTCGGATCTAGATCCAAAAAATTATTGTTCACATTTAGCAAAACTAGATTTTGATACAATTATTCTAAAATTTATGACATCTTTTTGACAAAGAAAACTCATTAGGTTTATGTTTAACCGGTCTCTCAGATCCAATAATTTTGATCCAATTAAAAAAACTAGGATATGAGAACTCAGATACCTGAATTCGGTTCCATTTTTGTTTCAGATATATATTTTAAAAAATATTAATAAAATATAGTAAAAAGAAATATATTATTAAAACTAGAACTAATTTATGAGAATTAGATAATTTTTAGATATTTATAACACACACACTCCATATGTTTCACAAACAAAATCGTTTTAAGATTTTTTTTTTTTTTGGTTTCACAAATAATATCATTTTAACTTTTAATGCAACATTTTGAAAAAAAATATATTTTTATTCTTATTGTTTTAATGTATTAATTAAAAAGATTAATATATGTAGTGTACTAATAAAAGGTCAAATCGAGTTTTTAATAAATTCTTAAATATTTGTGAAAAAATTTAAATAACATTTTCTAAAATTCAGAAAGATAATGTTCTAAAAAAGTTTGTAAAAATTAATTTAAAATTTATCTTATATTTTTATTTAGTTTTTTATATATAATTTATTTATTTATTTTAACTATTCTGGAGAGATCCGAATCGAATCTAAATATATGTGAATATTGACAAATTTGTATTTAGATAATATTGTTTTTAGATCCATCCATAATGCTGTTTTAAAAATATATATATATATATATATAAAATTTATGTACATCCCTATATCTCATAGATCGTATTATATACATTTTTTATTATTTAAATAATTATCTACATTATAATTGTCATAGAATTGTAATTCATTGTATTTACATAAATTAAAAATAAGTACACTATGTTTAATAATAACTAAGTATATACCCGCGCTACGCTGCGGGATATATTTCTAGATTTTGTATATATTTTTAATATAATAAAATTATTTTTATAATGTAAATGAGTATTATATTTATTTATTATTAGCTTATGTATTAATATGTTTTAAATCTGAATAGACGTTATATATCCTTCAAATTTTTTTATTTTTCAAAATTATAATTTACTATCAAATTTGTTTAGCTAACTATCTATAAATGTATATGTAAGAATAAAACAATATATTTTAAGTACATTTATGCTAATGGCAAATGTAATTTGTTATCTCTACTAAATTGTCACTTGATCCTCCTTTGAAATTATATAAAGCAAATTATCATTTTAAAAAAAACTGAGAAATCGCACTTTCCAACAAAAAAAAAAATTCATTTCACATATTTCCGCCAAAACCAAAAACATTCATTTTCTCGTCAAACCTGAAATTTCATTTTCACACCAAAACAGAGAACTTGCATTTTCCCGCAAAAACCAAAAAATCACATTTTCCTGCGAGAATCTGTCTTTTCCCATCAAAACAGAAAAATCGTCAATTCCCGCAAAAAAAAAAAATCAGCAAACCAAAAATCAAGTTTTCCTACCAAAACTGATAAACTACATTATCTCCTGAGAAATTATGTTTTCCGCAAAAAACTAAGAAACCGCATTTTACCACGAAAACTAAAAAATCACATTATATGTCAAAAAACTGAAAATTTGCATTTTCCATCAAAATCGAGAAATTTCTTATTCCTTCCAAAATCGAAAAATTTTGTTTTTTCATCAAACTGAGAAATTGCATTTTTCGCCAAAATTGTCAGATTACAATTTCCCACGAAAACTAAGAAATCACATTATCCATCAAAAGCCGAAAATTTGTATTTTCTATCAAACCAAGAAATTGTATTTTTTTGTCAATTGAAAAGTTGCATTTCCCTCGCATTTTCTTGTCAAAACTAAGATATTTTGTTTTTGTGTCAAAATTAATTTTTTTTATTTTTTTACCAAAACCAAAAATTCACATTTTTACGCCAAACCCGTTAATTCATTTTTTCCATTATAACCAATAAATTATGTTTTTCTAGCAAAACTGAAAATCACATTTTCCTACCGAAACCAAAGAATTCTCTATTCCCACTAAACCCATGAAAATTTGTTTTGAGTAACCACTAGAAATGCAAATCTCCAAGTTATGGTGGTCTGAGCTTCTCCTCATTTGCTTTTGACTTCCATTTTTTTGTAAAATTTTAGGCTTTTTAATGTGTCTGTAAAATAGTAAACTAGTTTTATTAGTGTGTTAGTGATATGTATTATTGTTATGTTTTTATTGGTTCAAATTTTTGTTGATGTGTGAGCTTCTTATAACATAAGGCTTTTTGCATTGCTGTTATGGAAACATAGTTGATGATGAGCCTACACTTTTTTCAATCATATACGTCTCTGTCGAACAAAAAAATAGCTTAAAAAATATTTATTTGCTGTTAATTATTATTTGAGTTTGAGTTTGACAAAAAATAAAACAAAGATTTAATTTTTTTATTGCTGTTATTTATTATTTGGGGTTAGATTTGGCAAACAATAAAACAAAGATTATTTTTTATTTGCTGTTATTTATTATTTGGGCTTTGATTTGTTAAAAAAATAAAACAAATTATTAACAAAAAATATATTTTGAGTTTTTAATGGGTTTAAATTTAAAAATTAAATTAAGTAGATGAGTTGTATTAATGTTTTAATTTGATTTGTTTGTAAAATAACTGAGGTGTCACCTTCTCAAAAATTAAAAAATATGATGTGTCAACTTATGGAGAGACTTTAGTGTTATTGTTGTATTAATATTGATATTAAGCTAAATGTATAAACTAGTGAAATGATTTGATATACTTATTGAAAGATAAATATCTTTATATTAGAGATATAAATATAATATAACTAACATTATTAAATTAGAGTTTTTGTTATATAAGATGACTAATAGTTTATTAATGGATGCCGGTTTTTATAAAAATTGAAGTGTAATAATAGAAAAAATAATAAATCACATAAATGATTTGAAGTTAATAGTTTACAAATATGTGTTGATAATAAAGTATCACATGAAGATAATTTTTATATTTAATTAGATAAACTATATGAATTTTTTTTTAAGAACTAACAATATCTTGAACGCACCAGTCGTATGTAATAGTAAACAACTTTTTATAATCTGGTTCTACGTGACTAAATATTTTTGAGTGCTAGATGCAACTTGCAACTTTGCAATGGGAAAAAAAAAGTGTTGATTAGTTTCTTTTTGATTGGAAATGCGTTGGCCAAAAAAGAAAAAGAAAATCGTAATGCATGTTATTTTATTAGGTTTTCTTCTTCACGTATTTACGTTGTGTCATTTAAACCGGGCCCACTTTGCGGGATTTTTATTTTGGCGTGAAGAGACGAAATGTTGGTTTTGGTCCAATTAAAAATAGTTATTTGTTCTAAGCGTATTTAAAAAGCACGATTTGATATGCTAATAGTAGGACTTTAATATATTAACTTAATTGGTGCACAATTCGTTGCCATTAAATTATTATTTTTGTTTGTCAACCCGTTAACCGAACTTAAAGAATTAATTTTGTCGCAAAAGAAAATAAATAAATAAATTTGGTGATTCGCCTGTCAAAGAGAAGCGCTAATATATTTCTCTTTCATGAGTTCCACATTATCTTAAATAACTTCTTAGTAGTTAGTACATATATAATGCAGAACTGGTTATGTATTCAAGTGGTCACGAGGATATGCACATAAAACTTATTGGACTATTTAGCTCCCGTTGAAGTAACAATTTGTTTATGATGTGGGAAACTCCAATTTTGAGTCTCCGCAGCGACACGAAAGAACAATAGTAGATGGAAAACCCATAACTTATCGGTGCTAATCAAAAAATAAATTTAGTTAAACTTGTCGTACGTTAACGTTTTAACGAATTTTACTAATCAGTTAAAAGAGTATTCGTTTTTTTTTTGTTTTTTTCGAAATCAATAGACATATACCATTGTTTTCTTCTAGTTAAACATCTTGTTTTTGTACAGCTCAGTGAATCCATCCTTTATCGTAAAAAATATTGTGACATTTTTTCCTACATGGCTACATATGTATATACGTATCACGCGAAGCATATATATATGCTGAAACCGAATCAAAGATTGACTCATAACTCCATATATATGGATTATGGATATATATATATATGTACAGTCGTGTACGGTATGGATGAAATAATTTAAAAGATTGTGCACATGCATGCATGCATGACACTACGATTTGGATTAATCTCTTCCGTCCACGTCGAATCGACATATCAACTATTTTGTATACACCACTTTTGCATATTCATACTTTTTTAGTATATTTCTGCGTTCATGCTTTTTTCCCCATGCTTGCTTTAATTTTACGAATTTATTTAAAACTAATAGTTTCTATGACAAATATTGATATATATATAATAAGATATTTAAAGTTCATTTTCCATCCAAAAGTTTGTTCGAGTTTTTAAATAAATATAGAGCTAAACAAGAAAAAATTAAACTTTGAAGAGAAAAAGGAATAACTTACCCGTCTTTCCACAAACAAGAAAAAATTTAAGCTTTATAATTAATGGGTTAGATAAATTTAAGAATTATTAAAATTTTCAAATTCTATTTTCATTGGTTTATAGATTCTAAATATTCTTACTAAAATATACTATTATTAGTTTGATAAGTTTTAGATTCCATACGAAACTCATTGTTATTTACAAAATTAGATTTTAAGAATTCCATCATTTTAAAAAATATTGTGTAATTAGAATATACTTTTTTAATAATTTAATTCATACAATAAAACTTTTAAAATACTATGTATATCCATTACAGTAAAATATTTGGTAAATTTTCTAAAATACAGAAAACTGTTTAAAAATATATCAAAACTCTTTACCGATTAAAATAATGTCTTCTAACTTTCAAAATAATCAACTATATATAAATCCAACACCTACTAAACTTTCTTAATATTATTGTATTATTGTAATCTATCGATGCCTAAAACTGAGGTGAAATATCTAAGCGCGTGCGTTGTACTTTGTACGTGTTTCGTAAATAAGATTTCATCGACGGTACACATGATTTCGTTTTGGTTAAAAAGTAAAAATAGGAGTAAAAGGGTTAAACATATTAATTTTATTTTAACAATTTATAAAGAGAGTGGAGAAACAACGGCCCCAAGATTTTTTTTTAAGATTGGCGTGATTGCGACGTGTCGCTTACTTGTCTGCTTGGTGGGTCCCACATCTAGTAGCTCCTTGTAAAATTCATTCGAACTTAATTTGGATCCTGAATTTAAGTTTTCATATAGTTTGTCGAGTGTTAAGAGTTTAGATGCATTTAGAGAATGCATTATGATGTTTTCTTATTCAGATTCCTCAAAGTATCACATAAAAGTATATAGTTTGGTTCTTGGTATTAGAAAATCGTATCAAACATTGTAAATTATAAAAAGAAATTATAATTACACAAGATCCTAAACATCGCCAAAATATAATGATGACAAATAGATAATTTTGATTTGAGTTTTGAGCTAATACGTATCCAATAACCTGAGCTTATACAAGATATTAAAAAATTACAGATCCACGATGGCAAGATTACATAAGAAAACAAAAGGTCTTTCCAAATTCATACCTTAGTTTCTGTTAAGGATCTTTAGTATCAGGTTTTTATTGCATAGATCTTAGTTTTAGTTATTCTTTGCCTCAGTTCTTAATTCTAGTTTTTCGAATGACAATTTAAAGTTATAATTTTATGTGATTATATTAGAGCTTGGAAGAACTCCTTTGGTTTTTTTAATAACTCCCTTTTACATGGAAAACAAACACTTTCTCTCGGTATAAGATCATGTAGCAATTAAAAAAAACTTAAAAAATTTAGCTATACCAAATCTATACAATAGAAAATAATAAAATAAAGATGGTGGAGTGTGATAATAATTGAAGTTAGTGTGGACACTTTCAATATTTTTTTCCTCTTGCACTCATTTGTTTTTCTTTATTTTATTCACATTTAGTGATAGATAATACGTATGTGGACTTATATGGAACACCAAAATTCATTCTAGTGCTTGGTTCTTCTCTCTCTCCCTCTCTCTTTCTTCAATGCTCTCTTTCTCTCTCTAAGAAACCATTTTTCTTTTTCTTTTGCCAAGAAACCAATAAGGTTTGTCAATCGTTTCTCAAATCCAACTAATACCGAGTTTCATTCTTGTTCTTCTTCTTGGTCTACAGTTTCTGAATCTGGTTTCTTCTTCTTCTTCCTTCTCCTTGATCTTCTTCTATCCAATCTCAAGATCCCAAATCTTGAAATCTCTGAGATGGGTATGTGTGTATAGATTTATGAGTACAAATCCTTTTTTTTTAAGCTCTTTTTTCTCTGATATTGACTTCAAAATAGTTTTAGTTTTGGGTTTTACTTTCAAGTTTTTTCTGATTTCTCTGTGTGTAAATCTCATCTTGATCTCATATCTGTTTTCTTCCAGATTTGTTTCTTTTTATAATCCATGAAAATACATTTCTTGTCACATGCTTTTTTTGGTTAGCTGATCAAGAATCTTCCCCATGTCTTGAATTTTCTTTGGATTTACATAAATGCTCTCATATGATCTGTAGAGTTTATGAACACCATCTGTTTTGTTTAGATTCCTAGTTGAGTTCTTCTTAACTTTGATCTATTTTATTTTAATTTGGTAGCTTCTTCATCTTATGGATGTCTTAGTTCACTTTTTCTTATATGATCCCTTCAACATAAAATAAGCTCTCGAATTAGATTGGAGGAAGCTGAAACTTTAATTAAATCACTTCATAAAAAAAAAAATCAGTGTCTTTTGCGTGCGAATAATTGTTTCCTCTTAGTGATTTCACTTCATCAAATCAACACACATAAACTTTAAATAATCTTTGTACCAACTACTAATCCTAATCTCTTTTTCCTTCACATGAAATAATGGTACTTTTCATCTTTCTGGGCTTCTTCAAAAATTCACAAATCTCAAAAGATAATTGATTAAATCTTAGATGTTGTGTGTGTTTGATAGCAGGAGGAGTCGGATTTGGGAGGTGATGAGAAAGATCTGGTGTTATGCGGAAGTATTTGGGAAGCGAAGAGGCAAATAGTAACAGTGGAAGAATCAAATGTTCTTATCCACTGAGAACCCACCAAATGACCCACTTTCTTCTTCTTCTTCCAGTTTCCTACATCTCACCACTTCTTCCCATGAGTTAGGTCAATCCCATCTCCATAATTTCTCCATCAGGTAAAATTGTTTACTTTTCTTCTCCTCTGAATCTTTTTTTTTTCTTTTTCTTTTCTGGGTTTCTTCGCCAATATGGTTTTGGCCAAAAAAAACGAAAAAAGTCTCTGGATTTCATGATGGGTCAGTGTCAGATCATAGATATGCTCATCCTCATAGCTAGATCAAAAATTTTTTGATCTTTCTTCCTTCTTCCTTGTATCGTTTAATGGGTCAGATTCAAATATCACTACTTGTGGTTCAAAATCGTCTGTTGATGTTGAGTTTTGAAAGTGATTAACTTTGGTTTTTATCTACGTTTGATGCTTGCAGAGATTACGCATACAGTAACCGGAAGAAGAACATCAAGAAAAACTGGCCATTTTCCTCTAAAAGTCTCCAGCTTTTTTCAACTCATGGAGTGACTGATCCTTTGCCACCGTTTCAGAAATTTTCTACAGTAAGAAACCAGTTTGAGACCACGGCTTGTTCATCGTCAGCGAAGCAAGTGGTTTTATCTTATGTCCACCAAGGAAGAGATCTGGCTAAACTTGGGCTAGATCAGACAATAGCAGAGACTGGTAAAGCAGTTTGTACCCAGTCGAGGATCATCGACAATGGTTCGTATAAGAGCGCAAGTGTTTCAAAGTCTAAGGTAGAGATAGTAGTAGCTGCTACAAGTAACAACAAGAACAACAGCCATAGTAGAAAGTGTGCGCGAGGAATGATGAAATCCAAAGAAGATAGTTCCGGTGGCCTTGTGGCAGCTTCTGAATCAACCATGGCTTCGAAAACATGTCCTATTTGCAGAACCTTCTCTTCGGCTTCCAACACTACTTTGAATGCTCACATCGATCAGTGTCTGTCTGTTGACTCGGCGTTGCCACCGGTTGTAAGTAGTAAGCCGAGCAAGCCTAGAGTCAAGCCAAGGATGAAAGTTAAAACGATGGTTGATATTTACGCTTCTGCCAAAGGATGCACGTTAGAGGATCTTGATAAAAGAAATGGAACAAAGTGGGCGTCGATTCTGAGTTATACGAATCGGGTTGTTGCTGATAAGTCTGAAGTGTCCAAGAAGCGGAAAGTTTCTCCCGTTGGCGTTGGTCCGGTTTATATTGATGCTAAGGGGCAAAAATTGCGGATACTGACAGAGTTCAGCGAGAAGAAGGCCTCTTCTACTACTACTACGTCGAGAGAGCAGCACGAGGATGGTGGTAGTTTTGAGAAGAAAAGTGTAAGCCAAGGTAGTAGAGAAAACAGTAAAAGCTCGAGGAAAAGACGCCGGGGAAAGAAACATCACAAGTTTCTTAAACTAACCAATCACAAAGCCAATGCTTCAGAGGTAAAATCATTTTTTATGTTGCAGATTTTGTAGCAAGATTCATAAAATAACAGTGCGTTGCTTTGTACAGAAGATACCGGAGAATCAAAGAGGGTTTCTTGGAGAAGGTAGCAGCACGGGTCATCGTAGAATCTATAATCAGCGGATGTTAGCGAAACGTGGTTTTGTTTCAAAGAAGGTAAATGAGAGAGGAGATAAATTTTGTTCTTTGCGGGATCAGCCATCTGAGGAAGATGATGATGATGATGATTCATGGTCTGGAGAAGATTCTTCTCCTTTAAATAGAAAGAAGCTGCGGAGCGTTGTTACTGGACGGAATAAAAGTTTGTTTGGGAGTAAAGGAGCTCAAAGAGTTCGGATGAGTGACAAGGAAGAGAAGTCACTTGCAGGAGTTCATCATTTAGACACTGTACAAGTGAAGAAGAGCCTTGCTTCGATTCAAAAAGATAAGTATCCAAATGCCAGAGAGGTTTCAGATGCGTCTCCTCGTGCAAGTAGCATGAGAAAGTTGTCCCCACCGTTTGTATCAAATGGCTGGAGAAGACTCTCTCTTCCTGTGGAGGTAAAGAGAGCTCGGTTGGATTTGTCAGAGGAAGAAGATGAAGAAGAAGAAGAAACTGGGAGATGGGAATCTGAAATGACACAAGAACGTGAACTATCAGATGATGACTATGTTTCTGGTGATAATGGAGAAATAAACGAGGTCTTAAGGAGATCAAAACCTTCATCTAGTGGTTACGATGATTATGATGACGAAGAAAGTAGTGAAGAGGAGGAAGAAGATAACAACGAAAGAGCCAATGTGTTGGACGAAACATATGATACTGGTGCTGAGTTCTACCACTCAGACACTCCACCATCAAATGAAATCATACCTAGCGAGAGAGCAATGTATTACTCCGAAGAAGTTGGGAATATGATTTACGGACAAACCACTTGCGAGGAGGATGTGAGGTTTGATTCTCAGGGAGGACAAAGAAGCTTGTTTGTAGAGGTTGATACCATTCCCATTCCAGGACCTCCTGGATCGTTTTTACCGAGTCCAAGAGATATGGGTTTTGATGAGAATCTTGGAAACTCTTCGGTTATCACAAGCCAGCTCCAATCTTCCATGGATCGTCTTGACAGAAACTCATCTGAATCACCTGTTTCTGCAGTTTCAAACTTTGCAGCTGGTAGATTGAGTTTTCCACCCGAGTTAACTTCTTCCTTCCGAGAAAATATCTCCCCAGACATTCCTGCTTCTTACTCGACAACCCCGATGAGCTTTTGTCTTCCGTCTGATCCCATTACTCTCGACAAGACATCACCACCTTCCAGAGTTAGGAACAGCGATCACGAGTCTTGTTGTTGCCAAAGAAAAGAGAGAATCTCCGAGGGCATTAATTTGAATCGTCAAGCATCTCATCTATTGCAGAGAAGAGCAGCTTCTTCGACAATCGCCATGAACTTTACCAAATCCCCCACACGTTTGGATCCAAACCATCCGTTTGAGCAGTCACCATACATGATCCAGCAAGAGTTAGATCTTCAGAGTAAATTCTCCAACAGAGCGAGTTTCATTGGCGCTGTTGTGCCTCCAAGTCCTTCGAACCCGGTTTTGCGTTTAATGGGAAAAGACTTGATGGTCATGAACCAAGGAGAAGCAGACAACGAAGAAGCATCTCGGGCTAGCTTAAAGCCAGCTCCACAGTTTCTTGATGTTCCTCCTTGCGCTGGAACCGGCTTATACTTCAACACAGGTCTCTATTTGAGAAACAGTTCCGAGACAACACATCAACCACAGACACCCAATGCACAAGCACAAGCACAAGCTTCAGCATTCGGAAACAATTTTGATCATGTAAGGTACTTTTCTCCGAGCTAGTCGTCGTAAAGTTTGTGCAGCTTACGAAGAAGCAGAGAAGCGGATTCTCTTTAAAAACCGATCATCGAACATGGGTGCTTTGGGATTTAAGGTGGATTTCGAATGTTCTACGGCATTTTCTATGCTTTTATCTCTTTCTATAGAGACTTTGTGTAGTCACTGTTTACTAAAAAGAAAAAGCAAACACTTGAAAATAACAAACACTCTGTAGAAGGTATGAACTTTAGGCTTTCATTGCCACCAAAGTTGTCTAAAAGCTTAAGAAGGTTATAATATTTTAGTTCATCTTTATGATTTAGCCATTGTAGTAAGAATGCGTGAGATTAATGTAGATTCGGAAGCTTTCAATTTATACAAAAATAAAATAGATATAAGTAACGTTAGGCTTCCATTGCTACCAAAGTTAAACATCTTTGAATTTAGACCATCAATTTAAATCGTTCTGAAAACTAATTCTCATAAACAAAAATAAAACAATTAATATTTTAAAGGACTTGTATGATTTATTAGAACATAATCCAAATCCGTCCTAATCCTTATTTTGTATCTTGAATAGAATTTTATACAAAAATAATTTTTAAAATCAGTGACTATAAGATTTATTTAATTAATTAGCCATTGAACAACCACCACTTTAAAAATTATTATTTTAAATCAATTAAAGTTTAGATTGATGAGCTGGCAACAAATGTTTGGCTGGTGAAGAAATGATTTAGTAGTTGACTAAAAAGTCGTTGAACACCTTTCTCTATGTATTTTTTTTTCCTCACCACAATCTATATATAGCCGCCGGGTTGCATTTCGGGTCGGGTCAAATCGGTCAACGATATCGGAAAATTCGCCGGATGAAATCCTCTTAAAGGAGAATTATGGCTCCGACGACGACAACGACACCGACGTACACATCAATTCCGATTCCTACAGGCGACGTCATCTCCCGATCAATCCATAACCTCACTTCCGCTATCTCTCGCCACCGTCCCTGGTCTGAGCTAGTCTTTTCCGGCGCCTTCTGCTTCCCGGAGCGATTCTCCTCTCTTCCCCTCCGATCGAGGACGAACTTCCGCTACTTCTTCGTCAACTACTCCCTCGTCGTCGGCACTTGTGCCGCGTTAGCTCTCATCTCCGCCAGTCCCGTCGCGCTAATCGTCGTCGGCACGATCATCGCCTCGTGGCTTCTCTTCCACTTCTTCAGGGAAGATCCACTTATTCTCTGGGGATTTCAGGTCGGCGATCGGACGGTGGTGCTGTTTCTGGTCCTAGCTTCCTTGTGGGCCGTATGGTTCACTAGCTCCGCCGTGAGCTTGGCGGAAGGTGTCAGCGCTGGCTTGCTATTGTGCGCCATTCACTCAGTTCTTAGGAACTCCGACGAGCTTTTCCTTGAGGAAGACGATGCTGTTAACGGAGGCTTGATCGGCTCTAATCTCCGGTGATGTTTCAATTTTTGTTCTTTTTACGCTTTTGCTTTCCTTTTTCAAAAAGGGGAAGTTACTTATTTGTTTGATTTCTTGTGATTTGTATTGTGAAATTTGAGTATGATCTGATATCTTCTTGGATTGTATGTAATCAAGAGAAAAAGACTAAATTCATGTTTGATTGTTTGTCACAGTGAAGAAACCAACTTGCTCTGTTCATTTTCCTCACATGTTTCTTCTGATTTTCAGATACAATGTATCAAAAAGAAAAAAGGATTTGTGGTCAACTTGTTTTAAAGCAGATCTTTTACAGTCATTGTTACTTATTATTAGATACTAAATCCAAAAGCTTTAAGAGAATTAAGGGACCCAAATGGCAGAAAATTCAGTATATGCTGATATAAGTCATATCATATATTCTCTTGATTGTCATCTCAATAAATCTTGCTTTTTGTTTTTGATTCTGACTAACTCGGGTTTAACCAAAACCAGATAAAAAAAAAACACTTCGCTCAATTTGCATGACAAGTCAGATTTTTTTAGTCTTTTGAAGAAGGAAACAAAACTGAGCAGTGAAACCTTTGGGAGAGTGACACTTGTTGGCTAAATCCAGAAACATTTAATTGCATTTTCCTACAACCCCATACCTATTTTTCTGTGTTTGTCTTTGGTCCCACTTCTTACACGAGTATTTGTCCTTATTTCAGTTCTGCTTGTTACTTAGATCTTTGGTAACTCTTTTGTTTGATTGGCCAATGTATCAGGTAAAAGATTCGGCTTGAGAATCCAATGCATTGACTGAATATTGTTTTGCTTGAGGCCCTAGTAGCAGCCATTCGATAATTCATCCACACTCTTAAGAGGAACTTAAATGAAGTTGCAATGATTGATAAAAAGAGTTTTAAAAAAAGTTAGGTAATGTACATAGGAGGAACAAGATTGGTGTTAACTGGTTTTAAAATGACCGTTACATGATTTGCTGTCTTCAACAAAACTGAGCTTAAGAGTAATTATGGAAACAATCAGGAGAAATGTTATTAGGCCTCTGTGTTTTCATATCTTGCTTCTCATTATGACTAACTTTGCTAGTGTTTCTTGAGTAGACAGAGTGAGCTCATGGTTATGGCCAAGCATCACCGTTCTGATACTGATACAGGTCCTGCAAAGCTCCTCTCCACTATCGAAATGTCCTCCTCGTAGCAGCAGCTTCGCTCTGGTCTCTAGCAATAACGCTTTCAACAATGTCACATCCTGCCACACGTATTCATCCACCTTCTTGTTAGTCTTCTTCTTCCAACAGAGCGAGCCTTGGCGCCAGTCTTGTATCTGAGACACAAACGATTTCTCCACTTCTTCCAGCACGTTGGTGCATACTTTCAGGAGCTCAAGCGCGGAGTTACACCTCGAAAAGGTCGTGAAAGCTGTGATTGCTAAAGGAAGAGCTGTTCTCTTGATGTAGAGTACCATATCCATGGCTTGTAGCTGCACCAGAGGAGGTTCTGATTTGAATCCGAACACTAAGAACGCTGAAGCCCATAGGTGGTCAAGGTTCAACAACGGGTTATCGATTTTCCTCACGCCTTGAACCGTTGCCTTTGGTGCAAGTATGTAGTCTCTTCTCCTGGCGAACGTTTGAGTTATCGGATGGAACTGAATCCAGCATCCAGGTTGTCTATTAGTCATCCTCGCTAGTCCTAATCTGACTAGCAAAAACGCAGCATCCTCTTCGCTTCTGCGTCCTAGACCACAACCACCGCACCAAGCAAATGTGTGGCTCAAACATTTGTTCCATTTGCTGAACCGGTTTCCACTTGTGGGCATGTTCTTAGCCGCTGCAGCTAACAAGTTAACCGAGATAGGGACTGGAGCAAACCAAGCTCCCACCAGTAGCATTTTCAGCGAGAGGAGGTTCCTGTTACCTTCAGCTTGCTCCAAAACAGCCAAAACGAAAGCCAAGACCTTTGCAACGAATGGATTTGATTTGCAGTATTGCTCATCGTTCAAGTTCACAAAAGGCGACGCTGAACGTTCTTCCATTTGGACTTTGTTCACAGCTTCAAAGAGCGCAGAAGGCGGAATCGAAAGCTCTGAAAGCAGTGACCCTATCACCCAAAGACCGTAGCTCAAACGTCCCAGTTTCTCTTCGAAAAGCTTGAGGATCTCAACCTCCTCAGCAGGATAATCTTTCTTTCTTCTTCCTCTCAGTAACACCATTGCATCAGATGAAGGCAATACAGGAAGCTGAACTGTATCAAAGGTCATGACTTTAGGAAGCCTAGTAGTGATCAAGACATGAGTACCTCCTGTGTTTCTTGGAATCAGATCATTCAGATCTTTCCCTTCCCACCAATCTTTCTCTGTCTCAAGATTATCGATGACTAATAGATAAGGCATGTCTCTGAAAAGCTCGCGCTTTATCCTCTTGAAAGCTTCAAACTCTTGTTCATCGAAGCTCCTTAGTCTACCTCTGTCCTTCTCAGCATCCGCGCTCACATCAAGGCCCAAGCTAAACGACAGATTCAACAGGTTCTGTCTGAAGTATCGAGCTTCCCCTCCGATCCACAACACCATCTTATACCTCTGAGAATACCGGTAAGCGAATTCAAGAGCTAACTCTGTCTTCCCAATCCCTGGAACTCCATTTACGCAGACAACGCTTGTGCTACTTTTGCAGTTACCACTGTTTCTGTATTTCTTAGTCTTCAAGAGTCTTTTAAGCGAGTTTTTCCCGCCATTTGGATCAATCCATGCCTCACTTCTTGGCTCTGAGCATTTTCCAAGCTCCAAGCTGATGAATTTCCCATTACGAGTTGATACAGCATCTGATTCCTCATCTGCAAGTCCTTCAGATTGTCCACTTGCTTCTCCTTTGGTGCTTGGTGTTGTAGACTCTAGATACTCTCCATTGCCAAAGAAAGCCATCTCCATTTCCGTTATCTCTTTCTCTCTGCCAAGAAAAGATCTATTTCTCGGGAAAGGAAGCTCATCAATCCTATCCACTGTCTCTTTATCAACAACACTCTTCCTCCCAAGCTTTCCCCTGAGAATGGTCGCCGTCTTTCCCACACAGCTTCTCCAGTTACTCTCATTGGCTTCGAGTTTAAACTCATGGGACTTAATCAACCCATCAATGGCTTCTTTACACTCTTTATCTATGGCATTACAGTTGAGGAGACCCATTATCTCAGAAGGACCAGTTCCATAAAAAATCGGAATCAGGTTCTTCTTTTGAGCGAAGAACCTAACTTCCTCCAAGCTAAGGTAGTTGAGCAAGCTGGAACAAGAGACCACCATAATCCCATAAGTAACAGAGCAGATAACCCTGTCAGCGATCTCATGACTCTGTGTGTCCGAATACTTAGCTCTGTCAGCAACGAAACAAGCGATTCCCTGAAGCTCAAGCTCCGACTTTAACCACTTGCAGAATCTCACCAAGTTGGGGTTTTGTCCATGGAACCCTATGAAGACATCGGAGCTCCTGAGCTTGGTGTTAGTCGCAGGCGAAGAAACAGAGACTTTGGCCAAGGAAACCCTAGGAACAGGGAAAGAGAATGAGATCCTTGGAGGAGCAGGATCTGGAGTACAAGCTGATAACTTGAGTTTCCGATCTGATGGGTCATCGGAAAACTCGTACTGGTCAGAAGGAGGAGTGTAGGAGCTGCTTGGTACATCTTCAGATTGTGAGCCCTTGTAAGAAACAGGCGGTGATGGCTTGTGATTGGTGGTTGTGGTGGTAATGGGTGGTTGTGTGGCTCTTGGGGATATATAAGGAGATTGTAAAGCGGAAACAAAAGCAGAAGATGGTGGGGACACAAGAGAAGGTGAATTGAAAGGAGAGTTTATGATACTTGGAGATGAATCTGAAGCGTTATCTGTTTGAAGATCTTTACCTTTCTTGCTTGATAAGCTTGCTGCTGATGATGTTCTTATGGTTAATCCAGCTAAACTTGCTTCCTTTTGTTCTTCCTCTCCCCTCATTTTTGCTGATGCTTCTTCTTCTTCTTACTTACTCACCAAAGCTCTAATTAAACCTCAAAAATGAAGCTCTCAGCTCAAAAGGTTCTGTCTTTATCTCTCTAACTTGGTTTAAATCATTGTGGTCTTCTCTGACGGATTTATATTGAAGTGAGTGGGACTGTAAGGAGATGAGTCAGAACATGAATGCAACAGTTGATGTTGTTCAAGGAGATTGGGGTAAAATCTGAGAAACTGCATGTGATGTATCTAACTCTTCCATTTTGTGGGGTCCTCTTCTTCTCAACACTGTTGAACAAACTTGTATCTCTCGTTTTCTCCTCCTCTTAGCTCAGATTTGACCAAAACCAAGGCCAGTTTCTGTCTCTGCAACAACGAAGGTCATGTTGGGTCAGAAGAAAAATCATTGCTTTATATCAATGAGTGTGGTCTTGTTGTGTTCATCATCATCAAGATTGAATCTTTATATTATTTGAATTAAAAGCCAGAACTAGCCCAAAAAAATAGCAACATCTTAGTCAAATCTTTAAAGATGATTTGTCAAGACCTACCCTTTGTTTGATCTTTTTCAGACACAAAGGCAAAAGACGTGTCACTTCCCCTGCATATTTTTCACTACGAACCTCTCTCTCTCTCTCTCTCTCTCTGTTTCAATGTGTCTTTTTTCAGGAAGAGTAGATTGTGATAATGAAGAGGGAGAAGAATCTGGATTTGTGAGTTGGATCTGAAAGTACTTATGGAGCTTATTTTATAAAATAATAGTGATTAAAGAAAATGTTAATAGGAGCAGCCTGGAGAGGGTTAATGTCTAAACATGTACCAATGCATTTTATAATGATCACCACTAATCAATAACCTTTTATAATTCACTTGATTTATAATCTTGGATTCTGCTCTAATTAAATTGATTTAGCTGTCTCTCTCTCCGAACCTCCTCCTGCGGTTAGATTCTCTTCCCTCCCTCTCTGCTTTTCTGGAAATCCTTTTCTTTTAGTTTGCCAAGAAGAGCTGATTTTAAAAGATCTAGAATCGACTCATTAACGATATAAAGACTAACATGGTTACATGGAATTTAAGATAATTAAATAGTCTGAATCAGATTTAAGACATTGAACTTTGAGCTTTAAAGAAAAGAGGTTGGACTGAAGTAAAGGAACCATTTTCAATTTTCTCAGTACTTTGGTTATTTGTCGTTTAGTCTTTGTATTTTTGTGGTGTATATAGAAAACTCCAAGACATTGTACAATACAACATTTATCAAATTATATATAAATATAATTCATATGAGAAAATACCAAGAGAATATGTACAATCTATAACTAGAATGCTTTTGGGTAGGGGTGGGCACTTCGGTTTTTGGTTTGGTTTCGGTTCGGTTTCTTCGGTTTTACGGTTTATCGGTTTTACGAAAATTCAAATTATATAAAAGTTATATATATTTCAGTTCGCTATGGTTTGGTTTTTTACAGTTCGGTTTGATATAGTTTGGTTTCGTTCTTTTTGGAATTATACTATTATGAAATTTTTTGATTCAAACTAATGGAAATAATAATAATAAATATGAGTGAAATAAAACAATAAATTCAAAAAATAGAATCTAAATCATTAAAAATTCATCAATAAGGACATATTTCAAAACAGAAAAACAAACAAATTATCAAATTTTTCATAATCAATAATTATAAAACAATAAATCAATCTAGATTAAAATTTAATACCTATAATCTTGAAACTAGAACTAGAAGACTTGAATGTGAAGAAAAAGGAGTCACATTTTTTTATTGAGAAATTAAAGCTTACTTTATTATTTATATGTACATATTTTTTATAAATATTATATTTTAAATTTATGAGTTAAGTTAGTAAATTATAAAGATAACTAAACTCAATAATAAAATATACACCTAAACTAGATTAAAAATTAAAAAAATATAAATTATTTAAAATTTAGTTTAAAAACCGAAAAAACTTTTTGGTTTGACAGTTTTTAACCAAACCAAACCTAAACCAAAACTATAAAAAATGATGACCAAATAAATTTTTAAGTTTAACCATAACCAAACTATATCACTTTTTTCGGTTCGGTATGGTTTGGTTTTTTCGATTATAGTTTTTATACCCACCCCTACTTTTGGGTTATATATAGGTATTGAACGGTTGCAGCAAACGTTGGGGATTAATCCATTTAAGATCATTCTCTCCCAGCAATGTAGACTTTTATATTATTGTCAATAACGATTTAGTTTGTAATTTAGGTGTTGGAGTTAGTTAAATCTACTAACTTCTACTCCTAACTAAGATAAAACTCCAAATAACTAACTAACTAACTACAAATATGTTTCTCTTTTTAATTTAGTTTTTATATAATACGCATAATAATGCATGTATGTGTACACTGACACAACATTTGAAATCTGGTTCGCAATGGGAATTGGTCCAAGACCAGTGCACTTGTGACTTTTTATCTATATTTTTATTTACCCCACACATTTTCACATTTATCTACAGCATAAAAAATTATTTATAAAAACTTTATAGAAAAACAAAAATTACCCATCCAATTCTTGGAGTGTGTGACGTAAGCACAAAACAAGGTTGGGTTTCTTTTCCTATTTCAGGTTAAAGAAGTCCAGACGTGGAAGCGTTGGTCTAACGGTGAAGAGAACTCGTTGCTGTTTTCTTGTATACAAAACAGGAACCACTGTGCATACAAAAGATGTAAACGTCAAACCATACAAGAAATTAAGGACACGAGGGGTAAATTAGTAAATTGCTCAACATCATATTTAATTCCTAACGGTATATCGAATTCTAGATCGAACCAGATAAGATCACGTCGAATCGAACGGTCATAGAACGTCCGACTCGTTGCTGCAGTTGCCAGCGGTTTCGCCACGTGTTCCGACCAAGTCGCTCACACGTCCGTATTTCCTCTAAAATTAAAAAAAAAAAAAACAAACGAAACAAGATTTTTGATCGTAACCGGAAAAATAAATTTAACGATTTTTTCACAGCGAAACTTTCCACATTCAACGGATTATAGATCTGCGAATCGTTCATCGAATCAGGGTTTTTCCATCATCTTCAATTTCGTTTCGGTCTCTCAGTAAAGGAATCACCTTTGAGGTTTTGCGTCACATTTAGGTACGTCAGCTCGAATTTTCGGCTCAATTGGATTTGATTTTCCAATCATTAGCTCTCTTACGAAAACGGAAGAAAAAGTGTTGTGATCTATTGCATTTAATGGGGAAGAACATTTGGGATATTTAAACTTTAGTTTGGAAATTGAGTTGAATTTGACTTATGATTTTTTTTTTGTTTTCCTGGGTTATTTCTATTGCTGGTTTATTGAATTTTCCTCTGGTTCCTGCTGGAATGATGGTTGTTGCTCTTGATATTTTGATCCCATGTGAAGTTTGGAGGATGAAAAATTAGTAGTGGTTTTTTAGATTCTTGTAGCGTCATGGATTTGGAGAGTGAAAGCTCTGCTCTTGAGTCTGTTGAAGATAGTGGCTTGAGTTGTGAAGTTGAGACTCTTGGTGATAAAGTAGTAGTAGAAGAAGCTAAGGATGAAATGAGTATTAAACCGTCAAAGTCACCAGTTGAGACTTCTCCTCCCCTGTCAAAGGGATATGGTTTACGGAAATGGAGGAGGAGGAGGAGGATAAGGAGAGATCTTGCTAAGGATGATACATCTGTGAACATGGACACCAGTAAAGTTATGAAGAGGGTATTGTCGGGAGCAGCTGATCCTCAAGCTAAACAAATCCATTTTCCGGGACCTGATGTCAGTCAAGACAGTCTTGGTTCGGTTGGCTCGGTGAATAACATGGGTGGTTTTGCAGTAGGTGGGTCTAGTCATGGTCCTGGTCTTGCTTTTTCAGCTCGTGTGGATTCGGATAACAGCGAGGATCGGAGTAGCAAGTCGTCGACTGCAGCCAGCGGTCCCAAGGTTAGGTACGAGAGGACAATGAGTCGTTCTTGGGAGAAGCAGAGAGGAAAGTGTTTGGGTGGGAAGAGTATTGTAGAAAAGAGTAAGAAACTTAGAGGAGAAAAGATCAAAATCGACAAGGCAAACTCTCATTCCAGTATGGAATCTGCTGACTCAAGAAGCTCCAACTTTGTGTTTATGCAGGGTGCTTCCAGTAGTTTAAGCAGCAGAGAACAGGGCGGGAGAAGAATGATGGATTACGACGAAGAAAACAGTGATCACGAGGCACATACTTCGAACCATAAAGGTAACGCTAGAGAAGAAGCAGAAGAAGAAGGAACTGGAGATTATTCACAAGGAGACTCTGTGGAAGAATCCGAGATCAAGAACAATGGCTCCTCACACAATCTGGATCCATTAACTGAGGCCTTCAACAGCTTCCACAATTTGCAGGAAGCCCTCGAAAAAGGTAACCAATTTCTATAAAATGGTGTTTTCATTCGGATTTTGATGGTGTCTGCATTGTAGAATGTTTGACTGAACTTTTGGATCCTTTTCGATTTTCAGAACTTCAAAAATTTCAAGAGCTTGGGAAGGAACCTATATCAGTACACGCGGGACATGAACGAGCTGGTGAAGCAAGTTCTTCTCGCCTGTTCGGGTCTGAAGATATGGGAGAATTGGGATTAACTTCTTTAGATTCCGAGATACTAAACCTGGTGAACAATGTAGAGCATCTCGAGATCAAACAAGAAGAGACAAAGTGTATCCTCCAAATGAAAGAATCACAGATCCGCGGGCTCGAATCCAACATAAACGTTTCAGAGCTGCGTAATCGAGGAGCAGAGATCGATATCGAAGACATTTTCCAGCAAAAGATGGAGGCAGAGATCGAATATCTTGTATTCTCAAGATCAGTGGAAAACCTAAAGACACGGCTCAAACTGATTGAAGAAGAGAAGACATTGACTGAGAATGAAGCTCATAAGACGCTGGCAAAGCTTGGTGAAGCAGAAACCAAAGCTGAGAATCTAAAGAATCAAGCTCAAGATTTGCAAAACCATTGTGTAGAGATCACAGAGATCCAAGAAGTGAAGAGTTTCAAGAAAAGAGTGTATAAGACCACTTCATGTCTTCTCCTACAGTTAGGCTTGCTGTTTATACTGTTTAATTTCCTGTTAATGCCAGAGTCACAGACTGTTGTTGTTCCCACATGATAGATTTTGTTTGATGGAATATGTTTTTTTTTTCTTTCTTGGTCACCATTTTTTTTTAATATATATTGTTCAAAAATTTTTTTTTGGCTCCACCTTTCAACAGACCAACTCCTTTGTTTTTCTGTGTGCTGCAATGGCATGATGTCAATATTTATATTTATATATTACCTGCCTTTTTTTGTCAACTTTGCCATCATTTTCCATGAATTCTTTATGAAAATAAGTAGTAGATAAGATATAACAACACAGAAGTGAAAAGGTTACATTCACATTTGATCTTTTAAGGAATTGGGTACATGGTTTAACCTGGTTTAAAGAGCAATTTGGAGTTTTGGTTATGTATCAGAATAATTCTGAGCTTTGATTTCGTTAGACCGGAGACCAAGTCTGATTAATATAAAGTCTCTTTTCCGTGGCTAGTATTTGAATTTGTCACTTTACCTTCGATTTTTACTGTTTTTGTTTCAGTTTGAATAGAAACAGGGGCTTGGAATAACTTTGCTGTCGTATTTTATAAATCGGAGGATGCGACAAGTAGAAACTTAATATATATCTTAGCTCTTAAGAGTATATAAACAAGACAAATTCAATTTAGCTGTGTGAATATTTGTATGTGGTGTTTCTGATGACACTAAAGAAAGAATTGGTCTTATGTCATTAGCTGCAAGTGGAGACTTTAAGCATTTGACTATAAACAGCCATCTTAATGTTGGTTTGTTCAAACACATAGATAAAAATTAACAATGCCCACGTCTTGAAATTTTATTTTTAGATCAAACCAACAATGAATTTACAACAATTTATTTTTATTAGTTGTTGTTTAATGTTTTTTTGCGTATATTGAGATTTTTTTACATCTCTTCAACATATTATAATATTTTTTGTTTTCCATTAAGCTCGTACATATTAAAAAAACGTTTACATTTCTTGAAATTGCGGTATGTAAATGCTAAGATATTGTTTTAAAAACAAAAACCAAAAATTACTATAGTATGTTGAAGATTTCCCAATATGTAACTTAAATTATATAGATCAATTTGTTTTTAGAGGAAATGTGTAATATGACTTTGCTTAGAGATCCACTATTCTATGTAAATTTTGTTTGTCTATTGTTCGGTATTTCAACAAAATATCCGATTATCCAATATATTAATGGACAAACCATTTGTATGAAAAGAAGAAAAAAGAAAGATAAGATGGTGAGATGAATAAGATGGTTTTACTTTATAGAACTTTTGGTCAATTTAAACCATCATGCTTTATGTGAATCCAAAAGCACAATAAAGATAGAGAGAGAAAAATATCAAAAGCTTGAGAGAAGCATACAAAAGAGTACATATCCTCTCATCAAATGAACAAAAAACCCCACCAAATTAGATTGAAAGCCAAACACCAAGAAGAACCTAAAGAACCAAAAACCAAAAGTATCTTTCTCTCTTTTAGACTACAATGTCAACAACTCTTTTTACCATCATTACTCCCTAATTTCAGATTTTTTTATCTTTTCTTTTTTGGGGGTTTTAAATTAAAAAGCTTACTTGCCTGCATATATACGTTTCTTAGACTCTTTCTTCTTCTTATTCTTCGTTAGGTGGCAACTCATTCAAGTCAAACTCCAAAAACGTTCTCTTCAAGTTCTTCACCTCTTGCACTGTCTCTGTTACTTGACTAGAATACGCTGCTGCTGCTGTAGCGGTTGGAGCTGCGGTTGCAGCCTCAGTACTAGAAACTGGACCAGTCCAATGGCATCTCTTGTGACCTCCCAGAGCTTGACCTGTTGGGAAGCTTTTATGACAAATGTTACAAACGTGATCTCCATTGTTGCTACTGCTCAAAGACGCGTTTGATCCTTGAGTACTGGCCAAACCGGTTATTATTGCTTCGGTTCCAAGCAATAAAGCTTCGCTGTTTGCCCTAGCTTGATGATTCTCCGATATCTTGACCTTGTTGTGACTTGCTCTATGACCTCCCAAAGCTTGATAAGAAGTAAACGACTTGTTGCAGGTCACACACACGTGCTTCTCACGTGGACCACCACCACCTTCCTCAGCTGCAGCAACAACAACAAGCTCAAGCTGATGATGGTCATGGTCATGATCATGAGTAGTAAATGATGATTCTTTCTCCATCTCAGACAATCTCTTCTTCTTCTTCTTCTTCTTCTTCCTCTTCTTCATCATCTCGTCAACGGAATGAGAATCAGAAGTCTCTGCAGCGTCGAGATTGGCAGATTCTGCAGTAGTAGCTAAGAACAATAGACCCTTAGCATCAATATCTTTCAAAGCGCCTCTCCTTCCTCTCCTCCCTGTCACAGGCCATCCTTTGATCGAGTCCTTAAGGTCAAGAACGTGTCCCAATTCCCAGTGATTGCTATCCCATAACTCCGAGTTCTCATCATCATCATCATCATCATTAATATTATCATAATCCTCATCATCATCGAAATCCGAGTTTACAAACTCACCATCATGATCATCAACAGAGAGTGTAGAAGACGACGAATAGCCAAGTGGATGAGGGTGAGGAGGAGGCAAGACTCCTTTCCATCCTCTGTCTGGATGAAACCTCATGTGTCCATATAGAGCCTTCATCGATGTAAACTTCTTATGACAGACACAACAATCAACTTCGAATTCACCAGTTTCAGATCTACCAACCACACCAGACACCATCTTTGGTCTCACCATAGAGAATTTCCGAGTTTCGATCACATGGATCCGTTTATGGCCTCCTAAAGCTTTACCTGACTTAAACCCTTTACCACATTCACAACATATATGCTTCTTCTCTTCTTCTTCCACATCGCCTTCTTCCAGATCCATACTCTTAGCTCCATCATCTTCTTCTTCCCCGAGACCAAGACTTTTAGCTTCTTCTTCAACGTGATCTTCTTCTATGTCGTCTTTTGCTTTTTCAGCTACAAAAGGTTGAAAGTTTGGAATTTTAACCTTAATCGATCGGAATCTCGGTCTCCCAGGTGAGAATCCACAGTTCGTTTTGTATTCTCGAAATGGTTCCATTGCTCTTGAAGCTTGAATCCACACAAACACCAAGCTCAGATTGAAGCTGAAACAGATCTCACCAGCTGGTAATTAAACGTAGGGTTTCTTCTGTACAAGTACCCTAACTTAGTGAAGAAGACAATCTCTCAGAGCTTCGCTCGAACTCAACAAAATCTCACAGATATGAGAATCGGAGAAAGACAGAAAGAGAATCGAAGGAGGAATTGAAGAAGAAGAGGCAATCGAGAGAAAATAAGAGGCTATAGCACAAGAGTGAGGAAGAGTCTGTATTGTGCCTCACGTTTTTGGATGAATAGTCTCTATTTATTTTATTAACATATATAAAAATGGCTTTTGTTATTTAAGTTTTAATTAAATGTTATAGGTTGTGTATCGTATCTCCTCCTTGTAGCACTTAGCCACTTACCAAACCATTCAAGATATGACTTTAACCGACTTAAGGTCTTGTTTGACTGTGTATACACAACGCAATCGCTAAGTCTTTGACTAGTAAACACTGTTTCTATGGTAATTGTGTAACCAAAGACTATTATTTTATTTATGTTAAATTTTACGTCTTTGGATTTAATAATATTACCATGTTTTCTTTTGGGTATATTCAAAGGGTATATTGATGATTGATTCAGTTTCCTTCTTTAGCAAACGCGGAACGTGATTTTTTTCTGTGCTCAAAGCATAAAGTTGAGTTCACGTTTAGGTTTTGGAACCAAACACGTCGTAATCGATCGTGCATTTAGGGATTAGGGAATAGTAATAGGTGATTAATTCCATTTATTTTTTCGTGGGCATATTAATTTATGGACATTAAAATCAAGATTTTATTTGGATTTTCATTTATTTTTGTTATTTGAGATATCCCCTCGCATCAAAAGAAAATCTTTGATCGGTATTCCAAAGGTTTTTTTTTTTTCAAGACAGGGAAAAAAGAAGAAAGAAATACAAACAAGTAAATTGTTAAATACTTTTCTCTTCAGTTAAATTCTATTTTTAAGTCTTTAAAAATTAGGGCCCTTAATTTTTTGGGGGTTCTAAGCGTTTATACAAGCAATCACGACCCTCTCAAATTCACACCTTCTGATATTTACTTTCTATCAATTTCCAATTTATTTCTAGTTTCCATTTTTTTTTTTGAATAATTTTTTTTGGTCAAGAAGATAAAATTTAAACTGTTCTCATCGAATAACTGATTCGTTCAGCTTTGAAATATGTTTTTGAGTCATTTTGGTTTATCCAAATTAAACACTTCTAAAGTTTTATCTCAAACTTGTGCAACTCAAATTATTATTTTTTAAAAAAGCTCTCTTATTAAAAAAACAGCTAATATATGGACAACATAAACTTTACGGTTAGTATAAATCATTTCTATTGACATGTGTATAATATAGAGAAAATACTATCATTATACCATTAAAATTATTCATAACACTTCTAAATCTTAAAAGATCTACTAAAATACATGCGCCAAAAAATAATCTTTAATATTTGTTTTTGCACTTTTTTAGTCATTTTAAATTTATTTTTGGTCTCTTATCTACTTTTACCTTTTTGAACCTATTTAATTTATTTTCCATCTTTAATTCAATATATTAATAAGATAAATGCTTGTATTAGATTTGCATAAAAAAATGTTTGTATTAGAAACACCTGTAAAAATCTATTTACTGTTAGATAGATATCAAAAATTGAACTTGAGACTTTTGGTATATCTTAGCTTGAAAGGAAGTGGATCAATATAAAAGTTAAACATTTACTCAGTCTTATTACATCTATGCATATCTTCTTCACCGACTCAATTAACTCTTATTATCTTGTTGAAAAAATAAAAGTTCTACTATTATTTTAGTATAAAAATCATAAGAAAAATGTTAGTGATGACTTCATTTTAATTTCGTAATTAGAATTTATTTTTAACCAAAATTTCATTTAATAGACAAGAAAAATCTAATCCTACAAAGCTTTGTGGAGGTGGTCATCTAGTAGTTCACTGTAAATGGTAAACAAATACTAATAATTAGATTCTATACCAAATTAGAGTTGATAATTACTGGCCAAAAACTTAGTAGTGGAGGACCACTTCTTTCACTCAATCAAGTTGTGATAATTTTAAGTCTGAATTAAATAAAATAATTATATAGATGAAGGATCGAGTTAATAAAAAAAAATCCTGTTTACAATCAATGCTTAACAACTCGTAGGATATATTAAATCCAATAAAATCAAATTTCAAAAAAAAAAAGGAATATATTCTAACACACTTATTTGTCAATATCTCTTTATATTTGAAATTGAGACAATGAAAAACACATTTTCACAAGTAAAAATAGTGTAAAATTCAAAGCAAAGTACTTTTTTTTTTTTTGTCAACATACTTAATAGTTGATATATCCTTCCATAAATAAGAGAATATTCTTCCAATTATATATATAATCACTATTTATATAATCGATGCTCAACTATGACCATAAATTATGGCCCATATAATCAACCAAAATCTATGATACTTTTTTTTATAAGGAATAAAATCTTCGAACCAAATCTAAAAGACTTTCGAAGGGATTGAGTTCCGACTTATGATCCCAAGGCAATTCGCAAGTCTGTGGAAAATGTACATTTTTAAAAGCACAACAAAGCAAATTACACAAAGGTACAGTTTCTGAATCGAACCGTGGTCTCTCTTTCTTTTTTTTGTCCGTATGATTATGAACCTAATAACCAAGATCAAGGTGGCGTATAGCAATATTATTTTATATGTTTTTTTCTTAACTTTATTTCTATCAAAGTAATGAATCGAGATAAGAGTAGTCTCTGGTTCGACCATACTCCAAGAGACTTCCATAAGTCCGGTCCCAAACACCGATGAAGAGAGATTCAGTATCTGGGCTAAACGAAATCCCAGAAATCTCTCCAAAGAAATCAATCTCTTGCTCCTTTTTGTAACCTGTTTTTGTATCATAGATATGGACAAAATCTGCTGGCTCGGCCATCGCAATGTACCGTCCGTCCGATGTGAACCTAATGGACCGGACCGCTCCAAGGTTGCCTTTTAGTACAGCGACTGATTCCGAGAGATTCCTCGTGTCCCAAATACGACAGGTCTTGTCTTGGTTTCCTGTGGCAAATGTTACACCGTTTGGATGCCAAGCCGATGCAAACGAATAATCTAAGTGGCCTTTTAGCGTCCCGACCGTCTGCAATCAAAATTCAAAGCCGTAAGGTTCCAAGAACTAACCGGAGTTAAAATAGACTGTAACGAGAAGAAGTATGTTAATTACCTGTCCGTTGCTTGAGTCTACCAATAAACCATCTGGGTCATCTCCAACCACTGCTACTAGTTTTCCATCAGGACTAAGGGAGCTATGCTGTTAAAAGTTTCCAATATTATTATAATTTTGTAAGACAGAGCTTTATTTATCAGAATCTGATCCCAAAAAAGGAGAAATTAAGTGATCTTACATTGACGGGCCAGAGATAACGGAATAGTTGGACAAGCTGATATCTCTCCATGTCAAAGTCTCTGACTCCACAATCATTATTTGAGGCCATGAAATGAAGTGCGCCGCTAAAAAGACGATATACTTGACTCGTTTCAGTTTCTGTTTGTCCTATCGTCTAACCACAGAAGTTTTAAACCGTCAAAGTTATATGAAAGGCAAAGAGGTACCTCGAGTTTCTGTATATATCTACGGCATTGGTTATAGCGTTTTCCGTGTAAGTTGTGCGTGAGCAGAAGCTCACACCAGGTCTATCAAGATGCTGTGCAGGAGAAACAAAAAAAATATCACAAAATTAGAGAACACGAATAAGCAACTTCTTTGGCATTTTAAATAGATGGAAAAAGAATTCGAAGCAGTTAGTGGGAAAACCACGACGTGCTATTATCTTTAATATTTATTCAATGCCTCAACTAACCTTGCAAATGAGCTCTCCCTGAAACCCACCAGCAACTAGCAGCCTTTCTTTTACTGCAAGAGTGCTAACTTGAGTCTCTGTAAACCCTTCAAGCAAACTCTCGGGATGTTTCTGAAAAACATGGAACATTGGCTTTAGATAAACCCAACAGAGCCGAAAAGAAACCCAGAGTCAAACTATAATAAGATAGACTGGATAAGGCTTGAGAATCGAACCTCAGACGGAGCCACATGACCTTTAACATTCAGAATCTCATTCCTGCAGCCGGTCAAAGAAGACCAGTGGCTGATAGAGTAGTTGGACAGAAGGTAAACATCATGTTTTGATGTAGCCCAAACCAAGTTCCTCAACTGCAATAAAGAACAGAAAATACTTCAGCCTAACTATGATCAGCTTTCCATGAGAGTATGGTTCCCAAAGCAAAACTAGCACAGGGGAGGGGAGGTCCACATTTGAATTTCACGCATCAGAAGATGAAAAGAAAACACGACTACCAAGTTAAGTGTACAAGATCCAAACAAAGACTTAATGGTGCAGTTGACAAACCTGAAAATGAAGGATCGTTGATCTAACTGATCTAGAATTCCTCCTGAACGTATAGAACGAGCTGCCTTTCTCAGTATTCGTGCAGTTCTGCTTCCAAAAGGCAAGACTAGAGTGAGAAAAGCACAGCAAAAAGGTATAACTCCTAATTAAATAACCTCGGAGAAGCAATGAAAATGTGACTCACCTTCCCAGATGCCTCGCCCGAATTGGGGATATTTTCATAGTTTTTATACTGTTCTAGCCTAGTTTTTCTGTACTCTTTTCTAGTAACGCTAAGTCTCTCCCACGGTATACCCTGAATATCTTTCCCATTACGAGCCTGAGCAGCAGAAGTATCAATGGCCTTGCTCTGCAATACTCCGTGAACAAGTAATTTGAGTGTTAAGAACATATCCAAGTCATTCAGAAGAAGAAGAAGATAAGAAGAAACAGAGGAACACAGACCAATTGGTCGAAGTCTTCAACTTCGGAATCAGATGCATCGATGTCCCTCCCGTCAAACTCTGCATTCATATCATCCTCCAGATCATCCATGTCGTACTCATCGGCCATATATTCATCTTCAGGTTGTAATCAGACATGGTAAGATCAATTTTTCGGAACAGAAGTGGCAATTCTCAATCACAGAGATGATGAAACAACTTCCATTAAACAAGGGGAAACAGAACAAACCAAAGTCCGCCATATCGACCTCGAACCCGTAAAACCAGCCAAATCCAGCTTCCAACTCTGCAATAGTAAAAACCATACATATCTCTGAGACGAACGAATATCGTAGCAACATAATAGAATTCAGAGTTCATATTGAAGATCATTTCACACAACGAAAATTAGGAAATTTCTAAATCCATGAGCGTAATTATAAGCCTCCCATGAGAAATTCGGATTCCAAATTCTAAATTAAGCTTACCGCAGCTTCTCCAGAAATCTGAATTATCCGGAAATTCAATCGAAATTCCAAACGTAACACGCAGAATAAGATAGACCCTAACAACCGAAACAAAAGCTCGATATTTTTTCGATATTATGCACTAAAATCCTATGTCCAACCTCAAAACACGAAAGATAGATATGGATTCGATTAGATCGTCGTCGTCATCCCAGAAAACCCTAATTTCGAAAAGAGGGGTTTCGTTTCGTTTCACCAGAAAGAGAATAATCAGAGAATTACGAAAATGGGAAGAAAATCGAGTACCCAATCTGAAAAACTGGTTGAGAATTGACGCGAATTAGAAAATCACCAGATCTGAGGATTCGAATTTATATACACAGCGTCTCAAAATCTATATACTCCATATATTTTAAAATAGTTGGTTAATTAATTTGCATCAAAGACTTTATATCCACATCAGCAATTTAATATCCAATTACTAATCACCACGTATTCACCTACATCATTATTATTGTTTTTCATTGTTCGTACTTCATGTACTATCAAAATCAAATTAAATCCTCGGTTTTACATTCGTAATTCCCGAGGCATTATATATACTAGACATTTATTTTCCAAGTGTTTGCTTAGTTATGATATTCACACAAAATAAATTAGTGGATAAATAAATAAGTATGAATTTTTCTATGTACACAGTACACTTTTGCCATGAACTTTTTGCAGTTCACTCAGTAATTTGCTTACTTCTGCATGAACCTGAATTTATTAAAAGAAAATCCACAAAATTTCAAAAGTGTTTTGCTAATTATGTAATCCACACAAAAAAAAAAAAAACTCGAGCACGTGGACCAGACCACTTCAATTTTTTTCCCCCGCTGGGCTCACAAAATATCGTTATTATGTTCATGATTGACATTTGAGTCGGTGAGAGAGTTCACACTTCCATCAAAAACTTCGCGCGTGTAATAACAAAAGGCTAGCGCGCGAGTGGTACACGTGTCATATATGAATCAGTCCACGTCGTTCATCCTCGAGTTCCCAACTAACATTAGGCTCTCTTCTCTCTCTACGCATTTGATAAAAGAAAGATAAAAAAGCCGTGTGTTATCTGAATTCATTTTGCCTGATTCGTTTTCTCGGGAAAGTTTCTGATTTCCTTGTCGAGAGAAAATTAAAAAAAAAAAAAAAAAAAAAAAACGGCGTAAGTTAGTGCGACTGGGGAAGAAATTCGGCCATGATTCTGAGGAAAGTATGGGGATCGGTGTGGAATCGATCGAACAGTGGGAAGGGTTCGGTGAGTCAGAGGGCGATTCAGGTTCCTCTGTCGTCTTCGTCTTCGTCTTCTCTTGGCGCGTTCGATCAGCTGCCGATTGATATACTGCTCCACATACTGATGATGATGGAGCCAGGAGATGCCGTGAGATTGAGCTTAGCGTGCAAAGCCTGGAAATGTTTGGCTGGAGGCAATCGTCTCTGGATATTCTATCTCCAGTGTTCGCAAGAGTCTTGGGACTCCATTTTCTTCGCCGAAACAAGCTTGCGTTCTGGTTATCCTCTCCGGTTAGTTTACGAAAAACCGGAATCGAATGTGTGTGTGTGAGGATGATTAATAATAGACCAATTCAAGGTTTATCTGTATATTTCCAGGATGCTTTCTAGTCAATCAGGGGAATTATCGTTCATGAGGATTTATGGTCAGAGGGCACAAGTTCCTGGTTCTGTGATCATTGATGGTATATGCTTTGTTTTTGTATTTCCTTTGATTGTTGTTTCTGTGTATGTGTTAAATGCGATTTGCTATTTTAGGTGGTTCTGGATATTGCAAGTTTGGGTGGAGCAAGTATGCTTCACCTTCTGGGCGTTCTGCAACTTTTCTGGTGAGATGATCTTTCTACTAAAGCAGTTTTTACTGTTTCTTATTTACAAAAGATGATAAGCTTTGCCCCATTCTCTCTTGCACACACACACACAAGATGGTTCTTACTAGTTTGATCGTCAGGAATTTGGCAACATTGAGTCACCGATATACGCGAGGCTTCAACAGTTCTTTGCAACCATTTTCACCAGGTTTTCGTTTTGCTCATTCTGGTCTAGTCACCGATATACCGTATTTTGAGTTTCTCTCATGTGAAAGTTTTTGTCTTGCAGGATGCAGGTTAAGCCCTCTATGCAGCCAATAGTTGTGTCACTACCCCTCTGCCATTTTGATGGTTTGTTAACAGTTTTTTAGTTGTTCATCTTCAGGTTTGTTCTAGCTTTTAAGGTTTTGTTTTTTTAATATTTTGTTTTCAGATACTGAGTCGGCCAAAGCATCAAGGCGGCAACTTAAGACTGCTATCCTCAACGTCTTGTTTGACATGAATGTTCCTGCAGTGTGTGCAGTTAATCAGGTGAGCCTTTGTTCACTCTTAAATGCTTTCTGGTGATTATTGTTCTCAGAGAGATTCATTTTCCATCTCTATTGCCACATTTTCAACGACCAAGTGGAAGTAATAAATAGAATGTATAGGCGAGAATTTGTGTTTCTTTTTTCGGGATTTGATACATTGTCCCACTATTAGCTGGAGATAGTATAACTGTGTCAAATGATTGGTTTTGTGAGTATTACAGTCATAAGCAAATTACGAATGTTCTGTGATGTATTTTCAGGCTATTTTAGCTCTATATGCTGCACGGCGGACATCTGGAATTGTTGTGAACATTGGTTTCCAAGTCATAACCATTCTTCCAAGTAAGCTGTTTTTTTCTTTATGATTCAACTCTATCTGTATACTCTCATATGATTTTTACCGACATCTGAAGTTTATTAGTGTGTCAAAAGATGAAAATGTGAACATTTCAAATTTTTGAAAACAAAATCCATGCGTCTTACTCTGATTCTCTCTGCACCATTCACTGGTGTCTTAGCAATTTACTCTTTTTTTTTTTCTTGGTGTTCTGCAGTTTTGCATGGCAAGGTGATGCGCCAGGTAGGTGTAGAAGTCATTGGTTTTGGAGCATTAAAACTCACGGGCTTCCTCAAGGAGAAGATGCAAGAGAACAACATTACCTTCCAATCGCTCTACACTGTTCGTACTCTGAAAGAGGTAATACCATTGACCAATGGATTTTTTTTTAAAATCAAAGTAGGATCTCTCCCCTTTGCTGTAACATAGACATGATAAGCCATCAAATTTATTTTTTTCTTGTGATCTTATAACCAGTTCACTAAACGTTAAAATTAGAAGTACTTGACTATAGTATTGTGTGTTAAATTGGTTTCTTTTTTGTTATGAGAACGTAGAATCTGTGTTATGTGGCTCTCGATTATAAAGCTGAACTTTCAAGAGACACACAAGCTTCAATGGAAGTTGCGGGTGAAGGATGGTTTACTCTGTCAAAGGAGCGTTTTCAAACAGGGGAAATATTATTCCAGCCACGTCTTGCTGGAATGTAAGGCCTGTCCTACTTATTACCATTAGTGAATAAGAAATATTAAACTCTGAAGTCTCTCAAAGAGAAGCAATCTCAGCGAGCTTTGAAACAAAAAAAATGATATCATCTGACCATACAGTATAGAGCAGAAATTTGTTAGTAAGTTTCACTATTTTCATCATGATTCACGACTCCTATATTTTTTCAGATTACATCATTGTAATGTGATAAAGCTGCATGCATCTAATACCTAGGTTGTGTTCCTGTGAAGTGTGAAGAATCTCCAAATTTTGGCCATTTTATAATCTATTGTATGATTGGTTTTTGTCATTGCGAAAACAGGCGTGCAATGAGTTTGCATCAGGCAGTCGCGCTCTGTATGGACCACTGTGATGCAGCAGGACTTACAGGTGATGATAGCTGGTTCAAGACTGTAGTACTGGCTGGAGGAAGCGCGTGTTTGCCAGGGCTTGCAGGTTTCAATCATATTACCTCTTGTTTTGTTCAATTTTTCTTTTTGTAATGCCATCAGATTACTCAGCAAATAAGTAAATAGCCAGTACTCCTTGAAAATTTATTTGAAACTCAATCTAATAGATACATGACTGATGTGCTTATGCGGCTTTTGCTTTGTGAGCTGTGTCCAGAAAGGCTAGAGAAAGAACTGCATGACTACCTTCCTTCAACTATAAGCAATGGAGTCAGAGTGATTCCTCCTCCTTGTGGCGTGGACACAGCCTGGCATGGGGCAAAGCTTCTCAGTAACGTAAGTTGACATGGTTTTATCATATTCATGAACCTATTATCAAGTGTCAGAACCCACCTCTCTTACATAGGCCGCATTTGGTGAATTAAGCAGTGTGGGATTGGCACTAAAGATGCATATAGTCCCTTCTCCATATTTCGTCTAGTGAGCCTCACGCAACTGCATTTTTTTTTACTAATTACTATGTGCAGTTAAGCACCTTTCCTGGCCCTTGGTGTATCACAAGGAAGCAGTTCCGTCGCAAGTCAAGACTAATGTGGTGAATCTCTCAGGTTTTTACTTCTCCTATCTTTGCAAAGATCGAGCTATTCGGTTAGTGAGAGAGAGAGAGAGAGTGGGGCAGGTTACAGTTGCCTGCAAATAGTTCTAAGGTATATGTCTTTCTATAAGTCTATATGTATAGAGTGATAGTGTCCGTTATTATTTGCACTCCAAAGCCATAGAAAACAGTAATTAGTAAGAACCGTTGTGAATAAGTACAGTGTTTACCTTGAGATCTACATACTGTACTTGAAAGAGCTTGTTAAAACCTCTTGGTGATTTATATATCTATCTTCGAATCAGTATTTACTTCATTGGTCGATTTATAAAGGAGAAGAGACAAATGAATTAAACAAAAGTCAATACACATTATCATTTAGAATTTTTCGAAGTTCCTCTAAAAAAATCAAAAGAATGAGACAGGACAAAAGTAGAAACAAATCGTGGATATACAGAGACACTCGCTTCCTCGGAATGTTACAAGTACATTACAGACATCCGGCTTCCTCGGCCTCAGAACAACTTAACAAACACCAAGAAAGCTGCAGAAACGGTTAGCCAAAGACAAGAAGAAGCGGTGGTGGTGGTGGCGGTGGCTGCGTTTATGTCCGCCGCTGAAGAGGGAGACAAAGCGGGGCACTCGAGACCTTCTTTACCTTCTTTACACTGGCTTGCGTAAAGCCCAGGAGGGTATTTGCCGTAGAGGTTGATGTAACTGAACATAGTGGTTGAACAATCGTTGCTCAGGTCGTTGAGATCCTCCGCGTAAGGACACGCAAATTCCTTGAAGGCGTCACAGCATTGCTTTGGTGGGAACTTGGGACCTTTGCATTGGCTTGTTATGATTGTGTAGTTCATGAACTCGAAGTTCACGGGACATGCTGTTTCCATTAACAAAACAACAACAAAAGAGAGAAACCATGTCAAACACACAACGTTCATGTCTGAAAATGCGCAAAGAATCGCTACAGACACGTGTGATTACAGCTATTGCAAAATAGTATCGAGAGGGAAAGAGTTTTTGAAGATCAATAGCAACATTTGTCCAGACACAGGACCAAAAGTAAAGAAGTCTGTAAGGCCAATACACAGAAATTCATGACTCAGATTCATAACTAAAGATCAATAATCAAGAATTGAGATTGTCACTCAAAGATTTGGACGATTAACCTGTATAGTTTATGAATGCGTCTGTTATATATCTATATATGGATCCACCATATAGATGCAGAAAACGTTACTAACTATATCCGTTTGTATTTATTTTAACACATTGATATACATTAATGGAACTCTTACTAAGATCTTTCATACAACATACAAAATTTAGAGGATTAAAACAGTAATAACAGAGACTTTTTGAGATTTAAAAGAACTTGCCTTTCTTGGTCTGAAGTAGGTTTCTTCCAATAGCCAAAGTCTGAGATTCGAACACACCATCTGAATTAAATAAATAAAAGACATGCAGACCCATGAGTAATCATAACCAAATCGAGTAATCTGATATTTGGGGAAGAAACTAATCAAGAAAGTGAACCTGAGATGAAGCTAGAAGATGAAAAGGATGAAAATACTGTGAGTAGAAGAAAAAAGAAAAGAGCTCTAGAGAGGAAGTTGAGCTCCATGATTCTTTGGTTACGGAATTGACGAGGAGATCTGATAAAAAAAAGACGACCTTTGAAGACGAGCTATGGCGAAACACGAAGATAGAGAGAGAAAAGAGAGTCTAAAAGTTAAAACTTTTTTTAAAAAAGAATAAAGATAAAATTATAATATAAGAGAGGTGGATGGGCAATATTGATGACATTGTTGTATTACAGCCTAGAAAGAACGCGGAAACTTGCGAGCCTGTCGGATTATTTCAACGTCACAGCCTTGATTTTTTTTTTTCACTTATTTGTCAAATTTGTTAATGATATGATAAATTACAAACAACTGATTAATAAACTGACATTATATTATGGAATAGTTAGTATACCTTACATGATGCTTAATATATTTCTAAAATGTGATTCTGTTATTTTAATTTTACTGTTCAAGATCTATTCTCACCAATGTTCATGTTTTATGATTCCACTATATGTTAGAAACGTGTTGTATCTATAACTTAGAAAAATAAACATCAGTACTATATTAAACCCAGTTTCTAGCGGTTTATGATCATTCGGTATAAATATATATCCTACAAATGATTTCACAATATATTCAATCTACATTTCACTATTTGCAATTTATGTGAGATATATACCACTCAAGTTTCTACGCTAAGAAGTTAGTAGGCAGTGTAGTGACTAGAGAATTGAGTAGTGTACATATACTATTAGTGGCTTGTGACTTCTTTTTTTTTTGGCTGCGCGCAACGAATATACAGTTAAAAAGATCAGACAATAAACCATAAATAGAGTTTCTATATTTTAGCAAGGTTACAAAATATTGATATAACTGAAAATAGAGTGTACGATCATAAGCAACCCTATAAACGTAATCGGTAATCGCCTGATTAGGCCGAAAGTCTGAAAACCTGAACAATTGGAATCCTTGTGTGTTTTTTTTTTTTATTACTTTTTAGTTTTTCTACTTATCCAAAAAAGAACTTTTTGTTTTTTATATCATCATCATTGTTTATGGTTAACGTTTACACTTTACAACGCTCATTTAATTCTAATCAATGGAGTATTTAAAATAAATTATCATTTATTTAGACAGAACGACATAATAATCTACATAATGCGAACTGTCCAATATTCAAAACTATATGCATCACAGTTTCCACATCGGTTCAAAACTTCAAATCTCAAACACAAATGTTTCAATAGACTTTTTTTTTTCATCCCCTCAGTTTCTGTAAAGTATATTACAAGTCACCGTTTCGGTACGACCAAAAAGCTTCAGATACAGCATCGCTTTTTTCGCTGCCAAATTATAAAAAAAAATCAATTGAACAAATCATATCAGATTTATATTTGCTTTGAAAAATCATTTAAGGAAAGATGAAGTTCTGAGCTTACTTCTTCTTGGTAACCAGATTCAAGCTGTTCTGTGATTTGAAGCTGTTTTGTAAATGTTAAATGTAACACCTGAAAAACATAATAAACACACAATTAAAAATAGTTTTCCTTTGCTTATAAATAGCTTAATAAGAACAATAATAACGTAAGGCCAAAGATTGAGAGTGTACGTACTGATTTGGTTTTGTCAAGATCGAGTTCTAGAGACTTGATCCTCTCGAGAGATTCCGCTAATAGCTTCTCGCTTGCTTCTGGGATTTTTACAGGAATTCTACTAATCTCTGTGAATTCTTTCTCTAGCTTCTTAAGACGATCTAAACACTGAACAACCTGGTTGTTTATCGATGAATCTGGGACATCGACACAGTTCTGTCTTTGCCAGTATCCAGGTAACAAGAAACTAAACAGAGCAAATAGCTTCAGTGGGAAGGCTAGTATTATCTTCACCAAGTGAATGATGTTCTCGCCTTTAATTTTCTCTCTAAGAGCACTAAACCGTAGAACCTGACCACCTAAAATGTGATAATGATCATTAGAATGAATATATATACAGTAGCAATTAGCATCAACATGAACAGAACATTAACGGAACTACATAATGTCATAATGAGGCATGTAGAAATAAAAAAAAAAACACCTTCTCTTCTGTATGTATTTGCAGAAGTAGAGTTTCCAGTATTCGTGTTAAGTAACTGAGCTTGAGACCATTCTCCTTGAGCCGGTTCTGCAGATTCCACGGTGGTAATGAATTTATCACCGTCTGATGTACTAGCCTGCACAAAGAGACTTGTGGTAATGAGTTTAAGTTGCAACATTTGTACCGAACAAAATAAAAAAACTTCTTTAGCTTTAATGGAGCTCACTTCAGGCGGGTTCATGCTAGTGGTGGAATCATAATCTCTAATATGAAGAGGACCTCTTGTAGTTTCCGGTACAGGGTTTACTTCCATGTGATGTACGAGCTGCAGAACGAGACACTGAGAACATTAGCTGCAAAACTATCATTACCACTCACGGAATCCTGAATATTAACAACAAAGAAACAAAAAGGAAACATGCCTCAACTATTGCAGGATCATTCCATGGTCCTTTGTTAGACCTTAAGCAACCTCCTTCGTTAGGACATCTGCATAAGCCTCCCAAGAACTCTGGAAGTTGGCTGCATGCAGGGTAAATAAAAGCAGTATTTGATAACGTTAGTCTATGAAAACTTGAATGAGGTTATCTATAAAAATCAAAAACTTAAATATTAACCTGGAATCAACTGCTTCAAGTAACTTTGACAAGGACTTTGGCTCCAAAACCTGAGCAATACAAGTGATGGTGAGTGTCTGCTGAGAATAAATACTAGAGAACAGATGCATAAAACCAAAGCGACAATAATCGTTACTTGTATCTTTGCGATAGTCATCGGATCAAGAAACTTCTGGGCGGCAGGCCAAAGCAAACTCCTGAATCCAATCCCTGCATTGACAATGAACATTCGGTGCAAAGTCTGCAAGAGTCAGAGACCATCATTACAACCTTTTAAAGCAACCGAGAAATATCCATGTCCACTCGGCTCATTGTGCCCATGAAAAAAAAAAAAAAATCCCCTCTCCCTTTTGGAGCACAGTATAGTTGACATAAAGGTGTGTTCTTCAAAGAGTTAGGTAAGGTACCTCAGGGTAATAATTGCAATCTACTTTAGCAATGGAGGCAAGGAGATTTGCAGCTGTAGGAGAAAAGTTCTTCATCCCCTGAGTTAACCACAAGAACAATGTTACAAACCAAGAAAAAAAACATCACACTTTCAGAGAATCTCTACGAGTAGTTTACCACCATACCAGGCCATCAACATCTAGTATCGTAGTCGTTGTAGTGACTCGTCGCTTCGCTGCAACGGAACACGCAGGGAGCTTCTCTAGAAGGGCCCTCTCGAATTCTTGGACATGGTACTTCAAGTACCGCTCTATCGTGGTGACATCCATGAGCTTACCGGGATGAGCTTTCCCGAGCCTCTCGATATAGATTGGTCTACCATCTTTATCAACTCCATGATACCCTTGAGGATAATGCCTCGTGACTTTCTCCAGCTCTTTGAAATTGAATTCCTATTATTTTTTTGTAAAAACTCCATCGTTAAGGAGATCCTTTCTGTTAAAAATGGGGTGAATCAACAGCTCAAAAAAACCCAACCTCTCCCTTTTTTACCTGTATAATGCGATCTGTTCCAAAATCTCTCCTCCATTTCAGCATTTCTTCCCACGCCGTGACGGTTTTCTCGATGTTGAACTCCGTGTTCTTGAGAAACCTCAGCAGCATGTGGTAATCGTCGTGCCTTGGAGGCAACAGGTGTTTGTTGAGAAGCTCTTGACGCAGTGTAGAAACGATCTTCTCTTCTCTCTCGTCCCTAACATCCTCGATGAAAGGAATCGGGAGGTCGATTCTCCGTTTCCCTTTCCTCTTCAAAGGATGTGTGAGTTTACTCGAACAGCTAATCGCCTTCTTCCTCAGGGTCCCGATCCTGGAACGCCGTGGCTCGTCCTCCGTGCACTCGGAATCTGAGAATCTCTCTCTCGTTTGTTCACAACCTGCGATTATGAATATAATCCGATGATCTCTTTAACCAATTTCGCAACATAGCGATTTCACTGATGGAAACTGATTTCTCAAAAAAAAACTCAAAAATTACCTGACATTCTTCGGAATCAGTCAAAACGTCTCAACACTGTTTCGAATTCCGCAACAAAAATTAAAGCTTAAAATCCGTAATTCTGCAACCACCAACTATAAAGCAACCGAAAATTCTCTGACGCGAGACCTAAAACTCGTCGGAAAAAAAAAAGCAATGCGGAGGAAGTAGTAAGATGAATCGCGATAAAACGCTACAAAACCCTAAGGAAGCCTTGAAAGTGTTAACGATTCCAAAGGTCGAATAGTTTTTAAATAGAAACAAAAGTTGGAGAAACAGAGAAACATCGATATCTGTACCAAAAGCGAAAAATAGATGAAGACGGTTATACCTCTTTTCTATACAAAGAGATCGATCTGTTGAGAGAATCAAAGAGATTCTATAATCTACAAAGAGATACTTTTTTTTTTTTTTTTTTTTGTCTCGGGGATTTCTTTTTAAAAAGTATTTGGGACTCTGTTTCGTTCTTCATAAATCGACTCACCATGAAATGGCCGACATGTCTAACACCTTCCGCACAGCTTTCCGACGTCGTTTTGACTCATTTTTTGTAAGATCCGCTTTGCACACGTTTTCTTCTGCGGTTTTTGTCACCTGCACACGAATGTCGAACTTCCTAATTAATTAGTCTCCCCAATTTTAAACCGAATCAAAAAATGAACTTCCTAATTAATTAGTCTGCCCAATTTTCAACCGAATCAAAAATTTGGAAAAACGGCTTCAGTTAGTGTTTGCATGTTTCGAACAAAAAAATCATTACCCACATCGAAAGTAAAAACATACAAATCCAAAATGACATCTGCTTCAGTTTCTATTTGGTTTTTAATTAATATACTTTAGAAGGTTACAATAAAATAAAATAATTAAAAAAAATCAAGCTAAAATGGTCAACCCATATAAAAATACATTTTTCTGTTGCAGACAGACCTCACCGAACCCACACTCATTTTTAATGGTGGCTAAACACACATACACAGGATTATATTTTTAACATTTTTAATTTGAATACATTATGTATCTTTGTCAGATACACAATTTGAAAAAGACAAAATAAGCAGCTAAATTTTTAATAAGCTGATAAAATAGCTTGATACTAAATCAACTTGAATTTTTCAATTAGTATAGAAAGACAGAACCGTACAAAACAGGACAAGTCATATTCTACTCTAGAATTTTATAGTAGGACGACAACAACCAAACCAATAGGAATGTAACACCGTACTAACCTGTTAAGATCATTAAAATGTGTTGGTCCAATATAATAACTTCACTGTTAGTATTATCAAGTAAACTATCAATGATTGAACATTATATGCAGACTTGTATATTCTTCAACACTTTCAAGAGAGTGATTCATCATAATAAGCCAATTATTGGCTAAAAGCACTGAGAACATCTCAAATGTATCAATAAGGCATAATAAAGCTCATGTACACACACCCACACAAGGCTTTGAGGTAATAAAACTAATAAAGCAAAAGCAGCAAACCAAGCAAAAGCCAAAGTCAAGTATTTTTTTCTTATTTCTCCTATTCTTAGACAATTGCGCAATGTACTGGTGCGGGCCTTATTTCCCATCATCATCCCATTGCATACTTCTGGGTCCAGGATCGGGCAGTGCTCTCGTACTTGGCTCGGTCTGTCTTGTAGGTGTGAGCTATCTCAGGAACCAGAGGATCATCGGGGTTTGGATCTGTCAGCAATGAGCATATCGACAGAAGAACCTGTGGAATATACAAAACAAACCCTAGCTCTTCAGTCTTTAGTTGATATATGCAAATAAAGAGAATAACAAAAGTATATCTTCAAGCAATTCACCAACGTAAACATATAAAATGGAAATCCAGGCATCATGTCATCAATTTGAGATGTTAGTTTGTTCATTAAACCAATGGAAAGTGAGGTTGGTCAAACCGAATAATCACACACTAGAGAGACACAAACACAGGACAAAAGTGTGGTGGAAAACAGATTTAATGAGATGTGATCACCTTGGATACGGTAAGTGCAGGGCTCCACTGCTCTTTCAGAATGTCAAGACAGATGCTGCCATTACTGTTGATATTCGGGTGATAAACCTTGGTGCGGAAAGAAACCTGCATCATCAAAAACAAATCAACTGATGATTTCCACATAAAAAAAAAAGCAGCCTACTTGATTGTGGATGATAGACTCATTCAACAAGCTCCACGAATAAACATAACAAGCAGATACGGAACAGTTGTTAACCTTTGGTGGCTTGAAGGGGTAATCTGGTGGGAAGTGAATGGAAACAAGAAAGACACCTCCAGAGAATGGGCTATCTGCTGGACCCATAATAGTCGCTTGCCAGTGGTACATATCATCACCCACAGGACCTTAAAAAAGCATCACCAATTCATCAGAATCTATACAGAGTTTGCTTAATCAGCTACTGAATCTCTCTAAGTGTGTCTTAGTAAGTACAATCCTAATCTAAGATAGGGTGCTTTAAACTACACAAGAGATAGTTCATAGATCAACGGTGAAAAGCAACATCATATATATACTCACCGGCACTGCATGACACTGGAGGATCCCTTTGCAGGTCCTTAAGCTCCTTGTTAATTCTTTTTGCAGCCATAGCTCAGTTGTCCTCGCTGCTACTAGCGAGAAACAATCAAAAGTATTATCAAGAAAAGAGATTGACATACTATTACATGTATTTCTATATGCACAAGCACTCAACAGCTCAGAGGACAATAATGGCTATCATAAACAAGTTTTTTTTATATACGAATAAGATATGAACAAACTAAAGATTTGTTAATCAGCCGATGATACGCCGCCAGAAGAAACCAATCAGGAAATCATCGAAATCATAAGGATAATGAATTCAGAACCTAAACAAGATGCTATTAGACGAGCCCAAGCCAAGCAAACAAGCCGATCAGAGTGGTGATTAAGTTAGATACTGTTCTCGATCAACCAGAGGCAAATCATCGAACAATTCAGAATCGTACGTTGAAATTACGCATCAGTGAAACGCTATAAGGTACGAGAATATTCTAGAAACAAAGAGATTGAACAAACACATGGATCGGCGCAAAAGATTCCGTAAAGAAGCAAACCGAGAGAGAGCAGAAAGGAAAGAGAAGGAGATCAACTACTAAGATCGGGAACTGGAAAACGAATGTAACCCTAGAAGAAACGATGATCCAATCGAATCGAGAATTTTCAGAACTAATTCTGACCTACCTGTTCTTAGGGTTTTGATTTGATCTTCGGAAATCTCAAGGGGAGGGGTTGTTTCGAAGGTGAAGTTAGCAGTCGAGTCGGTTTAAATAGATTCCTCATTCGAGCGGTGAAGCTTTGCCACGTAGCAAGCTAGATTCCAAAACAGGCCCATTATAAAGCCCAATATTCTAATTATGAAGCCCATTTGTTTTGCAACGATGCGGGTCGGTTCATATCTATTAGACTATTACCTTGTTGCTATACTATTCCAGCTTAATGTAGACCTTTAGTTTCTGTATGGACTGCGAACTAACTAACAGTTTGCACAGTTTGCAGCTATTAGAGAGCATTCTAAATATCAAATATGGATTCCATGGGGAATGCTTTCCTCAATGAGTTTGTATAAGCATTTTGTAAATTGTGAAAGAAGCTGCCTTGCATTACAAGAAACTGGGTTTTGTAGGTTTATCAAGTACTGTATCTAATAGCTCTCTCAATTCTTTCATTCTATGCAATTCCCACTAAGACTATGCATGGATCGTTAAACCAAACGGTTCATAGCTAAACCGAATAATTTAATGATAGATCAACCTCTTTAAAATTATAGAGTTGACAGAAAACGTCAGATTTCAGTAATAAACAGGTGAAAAATACTCGAGAACAAAACAAACTTTACTTTGACGTTTATGTATTCCAAAAACATATTATCATTACAAAACACATACCATCATGACTCTTATGTTTATATTTATTTTTGCTCTAAAAGCTTACAAAATCACCTTGGAAATGGGAACCCAACAACTTCCCTAAAGAGAAAAACAAAATAAAAGCAAGCCCAAAGTCACGGAGAGAGACAGAGAGACTCATGACGCCTTGTATTTCCTTCAAATGTTGTCATCTTTGCGTCTCTCCGGGACAAATGATAAATAAACAAACGCATTCATAATCATATATACAACGATTCTATTCCAGGGGCAAGAGAACAGTATACCGTACGTGTACTCAAGACTGGTATGGCCTTCTTGTGTCGACTTGGATCCGTTCCATATTCCTTTAAGATGGTGAAGAGACCAACAACGAAAGTTTTGATTTGAGACATTTTTGACTTTCTTTTACCCTTCTCTTGTTTTGGCTCTCTTCATACCGAGGCTATCGTAAGGAGAAACTGAACCGGACATTGGAGATCCTTCATCACGAAGAGTTCCATTGAGCAATGCGAGCTCACGCAGCTGCTGTTTCTTGTAGAAATCATGAGTTTCCTCCTATAAAACCGTATGTGAAACTTTATAAACGATAAAACTATAAGAAATCAAAATGGGAATGAGCTAAAACAAACCATAGGAGTAAGAAGATCGTCGAGAATTTCGCGAGCTTGCATGAGACGTGCGTCGACTATTTCAATCGGTAACTCTGCTTCGACTAAGATATGAAGTGGCTCAATTAAGTGCTCAAATCCTGGTTTTCCTCTCATCATTTCCTCCTGCAAGAAAAAACAAAAAATAAATAAACAAACATTGGAATATGAATATATACACAAATGAAGCTGCACAAGAAAATAATAATAAATACCTTAATTCGATCTTTTATACTGCCTCTTCCTCTGATAAGAACACGGCAATCAGTACTTGCTTCAACTCGCTTCAAGGAGTTCCCTCTAGGGCCCAGGAGGCGACCAACAAAATTGTACTGTCATAACAAAAACTTAATAGTTATATTCTGACCATATATATATATATATATCCTCAGTGTTTAAGAAATGAATGTTCAATGTTCATACATTTGGGTAATCGTCGACTGGAATATCGACCCTGATTGTTCTCTTGGCGATCAGACCGGACGGGCTACCAGGTGAGTTGAGCCAGTTTGGTCCCGGAGATGATGGAACAGATCTCTACAAATAATCAACCAACAAAATTAGACGCCATACCAACCCTTAAGCATAGACACATATTAATCGACATATAGTACGTAGCAGCATCAATAGAAAAACAATATTCGAAACTTCCTTTCCATGGATAATGATAATGAGCAGGCATTGCAACCTGTAACTGCTATATCCTAATAACTTGCATATAATAGCAATCACAGCATCATTATAATCCTGCTCGCCAGGATAGTTAGAGTTTCTAGTTAGTGTTGATATTACTTAGTGTTAGCTAAAGCTAACTCTCATGATAAACCTACGACTGAAAGTAGTCAAATATGTTATGTCAGCATAAGCTTTTATTTGCAAAATATATGAATTAGATGGGAAAAGGAGTTATGTTAATGATTAGTAGTCATACTTCTGATGGAAACTGTGAGGCCCATCCGCTCAGGTCAGCTCTTGCATTCTGAAATATCCCTCCTGAAGACAGAGGGCTCGTGTGGTCAAGCCCACTCTGGCTTAAAACTGTGGCATTCTCCAAAAGTGTGGTTACACGCAAAATCTCTGTTCCAAAAAATGTCATTTTTCCAAAAGAGTAAGACGCACCAGTTAGACTTAGTCAACAAATCAGTTAACTGAGTTAGCAAATATTAGTTTTCTTCTGCTCTCACTCAGAAGTCAGTATAAAAATAATTAGCACCACCAATTCGTGTTCTAGTTATAACTTATAGTACTTTTGAAGGGAAGGAAGACAATAGTCTCTCTCTGTGATTAGTAAGCAGAAATCAAATTTCTGTGAACTGTATGAGAGGTTCGTAGTTCTGAAGCAAGGAACGACATATCCAGTGTGCTGGAAAATACATGTAATGAACAAGACAAAACAGCAATTGCTCACCTTGGTTTAGTAGCCGACCTGCATGTGGAAGAACGGGCAAGAATGGAGTAAGCTTATGACGCTCTGCAAGTAACTCTGAAAGATACCTGCCATTACCAAAATATCCAAAATTAGTACTAAAGCATCAAAGACACATCAAACTTACGGAAAGATCCACTCAAAAAGCTCATCATGGTCAAGAAACAAGTACAAACTTTTAAATATGTGCAGCTAGATTCAAATTTCCATTCTTTTAGTGAAGTGGATCTGGTAAATCTTCCTATGAATGAGAATTTTATCAGTTTCCATCAGTCAAGAACACAAATCAACAATAACAGAAGGAATAGCCAATGATCTATAAATCCAACATAACACTAAAAAAACTGGTGCTTAAACGACAGAAAAAGTGAACTGAGTTGAGACAAATCTGAATTAGTTTGGGGTAGAAGACAATAACATCAAAAGCATCAGGATAGATACTAATGTAAGCAGAAGATGATTAAACACAGAAAAACCGATCAGAGTAATTTTCAGATTTGGGATGAAATATTGAGATCTAAGGATTAAAACAAAGATCAACAAAGTCATGAGATACATCAGCCACAATAAGTTTCACAAAATAAAAGTAAACAAACAAACAAAACATAAGAATATGAAAACTGGGATTCAATTACTTCTCCTGCTCAACGAAGACAGAAGACTGTGATCGGAGACCACCGGAGAAGTTTGGCGACTGAGGAGCAGAAGGAGGCACCGAAAGAGACGACGAATACGTCATAAACCTCCCTCCGCCGCCGCCACCAACTCCACCACCTCCTCCTCCACCACCACCGCCACCACCGAGCGAAGACATCATCATCATATCGACGGAACGCTCACGAGGAATATGAGCAGAGCCACCGGAGATCGGAAGATGTAAGCGGCGGAGTGAAGACCAAGAGATGTTGTCTGTCTCTAACGTCGGTGGATTTAAGGGGTGTTTTTATAGAGACTGATGTTGTAGGTACTGTGGAAATGATTAACTTTGCTTAGCTGTTTTTTTTAACCTTTTCTTTTTATATCACACACTTGCGCAATTTTTACCGCCCTCGTTGGTTTCTTTCTGAAGCCTCTTAATCAATCTAGAAGGCCGGTTTACTCCAATTCGATTCGGTCGAGCTATACCGGAAATAACAAACGCTGCGTTTAGGAGAGCGAAGCTCTTTGATCGGAGGAGGATAGTAACATTGCAGTGAGCTGCAAAAGGTTGAAGACGGGAAGTGGAAGAAAGAGTTGAAAAAACAAAAAAAATGGAGGAGACGATTCCTTTCAAGAGTTTACATAGCAGGGAATATCAAGGTCACAAGAAGAAGGTTTCTCGATTACTTCGATCTTCATCTGATTTTCTCCAGTTTCAAAAAACTTGCGAAACCCTAGCTCTTTCACTCAGTTATCTGGTTACGATTGGTTAATTTTTGGGGGCGATTTTTGGATTGAAAGGTACATTCGGTGGCTTGGAATTCTAATGGGACGAAGCTTGCTTCGGGCTCTGTTGATCAGACGGCTCGTATATGGAACATCGAACCTCACGGTCATGTAATTTCTTTGCCTTTGAGCTGAAAATTTTGGTAGTTTTGATTCAAATGAGACTTCCTTTGATTCGACTTTCAATTTGGTGTTCCTTGTAGTTTTTTGTAATGCGAATTGGGTTTCGAGTCGATTATCATCTTTGTAATATGATTATTGATGGGTGTGTGGATACAGAGTAAGGTCAAGGACCTTGAACTAAAGGGCCATACAGATAGTGTGGATCAGCTATGTTGGGACCCCAAACATTCAGATCTTGTTGCTACTGCTTCTGGTGATAAGAGCGTTCGTCTCTGGGATGCTCGCAGTAAGTTACTTTCTCTTTATAGATTGGCTTTTTGTCTCAGGAAAATGTAAAATGGCTTGAGTTGCTTGGTTTAGAAATCTCTACATTTTCCTATGGATATGCTTTGTGTCATTCACAAATATATCTCGCAGTCTTGGCTTTTGCTCTGAAACTTTTGAATGATGAGAATATGATTAGATATAAGTTTTTTACGAAAATTATAAACAGGTGTTCGTTATGTAGCTACTATTGTGTATGTTTAGTATCAAACTAGATTTGCTGAGATATGTGCTCTTCGAGTTACACAGGTGGAAAATGCACACAGCAAGCAGAACTTAGTGGGGAGAATATAAACATCACCTACAGACCTGACGGGACACATGTAGCTGTTGGTAACAGGGTATTGTCTCGATCATTCCCCCATGTCTTTTCACTTGCATTCTTCCTTACTAGACTTGTTTTTATGTATTGCTTGATGGATTCCTTTATCTGTTGTCCTTCTTTCTCTTACTGGCCAACGTAGGATGATGAGCTTACCATTCTTGATGTTCGTAAGTTCAATAAACATGTACACAAGCAGAAATTCAATTATGAGGTAACGAAAGCTCATTATAATTTTGGTCTGTTTTATTTCAAGCTCATGCGATTATATATTTCACCTAACTTTCCTTCTTAATGTAACAATCATATTGGTTGTAAAAGTTAGTACATGCTTTAGAACATGTACCATAGCGGAGCAAAAAAGAATAAGTTATGGCGCTGTATAGAATGTTTCCTTAGCTTTCGTTTTCTTGTAACAGGTGAATGAGATTGCTTGGAACATGTCAGGAGATCTTTTCTTCTTGACTACTGGACAAGGTGAGAATGTAACTTGTATTCTTTCCTGCACACAGTTCCCTCCTAGCTTAGTTTTCTCTGTTCTTGAACTTCAGAAAAATGATGTTATTGGGATGTTACTTTCGTATGTTCTTCTGTTCAGGCAATGTTGAAGTTCTTTCGTATCCGGATCTTTCAGAACTTGACACTCTCACAGCCCACACAGCCGGGTGCTATTGCATTGCAATTGATCCTAAAGGAAGGTAAGAAATGTTTGCGTTTTTCCTCTCAGACGCAAATGATTATAGTTTTTTTTGCGTCCGATTCATATCCCATTTACCTTAACAGATACTTTGCCGTCGGGAGTGCGGATTCCTTAGTCAGCCTTTGGGATATCTCAGAAATGCTTTGCTTGAGAACTTTTACCAAACTTGAGTGAGTCTCAGCCTGATAGTTCAGATTTATTGATTTGATTTCTGTGTCTAATGTCAGTAAATTATTACTATTTGCTCACAGGTCTCCCGTCAGGACAATAAGCTTCAACCATTCAGGAGAATATATTGCTTCAGCCAGCGAGGATTTCTTTATAGATATTGTAAGTTACTTTTCAGACTTAAACAAACACTGCTAGTTTTATCCTCAATGGTGAGACTAGTTGCCTCATATCTGACCATCGAACAGGCTAATGTCGAAACCGGGCGGACGGTGCATCAGATTCCATGTCGGGCAGCAATGAACAGCGTCGAGTGGAATCCCAAATACAATTTACTTGCATATGCAGGTGATGACAAGAAGTATCATACTGATGAAGGTATTTGCTCCATAGTGAGTGATAACACAAACTCTTTAAGTCAGAAAATGAACAAATGACAACAAAAACTTTTTTGTGTATCTCTTTGCAGGTGTTTTCCGGATATTTGGTTTTGATAGCTCCTAGGAACAGTAAGCCGCATCTGGAAACATGATAAGCAACTCTGAATCGGAAAAAGTTTACGTGCCTCGTGTACTTAAATATTAACAAAGTTGGATTTTACATGGAGAGTTTGCAGTTCTGATTTTATATGAATCTTGCATTTTATTTGCTTCCAAAATGGGTTACTACTACATAAGCTGTACTCTTTTATTATATAAAAATGGAACTTTATGATCAAGAGAAGAATTTTGATTCCGAGTTACATATATCTATCTCTACTATGCGTGAGCGTATAGCTGCTAAAAGTTACAGGTTGTTCTTGGACCCCGATGATTCTTCAGTCTGGGAGATTCGACAGCAAGTCCAGTGATAAGCTTTTGCCAAGATCTCACCAAAAGCTCATCCCCAACAATGGAGGTTGAAGAAAAAGAATGCCTGACAGAATATAAACACATTCATCACTTAAGAGTTCAGATTTTTGGAATGAAGAACAACACCAGACAATTTGCTTACCGAAAAAAACAATGAATTATGTCTGATGTGTCAAAATCCGCAGAGGATGAACTTTGAGACCGGGAAGAACAACCCTGCAAAGCAAAGAAGAACAATGGTGATCAAATACTGAGAGAACCAAGTAACAGGTTTCCACTTGATCTCAACGCTTGAGCTCTTCATCCTCTTCCCACTCATTGGCTCCTTTGACAGATCGAAGCTGGACCCTTTCATCCTCAGTTCCAGAACACACCGTGTAAGCGTTCTGTTATCGTTCCTCTCCCTGTGAACTCCTCTGGAGACTTTCCAGAACATGAACAGCTTAGCCTGAACCAGAAACACCAGAACCAGTGAAGTGGCTAGCGACACTGCAGAAGGTATCCACCATTTCTTGCAGACCGCGTCGCTTTTCGTCACGTCGTTATCACCAGAGCAGGAAGAAGAGTAGACAATCGTGAAGAAGAAACCGTGGAAGACGAGGAAGAAGCAGCAGAGCTGAAAGATCTCTCTTTTGATTGACTCGAGCCTAGATTCTTTGAGGATGACACGACGACAGAAGAGATCTTCTTCTCTTTGCCATAGCTTCATAAGCAACAAATGTCCTGGACTCTCTGAGATCTCAGACAACGGATGCTGCTGAATCACCCTGAGCACTCCCATTCCAGGATTCGAGACAGCAACCAACTGTTGTTGCCTCTCTTTATGCTCTTCATCTACCGGAATCTCCACTACATGAGAATCTTTCGTTCCGGCCATTGCAAAAACGATAAAAGAGATTGATACTTTATGAAGAAACAGAGATCCGGAAATGGAAAGCAACGAGAGTTTGTGAAAAGAGAGATCGAAACAGATATCGGAAATGGAATCTAAAATAGTAAGAAGTAGAAAGAGAATTGACTAAAATTGCAGAGGAGAAGACTGATTTCGTTTGTTTTTGTTTTGGTAAGGTTGCCTTTTTTGAGAAGATAGAAATTAAGATTTCAGGTATTTAAATTGTTGTTCCTTAACGGCTATAAGTACAACGGTCTGATTTTTTTTTTTTCTTTCTCTCTTACGTTTCGCTGCTGTTCCGATACTTGTACGCGACTTTTTCCGAATGTAACGGCTATATTTTCTTTTCCAACGTTCACTATTTGGGCTTATAATGGGCCGAATAATTTGCAATGAGCGTTTTAGTTTATATTGGGCCGGAACTAAATTTTGTAGTTCGTTACTTAGTTCTAGCTTTGCTTTTTTTTTTTTTTTGACATTATTACACAACACTTTTATATTTTGTATATAGAGAATAAAGGGTGCAAATGGTTGTATATGAAAGGAATAAGTTGAATGAGAGGAATAGTAATGAGTTGAATAAAATTAAGTTGAATAATATTACTTAGCTGAATGTGTTGAAAGAGGGGAATAAATCGTAGAGGAATAAAACTTAAGAAAAATGGTAACTATTTAGAGAAACATAAAGGAATAAAAAATAATAATACTATTTGTAAGTTAAATACTATTTTAAAAGTTATACAATTTAACATGACGATTTAATAACTACGAAAATGTAATAAAAAATAGCAATAGTTGAAAAAAAATTATTAGAAGAAAAAAAAAACTACTCATTACAATTATTAAAAAATATAGTTTGTCAAATAAACTCTAACGTCGATATCGAAAACTACGTCGACTATCGAGCCACATATCCTCAGCAATTTTATCACGGACAATCCTTATATAAGTTCCAGCTTCGGTTTCATCTTCCACTCCAATACCCTGATCATCATTTGCATCATAAGTTGCATTTTGTTGTGCACGCTGAACCTCGTTTTCTCTGTCTGCTTCATCAAAGTCAACATCTTTAATATTATTTCGGCGAATAAAATTGTGAAGACCCATTGTAGCAAATATAACACGCCTTTGTACTGCGATATTATATCGTGGAAACTCATTTAGAACTCTCCATTTTTTCTTCCAAATTCCAAATGTTCGTTCTATAACTGAACGAAGGGATGCATGCCATCTATTAAACATCTCCTTACTATTTTTTGGTGGTCCACCATTCAAAAACTCTTGTAGATGATACCTCGTGCCTGTATTGCTTTGTTTTCTGTATGGAGCCAAATATCCACGTCTATTAGCATAACCAGAATCTACCAGATAATATTTACCTTCTGGAGGTGTAGGAAACATAGGATCATCGCTAATCGCTGTTGACAATACTTGTGCATCATGTGCTGATCCTGCCATACCAACAAAACAATATGTGAAAAGCATATCTAGATCACACATGGCCAAGACGTTGAGGCTTGGATTTCCTTTCCGGTTCACAAATCGAATGGATTCTCGGCCTGGAGTCACCATAACGGGTATATGTGTCCCATCCAAAGCTCCCATGCATCCCCTAAAGTAATGAAAATATCGACCATTTTCTTCAAGACGTCTTGACATAGCTTCAATTTCTTGGGCATTTCTTGGTCTTATGTAGTCTACAGCCATTTGTTCCATTGCTCCAAGGACTTCATGAAACTTTCGACATATTGTCTCTTGTGCATGACCAAATCTTAAACCAATGTCACCTTGAGTGTCATTTTGCCCACAAATAATGAGAAATATTGCAACACTCTCATCAACGGACATATTTTGTGTGTCTTGTAAGCTATACCTTTCCTGCAGTAGTTGACACAGTTGTCTAAATGCCAATGAACTCATCCTTATAAGCTTTTGACATGAAGCTTCATTGTCGTAGATTTGATCCTGAATTATGCGCCATCCTTTGCCTGTGTCTTTAGGCATTGGTTTTTTACAGAAATATTTTCCATAATATTCTATCACCGGAGAGATATGAGTCTCTAAAATTTCAGCTTCTTCCAATAATATCAGCTCTGCAATTTCTTCGTCGGATAGATTTTCAATGCCACGTAGATGTAACTCTGCTATACGAAGTTCTTGAAAAATAACATACAATGGTGTTAGAAACATATAATAATGTGTACAAAATTAAGTGATCAACTAATATTAAAGAAATGCTTTATTAGCGTTAACATTATTAGCAAAAATATTAAAAATATTATATAAAAAAGAACTAGATAGTGTCAGATCTACGAAACTAAGTTTTGTTTATTGAGTTTGGGGAGACAGCTCAAGCAAAGTGGAAAAGCTAGTCCCTGAAGAACTTGTTTCAAACAATCCATATCTAGCGCCAAAACTTGAAGAAGCATTAGTGTCTGTTCCTGCCATTTGTGAATGTGTGGCCGGAACATAAGGAGTCGTGAAACTGTTTGGCCCTTTCAAATTGATAATATCACATGGTAGACCATATCTATCAATGTCAGTAAGCTTTTCCAAGAACTGAATTTTATTGTCTTCACTCCGTAATTTCACGAACCCATCACGAGCATCTTCATCGTTCAGCAACAACTTATTTGCTGCCCACCAAAATTTTCCCATTGGTTCAACCGTCAACGATTCTAACACAACCAAAGCATCTCCAAAAGTTGCTTTTGGATTATGTCGCGAACGTAAGACATCCAATAAACCCGTACGAGACTCTTCAAGGCGTTGAAAGCCTGCTTGAACTTGCGTCTCAAAGTGGATCCTTCTTCGATTTGTACGTGTAGTAGTAGCCTTCCGAACACGCAAGCTTGATCTATTTGTACGGGATGGTGAGCTCCGTACACGTTCTCTAGTAGTGGGTGTTGGTGATTGACCAGATCGCGGAAACTCATCCTCAGATGTTAAATCCAAAGGAATTTGAGTCGTATTATCTTCTGCAGTTTCTTCCACACCTATATCATCATCGCTAGCTCCCTCGTCTAGTGTTTGTTGGAGGTGTGTGCGAAGAGTGTGTGGCGAATAACGATCATCCTGCTCCACGTCATGTTTACTATAGATTTGATCGAGTAGCTCTTTAAACGGAAGAGGCTTACTTTGCAACACTCGTACGAATTTGCCATTGTTCCCAAATTCCTGGACAATAAAGATTAAACGAATTAAAAATCAAGCACATCACATATAGAAAATATTGTATGCTACTATATTTAAAACTCACCGCAATTCTGTCGTTCCACCAACCCTCTGACATATTTATCTTTCCGATTGTAGAATCAGCTGAAACACCGGTGCGATTAACTAATATGCTGTAATGGTGCCATAATTTTCGCATAAAGTTGATTCTGCTTTTCATTTCTGGTTCCCAACTCAACTTAACTCCAGTCATTTCATAAAATTTCTCTTCAACTCGTCTCTTGCCAGGATTGTCCGGCAATCTTATGACGTAACCTTTTGCTTTCAGCTCGTTGTTTACTAGTTCGAGAAAAATTTTGGTATATCTAGAATTCCATATGTACTGATATAGTTTAAAGTAATAATATATATAAGCTAAACAATTATATGTTGATATAAATAAATATATTCAAAGATATAAAAAGAGGTGTGTTACTTTGGGTTCATCGGTTGATTTATCTTTACGCTTTGAACGACTTCCTCCGGCATTTGATCGACCATTATTTGCATCGTTGCTTCGCGTATTTCTGTTTTAAAAAAACATATATAAATGTGTGTTAAGAACTTTTCGACAGTGACTTTAATACAATTTTTACTAATGAAGTACATCAGTCGATAGCTAATATTATCATTGTTTGGCAAAAATCATTAAAACAGAAATTGTCAATTAAGAGTGAGAAATTATTCATTGATAAGTTTTACAAGAGTCTGGTCTACTAAAAAATTAAACGTTTGCAAGTTGCAACTAAAAACCTAACGCAAGCATAATAAACAATCCTAAGATACACCAAACAAAAACGAATATACAAAACATGTTTGATCAGCCAATATAAGATTTGAAATATATATACCATAAAGAATCTGATACAGAAGAATTTAAAAAACGATTACCAAAAAATCAAGAACTAAATTAAAAAGTTATAAGAAACTAGTACCTTTCGTTCATGCTTAAATTTTGTTTGTACGATAAATCTTGTTATGAGGTAGCAGTGTATTTATAGGAAATGAAGAATAATTAGTAGTTTTTTAATTTAATTTTTAAAATTTCAAAATACAATCTTTAGATATCAATGATTGAGCTAGTTTTGCGTTATAGTGAATATCTGTTATTTTGATTTTCGACAACTTTCAAGATATTCTTTTTTTTTGCAACGAACTTCCAAGATATTCTAAACAACTTTTTTGTACTACAACGAGAGTTTTAAATAAATATATTCATTTTTAGCATTAATGAAAAAAATCATTTAAAAAATATCTTGTTCCTTCGTTGGTACTCTACTTTTTTTAGGAGTAACAAATTTTAGAAGAATCAATTGTTTTTCCTCTGATTATGTGGGTCCCACCAAATTCTAGCAGAATGTATATTCCCCACAAATGGTTGGTTTTCGGAGGAATGCAAAGTAATCACCCATTCAACTCATTTTTTTTCCTCTAACTTGTCAATCATTTGCACCCAAAGTCTTTAGAGATGCATAGGCTTAGGTTTACATTTTATCAAGATTTTATTCTATTTTTAGTAAAAACAGAATAAATGATTACATTTGGTTATAAATTATTACCTGTTGTGTTTTTTTTTCTTTTGTGATGATTGAATAGTAATATTTTTCTTCTAATCGTTTTTAATAATTTGTATTCTTGACAATTGTTATGAATATTTGTTTTTATTGTGGAAGTATTTTTTGAAACCTATACAAAGTATCATATTATTAATTGGCAAGCAAGTTGGACTGTGGTTGAGAGTTATTGTGGTTGATTATCCTTTATCCCTCATGTGAATTGACTTAATTTATCCTTAATGAAAAACTTCAATTATTTTCTAAATTAATTTTAATCCAGCCGCTAAACCTAATAAATTATTCGGCTAAATCTATTGTAACTAATGAAAACCCTGATTCTTTAGAATTTATATATTGCTTGCTACCATGTATTTTGTGTCTTATCGCATGTTAGTCATAATTTTTAGTTTGGTAGTTCTCTCAATAGTTTTATTTCTATATGTAATTGATCTTTGTGTTGTGAATGTAATTGTTATATGTTTTTAGACGGTGAATTTGTCTATATTGTTATACTTACAGAAAATCAAGGGTTGGTATTTTCAGACGGTATATTTGTCTATTTTTATTTTTACTCGAGCTTCATAACTGTGTTCATGGTATCTATGTTATTTTTATTTTCTGTGACTTTTTATGATCTGTGTTTCAAAAAAATAACAGATTTAATAGTTTGGTGGAGCGATAGTTTCATTGTTTGGGATGAATCTGAGTTTTGCAGAGATGTTCTTCCAACTAAGGTAATTTAAATAATCGTTCATGTTTTTTCTCTTAGCCAAACACACTTTTTTCCTTAGCCAACACGATTTACTGGAGCCGCAAAATAGTTTTTTCTTAGTTTTAATTTTGTTTGTGATCGGTCCTTTCTCACCAACAAGTTGTTCCACTATTTAGATCTATATGAGCTTCGGTTTCGTGATTCAGTGACGATGCAAGAGGCGACGATCTGCTTATTGATTTGTTTCACTCTGGAGGTTGTTGTTTGAGTATTAATTTGGTTATGAGATTCGGTTTCGTTTGTTGTTTGTAGGGAATTGGTTCTACATCAGTATTTGGTGGAGTTTGTTATTGGCAAAGATCATCTTTGTCTATTCATGATTTTCAAAGATCAACAAAAACAAATTTGCTGACAAGATTCAACGTAGATGGATATTTCGAATTTAGGGCTTGTGCAACTAGCCATTTACTCTTGTCGTGTTTTGTGGTTTTCTGATTTTTAAGGCCTAAAAGAGGGATCTTGGGGAGGATGAAATCAAAAGAGTTTTGGTTTGATAAATTTCTAGGGATCTGATAGAGATACATATGGAGATTTGGTTTGGACTTTTGCTGTACTTTTTTTTAATTCTCTTTAGTTTGTTATTTGTTTTTTTTTGTCTTTCTTATTTTTTGTTTATGTTCAGTCTCTAATGTACGTGATGAATATATATGGGGTTGTTTTTTTTACTCTCTTCATTGGTTGTTATAAATTTTTTTGTTTTTTTAACCCATGCAGACATTACATCCATATATAATTTTACATCAAAACTTCATGGTCTATACAATAAGTCTTAAGGAGGAAGATCTCATTTTAGCAATTGGTTTAGATTGTCTTGTGTGTTATTTTGACTAATTACAATAACGATGTGTATTTGTTGGTGAGATAGATGTATTTTTGGTGAAGGCATGGGAGCAATAGTGTCTGATGATGAAGATGAACAACTACATAGCAATGCTAATACTTTATGGGGGTTATATATGCTCAGGTTTGGTCCTCTGATTCCTACTAAGAGCGATACATTTTTGATGGAACGAGTTAGACAATTACTCAAACATGAATTCAAACAGGTAAAAGAAAAAAAAAATCAATAACCATTTATCCATGGCTTTAATCTTCTATATATAAGCTCCAATACCTAAAACATATTTGAAGTCTCTATGTGTTTATATTGGATTCATGATCAGCTCAATATTATTATGAACTCTAGGACAAATTTTTTGTTGGCTTATCCCACCTCATTATTATGAATTTTTTAAAAATTAACCAAGCCTCAGCACAAAGTGCGAACAAACCACACCTAGAGTTGTTGTTATTATATTTAGAGGTATTGTTTCTAGAGTTAAATTTTTTTTTACACATTCACAATATTTTTATTGTGTTTTCTATGTTTTTCTTCATACACTAAACAAAAAGTTTTTATAGCACTTGATTTGTTATGTGATTGCACAAGAGATGGGTGTAGCCAGTGGGGGAAGTAGGTGAGGACGTACGGGGCACGTGCCCCCATCTAATTCTTCATTTTTTTATAGTAGTTAGTGTAAAATTTATCTAAATGTTTCTAATAAAAAAAAGTTATAGTCAAAAACATATATGTGCCCCCTACTAAATTGACTCCTAGATCCGCCACTGGGTGCAACCAGATCATGGTAGGCTATATTAAATGAAAGACTAATTCTGACTAGAGGAAATATAGAACAAAATAAAACATCTAAAGAAGCTCGAATGAAACCTATGGTCTAAAACATGTCGGAAGAGTTAAATAAAAAACGTACTATACAAAAGTAAAGAAAAAATGAAAAGAAAAGAAAAAATAAAAAACAATGGCACCAACGTAAAAAGGTGCTGAATACTAGCCAGAGAAAAACTTGAAATGCGCCAGAATTTTGTCATAAAGCAAGATGAGATGAGAGAAATTTTCTCTCCTTAAAAGCTAGAAAGAGCGTAATCGATGATTAATGTAACACCATCTAGACAAGAAGAAAAGTAATATAACTTAATGTTCAGAAAAAAGGAAACATAACTAAATAAATCTACAGCAAACAAAATTATCAAACTATTGTTTTTGTTCTGAAACAAAGCTTTATTATCACTAGGATATTCATAGCATTTCATTTGTATATCTTTTGCTGTTCATTCTATTATTTTAATATTGCTTTGAGTAATCATAGAATTACAAGCATTGTGGTATTCTTATTTTTCATTGCTTATTTTTTTGTTTTTACGAAAAAATAATCTAATTGTTTTTTTTATGAATGATCCCATATTTGTTAGGTTGAATTAACATGAAAGCAACAACATCCATTATGAAGAAGGTACATAAAGCAATGTTATGTAGTTTTTTGTGTGTGTAAACATTTTCTTGTGACAGAATTGGAAGACAAAGATGAAGATGAAGACAAAAAAGGAAGAAAAAAACAAGAAAGAGAGAGTGAAAGCATCTCTTTCAAAAATAAGATAGAGAAAGAGGGAATAGAGAGATGAAGTGCGAGAAAGATATAGTGAATGAGCAAAGTGGGAGAGACAAAGAGGATTTCTTTCTGATATAAGAAAGAGAGAGAGAGGGAAAATGAGTTCTTAATAAATATGAATGACAGAGAGAGAGATGATAGAGAGAGTGACAAAATCTCTTTCAAAAACAAGAATAAGAGAGAAAAGGGGGAGAGAAAACGAGGGAGATACAGAAGAATAGAGTATCTTCTTCAAAAAATAAGAACAAGCAAGAGATGTAGAGATAAGATCTACTTTGGAAACAATAAAGGGAGATATAGATAAATGGAGGTTACAAAGAGAGAGAGAAAGAGAAAGAGAAAGATCGAGAGATAGATAGAGTATATAGAAAGAGACATGGAGAACAAATATATAGAGAATAAAGAGATGGAGAAGGGGAGACAAAGGAGAGATAGATATATAGCTCTATTATTTATGACTTATGTTGCTTCAAGTCAGAGGACCATGTTCTTATGTGGATATTAAAACAGTCAATGATGTTGTTTATCTTACTTTCTATGGTGCATGTCATGTGTTTAGTTTGGTTGGTAATGATGAAGGGCATGTTGATGCTTTCTATGAAGCGAGTGGATGGTCTACGGTTTCTTTATTGCGAAAGATGTTTGCTACTTTAATCTATACTGGTTATATGTGTAATCATGTGTGTGTTTGAAGCTATGTCCGTCATGTTATTTTTCCCTAAGTCAGCGTGTTGTCATCACTTATCTTGTACTTTTTGGTTTTTTATAAAAATTGAAACATATTGGGAATTCTTACACTATTATATTTTCAAGCTATTGGTTTTGATTATTTAGTTATTTATAATTGAAAAAATGTTCCAAAATAAAAAATTAATATGAAACGCGTACTCCATTGAGAGAAAATTGTGAAAAATGACTATTGTTTTATGGTTTTTTTAAATATCAACTCTACCTTTCTAATTACTTTTACTTGTAGTCTAATGGCAAATTAATGGCAGGCTGAATGCATACTACTGGCAGACTGATTGGTCTTACAATTGAATGTAGACTATTGACATACTAAAAGCAAATTACTACCATTAATCTGTCATTAGGCTACGAGTAAAAGTTATTAGAAAAGTAGCGCTGATATTTTAAAAAAAATCATATTCGAAATTTATGTCTAGAATTATTCTTGGTTTGGTTTAGACTATTGACAGACTAATGACAAATTTAATTATATGAGAGCAAAATATATTTTTTGCCAAAAAGCCCCTAATAATATTGAGCCGGCCCCGTTCTCAATGTCTTCTAAATCAATTATTTTTGGGAACAAAAACAGTATCAACAATCATTTTTGGTTTAATGCAGTTTTAGTTTATGACACTCACATACATAGTTTAATAATCGCATTTGTCCGCGCATTGCACGTACGGTCATCTAGTTATGACGTATTTGAGATTTCAGAAAGGCTTCTTCTACGCATATAAGCCATATTCTCAAACAGATGAAAATAAGAACAGCTCTTTATTTACATCTCGTCGTTATTATAAAAACAAAAGTAAACTTATTAGTCTTTGAGATAAACAGAAAAATCCTACTTACTAATAACCAACCATAACCATAAGTTAACTACCAATGAAATACAAAATGAAAACCCACACAATAAATCTAAGAAAAAAACTTTGAAACGAATATAAATCAAACCATATGATTGATGAGATCATCAGCTTGTAAATCCCACAAGACATTATCCACATTAAACACATGATGTTGATGTTGATTATGGTGGCTCCTCACCATCAACATTCCATCTCCTCTTCCTCCTTCAGATCCAATCTCCTCTTGATCCATCAATTCTCCTTTCAACTTCCTTCTCTCCTCTTCTTCCGCTGCCGCCGTTTCAGCCACCGCAGTACGAATTCCACCGTGACCCCTCCACGCCGCAACCGCAGGAGACACAGATCCATCATTCCTTTCGTCATTCCCAAACGAGGACGAAGACGAACCATACGAGAATCCATTACCCATGTCCCATAGCTTCATTATCCCATTCCCATTATCCAAACCATCCATTTTCATCTTACCAGCTTCGTTATCAACAATTTGGTTGAAGTTGTTAGGGTTAGGGTTTGAGAAGTTGATCTGGTTTAGGTCAACGCGTTTCTTGGTGAGCAAGTGAAGCATCTCGTCCTTGAAACAACCGAGGGCAGCTTCGGCGAGGTGAGAGACCTGAGGAGGGTTGAGTGTAGTGGTGATCTCTGCCATTAGGTGAGAGAAAGGCTTGTGAGTCACGGGATCTATTCCCATCCCTGACAACTTCTTCTTCAGCTTCGTGTTCCAATAGTTTTTCACATCGTTGTCTGTTCGACCAGGGAGCTGCGCCGCAATCAACGACCACCTGAACGATACAGGTCAAAAGGAAATATATAAGCAAACTTTTTTTTTTTAATTTCAATGCTCGATTTCTTGTTTTCCTATTTAGTTAACTATTTTTTGTTCTTGAAAAATATAATCCTAGATACCACTATTTTGTGAGTCAAATCTACAAACAAAAATAAATAATTTCATTATAAGAAAATCGAACATCTCAAAAGATACCCATATACATGGTATGCAAAACAAGGCCTACGTCTAATTCAGTTTCTTGTCTCCCAAGAAAGTTGTGGAAAAGTAGATTCATAGAATTTTATCAAGCAAGTCAACATAAAAATTCCATAACAAAAAGGAAACAAACCCGCCATTTTCGAGTCCATATGTAAGTTTATACACCCTAAAGAAACAATTTCAAGAAAATCGAACGTATGAATGTAAAAAAAGGTCTTACCGGTTGCCAAGAACAGAGTGAAACTTGACAATGATATGTTCTTCAGCATCAGAGAACTGTCCATGTTTCAGATCAGGACGCAGATAGTTCGTCCATCGTAGCCTACAACTCTTCCCACATCTCTGCAATCCTATAAAAACAAGTATTCACCGATCCGTTATATACATTACAAATTTACAAAAGCATGCATATTATGACAAACCAACGTTGATTTTTTAAAAAGCTTATCTTGAAATGGAACAATAGAGCGATTAGGGATGGATGATCATAACTGTCAGTTATATATATACTTGATTAACGAAGATAATTTTAAGAAAAAAGTCGAATATTTAAATTGTACCAGCGTTTTTAGGGATGAGACGCCAATTGCGAGTACCATGTTGAGCAATGTAAGAAGCCAATTTGTTGTCTTCTTCAGGAGTCCATTGTCCTCTCTTCACATTCTCCTTTTCGCAACATGGAATCCGACCCATTCTTTTCTTTCTAGTTTTTTTTTGTATTATCTCTTGCTCGATCAATTTCTCTTTAGTTAATTTACCCACAAGAAAATAAACAATTTGGTTAAGAAATGAGAAACAAAAAAATACAAATCAAAGATTGCCCAAAAGAATTAAAACTGCCAAACTTTTGATTTCTTTTCTTTCTTGTAATCAAAGGCTTTTAAATTGCAAAAGAAGAAAGGAAATGTATGAATATATATAATAGTTTTTTTTTTAAAATGTTGGAAAGGATGAAACTAGCATCAAATGTGCATGAATTGATTAAACTCTTTAAAGAATTCAACGCTACAGAGCGTGTGATTCCCTTTGGCAGGTAGGTCACCCACTCTACGCTTGGTCAACTCCTTCTATACATCCCATTTTCATCATTCTTTTCTTAATTTCATTTACTCTTTTATCGAATTTCACCTCAGAAAATAAAAAAAAAAAACTATTTTCAAATTTAAATTGTATTTGTTTCTTATGCTATGGTAACTATAAATTAGGGGTTTGAAACACGAATATATATATTGAGCTCTTATAGATTAATATAATTGATGGCTAATATTGAAATTTTACAACAACTTTTTTTCTTTCTGTAAGAGAATGTCTTCGTGATGTACGGTAGATATCTCGAGGAGCGTTCGTGTGCATTAGAGAAGTACCGTTTCGTATTATCTATTTGCTTACACCTTTTGTTGTTAGTCAATTAGGACCCCACTTAAGTCAGTTTTTTTTTGGGGGTAAGCACAACAAAAGCAATATTAATCAACATGTTTAATCTGAAATTAACATATTAGGATATTGATATCCTTTTTTTTTTAATTCAACATGCTATATAAACTCATTGATAAACACGCATCAAGAAAAAGATCTTTTTTTCAAGTTTGAACTAGGAAGAAGAGTGGGAATGAGAAAAAGAAGAGCCATCTTCTGACTTGTCTCGCAAGTAACGAGTCCAACCATAACCTAACTCTCTCACCATCGCCTCAACCATCCTCTCAGCCACCCCACTCCGCACACCAATCTCACGTCCACAACAAACTAAAGCTGCAATCCCCACCAACCACATGGCTGCAGCCACACCGACACCAACCATAGCCGCCACAATAATCGCCACCGTCACAGTCAAAACCGGAATAAATATCAGCATCAATGGAGAAGCGGTCAGAAACAGAGTAGCCGTCGCAACGAGGCTGAAGGTCATCATCCCCAGAAGCGGTCCGACCACTGCCACGGCTGCTACAGTTGCAACCACAACCGAAGAACTGGTCGTCTCCTCTCCATCGGCTATAGGCGCTATATCTCTTCGTCTTCCTTCAGGATTCTCCATAGCAGTGGTCAATAATTAGGAAAGAGTTTTGTAGCATGGATATATAGAAAGAAAGATGATGGGCTATTGACACGTGGAAGCTGAAAAGCTAGACACGTATATAGTCTTCCAAAGAAACACCAGAACACCAAACTTTGTTCCCTGATCGTTATCCACAATGCTTACGGAAATGAACCGGACTGAAATGAGTGTAATCAAATCTAAACCAAATCCGAACTCATATGTGTAGCTTTGAACCCGATTTAGTATAAAAACGATTTAGACTAAACAAACATAATTAGAACAAACCTCAGAATTCTGGGATTCATATGAAACTTTTGTTAATTGTTTTCGTACTTTATTTTCAAATGATATTACAACATAAATGACCAAGGATTCAGTGAAATCTTGCTGGTATAATTATAATTGAAGCAAAAGAATCGTTTCTTTCTTTTAGTAAATGAGAAAGGAAAGATTATGGCGAAGAGATCTTAGCTGAAATTTGACTTAGCGACTTGTGGAAGAGATTTGAGAAGAGAAGGTGATGGCTTCCGAAGAGTGTGATTGAGAAGTAGCATCAAAGTGAGAAGTGTTAAAGCTCCTGCTTGATGGGCACTTCCCAGTGAAACAGGAACATAACTCAGAAGCGTTGATACCCCTAATGTCACCTGCAAAAACAAAAACAAAAACAAAAACAAAGACCCATCAATAATGGTTTCGAATTTTGATTTTAGTTTCCACTAAAATGCAAAGTTTCTGTTGAGGAAAGAGATTGATTCACCTGAACAGCAGTCATTCCAACAGTGCTTCCGATCAAAGCTTTAACGGCTGGATGTATGTCCAGCTTCCTTGTGAACCACCACATTGTTCCAACTGCGAGTAGCGTTGTGGTTGCGAGAAGGCGATGATCGAGCTGAAGATGGAGTAAAGTTTCAGTCTTTTTGGGACTCTTGTCACAAAAAAAATGAGAACGCTTTGTTTCCATGGTGTACCTGGACAGTTGATGTGTTCTCGAAAAAGTTTCGTATAAGTGGCTTCATCTCAAATATATTATCTGGGATCCATGTATCGCCCATTTTCGGGAAAGTATTGAATGCACGACCCTGTGATTCAAAAGCAGAGAGATCTAAATACTCAAGATTTCTTTCTGTAACCTAAGAAAAACAGAAGCTTATATCCAAAGTTTCTTAATTTACTTACAGCATCATTTCCAGCAACAAAGGCTCCTGAGATCGCAGTGATACCAACAATCAAGCTTACTGGTAAAGCAAGCTTCTTAACTTTAGCCGCTCCACGGACCCATGCCAGCGACTCAGCTGGTGGTTCAGGCATAACAACAGAGAGAGCGGTCCAGAAAAGTCCACAATAAATGGCGAAAGCTGAGGTTAGGTGAGCTGCAAGACGGTAAGGGCTTACCCTCGGTTGAGAATATTCAGACGGCGGCTCCTACAGGACCAAAATGATTACTGAGTTACACAATATTATTCAAAACAATGATCTTCGCTTAAACTGTTCCTAAATGCTTACCTCTAAGCCGCTTTTGACCATCCACCAACCAATGAAACCTTGTCCAGCACCAAGCGCAAATAAACCAGAGAGCTTAACTCCAAGACGTAGAGTAATATACCCTTTACGCAGAAAATACGAAAACGGCAGAGCAAACATGATTCCCAATCCTCTTCCCCACATTCGGTGAGCATACTCCATCCAATATATGAACTTGAAATCCTCAAGGTTCATCCCTTTGTTCACACTGCAAACACACAAGAGCAAAAAAATTCAAGAACCAAGACAGAAAAACGCAATGATGCAAGCAACAGGTAGAGCAATTCAAAAAATTGTTGTACTGACCGTTTATATTCAGGAGACTGCTTATATTTCTCAAACTCCGTAGCCCATGCTTCATCCGACAGAGGAGGGAATTCGCCGGCGAATTTCCAGTCAGTCATGGATAAACCAGATCGAGTTAACCGGGTCACTCCGCCTAATACCACCATGCTGAAAACCCAAGCTGCTGAACCGAAAAGCCATGTTCCGACCCATTTCCGAGCTTGGGGTCCTCCAGTGACAAGCAGCTTCAAACCCTCTTTACTCTCTAAGCTAATCGACGCTACAGTTGACATTTTTCGAAACGATGAAGCGTTTTGAGGCTACACAAATAGAATCTTGATCAAACCCAGCACAAAGGAAACATTTTTTAATCCGAAAGCAACTACAGAGAAATCTCAGAATCGTCTAATGGAGACCAAAAATCACAAGCTCAATCCCAGAAAACGTCAACTTTATAAAATTATCAACGTCGGGGGCAATTGTTCACGCTAAGGAAGCTAGAAATCGAATTAGAACATGAAGAATGCAGAAATTACCTTGAGCAGAGATCGCAAGCCATAGATGGAGTTTCCAGGTAGAGGAGAAGACGAAGCAGAAGTTATAGTGGCAGCTGTAATTTTAGAGGTGAAAACTCCGTGAGACGAAGTGGTGGATCCTCGAGCGATTCCATAAAACGCCTCCTTGTTCCTCTTCAGAACCGATCCAATCGCACGAAACATCTCTCTCAGTGTATATCGCTTTGTTTCTCTCTCTCTCTCTATCTCTCTCTATAGGGTTTAAGCAAGGTTTTGAGACAACAGACGGCAAATCGATCTCCTTCTGCAATTCCGACCCGGCCCGGGTTCATTTCGGGTTCGGGTTTTGCTGTTGTGGCTGTTCTGTAGACACTAACAATGGCCAGCTAAGAAAAACGACATGGTGTTGATGTTAGATAAACAAACGACACGGTGTTTATAACGAAAACTGGAAACAATAAGATAGCTTAATGGTATTCCCAATTATATTATTGTATTTGTTTGGTACATTGCAAACCCATGTAAAACAGAATTTTTTCACTTTTGTTATTAGTTTGTAATGGTATGTTTATGCTAAAACAAAAGTTCTAATGAACTCATTTTTTTTTTCCATATCCCATATAGACTTTTGCATGAATGCTTAAAAGTTAAATTAGTTTTACTTTTATCGTTTACAATTCAATATAGGCTTTTAGATTTGAATTCCGAATTATGTAACAAATAAAAATGACGTACAATTATTTCTTATAAAATATTTAAGCATGGTATTTCATATTAACACTTTCACCTTTCGGAAAAAAATAGCTCTGGACATTATAAAAATGAATCTTTTGCTTCTGCATAGCCGTTTTAGCACAATGTGTAGAAGAAACAAAATGCTTACAAAACAAAATGTTACCAGAAGCAGTCACACAATTAGAGGATAAAAGAAAGAAAGAAAAGTTAAGTAGAAGGAGGAACAGAGTTCTTGCGAATCTTCAAATATCCAAACTTGCCAGCTCCAGGAGATGAACCTTCAAACACATACGGCATAAACCCTGTTGCTTCCTTGTACTTTCTCTGAATCTGCATATTCACATACTCATCAACAAAGCATCTTTAACTATCATATATAAAAGAAATCAAAATAACACCCTTCTTGGTTCTAGATCAAGAATATCATATATCTGAAGTTTTGATTCTTTTTGACCTGAAGAATCTGTTCACTGCTTCTCAAGTTGCTCCTTCCAATAACACAGACTGTTCCTCCGCTGCCACCTCCTGTGATCTTGGCCCCGTAGAGAGTCCCGTTCCCAGTTTTAGAGTGCTTCAACTTCTCCATGTTCTGTACTAATCTCACTAATCTGTCTGTACCATCAGAGCCAAGCCCACACGCGCTGTAGCTGTCATGGCACTGCCAAGTATGAAGATTGACAGAGATCAAGAAACCAGAGACCGACCAAAACCATCGACCAAATTATATAAACTATGATTCACCTGGTACATAAGCTCCCCAAGACCAATGACTTGTTCTTCTGAAGGAGTTGCTGTCAACAATGCTTTAAAAGCCTGAGAAAGAGATCAATTATCATCATTTAAACATATCATTCTTCTCACAACTCTTCACTAACAAAAAAAAAGTTATGATTATATATACATACTATTAGAGAAACTCACCTGGACACGGAAATTCTCATAAATTGGATGTTTAGTCGGCGCCATTATGTCATATGTACATTTTCTATCAATGGTTGTGACAGAATCTCCATGATCACCATACTTTTCGATGAATTCTTCTCCTGTGATAGACTGTGGGAGCATACTTGCGTAAAGAGCTTGAAATCTGCACAAAAGCAAAAACATATTATATATCATCTTCTAATTGAGTAAACACAGACTATTGATGAAATTATTAATCAGTACCTATGAGGTGAAATGTTGCATAAGTAATCCAAAGAAGCATCGGATTCAATCAACTCCGAGCTCTCCTCTTCAGCCTCTTCTGCTTTGGTTTCAGCAGCATAAGAAGAAGAAGATGCAACAGATCTTATCATTGTCTTACCAATAAAAGCTCCTATCCTCACAGAACCATAATCTGAACCACCAACACTGCAGAGTAAAAAAAAAAAAACACTTCTTGAGTTCAGAACAAAATGTCAAGACTTTCTTGGTGTTTATCTGTTGGGACTCAAGTGAAGAATATACACAGAACCTGTGTCGTATTCCAGAATCGATTCCCCAGACTCGAATGTGAGAAGGTATCTTAACAAGTCCTAGAATCTCAGCAGGCTGTAGCGAGTAGAAAGTTAACCCGGTTATTACTTGAAAAAACCAAGCTTTTAATGGAAATGAAGAGAGACTTGAGTACCTGACAGATCATAGCAAGAAGCTTGTTGGCTTCTCCACAAGCAGAAGCCATTTGATCCATCACTCCACAAGGTGCTCCAACAACATAATTCTCCACTTTTTGGCAAAGCAAAGCCACATCTCTCGGAGATATTTCAAGACCTGGAGATGGTTCAAGCTCAAGGCCTCAAAATGAATCTACTCGTTGAGTTATTGAATGAGAAGTTTGTAGTACTAACCGTGAGCAGCAGCGATAGCAGACATGGTAGCAACTTCAACTGAAGCAGAGGAAGATACTCCTTTGCCTTCAGGAACCGTTGAAGAAACCTGGAAAACGTATCAGAGCTGAGTTTAAGACTCGTAGATACATTTGCAGTTTCATGAAAACTCAACAAAGTTTTTTGTTACCAGTATGCTAATGCTGCCTTCAAATCGAACATCCATCTCTCTCATTAGTACCAAGATTGTACCTGCGACATAAGCTGCCCACCTAGAAAATGGGCTCAACAGATATATATCATAAAGCTTATGATGATGATGATGATTCTTATTAAGTAACTGAAATTAACTGGAGAGAAAAGATGAAACCAACTTCTGAGATGGATCTCTGGAAAAGTAACGGTTTGCTTTCTCATAGGATATTGGTTTCCCGTCTTCTTCCATGAAATCAGACAAGTCCATATCAAAAGTTGGCCCTCTGTTGCTCAACTCCGATCCAAATGAAACCTGAAGGTTTTTTTTCAAAAAAGTTTTAGAGAGAAAGGCAACACAATGAAGTAGAGTCAGAAACAAAAAACAGAACGTTACGATTTCAAGTATGGGAGTGTCTCTTGAATGATGTCTTGCTTCTGCGTGCTTCCATAGTTTCTGTTTACTTGGATGATTCCTCTGTACAGCCGCATGGCACGCCTCTCTCGTAGGCATCTAACCAAACAAACAAAAAAAACAGATTTCTGTTAAGAAGATGAATCTTGAAATTGTTCTTGAAGAGGGAAACTAACCAGCAAGACAAGACTTCCGGAGTAATCAGCAATGCCTCCCATTACATCAAGCCTACCTGGTGCTCTCGCCACAACAATATCCTCCTGAATTGGTCACAACACAACAAACTTCATTTGTTTCCTCAAACACACACAAACTTTAATAGAAAGGTTGAGAATCCAATAATGGAAACAAACCTCCCAGTTGAAAAGTGCGGCAGCTGCTAAATGCTCCCTTTCTTGATGATGCCCTCCTATCTTAGCTAATGTCGCTAAACTATCCAAGAAACCGATTGTATCTGAAAGACCATGGTGATCTCCATGAAGAATCTCGAACCCTTCTACAAACCTGTTAGATAAAACTCATAGAGGTGAGGTGAGTCAAAAAAGTTAAGTTCTAATTTTGAAAGATTCAGAAAGTCCACAAGGAAACACACTTGGGGGATCTCTGCGTCTGGTCAACAGAAGAAATCTCATCTTCGTTTCCAGCGACTTGGTACCATTCTGGAACTGAAAGATCTCTCCCTGGAGCTCTCTGTAGCTGGAAACCTAGTATTATTGCATCCCGGAGTCTCCTCGTGCCGCTAAGCTACATTTATCATTGTTTCCATCAGGTAAGTGGCATTACAAATGAATCACAAACAAACATAATCTATAGTAACAAATTAGCATTTTTTTTGCTGCTTGTGTCACACTCACATTGAGCTTAGAACGCTTCTTCCCCATTGCTGTGTCCTGAAGTATTTTAGCCGCCACCTGAATTCAGAAACGAGGGAAGAGCGATGACATCATTTAGCAGGTGTGACTTTTCCTGTAACATGAATAGTTTTTTCACGGTCTATATATATATACCTCGCCACCATCGATACCTCCATCGTAACAAGGTTTCAATGTAACCGCACGCTCGAGATAAGGCGCCCAACAGCCAGCAAGAAGATCTCTTCTGATAATTTCAACTCCTCCTTGGTAATACTTTTTTATGCAGAAAAGAAGAAGTGAGAATGCAAAACAACATATGCAGACTGTTTCTATATCTATAAATAGATTCTCGCTAACCTCAAGCATCTTTCTCAAGAATGGTTCTTCATTGAAGTAATCCCTTCGCACAAAAATGAACCGTAGCTTGTATGCAAGTGCTTCACTCACGGTTCCATATCCAATTTTGCCTGAAGTTGCCGTGGATTAGTACCAAACACAATGTTACGGTTAGAAAGACTCATATAGGTATTAAGAGGAACCGATGATACCGAGCATGCAGTCGGAAGCAGCAATCACATCAGGAGTGTAAGCATCTTTTGGTAGTCCTATGAAGTTTGGAGGAAGCTCCTGTTTAGCAGAAGCTCCACAGACCTATATATAATCGCAAGAAAATTTTCATTTTTTTTATCTTATTTTAAAACCAATCAACCAAAGACCTAATCTCGATATTACCAGGCATAGCCAACCAGCTGGAAGATATTCCTCCTTCAGTTTCCAACCAGTTGGCTGCAAATTACATCAGCAAAATATAATTAACGAAAACAATTAACTCTAATTGCGAGAGATGTAATAAGAACATTTTCATATTGCTTACTTGGCCACCAAAGTTAAAGATGAGTAGTTTCACATTCTCTGGAACTCCAAGCTCTCTCCTAACCTGAAATGAAAACTGGACTGGTTAAACAATCTGACAAAATACATTGTCAAGAAAACTGAAAAAAGTGTTTTTTTCTTCTTCTTTTCTTTTCTCATACCTCTTCTCTAGTTTTATGCAATGGCCTCACAACAAGGGGAATATCAATAACATCATGAAAAGCTGGCACTGTATAAGAACAAGATACAGGTTTGTTTTTGGTAAATATATTATAAAGAAAAATCAACGGATTGCATCATTCATTATGTTGCCTCCAATCATAACTTACTAGGACAGTATCCAGGGAGGCGAATCAGAAACTCGCAGTGCGAATAATCCTCAGCTATCTGAAGTAATTCGTCATTCAAGAAACCGATGAATCCGAGAAATAATCACATCCAAACCTTATTATATCAATTGAGAGTTAATTTACCTGCCAAACAATGGATCGGTGATGATGTCCTGCTGCCATCACATATTCTGCATATATAAAGTCCCAACTGCAATGATCACAGATTCACACAAAAAAAAACATATAACTTTCTTGAGATACAAGAACTTGAAGCCATATCTCTATTAGTAAATCATCACAGAGAAATTCACTGACCTGAAGTTGGTGACGCAAACAGAGCGGATTCCTGCATTTGCTGCAGCTCGGCAAGCGATGGGGACAACATCTGAGACCTGTTTTGACAATCATCTTTCTTAATATTTGATTTTGAAGACACATACTCAGAAACATAGAACATTTTGTTGAAACTACCACAAGGTTGGCTTTGATTGACTTTAGCCACTCAACCTCCGTGGCTAAGATAGACTCTCGAGGTTCAACCGCAATCTCGCAATACTGCAACAACAACAAAAAACCGATGCAGCTAAGAACCAAAATTTTGTAAAGGAGAAGGAGGAAACATCTGAGAGAGAGAGAGAGAGAGAGAGACCTTCTCCAAGGAAGCACGACGATCCACGGTTAAAGCATCGGATTGTACGGATCCACTGTCCAATAGTACCTAACATCACCTCCAACAATACATTTGTTTAAATCGAAGATCAATCTTTGATTATGTATCAGAGAGTGAAACTCAAATTTTCTCTCTTTCTATGAATATTACCTTACGGATAGAGAGATTGGGTGAGTGAATCTCCATGGTGAAAACAAACTCTGGAGCAGCAGAGACAACATGAACTCGATGTCCAGACGATATCAGATGCCGAACCACCTATGAAGAGAGAAAGAAAGAGAAATTTTAAGGGGGGGGGGGGCTCAAAAATGTTATGATCTCAGGCAAATATAACGAAAAATCTAACCTCGACGACACGAGTGGCGTGGCCAAAGCCATGGCCAGTGACGTAGTAGGCGAAAACCAAAGAAGACCGTGATGATGTTTCAGACTCAGACATTGGAGCTGTTTGAAGCAGAGTGGGCATTTCAAAATGTTGTAGACTGATGAATCTTTTAATTACCTTAGATTTTTAAAGAAGAGAAAAAGGTTTTTGTAGGTTAGTCATAAAAGGAGAGAGAAGAAGGTGATAAGATAAAGCGAAATCGGATTTGGAGATAGGGAGAGAGAGAAAGAGAGTAAGCGTTACATATGAATATGAGCTAAATCTGGAGTCTACCGATTTATTCTAACAACCTAACTTCTACGTACACTCTCTTACGTGTTGCAGGGGAAAGCTGTCTTTTTATTTCCCCTTTTTAACAAACTAAAACCAGTAGCTTCCAAATTGCAGTTTGTTTACTTAATATCAAATTCCTAATTTTAGAGATCTCAGAGATATTTTCTTATACTTTATTTTGACTGTTTTATTTGATTCCATATCGTTTAATAGTATGTCTTTTACAAAATTATTGTTCTAAAGAAAAAACTTTGAATGAAACCTCAAGAAAAACTCTTGAAACCTTTTTCTCAGTTTATTACAGTTTTTCTGATCTTTTTAAGAATATCACAACAAGTTTCTTGAGATGAGAAGAGCACAAACGTTATTATTATCAACATCATCAATCAAAACTGATTGACCTAAGTGCAGGTGCAGTACCAAAGCAAACACATTAAACCATCACAAAAACAAATATCACAAAGGTACTTCTCGAGATTGATCAGCTCCTACTTTCAAAAGTTAACAGATACTAGGGAAAAGATTCTTAAGATGGAAGACAAAAACATAGGTTTCAGGTTTTAGGCCCATGGCAAAGCTCTGGTTAATCTACACTAGAGAAACCCAAAGGATTGTAGAAGACAGATCAGATTCAAAACTAGAAAGCCTGACCTAGTACTGTCTCTGTCTTTTACCTGCAACGCTTGTAGATTGAACAGCCAAAGTGCAATCCCTTGCCCAGTGTCCTGGTTTTCCACATTTGTAACATTCTCCACCCGAGGAGGCAGGCTTTACTTGCCCTGCTTGAAACTGTTGATTACCAGATGGACCAGTGCAGTCTCTCGCCCAGTGTCCAGGCTTCCCGCATTTGTAACAATCTCCACCTGAAGAGGAAGGCTTCACTTGCACTGATTCAGACTTCAGATTACCAGATTGAGCGGTGCAGTCTCTCGCCCAGTGCCCTTGATTTCCGCATTTATAGCAATCTCCAGCTGCGGAGGAAGACTTTACCGGTCCCGTTTCAGAGAGGGGATTACCAGATTGAGCAGTGCAATCTCTTGCCCAGTGTCCTTCCTTTCCACACTTATAACAGGGTGTGCCTGTTTTTGAAGTTTGGTATCCTCTGGTATCTGATTCACCCAAGTTGCTGTTTTTGGTAAAGCTATACGTTGTAGGAGAGCTGACTGAAACATCGTTGCACCATTTGAAGAAACCACAAGAGCCCTGAGATTGAGAGGAGGCCATGTTATATTACACAGACAATCAGAGCTAAGCAAGATACCACATTAAATTTTCACTGATATCCGGGTGATTGTTCTTGGCACTAAGAATCTACAAACTCGTATTATTTTAAGCTAACATAGTTGTATGCCAAGTTGTCCCTCTGTTTCTATCATTTCAACGAAGAAAAAGCTACTGATCTACCGTTGAAGTGCTCAGACTCTTAGCTAACTGATATCTACAAACTTGTTGGAAAATAAGCAAGCTCGAGTGTACTTGGTTATATATCATTGCCATCAGAGATGGCACAAAATAGAGAACATGGAGCTCTATTAGAAACGCAGCAAGGGCTCACCAAACCAAAATCCAGAAGCAGATATCACAAAATGTACAACAGATTACAATGTCATGGCTGCGTTGATAAACTGATAATAACAACCACAGAGACGAATTGATATAGATACCTCGAATACAGGACAGCGATAGAACTGACGACCAACGTTTTCTCCTGTTTTTGCAGTGAGAATTCGGCACAACCCAGCACCGCACGGACACTGATGATCCGGGAACTTGGGTTCGTTAGTGTTTCCATAACTATGAGTTGCTCCTGGCTGAGTTCCGGAAGACTGAACCGCATCACACCACTGGAAAAACCCACAACCTCCGTTTTCCTGGTGACATTGTAGATTTATCAATCCCAATAACAAGTAAGCAAAAGTAACAACAAGCCAAGCCAGTGTGCAATCTTATTCAGTGAACGAAACTATTCTCATTGGCATTTTATCGAACACCTAGGAAGCAGAAAGAGTAACACCAATGCGCTAGAAGTCAAAGCCAATTTCTGGAATCCCACAGTTTCTGTAAAGAAGGATCCAAGCACTAACAAGCAAACATTACGAACCTCTCTAGTGGGGCATTTGTAGAATCTTCGGCCTGGATTCTTCTGAGTGTTTGATGTGAGGATCAAGCAGAGACCAACTCCACAGGGACAATTCTTCTCCGGAAAATCCTGCTCGCCGGCCTCTGATCCATAATTTCCGGCAGGGTTGGAATTCGCGGAGACGCCTTGAAAACCGCCGCGAGGTTTGGAGGCGGGATTGAGCGGGCTGACCTGCCACTGCTCGCTTTTGCTCCCCTTGAGAGCCGCCGTATAAGGTCCCTCCGGGACAGCAGCGACCCTAGGGCGTTTCGCGAGCGCCGCTTCTGCTTCTGCTTCTATCGCGGCGAGTTCCAGAAGGAAATCATCTGATTCCTCAAAATCTTCGATCTCAATCGCACCTTTCATCATACTTTTTTTTCTTTCTGCTCGATTATCGTCTCTCTCGATCGACACTACTAGTAGTGTTTGTGAAATTGATTCTCTCCCAGTTTTTGATTTTGGGAAACGATTCTATAGCGTGTGCTTAGGGATTTTCCCGGTTGTTTTATTGCCGCTCCGGTTGCTTTATTTTGATTTTTGGTATCACAATGAGACCAATAGAAGCCCATTTTAGATTTGGCCCAAATATATAATTTGGTCCAACCCGTAAAATCAGGCCGAAGTTATTTTCGATTTTCTTCCCTCAAAATGTTATATATGAGAATGCGAAGTAATGAGATTGTTTATTTATGCATGTGGATCCTAGTGAAGAAATGTTTAGGTTTTAGTCTTTATCTGGCAATATACATGTGATCCTAGTGAAGCAATGTTTATATATACATGTGATCCTAGTCTCCTAGTGAATTAAATTGCTTGGGGTTTGGGTTTAGGTTTTTCTAAAGAATCAAGCTTCAAGCAATGATTAGGTTAGTGCAGTGCTGCTTCACTGAAGAGCTCAGAGACATGTGCCACTTTCTTCTCCAGGTCCGGGGAGCTTAATCTTGTATAATGAATGTGACGATATAAATTTAGTTAGATTATTTAGGCTAAATAAATTTCATATCTTCTTCTTACTTTACTTTAAAAAAATATATATATATGTATCTTCTTCTTACTGTTTGACCCAAAAAGTAGTCATACATACAAGAACTATAGTATTAGTATGGTTGATTTTTTTTAGTTAATGAATGAGTATGGTTGAACTTGAAACCTGAAAACATAATCGCTTTCTTTCTTTTATAGCTAGGATCGTTTAACGTATGTTGAGTGATACGTATATTGGCCATTCATTTTAGGGCTTTTCGTTTTATGCAAGAGGCACTAAAATTAATAAATGTATATGTAGCATCAATCAATTGCAAACCCTATATTTCTTTTTAAATATTTCTATTAAATATTTGTCATTTTTCGCATACCTTTTTCAATAAAGTTCAGAATATCCTAGTGCTAACATACCTGTGGCTTTTTGGATGGGTAGAATGATGTAATAAGCTTTTGGGTATAAATATCTTAGTTACTAACTAGTTGATGTTTCTTCTGTAATATCGACGTTTTTAAATGGTCTCTGTTTTTGTGAGACTTTCTTGTAACCTATTCGGTAATAAGGTTTCTAAACCTTTAATATAATTTCAGATGACAAGAAAAAAAACATACGTTTTAAATGTATGTATTGTTCTTATTCGGTTATCTTGATTTTGAGTTTAATTGATAATTGTCTTTTCTTTCGCATGCCGATGTTCTTACCTTCTTTCCTTTTCATAGCAGTCTGAACCTAATCCAAAAGTTTTACTAAATGATTTTTGTGTATTAGATCAGGATTTATAATTCGTATAAGTTGGTCACTTGAGTTCAAACATGCGTGTTTGTTGTAAAAAAATATGGATAGGTATTTTAAAAAAAAAAAAAAAACTGAATTGGGTGAGTGAACCCGGAAGGATTGAGATTTATTCCTAAGAGAGCATGTATGTGAGTGAACGGAATATGATATATTTTCGATGACTGTTTATCATTAAACGATTATATATGTATAATATTAAATCCAACTAGAGTACAAAGTATTATATTATTTATATAGAAAATATGGTACATCGTGGCGACTTAACAATGTTATGAAACATGCCTAGTTTACCAACTCTAACCATACGTTATCTCATATTAACGTTGATCATTTCTTTTTATGAATGATACCGTTGAGAAAATGAAAACAAAAAACGCGAGCACGCATTAAGACTAAGTCGTAGTATTTTTCCTGATGATTCCATTCATGTATAACAGTAAGATTATTATATAATCACGAGCATAGCTAGGCACACGTACACGCACACATCACTAATGCAATTTGTATACACTGTAGTGTAACCTAACGACTTATGTATTTATATACATATATTCGCGTTTGCGCTTAATTATTAAAATACTACCTACATGTGTAATATACTTATAAAGGATATATGCATTTCTTAGGGTTCATGAATTTTCTTCCACACTTGTCTACGTCTAAACTATTTTATGTATACGTCTAATTAACTAACTATTGAAACATTGGTAATCGTTTTATGTTGCTATTTTTAATTTAGACAATATGATTATTTAAAATATAGTTTCTTCGTTTCAGATTGTATAATATTTCTCTAATAGATTTTTTAAAAAAATTCTAATAGCTAAATTACCTCAATTTGTTCTCAACTTATTACCTTAGTTTTCTGTTAATGGTAGAACCAACAAAAAATTGAGAGATCAAAATTCAAGAAGAACAAAAGAGTTATTATGTTAGAAAAAAGCATCATTTTTTTTAACAGAAAATGCTAAAATAAAATAAAAAGATGAATAATTTACAAATATGAATCGAATCAAATAAATAAAATAACAAAATTTATACAAGAATAGACCCCACAAGTGTCAATAAATAAGGACATATTGCGAGGGTTAAGGCCAGAAACAACACAAGCTTTTTTTTCAACATTAGTTTACAAAACTTCATCTCTCTCTCTCTCTCTCTCTCTCTCTTCATAGTGTCGACATGGCTTGCGAAAACAACCTCGTTGTGAAGCAAATCATGGATTTGTACAGCCAAATCTCAAACCTCGAGAGCTTAAAACCATCCAAGAATGTCGACACTTTGTTCGGACAACTCGTGTCCACGTGCTTACCAACGGACACAAACATCGATGTCACAAAAATACACGATGAAAAAGTCAAAGACATGAGATCTCATCTCATTAAGCTCTGTGGTGAAGCCGAAGGATATTTAGAGCAACACTTCTCCACAATCATAGGCTCTTTTGAAGACAACCCACTTAACCATTTACACATCTTTCCTTACTACAACAACTACCTCAAGCTAAGCAAACTCGAATTCGATCTCCTTGCTCAACACACAAGCCATGTCCCGACTAAAATCGCTTTTATCGGTTCGGGTCCGATGCCACTTACATCCATCGTCTTGGCCAAATTTCACCTTCCCAACACAACGATCCACAACTTCGACATCGACTCACAGGCTAACGCACTCGCTTCAAACCTCGTTTCTCGCGATCCCGACCTGTCGAAACGCATGATTTTCCATACAACTGATGTGTTAAACGCCAAGGAAGGGTTGGACAAATACGACGTCGTGTTCTTGGCTGCTCTTGTTGGGATGGACAAAGAGTCAAAGGTCAAAGCTATTGAGCATTTGGAGAAGCATATGGCTCCTGGAGCTGTGTTGATGCTAAGGAGTGCTCATGGTCTTAGAGCTTTCTTGTATCCGATCGTTGACTCTTGTGATCTTAAAGGGTTTGAGGTGTTGACTATTTATCATCCGTCCGATGATGTTGTTAACTCGGTGGTGATCGCACGTAAGCTTGGTGGTTCGAGCGAGGCTCGTAGCAGCCAGATCGGACGGTGTGTGTTTATGCCTTGTAATTGCTCGAAAGTCCACGCGATTATAAACAGTCGTGGTATGAAGAAGAGTATGATCGAGGAGTTTAGCGCCATCGAGTAAACAGGTAATATATAACACATCTCTTTTCCTAAGAGTATGTGTTTATGTTTTGCTCTTTTCAATTTTATGTCTGTGTGGTTTTATCCTTGTCGTATGTTTGTTAAGTTTGTGAAATTTTGTGAGATCTTCATCGGTGTGAAGAAGATACATAACCTTCTTGTATGTTCTTTTTATTACGATAAATAACAAAATAAACTTGAGAATCCGCATATCTATATTGCTGATAAATTATGACGGTTTAATTTGTGATTGAAATTATGGTGCCAGAAAATGAAAAAAAAAAATGTCTAACCAAACATAAAATACAATATACAAATTAATATATGACGGTTGAAGAATCGTTATACTAATCGATAATCGAGCTTCACTAATGTGAAAAAGTCCAGTTTTTAGCCAATCAGGTTTTTTCTTACTCTAAATTTATATTTGAAAACACCATATATATAACCAGTTTTTGGAAATAAATACTATAAACAAGTAAGTATGTTGGTTTAGAAATCCAAAACATATACCATTCAGGGCATATCTTGAGAGTTCAGCGACTCAAGCTCACACAAGACTTAAATATTAACTGATTGAAGTGTTTTCTATATTTATTAGTCCACAATATAACGTATGAATAAACATCAAACATGAACATATAGGACGATGATGAATCCGCTACACTTATGTTATTAGAGGTGTCGAATCTAAGAAAAACTGTAAACTGAAATCTCTTGTGTCAAATATTTTTCTTTTAAGATGTGGCAGATAATTTTTTTTTTTTTACTTAAACATGAAAACAAGTAAGTATGTTGGTTTAGAAATCCAAAACATATACCATTTAGGGCATATCTTGAGATTTCAGCGACTCAAGCTCACACAACACTTAAACATTGATCGAAATTTTTCTAACGTATAACATCAAACATGAAGATATAGGAAGGTGATGAATCCTCTACAATTATGTTATTAGAGACAGGTGTCAAAACTAAGAAAAACTGTGAACTTAAATCTCTTGTGTCAAATAATTTTCTTTTAAGATATTGAAAATATCAAACGTCACAATACAATTGACATGTGGATGATTTTTTTTTTTTTTAATACAAGAACTGTTTTTTAAACATGAAAGTAGATGATTTTCCAACAGGGAAGGTAGAGTCACTGTAACCTCCACTTCCTCTCTTGTTGGAATAACCAGGATAATGATTTAAGCAAAACTCCGTCTCACTGATCAAATCTAAGCCTTCTTTATGACCCAGGGACATTAGCTTCCACTCACTAAATGGATATTCAGTCTTATGAATCACATGAATCTCTCCTCCCTTGTCCTCGTCTTTCACCAACACTCTTGCACTCTTCATAAACCCTCTCACAAGTTCTTGGTGTCTCCTGAAACCAAGTAAACATTGAACACACAACGAAAGAAATCAAAGAAACACAAGTGGTCTCAAAAACCAAATCTGCCCCCATTAGACAAAGGATTTTGAACTGAAAATAACTACATATGTAATTTTTTTTTTATTAAGAAAGTATGTACAGAGACATACATGATTAATTTGATTTCGTGCTCACGACCATAGTCGAATCCTGCGTGAGGAAAATTGAAGATGACTCGATCGTATATCGCGGAACCACCAAGGCTAGGCTTTGTGGTCATGGAGTGCACGTTAACTCCATAGACCACACTGCAGCCAAGTCTCTCCAACTCTTCTACGTTCGCCTTCCCATTCTTGAACTTGCGCTCTAGCTCCCCTAATAAAGAGTATAAAAGGGTATCCAGATGTTCGACCATATATAACAGTATTTAATAAAATTTTAAAATTAAATTTTGATTAACCTTGAGTATCGAGAGTGGTGGCAGTGAGGTTTGTTGCTGAACCAAAGGCTCTGGCTAGAGACAGAGAAAAGGAGAAGTCTCCTTCTCCAACCAAAAGTATTTTTTGTTTGTTACTGTAATGTTTTAGCCTTTTAGTTTCTTGGACCTCCATTTCATCTGTGCATACTTCTCTGCTTCTCACACCATGTATATATGTATATATAAACATGTATACATATATATTTATGGATGCATGGGTCAAAGACTCAAAGAAGACTTTAATGTTTGGCTCTTCGAACTTTGTGGGTATTTATGTAATTCGACGACAAAGCATTCAATTTTCTTGTTCATGCATCCTTTGAAGACAAGAGGCAAAGCTCCTTTCTTGCCTAGAGTACCATGCGGTCCATTCCAATTTTGAGCTTGAAGGCGGTATCAAATTTTTTACTCTTTACCCATTAATTCATCACTCGGCCATTATGCATCCAGTGTCACTCTCGATGCATGGTCTCCGTCGTCCTAAAGTCTTGCGATGAAGACAATGGATACATTTGTTCCTTTAATTGTTTAAATTATTTTCTGTTTCTCCCTTTAATTCTCTCTTATTTCAGAACTGATGAAGAAAAATAAAATATTCTTAATATTCTTAATATCTTCAGATCTAATATGTAATTAGAGATTCCTTTGTCTGTTTATTGTTAAACATCAATATATTTATACACACTTATGCTGAACAGATCGAAAACTTAGTCAGATCTGGTTTGAATATCTTTACTTTGCTTGTTATGCAACAAAACTGTCTTCCGGATCATAAATATTATAAGTTAAATAGTTTTGTAATCTGCCTCTTCGGACTCTGTGGTTGTTTATTTACTTCGAAGAGCATTCTATTTTTTTGTATCCATGCACCATTTTGACGGCCCTCTTTTGTTTTCAACTGGGTACCATGCCAATTACTAGCAGTTTAACATAAATTATGTATTCATTTGTTCTTACCCATTCATCTACCCTTTTTGAGACCTGAGCCAATTACCAACTTTTACATTTTTCTTTAATAATATTTCGATATTATTTTAGACCAATCGAATTTGTAAATTAATAAATTTCATTATGATAGTGTCACTGCATGTATCACCATTTATTTCTAAATTTGACTCGTATATTGATGTACTTTGAAGAGCATTCAATATTTTGGCGACAAGAATCAGACTCTTTCTTGTTATCAACTCGCTAACTGGTCTGTATTGATTTGTTCATAATATACCATGCCAATTAGCAATTTAGGATAAAGGTCGAATTAATTTGTTCTTTCCTATTTTATATACCGTCCTGAGTATTAAAGAATCTGCGACACCTTACAATATAACAGGTAACTAGGTGAATATAACAAGTAACTAGGTGATCGGTCCGCACCGTACGCAGGCTATAAAATATTTTATATATTAAATATATTATTAGTATTTTATATTAAATATTGTTTATTTGTATATGATTAATTAAAAATTAATAATACTATATAAACATTTAATAATTTAAAATAATAAAAAATTAAATAAAAAATATTATAGATTTCAATAGAAATTGAAGATAAAAAAACGTTAATCCAGATTCTTATAATATGTTTTAAATTTTTTTCCTTTGCATAATATAATCTTGTCAATATATATATTTTAAGTATATATATTTTTCCTTTGACATATTACTAAATAAACCAAAATGAGTTTTACCATCACTAATTATCCTAAGAGCAAGTAGATGGTTGGTACGTACATTCGTGCGTAACAACCACTTCACCGCTCTTAGGACATATATAGATTTTTTAATAAATATAAATTGACTAATAGCTAAAATTAAAATTAAATTATAATTGAGATTAAGAAAATGTATGCACGACAAGTTTGCATGTGACTTTGATTTTTGCACAATTAATATTTATATTTACACGTATATTTGTGAAAAAATTGAAGTATGGTTTTTATGTGTTAAAATAAAATATCAAAATATATGTTTTGTAATATATATATTTTTTAATTTATGATCAATTTTTTATAAACAAAATATGTATATTTATGCATGTAGGTATGAGTTATAAATAAGTGAATTATAAAAAATAGGCGTTTAATAGTTTTTCTGATATTTTCCACAAACGTTATGATTTTACAGAATACAGCTTTTTGGCATATAACAGTAATCACAAAAACTGTTTATATCGTTTCGTATTTAATCAAAATTTCTTATTTTCGATATTTTATGATATATGGATTCTCAATAAAAATTATAGTAAAAATTTGTGAATTCTTATTTTATAAAATTCTTCGGTAGCACTCCGTTAATCTCTTCGTCAAATTTTTTATAGCTCGCTTCCACATACTCTCTGTAACCGCAGTGTTTAAACCAGCAGGATACTAAACTTATATGTGTATGGTTGTTAGTGTAAAATAATATATTTAATTGTTATATTACAAAATAAGAGTTTTTCTGTTCCTAACTTTGATATATGTGCTAATTTTATATATAATGGATTATAACATATACATGAAATAATATTTTAAGATGCTGAAAAATATATACATAAAAGAATTAATATATGTAAGATAATATTATTAAATATTTCAAAATAAAAACATAAAATCGATCAAAATTATTCTTTTTTGTCTTTTTGACTCATATTTTTTTTTCTTAACCTTGAATAATATATTAAACATTAAGATCATCTACAATGTATTTTTTTCTATTTTTTCTCTAATATATAGGTTGATTTCTCTTCAACCTATTTCTATTTTAAAAGAAAAAGAAAGATTATTACTTTTTCCTCTCATTATAGAAAAAAAAATAACATCGCTATTTTTCCTCTAAATTAGAAGATTTAAAATAAAGGTGGGTGAGAGATGTTTTAAACCAAAGATATAGCCTCATAATTTTACAAAACCAAAGTCGTAAAGATTCATTTATACTTTTATTTCTACTTCTTATTCATATGTTTATTTATATCAAATAAAATATATAATAAATATTTGTTATAAAATCTGTGAAATCATATTTTTATAAAATTATCCAGTAGTTCTCTGCTCATATTTTTCTCCAATATTGAGGAATTGGTATGATGAAAAAAATAAATTTCTTATGGTTGGTCTGCACGCACGTATTCATTATAAAATTTGAACCACACATGCGTTTATTATAAAATTTATTTCTTAAAAATTTTAAGTGATTCTGTAAAACAAAGTTTGGGAGTGTTACGGAAAAACAAAACCGTAGAGATTTTTTTACTTCTACTTCTAATTCATATTTGTTTTTTCTTATCTATAATTTATTTTTTATCCTGTTACATTGCGTTTTATTTCTGATATTAAATTTTCGATCTACAATGAGATTGTATATGAGTATGATATAAAATTTTAATTTATCTAAAAAAGAATAAGAGATATCTTGAGATGGTAATGTAAGCTACACAAATTTCAGAAAACAGTAATATAAAAATGTTAAAAAATTATATACAAATAATAATATATCATACTCCTAACATTATTAATATATAGCGTATATACTAACTTATTGGATAATCTATTATTATTTTTCTATTTAAAAATATAAAATATATATTGGTTGTAAAATTTTCATAATCATATTTTATGCAATTATTATGAATATATGTAAAAACAAATTAAAATCATAGTAATTAGTATTTTCTATTAATTATTTTTTTAGTTTTATTATCTAGTATATTTATGCTATAATTTTATATTTTATTTAATTATAATTCAACAAATCCAAATATTTCGTTTATTTTAGGAAATTTGTCATGTCTCATTTCTATGTCACAATTCCATGTCACCATTAATTTACACTAACTTTTACTAAGATGATGACACATCAGATTATTTCATTAAACATGCTTGTCAAATAATAGTTAAGATTCTTTAGTATATCTTTTTCATAACAAATTGTAAATCTAAAAGCTTAATGTTAATTTGATAAATAATCATAATAGTTTAAGTTTGTTTTTCAAAATTTGAAAGTAGAGTAATATACATTGGTTTTTACTCCATATTAATGTACACTCTAAAACTCATAAATTTAATACATTAGAAAATAATAAAATCTTAAAAATTGTCAATTTTAAATTTTCAGAAGTCAACATATAGAGATGACTAGGAAACTCATCAATTTGAGCGGTTCAAGTGGATATATAGATTTCACAATTTGTTAATTTTCAATTTAAAATGCTTTTCTCTGCTGTCGTCAAACAAAAAAACAAAAAAGTTTTTGCGTTCTTATTAATATGGTACCATACTGACAATGCAGAAAAAGAGATCCAAAAGCCCTAGTTCGTTTTTAACCCACATACAAACTTAGATGATAAATGAAACCCACATGCAACATCTTAAAAAACAAACATAAGAAAATATTTCTAAAAGATTCGTTTCAATGTTCAAATGAACACTTCTTTTTAATATATTGTTCCGGGTATGAAGTACCACCCTCTCCTGAACATGAAAGTAGAAGATTTTCCAACGGGGAAGCTAGAGTCACAATCACTTCCACTTCCTCTCTTGTTGGAATAGCCCGGATACTGCCACGTGTTAAATTTCACTTCCTTGTAACAATGCAAATCTCTTCCCAGATTCTTTATATCCCAATTGGAAAATGGATATGCCGTTTTATGAGTTACATGAACTTCACCAACCTCATCTAATTTAACCATCTCTTTAGCACTCCTCAAAAACCCTCTCACCACTTCTTGGTGTTTCCTGTGTCCTCACACATACATTAGTTTAATACACCGAAAACAACCACAACAAATAAATAATGTACACAAAAAAAAGATTTACATACATGATGGTGCGGCTCTCATGCTCGCGACCAAAATCAAACCCTGCATGGGGAAAGTTAAAGATGATTCTATCATATAAAACCGATCGGACTACGCGGCAATCTGTGTCCATGGAGTGAACGCTAACACCGTGGACCACGGTGCACCCGCGTCTCTCCAACTCATCTACGTTCTTCTTCGCATCTTTGTACTTCCGCTCTAACTCCTCTAGAAACATGTATTATTGTTTTAAACGTAAAATTTCACATGTCATAATATTCCAATCGTTACAAACGCAAACATGTTCTTAATGAAAATGGTTAATTTACATCGAAATTCTATGTGTATAATATACCTCGAGTATCGAGAGAAGTTGCAGTGATGTTAGTGGCCGAGCCAAAGGCTTTGGCTAGACATAAAGAAAAAGAAAAGTCTCCTTCTCCGACCAGAAGTATTTGTTGTTTATTATTGTAATGACTCCAGTACACTGTTTCTGAAACCTCCATTTCATCGACATGCTTTTCCTACTCTCACCATGCATATATATATAGTTATAAACGGATATAGAGAATGCATGGATCAAAGAGTTTTCCCTCTATGCTACTTTGGCTCTTGGAACACTGTGAGCATTTATTTACTTTTGACGAGCATTGATCAGTGTTCTCTCATTCTGTCACTATATACACAGATCAACACAACAATAACACTAAAGTTTCTTAAAGGCTTGACACCTCAGTTTTTTAAGCTTTATAAACATGATAAATCAGCAAAAATAATCACCAATCAAAACATTTTATTAATACATTTCATCTACTTATTTTAAATTTTAAACTTAAACCCATTAAAAATCCAAATATTTTTTCTATTAATTTTGTTTTATATTTTATCAAACTCAAGCCCAAATAATTAATAACAGCAAATAAAAAAATTATTATTTTATTTTTTGCCAAATCCAAACCCAAATAATAAAAAAAATAAATAAATAAATCATTGTTTTCTTTTTTTTTTGCTAAAACCAAATCCAAATAATAAATAACAACAAATAAATAATAAAAATTTTTTTAGCTATTTGTTTGTTTGACATAGACGTATATGATTGAAAAAGTGTAGGCTCAGCATCAACTATGCTTCCATGACAACAACGCAAAAAGCCTTATGTTATAAGAAGCTCACACATCAGCAAAAATTTGAACCGATAAAACATAACAATTTCTTAGTTTTCGCAGAAAAACACAATTTCACGGGAGATAATGCAATTTTTGGTTTTCGCGGGAAATTGTAGTTTATTTGTTTTTATAGGAAAGTGTGATTCTGGGCTTGACGAGAAAATGATTTTTGTTTTTTGGTAGGAATAGACGATTTCTCAGTTTTCGCAGGAAAAATAAAATTTCCGATTTTGGCGGGAAAATATATTTTTTTTTTGTTTTTGCAGGAAGATGAAATTTTTTTGTTTTTGTAAAAAAACGTAATTTTTCGGCTTTGGTGAAAAAACACAGGTTCTCGCAGGAAAATAAAATTTTAGGTTTGACGAGAAAATGAATTTTTTGGTTTTGGCGGGAATAGCCGATTTCTCAGTTTAATGGGAAAATGAAGATTTTTTTTGTTTTGACGGAAAATGCGATTTCTCGATTTTTATAAGAAGATGAAATTTCTCTGTGCTAAATTTTCAAATTAAAGTATGTTTACAGTAACCAAAATTAAATTATTTAACTTTAACTAAAACGATATTTTAAGAGTTCAAACATAATTTTCTATTTAGTTCTAAAGCAATAACAATGGTTTTGATATGAATGTTATTGATTATAGTTTAGTAATTTTAGAAACATATATTTATAATAAAATATTTGATAAATAAATAAATTTTATAATTTAAAATAATTATATTAATTAATAAATCTTTTTTTTAAATGGCATTTTGCTTTATACAATTACAAAGGAGGATCATGTGGCAATTTATTGGAGAAAATAGATTACATTTGCCATAGCATGAAGGTACTAAAAATGTATTGTTTTATTCTTATATATTTTATTCTTATATATACATTTATAATTAGTTAGCTAACTAAATTTAATAGCAAATTATAATTTTGAAAATATATATATATATATAATATTTATTCAGATTTAAAACATAAAAATACATAACTTAAGTTAAAAAAAATATAATACTCATTTACATTATAAAAATAATTTTATTATATTAAAAATATATACAAAATTTAGAAAAATATTCCACAGCATAGCGCGGGTAAATACCTAGTACTTACAAAGACAAAAGTTATTTCTTGACCGGCGCCTTCAACTACTAAATACTTAGTGATATTTAATACGTACTACTCTTTGGTTTACTAGAATCGAATTGCTCTTTCTTGAATTATCAGTGTTTACACATTTTCTCTGCCTCCTATAAAATTTGTAATTAAGTATGTATTTAAATAAATAGTCTGCATACTGTGCCAAATTGAAACCGGTCCCTGGTCCGATTATGAGAAACAATAATTGAAATATTACAAAAATCTCAAAAGTCTGTTAATTTCCACTACCAAGTAAACTTTGGTTTAGATTGTCAGAGGATTATTATATTAAGGTTTGAACCTAAAAGGCCATTCAGTACTAGCTAGTACGTACACCGTATCTAATATCTGTCTCTATGCGTACACAAGTTTCAAGCGACTATTGAACACCGAAATTGATTGAACATGCGCGCTTTGTTCAAACTCAAACCCAATCGTATACAAAATATACAATTATACAAACTACTCCCAAATCAAATGTTATCTACTTAAAGTTGTTGTATCAATAAATGTACTGTTTCAGTTATGTGACTGTATAATTTTGGTTTTGTTACTAATATGAAATACTATTCACAGCGTCTAAAATTTTATTTGATTAGATTTTTAAAAAGAAACAAAACATGAAATCATTGTTGTAAGGACAATAAAGAGATTGCAAAACTTTAGAGAAAAAGCTTTTCCTTAGTCATGAAGTGTTTAGGAAAGCACACCTAACGACACACAATCTCACAAACATTACCCAAAAGGAAGAAATAATTAATAGAGAAAGGGAAATAAGAAAAAAAAATGTAGGAGTTAAAAACTTGGACTGAAACTCAAAGCAGCAAAGATGCAAAATTGTATTCTGTTTGCACAACTTAAAATGATCTCTTCTTCGAAATATCCAAACTCTCACTTTTCACATAATTAATCCAATTACATTTTATACCATATAACGTGATCGAAATTGATGTCATTTATTCTACATGACTATATATATATATTTATTTTTTTATAAACAAATACTATCTTGGTTTAATTTTTCCTTTTAAATGAAGAAATATGCCAATTTTTAGATATCATGTGATATCTTCACTAGTTTCCAGTCTTTAGATAATTTCACTAAAACATCATAATCTTTTCTGTGTTATATCGGATCTATCATTTTAATTTCTTTCATATGATTCTCCTCTATTTTTCTATTTGCAAAAACTAAAATATGAAATTTTACATGGAAGAAAACACGGATGTTATCAAATCGACCAACTCTATATATCTTTTCATATTATTAAACGATATGCACAAGGCCCTCCTAACTAAGCTGTATCAACATAGTGCTAATTTCTTTAGCCAAACAAAAAAAACATAGTGCTAATTGATTTGGGAGCAAAAGCCACCTGCTAAGGGAAAAAGATGTAATATAAATTGGAATAATACCACTTCAATGGAATATCTAATTTTCTGCATTAATGGAAAAAAGGCAACCTGCTAAGAGACCAAAAAAAAAACATTGCTAAGAGAAAGAAAAAATACATTATTTGACTAAATAGAATGCATGTAGTTTTCAACATAAAAGCCAGCGAGATTTGCTATTCCGATTCCTCAAAACAACAAGCAAGGTCCCACTCTCATCTCTACAAAACAAAACCCATCCCATTAAGCAAAAGCTCCCTCCTTTTCCCCACTCACTCTCTATTTTATTTAAAGTTACAAAAACTTTTTCTTTTTCTATTTAACCAAACACCATTACAGATTTCCAAAATTTCCTTCAATTAAACACACATTTAGTTCTCACACCACCAAGAAACTCAAAAGACAGAGACTTTTCTTCCTTCATCTTCTTTTTCTTCAACCATCTAGACATAAAAAAAAAAAACCATGTCCAATCAACTTCCTCTTCCTCCATCGCCTCAATCTCAGGCGCAACCGCCTGAAACGCCGCCATGGAATACTCCATCTTCCAAATGGTTCACTCCAATCAACACACCATGGAGAACAACACCAAGAAGCACACAATCAAGTCCAGCTCCAACAACACCAGTACCTCTTACCGAAGTGATTGTGTCCAAATCACCTTTGTCTCAGAAGAGCCCTGCAACGCCTAAACTAAATGGTATGGAATCTCAGCCTTTAAACGATACAATGATTCTCTTGCAGCTAAGAACTACCCGGACGAATCCATGGATATGGTGTGGTGCAGCTTTGTGTTTTATCTTCAGCATACTTCTGATAATCTTTGGGATCGCTACTTTGATTCTCTTTTTCGCTGTCAGACCGAGAACCCCTGTTTTCGACATCTCCAATGCAAAACTCAGCACAATCTACTTTGAGTCGCCGGTGTACTTCAATGGTGATATGTTGTTGCTGGTGAATTTCACCAACCCAAACAAGAAGCTAGATGTGAGGTTTGATGAAGTCTCCATAGAGCTCTGGTTCTCCAACCAAAAGATCGCTACACAACATGTCTTGCCGTTTTCGCAAAGAAACCGCAAGACTAGGCTAGAACCGATTCGGTTGATCTCTAATTTGGTCTTCCTGCCTGTAAATCACATAGTGGAGATGAGAAGACAGGTGATGACCAACCAGATATACTACGAAATCAGAAGTGTCTTCAGAGTGAAAGCTGTTTTTGGGATCATACATTATTCTTATTGGCTGCATGGGAGTTGCCAGCTTCAATTGAACAGTCCACCAACCGGTGGCCTAGTTTCTCGTAACTGCACCACAAAAAGATGGTGAAGAACGTATAGAACTTTCTTTTGCTCACTCACAAGATGTAGAAACGAACCAAGATTCAATAAACTCTATGCAAGAACCGAGGTCAGAGTCTGTTCAATATTGTAAAGACAGATCTAGTAAAGTTAGGCAATCAAATGAATCAAAGGAAACTGTTTTCTAAGGCCACAAATTCTAATCCCCTGATTCGTACTTTGCTTCAAGATTACGAAATTCTGATTCCGTATTTGATACACAAGACAGAAACTCGAAGCAGAAAAGACTAAAGTCCCAAGTATAACATAGGGATCAGACAGTAGATTCCCATGTTGGTTCCCTTTAGGGTTTAAGTAATAAAAAGTATTTGATCCAATGAAAAATAAAGCGCACTCATCTCCTACCACCAGCCAACATGGAGTTTTAATTCAAAATCCTAACTTAATCAATACTTTTTTCCAGGATGCGTCAGGAATAGATACAACGGTCGCATAGTGGCAGAGAGAAAACTCAAGCAAAAATTAACTAGCTAAAGCACAACTAGTTTAAGAATACCCCAAGTCTCAGCAGAATCTCGAGACAACAGCAAAAGAAAAAGAGGACCTAAAATTGGGGATTTGTGGATTATATACAATGTCTGAAACAGGGATCAACAATGACTCTTTCACATTTTAATTTTTGTGTCAGAAAGAAATTAGGAACCAAAATCTTACTCTCTGCATTCCATCGTATCAATTCTCACTCTCTCGTGTTGTTGTTCACCATTATAAATGTTATATTTCCAGTGATTCCGGCTTAGCCATATGAAGAAACAATCTTGGACATTCTATACATCACCATGCTATTCATCTCTGAAGCACTCTACAATTTAGATTCCGAAGAACTGAAACCTAAAGGCATTTCAACTCAAGAACCCATACAAGAAAACATATATATATCCTCATTAACAATGATTACTAGATAATTGTTTCAATTTGATTAAAAAGTTAAATATTGTAAAACAATAATTTGGTCAAAAAATTTAAAATACTATAGTATAATATGATGATATTATAAATATTTTTATTGAATCAAAAAGTTGAGAATTTATAAATATTGATTTAGTTATATATTATGTTTATAAATTTGATCAACAATATTAAACCTAATAATTTATAATTTATTTTTATATATCCTCTATGTATATTTATTATTTTAAAATAAAATTTACAATTATTTATTTTCCTGAAATATTGATAACTATTATAATCTTTGTGAATTAGAAACAATAACATTTGTATAAAACAAATTTATTAAAATTAATTATGAATTTCTATAATCTACTTGCATATTTGAAATTGTAATAGTAAACTGTTACTTATACATATAAAATTAATTAAATTATATTTACTTTAAATAATTTTAAAATCATCTTTAATAATATTGTTGATTTCTATCATGCGCATGACACATGTAATACTTTATTTATAATACTATTGGTGTTAATTTTATCTGATAATCATGTTATTAAATATAATACATGTTGTTAATGTATCATTAGGTCAAGTTTTATTACAATTACTTAAAATGTGTTTGGATAACAATATTAAGTTTTTAATCATTTGTTAAGTTCCTGGTCATTTGTTATCGAAATTCATTTCAAGTCATCCATACTATAAAAGATGGTCAACTCTTTCCATATGGGTGCCACTTCATCATTTTGGTTTATTGTGAAAATGACATCTGTCATTTTTAAAAATTTAATGATATAAATTATGTAAAATACAGTTAATGCATAAATTTAATGTATTATCAATAATAATACTAAAAGAATATAAAAATATGAAGAATTAGATAATATATTTTAATAACAATATATACATAATATCCAAAAATAATTATTGAATATCTACTTTGTGGTAGTTTTTAAAAATCATTAACAAAATTTATGTTTTATATTTAAGAGTGTTTTTATTATTTTTAATTAATATTATAAGATATTATTATTAAAAAAAATTATAAAAATATAAAAATAACAATGATTTTATATTTTGAACCTTAAAAAGTTAGAAGAAAAATTTATACAATATTATAATAAACTTTAAAACAATTTCTTTATAAACTAATAATTATTTGATAATTTATTTTATTCAAACTTGATCCATTAATAATTTTAAAATTAATAAGATATCAAAGTCCTAATATATATATTTATAAAATATTTAATGCAGCTGTATAAATTAGAATTATAAATCAATTATTTAAGCTCATAAAAATATAAAACCACGGTATTGCTATTGTGTAAATCTACGACGTGAACAAGTACGACCTGTTTAAAAGAGTCGTCTCTATCTATGTTGTGCTTGAAGAGTTTTTCTAATTAATTTTTGTTATATAATACTTCTCTGATTTGCACTATATCCATTTAATATATTCTATATATACAAGGTATAATATATTTCACATTTTCATATCAATAAACTATTGATCACATATATAGTTAATATCCACATAATATATAAATATGTATTGTATGTTTATTCAAATACATAATATCCTTTAAATTTTTTAAAATATATGATAAAATAAATTGTAACTACACTTTTTAATAAATTATATTGTGAAAAAAAATTCGCGCATCACGCAGGTACTCATCTAGTTAGTATAATAAAACTTGATCTGTTGATACATTAATAACATGTATTGTATCTACCAAAATGGTTATCAGAAAAAGTCTTGCTTTCACCATATTTCCATGTTTTGGCACTAAAAGTATATATAATCATACCATCCATGATAATATACAAATATGCTAATTTTAACCTCAAAATTAAAATACACTAGAATTCTCTAAATGAAAACTCGATAAATTAAATATCACTAGAAATTAATAAATTTTGTCAATTCCAAAATTGGGTTAGTGTAAAAATTACCAAATTTTGATAGGATAATATTTTTTAGAACTCATATGTTAAAATATGGTCATAATAATTAGATAAATTAGTAATCATACATTTATGTATATATAAATAATAAAATATAGTAAAATATAATTATATTATTGTTTCATGTTTATAAATGTTGGTTGGCATCTTACAAATTTATTGATGTGACATTTTCTGAATTAATTTTATATTATTGAATATATTTTTTTGTTTTTGATAAAAATTAAGAATTTGAAATATTTTTTTATTAATTAATTAATAACTCAATAAATTAATTAAATTGTGAAGTTTGAACAATATCTTCTTTATATAAAAGGGATGAATTTCTAGGCTTCTTAGGACTGCCACATCAGCAAAAATAATTAGCCAATGATAGATTCTAAAACTGCTACGTCATCTTCTTCAACCAATAATTTAAAGCCATTTTTTAAATAATTTATCAATTAAAATTTCTTCAAATTTTACCTACAAAATACTTTTATAATTCTAAAATTCTCAATAAAATAAAATAAAAGACGAAGCTAAAAGAAAAACTGAAATTGAATTACACTAAAACTCAATTATAAAGCTTAAACAAAAGTTCATTTTATGGAGTCATCGTCTTCTCGGTTTCCAATCATCTCGCCTCTGATTCACCAGAAACGGAATCAGCCGTCACTAAACACAAATTTTACTTTTTTAATTAATGACAACCAAACTGGTAATAAACAATAAAGCTTAAATAAGTGGAGCATAAACATTTAGAAATCCAAAAGATATAGCAATGAGGGTGTAAAAAAAAAAGACATAGCGATGAGCCACATATGGTATAAATAATACACAACTCTATGACAAAGAAGTCTAATATGTCTCATGCTTGAGATTGTTCTAAGCAACATAAAAATACAATCTCACAACTGTTTTGCATTTATATTTATAATGTGAATCGAGTAGAATGAGTCTCAATCATAGTATTATTAGAAGTGGAGAACGTCTTTCTCGCCAAAAGTAAAACTTAAGGAGCGACTCGGTTTTCTTTTTTCTAGAGAAAATTAATTTATAGAATTGTAACATTTTGACTTATAACAGATTTCAAGTTTCTTAACCTGATATAGAGTTCCATATTGTTCGTTGTAATCTGATATTGTGGAAAAATTGAAGTAAAAACCTAACTAAAGAACTTTGATTAAACACAGTTACTCACCGTTTCTTAATTTTCATTTGCAAAATTTCATGAAACATAAAACTGAAAAGATTTTTTTTTAAATAACATATAACGATAAATTCCACATTCTTCACCAATATTGACAAATGATTGAGCTAGATAAACTATCAAACAAATATTATATCAATTAATAAAGAACTCATATGATAAAGAAGTTTATTATTAATTGCCTTTTGTTTTTTTCATTGAATATATGAACTAATTATAAAACATCTATGTACACATTGAATCTTAAAAAAATTGATAAGTAGAAAAATGCATACTATATGAAAATTAAAAACAAAATCCTAAGATACAATATGAAACAAAAATAGAGTAAGAATTGAATTTTTCTTTTTAAAAGCATCAAGCGAAAGGGAAGCTTATGCAAAAAAAATTTGAAAGTATAAAATAATACTCATGGTGTTCACTAAAGAAATAACATTATAACATAAGATGTCCAAATTTAGACAATATATTTCTAATATCCTCTACCTATTAATTGAGAATGTAGTTTAATGAAAAATACTGATTTGTTTTAATTTGATTGGTTAAAATCCTTTCTCTATCCTAATTAAATGTGACATGGAAATGATGATATGTAATGATGATGTAATTGTGACATGGCATTTAGTAACACATGTGGTTTATGACATGGCAAAAAGATTTTTTGTGATATTTTCATTTATAAAAAAATTAATTAGATGACAAATTTAGTGTACTAATAACTAAATGAATGATTCGCCAGATGCATTATGAATAGTCTGATATTATTATTCATCTATATGGGTAATAGCATATGAATTTTGGGCTGAACGTGATGATTTTAATACATATATATATATTATAATACTATGGATAATACTATATTATAAATATTAAATTTACTATAGCTCTGTCGTAGATCACTGTAACTTTTC